AGGAGCTCCCAGACGCTCCTTCTATTCTTTCGGGGCTTCCTAGGAGCTCCATACATTCTTCTATCCTTTCGGGTCTCCTAGGGCCTCCGCACATTGCGCGGCCTTCCTAGGCCGCTCCACTGGTCACGTGCCGGGCACCGAGGAGCCTCCCTCTCTCTCATTGGACCATCCCTTGTGTTGCTGATGGATTACTCAGCTACTATATAGTCGCCTGTCGCACCAGGGAGCAACTCAGACTTGTTCTCTCAGTTGCTTCCCTGCCTTGTGCGACAGGTATGTGTATTCATCTCGTATCTCTGTATATATTCTCAGTTGCTTCCCTGCCTTGTGCGACAGCGTCTCCACCGCCGTCCCGGGGGATCCGCGCCGCTCCTAGGAGCTCCAGCGCGTACTCTGACATTTGCGCACAAACAGAACCCATTTGGACGAATTATGCTATCCGTGGCGGAGAGGATAGATTACTCATCAGATGCGCAGCGAGTTCGTCAAATATACCTTCTGCTCGTTCCATCATCCTTGAGTCCGTGGTTGGTATATGGCGTTGCCGCCGCTGCATCCATCTTCAGGCTCCGTGCCCAGTTTGATCCGATGAAAGTTGCCATTGTATGGGACTTGATAGCGTGGACTTCGAGCGGCCCGAAGATACGGTTCTACCAAGTACCGATGAATATGAGACCTACGAATGTCTGAGGGAACATCATACCTGCTGCAGTGCCGCGTCAGGTACGAAAACGTCGAGGAGATGCTCTCGAGGACTGCACCATAGTGCACTGGAGTTGATGCGAACTGTTCATCAGCTTCTCAGACACAGGAATCACGTACCGTACACGCGCCAACGCAATGTTCATTCGCTCTTTGCGGCAAATTGCCTGCTCGCCCCATGGCTGGTCGTGTGATAGTATGCGACAGGCGCTGCAGGTCAGGGAGATGGCGTCGCGCACGTGTATTGTGCCCGATCGGCGCCGGATAGAGGAATTCAATCATTTCAGCAGATATATCGATTAAATGAGTAATTCCGTCACCTCAGATCGCGGCCATTTCGATTCTGAGTGAGTCAATCCATCCTTATTCACTCATTCCCCGGCTTGACGGAACGGCTCACTCCGAATGAATGAAATCACTAGCCGCAGTGTTACTGTTTCATGCGCAACACTATGCAGGCGCCAGCCACGGTTTACCACCAATCTTCGCGTCGCGTCTTGTAGCGACGTTATCTTGCCGCTCCTTCTGCTCGCCCAGGACTTGCCTGCAGCAGCCCTGTGACAATCATCAGTGTAATATTGCTATCCCCGTACCTCTGAAAGTATCCTTGAGGCATCATCACATCCGGGTTGCTTTGTTCTTGCTACAGTACTGTCTAGCCCTATACCCGTTGCCCCACAACACCTTTGAACAACTGCTTTCCAAATGTCACGACATCATGGCTATGGCTACAAGCGACGCAAGACCACGGACGACTCCCCGTTGAACATGCGGTTCGATCGCATGATCGAGCAACTCTCGACGACCAGAGGAGCCGCAACTGACGCAGGAAGCTCAATCCAAAGCAAGAAGACGCGTCCTCGAGCGCGCAGCTCATCATCTGGGCCCTCTCACTCCTCATACGACGGTCCGAGGACGCCATCCGATCTACACGACGCGTTCGAGGTAGACGTTGACGATGGTCGGTCGAGTGGACGTTTGGGCGACGAGTTTGCGATCATGAAGATGAAGAGCTCAGCGACCATAAGGCCCCGAAATGGCAGGAAAAGACGGCAAAGCTCGGGAGATCATGCATACGATGCCGATATACTGATCGAGGATGAAGATCTGGATACATGCACGATCGAGGTGCCACATATATGCGCTCCAATCTTGTCCCTGCTGAAGGAAGGAATGGATTGATCTTCTTCCAGGACGAAAGAGAGTTTCCCGGTTGGCTCCTTAGTACATTCAACTCGTTGCACCAGAACCATCCACTCCGTGCTTTGGGAAGCACTGAAGCCAACTCTCTGGCGTCTATGCTACCGGAAACAGCTTCTGACCACTCGAGAGGTTTTCCAGGAAAGCAAACAAACGATACCGAACTGCATGAGGGAATCAATCAATCTTGCCCCCACTTGAACAGGCTTGCTCCCCCTTTCCGTTCGAAACTCGCCGCCGACGAACCTGTCTTCGCATTCATGCCGCCACCCACGGCGACCGTAGGCGTGGTTCCTACGCCGCGCACACCAAGACTCGTGGAAGACATAAAAGAGCACGATACCACGATCTATGCTACCTCACCACCTGGATGCGCCACACCGTACAATTTTGTGACGCCGGGCCCATACGCTAGGCTAATCCAGCACCCCTCGGTGTCTAGTCCATATCCGCCTTCAGTCTCTCTTGCTGCGGTTGGACAGGGCCTATACCATTCATCCCCGTCCAATCTCAATGCTCAAGTCACGGATCCGTTTGCCCGGCCGGGTCCGTACGCCAGACAAACACCATCTTCCGACCTTGCAACGCCTTCCTACCGAGGTCCTGGAAGGGTATCTCCCAGTTTCTCTCCTATACCGGGAAACTCTCGAGTGGAGACTACGATTCTAGCACTTCGTACTGATCGTCGTCCATTCTCGACTGCCGTGTTTAACGGCGAAAGTTCCCCGTTTCTTGGACAGTTCCACGATGACCTTGACGGCGGTGGGGCTTACCGAGCCGATCACCATCCCGAGTGGTTCATCCACGACACACCGTCAGCGCCGAACAATATTCCTGCGTCGCCTAAACACTATCTGTCCCAACCTGCCACTCGCGACATCTACGTCAATGATCCAGTGCTCTATCATGCCGGGGAGGAAACGCATGTCAGAGCCGGCTCGCAAGACGAGTTCGCAGTGGAGGTCGACTACGATACATTGGACTTCGAATGGCGACCGCTCAAGAGGAAGAATGTCGATTCTCGTCGTTCATCTTCACCAACCCCCGAAACTTTCCTGACGCAATCACTCAAGGATCGTTCGGTGTTGGGGTACAGCGAGGTGGAATGGCCTACTCATCTGCGAGGCACTCGGCCCCATGGGCACATTGCTCGTATTCACCAGGCGAAGACTGTGGTATCTCTCACTCCCCCGTACGATGAAGGGTTGGCAAGCTATGAGGGGGCCGGACCAGATATGACGCTGAATGTCTTCTACCAGAGTCATCATGACAGCCCGCCGCCGACCCTTCGTCAAATGCAACCTTCATCTGAGGAGCGGGTGCCTATCGCTACATCGTCGAGCTCCAGTCTTCGTAGTAACACGCCCGACGTGAATGAGGATCACACGGGATCGCCATCGAATGCAAAAGAGCCCGCAGGTCCTGCGTTTGCTCCCGCACCAGGAGTGTATGTTTCACCTCTACGAACTCCCGCCACACAACCTCCACCAGCGACCCCTTCATTGAAAGCCGAGACTGATGAAGTGGAAACACCGAAGATGGTCTATACAAGTCTCCTTCGGCGCGGACGACACTCACATACTAATATTTTGCAGAAACCGATATCGGCATTTGCCTGCCGACTGTCCGTCAATGGCGTCGTAGTTGATTCAACTACAGCAAGTGTTGGTCCCCTTGATGATGTTAGACTTCACCGTCAGCCCTCAACGGCTGTCATACGCCCGACACGCCAGGTATCACCACAGTCGGAAGACAGCATCGAATCATGGACAGAGGACGCGGGCATCATTCAGTAGTAAGTGGTTAAGTGTGACTTTTTGTCTGTGAGGTGATACTGCAACGGCCGACGTCAGCGAAGATATCAACCGTGATTAAGTTGATGAACACCAGGAGATATCTGCCTCGGTAATCCATGCCTTTTCAGTGTCATAGTTCTACGTTGTACTTCTGGGACTTGTTCAGCGCCGTTGCCCCGCGCGCTCCCTTACAGTATGGGTGTTCATACAGACGGATCGCTTCGATGTCCCGAGTCCGGAATTGCACACTAGTTTATTCAAGTTACACCATCGTTATGGTAGAATCCAGATATGCTCCGAGGAGTAAGGAATGAAAATAAAAGACAGAAGATACGTGTTGATTCCCCGGCGACCGAACGTGCATGCAACACTGAAGTACCAACCTGGTCCGTATAGCACCGCCAGCAGTTTAAGGAATCCTAAGTACGAGCTCTCACTTTGCATCCAACCCAAGTCAACGGGCATTGATGACCCGGCTGTGTGTTTCATCACTTCGACGCAGCCTTCTTCTGCTCTTTCAGCTTTTCGATCCTCTACAGTTATACTTGGATTTCAGTATTTCAACCATGTGCACCTGCGTCTCGCAGACATACCAGTCTCCTCTCCTCTTTCCTGCGTGCCATCTCCGCTGCTTTCTCCTCCTTCGTCATGTTGACTGTACTTGAGGAGTCCGCTGCCTCCGGTGGTGTAGGCGGAGCCGGGTTAGCAGCGCGAGCGGAAGATGCTATTTTACTGGCGGCTTTCTTGGCGGGAGGGGAAGCTTTCGGTTTCGACTGAGGTGTTGAGGGCATGAGGTACGAAGGTTCTGGGGGCGCTGCCCAAGGATCCGGAATTGCTTGTTGTTGAGTGCCAGTATCAACATCCTCCCACATGTCTAGGCCTCAACGTTACGCATCAGAAAAGCAGTCACACCGCTACGAAGAACCGGATCACCTGGCGTCGCCTGACTCCGCCCGCCATCCCCGACGGATACAACTTTCGCGTGTCCAATGGCCGGTGCACTTTCGAAAACGGCTGTATGATGTCACAGGATTCTATGAGAAATAATAATCAGAAACAATCGATGGACGCACTCCAGTCGCCTTCATCAGCGTTGACGTCCATTAAGTCGTCGTTGCCCCAGGCATTTGCACCGCTGTCGGAATCGGCGCTATCTGCCCATTCGGCGGCAAGCAGTTTGACTGGCACCTTACTTGAACCAAGCTGCATCCCCTTCGCCTTGGAAGAGTTCAGTGTATGAATCTCAGGAGGGGCCAGAGACGAAGTGGCTGGTGACGGCAAAGGCGCGGAGAAAGGTCGACTTGTCGGGGCTGAGCTACCTGGCATAGTCGCAGCAGGTATTAGTTGGTCCAAGGTGGTTGAGGCAATTCCGGTTTGCATATCGGAAGCGGCAAGCTATGCAATTGAAGATTAGCACCGTCATCGAATACGTCCGCATTACTCACTTTCTTTCCCAAAGAGTTAATGGCCCATCCCGCCAATGCGCCCGCGGCTCCGGCAGCCGAGTTGACGAGCGTACTGTGACCGGGGATGCCAGTTGCTCCGTTGACTGGCACGGGTGCGTGTCCTTCCGGCGGGATTACAGTTTCCGGCTGGAACAATATCAGACGATAGCTGACATAAGACCAGACGGAAGGTCTAACCATTGTTGCTGCATGTTCCTCGAGCTTCTTAACAAAGAGTTCGATAGCCTTGAATGCTTGATCGCGGACCAATCTGTGTGATTCCGGGGGCATTAGATACATGGCGCACCAGCGGAAGCGAATCGTATACTTTTCCTTGTCGATCATGGACCCTGCTACGTTCGGGATCACCTTGGTGGCAATCTCCTCAATGTCGAAACAATCGATCGACGCCATAAAGGCCATCAAACCAGCCACACGGGCGTGTACGAAGGGATCGCGCAGAGCGCGAACAAACGCTGGCACAAGAACCTTGCGCTTCGTGTGGTAACCGAGGGATGGAGCCAGACGTCCCATCAAAATGCAGGTATTGGTACGGATTGAAGGCTCGGGGTCGGACTGCATTTTGGCGAGATGACGGAGAAGATCGTTATTCAGGATGCGCTCATTGAACTGCGGGTACATTCAGACCCACGCATACTAATCACAGAAAATTTTCAATTACCTTTGGTGAGAGCAGAATAATAGACTTCACTGTTGCTTCACGGATGACAGCAACGGTATCCAGGAATCCAGTTTGCTGTTGGACAACGTGAGACGTGTGCGAACTACGGAGGCAGAACATGGCACATACGAGATTGGGCCATATTTTGTCTACAACGGTCTTCTTATCGAGTTTATCACAATACTCAGATAAGTGCTCTAACAGAGCCATTCGCGTGCCACGATCTGGGCTAGCGTACAGCTTTACGAGGGGCGCGAGTATGATACCGGAGTAGTCATCAGGGGAGACATTCTTGCCGATCTGCAAGACGAGCGGGATAATTGCAGTAGCAGCCGCCCCACCATATTCAAGCGCTGAAACAAGTGATGGCAAGACTTTATACGATGCGAATTCGGCCGGGAATGAGGACATAGATTCCTTCAGCGTCCTGTACGAGTGCCAGTTGAGTCTTACAACGTCTGCTATCCGTGTGTTAACCCACTGCACCTTAGAAAAGTGGATTTCTCCGCTTCGCTGCTCAACGCAAAATTGTCGAGACCGGCGCAAACTTTCACCAGTCGATTGTTCATAAAAAAGCCGGCCCCTTCAGTACCCGTTTCTGCCATACCAATTTCGAGGAAGCCCTTGGTCGATAGTCGGGATTTGGGACTCGGGTTCAATAGTCGTTTGAACGAAGGGAAAACCGATGTAGGGATGGCACCCCGCGACGACGGGGAGGGAGGTGGATGAGGCGGATTGAAGGTGGCCGGAGGCGGCTGATCTTGGTTGAAAACCGCGTGAAGAAGCAGCCCAAAAGCATACGCATCTGCAACTGCTGGGTTGTGCCTACGGATGGTATTAGCCTTCGGGACCAAGAAAACTCGAGGATGAGGAACTATGATCACGTACTCCTTCAAAGCGGACCACCCACCTTTCCTCACTTCTGGGGGCATGTGCTCAAAGGTGCCAGGCAAGAGACTGCCCATGTTCTGCATCGTACTCTGAGTGGTTGAATGCTTGTCGTCGACACACGACGTACATAGAGTACCGCGGCCTCATCCTGAGGGTTGCTCAGAAGCTCGAAGCCTCCAAGCTTCCATTCCCCAGATGGCGAGATGAAGATGGAATTGGGGCATATGTTTCCGTGTGTGGACGAGGCCGCATCATTCACGAACGCCAAAGCTACCTAAGCGGAGAGAAATCAGCGCGGCGGAACACAGTGTATGAAGCGACTCACAGATATCCGATGCAAGCCCCATAGAAGCCAATCTTCCTTCTCCACGACCCCTTTACCCCTCCACGAGGAGAGAGCAGCAGATAGAGGTTGGACCCTTTCCGTCATGATGAAGATCGTAGTCTCCGTCTCGACCACGTCCAGAAACTTCAGAACATCAGGATGCCGCACAGTCCGCAGCTTGCGCAAGGCATTCTTCGCGAGGGGCAAGAGGTTGCGTTTTGTGCCGTCGAATTCAAAGACAGATGCTGGCGAGGAGTCATCCTAACGACAACAGGTATGTATCCCTCCATCAACGCGATGCTAGCAGGCGGTCCGAATGCTGTGACCGCACCCGCTTCACGGCGTCGTATAGGTTCCATATCGACTTATTATCGTAAGCATTGATGCGTTGGCCAAGCGTGAACGGAAGGTTGAGACCCGATTTCTGAACAAGGGAAGATACGGCTGCCGAGCCAAGAGTTCGCAAATAGTCCATTGTGGCCTTTGGACAGGCTGAGACAAAGCCGCGGCGTCACTGTCTCACCGTCGGAGTCAACCGACCTTCAAACCGATTTCCCTACGCATCCACTGTCTTGCCTCATCTTGGAGTCGCAGCCCTCCAACAAGCTGCAAAACGATCACAATCTGGCGGAATGGCCGTCAAGCTAGAGGATCTCGGGTCGAAACCACTGTATCAAAACGGCGTTCACACCAACGGAGCACTCGACGATGAACCGTCTGTCGAGCAGCTGGAACACGAGCTCCCTGTCGTGTACGACGGACAAATTCCCTTGGGCGAGCTCTTGTCGCGTGTTGTTCAGGCCATATACGCGGAACTTTCTGAGATGGCAGAGACGTATAGCTCATCTGTTGCCACACTCGCTAGAGTCATGCTCAAGTTGACCGCAGGATGCCAAGTTCGTCAGACAACGAACGGAAGCGTACGCTCGCCGAGTTTGTTGTCCGGCACAAGAAGCAGGTCGCGAAACTGTACGCGTTGGCGAAGTGGGCACGGGATGCAGATACGGTGCAGAAGTGCATGGTTTGTGTAGATAAGGCATGTCTGTACATACTGCTGTCTGATCGCCACGCAACCCAGAACATCACCGCGTTCCTCATGGATCAGAATCGACAGTTCGAGGATGCCGTGCACGGTCTGACTTGGGCAAAGGAGAGCCTTGACTCTGCCAGGTATTCTACGCGGTCTCTTGTTTCGTGCGGCTTTTTAATCCTTCGCACAGACTTCGAAATCACGATATACTTACATCTCTGGACGTTCTGACCACCGGAAGCTATCAGCGTCTACCTACTGCCATCAAGGTCTGTCTTTCACCACATCGTCCTATAACGGTTCTTCATGGCAACACCAGAAATTCATCATCCCTGAACCACCATTGACGGATGCTCAAGTAGCCAAGACACTGTCCGACATCGAGGATGTCATTCGCTATCGTCTACGTATGTCGGAAGTTATCCCGCCGGATATGTGGAAATACCGCATAGGTACGTCCTTTCAGCGATTGTTAACACTTGTCTATTAATGCTATGCAGCGGATGGACGCGTATTCTTTACCGTTCCTGGGCGTTTTGAATCGTCTCTATGTTTGGAAGGTGCGATGCAGGACGATCGGTGGTTCTTCGTGCATGCGGAATTCTTGTTCGGTATCGGTGGAGACGTCACGGGCATACAAGGTGAGCATGAAATTGTTACGACCTCCTCTTGACAGGCCTCATATACTGCCAGATTTTCCCCGGGAACCGACCGGTATCATGAAGCGACATTTGACCGACGAAGCGAACTCGCGATTAACCTTCTACAGTCTGCCGCCGGTTGGTTATACTCCGGAAGGAGTAGAACTTCCTCCTACTCCCGAATTACCACCAGGAACTGTTGATGCCCCTTTGGTCCGGCTGTTCAACTTCCTTCGTGAGGATCTTTTCTCGTCGCTTTCCAGGAGTCTCACCATTTGCAGAGATGATGTCGATGTCGTATCAGTTGGAAATTCTATGGTTCCAGGTAAGAAACTTCAAATTGACGACGTTACGTCTGTGCTAATCGGATCCGAAGGCAGAAAGAATACGCGCTTTAGGCTGGGCTGAATTCCTTAAGGTGGACATGAATCACGATCGGAAAGGATTCAAAGCTTCTTACTGGATGTATGTTTCCTTGTCTCCATGATATTACAACGCTAATGCATGGCAAAGACGAAAGTCGCCACAGGTCCCACCTGGGCGAGCAGCTCGGAATAAACTACCGTTGCTCGGTGGAACACTAAGCATTGACATAGTTGAAACAACCGCGACAGAGGGGGCTAGGTGGTCGCCTGAAGTTCGAGTTCTTAATGAGTTGGCCGAGACCTCGAAACTTGGCGGCCTGCATCCTTCTGATCAAGTGGAGAATCTACAATTCCGTGTGATGTGGGAACCTATGAAAGGGGCGCTTGCCGCGGTAGTAAGCCCTGAAGAACTCGCGGTATCTGAGGAAGACCTTGCAATAGTATGCACAGCGCTTCATTCAGTTCCTTGAGATAATATTAACGTGGCTTCACAGAAATCGGATCACCTGGATTTCGAAGCCTTGCTTCGCAAAGTAATCAGGAAACATACGGATGGCGTTTTGCGGTTTTATCAGAACCAGTTGCAATACGGCCATACGGTGTACTCGCCCTTAGGCGTCGTAAACTTCGTCGAAGATGGTAATGACCCGCGTCGAGAGAAGGGATGATCTATATTCACATCGTCATACGTTAGATGGCATCCCTGCCCTTCATGTGCATATGTGCGTGGACGAGGTGGTGATAATCACTATCGACCCGCGTACTGGTCGGCTTAACATGCGCGACACCGGCGACCTTGCGGCTGCGGGACGTGGTCCAAGATTCACGGCCATTACTGCAAGACTCAATGAGAACCCGGAGGTTCTATACGATGCCTTGTCCAGGTTGCGCCTTCAGGTATGGAAACGTGAATACAGTTCCTTGCTGCGATCATCAACGTCCCATGTATAGACGATCGTCGAACTAGCAGAGCAGAAGGCCAACTATCTCGGTTTGCAGAGTTTCCGCGTCCGCAACTTCCCGAAAGAAGGTAGTCTGCAATCAGAATGTTGCTGTCGTCAAATCAATAATATTATCTCCCACAGAAATTGCCAAACTTGGACCTGCCACTCGTGGAGTGCTATATATACAACTCGCTGGCTCGTTGAACCATTATCTCGTCATCGTCATCACGGACTACGAGTTCCGCTTTGCCCTCATTCAGGTTATGGTCATGGCGGATACGATGTATCGCAATCTAGTCATAGTCGATATCGGCTGGCTCGACGTGAAACAGACGGCCGAAGGGGAGGTTCAAATCGACGTGGTCGACTCCCCTGAACTTCTCAATGCTCAGGCCCAGATGCCACGAACCGATCCTGGTCCTTCTACACCGAGATCTCGAGCCCGGTACGCGATCTATTCTGGTCCGAAGTCCAGCATTATTCAAGCCGTCACAGGTTTGATTTGGAAACTTCTCTTCTTCGGGAGCTCCACGCGTTCTGCTGGTAAAGCCATCGAAGTGACCTCGCGTTCAAGCTTGCTAACTTAGCGCCACAGTGCCCGTGTCGCTTATTTCACCGTCGAAAAGCAGTTCAAGACCCGCTTGATACCCTTCAGGAAGGTCAGAGTAAACCCCAAACAAGTTCCTGGTCCCGACTTTGTACATCATGCACATTCCACCCTCGCACATTCCGTCGAGGCGCTTTGTGTCCAGGCATCCGATATACTGTCGGGAGCGCCAGCGGTAGAGGCCGCGATGCCCAACATCCGAGTGGTGCCAATCAACTGGTGGTCTGGACAGAAGACGCAGGTGGTGACGTGCGTTAAGCTCAAGTATGTCCAACAACCAGTCGGTAAATCGGCCGGAACGAGTACCGTCATACGCCTCTCGAAACGCATTATCTACGACACGGCACAGGCGGTGGTTTCCTTCCTGTCCAATGATGTTGACAAATGCGTGGATGAGTTCGTGCAAGAGTGGGCAAGAGTTTCGAAAATGGTCGTTATTGCCCGTGAAGGTATGTCCTTTCCAGCCTAATCATAACAATCGTGCTCATGATAGCGTGCAGTAGCTCAAATGTCCACCAAGAACATGTGGGATGATGTTCGCCTACTCTCGTTTGATTTACAGAATGTCGAGTTTACATATGCAGGGGTTAGTATCTCCTCTGTTTCATCGCGACGTCCCTGATATTTTGATCCAATTGCAGAACTACAGCCTGTCCATCACATGCACCGACCAGCTCGCGCCGCAAGGCGGATCGTACAGAATCCGATTTTCGCGGTCTATCGCTGGGCACGACGGCCAAAATCCGCATGAAGCCGTGGAACCTTTCATGTGTCAGATCCTGCAACATGGGAAGCTAGGACCCTCATTGCATCGCTTGGTTCGGCTCCTTCGGGAAACGCTACCCATGGCGATCTTGATGGAGGAGATAAAACAGATGGCGGCGGAGGCACACGTGGTCATCGACGTGTTTCCCAAGGCCGCTGCCTGGTATCGGATACTCTACGGCGATTTCAGGTTGGTCACCTCAATAACCGCATCCGATATCACTGCTTACAGACGCCAAAGACACGCTCTCGATTTCAGGTTGCTACGCGGTCAGAGGGTCGTCGTTCTCGACGGATCACATTCCCTGTTTACTCACGCGTCCGAGGCCAAGGTTCCGCCAGATGGGAAACTCGGTCTACGCGCTATACCCAGCTTCAAGCAAAACACCCTAGACACCGTCAAAGAGGTTGCTGCCGACTTGTCCGCCCCACCGGTACCCTTAGACATCGGAATCCTCTGCGAAACATCTGTGGTTGGAGCAATCGGGAGGGCGCTGCATAAGAGGGTGTTGCAGATCTTCAAGGATGCCAAATCAACAGGATAAATCATTGACTGGCTGCAATCCGGCCTCGTTGCCTCTTAGTGTGGATATGACGCACATGATTCCATACCTCGTGCCTCCCGCATCATCACCACTACAATATCAAGAACCTCAAGCACATGATTCATCCCACGTAGTACCTACCAGACGCAAACGTGGATCGTGCTGCATGCCTATATATATCACCAAACCATGTGCCGTTCGCGCGCGCGGGTCTCTTCTAGACAAGATGGCCTATTCATCCTATCCAGTCATCGCTCTACGAGTCAAAGGAGCCATGACTCAACAATCCGCATGCTTGCGCTCAGCTTGCCTGGGGTTGCTTCGAATGGCAGCTCATCGTTGACAGCCAACGTGCGCGGCGAGAGCAGCACCCGATCCGATCAACTCGCTGTCGTATAATCGTCTGTCTGAAATCGTCGATGTTACTGCATGCATCGCGGTGTGGTCGGGTCCCGACGTCGGTAGTTCAACGGATGCGATAGAACTTGCTAACACGTAATGCGTGTTGTAAGCAACCTCGGCGGGAGGACTGCCCCGATGTCCCGTGTGACGAGTTGAATCTCTCTTAAACCGATGCATATCGCATACCTATCTATAACACAAAGCAGGCAAGACGCCGAGCGCTACCGTGTTCAAATCCCCTTCGACCACTGGTCTGTATGCCAGACGTCGCTCAAGCACTGCACGCACTACGTCCGTCGGTAGTCGCCCTGGCGAACAACCATATGCGAACAGAAGGCGACGTGAACGCCGTCTGGAATGCGTGAGTCGCCCGCTATTCGATAACCCTGGTCGTCAGATATATTGATCAAACGAATGGGCTTCAGCCTCATCAATGTCTGCTATAGCTTTCCAGAGTTCACCATCGCGCCTGAGGGCACCCCCGTTGACGGCGCCTCAGTAAAAGGGACCGTCGACCTCCTCGTCCGTCAGGCGGTTGCACCACGGACGGCCATTGTGTTCTTCGAGGGAAAGGCGATTACCGGAGATTCATTCAAATCTATCCGTACCCAGCTCCTCGGGTATCTCCGGCAGCTGCCCAACACGCGGACCACCGCTATATGGGCCATTGCCGCTCGGGGGCACTCCGTAGGCATATCCGCGGGGTTGAGGCACAACAGCCTGGGGAACCCGGAGTTCTATCCCCTGTCATACAGCACGAACACCCATTTGGTCACATACGGTAGAGCTGGCGCACCTGACGTAACGTACGACATGGTCACCCACTATGACTCCGTTGTGGAGATACTTAACTTCATCCGCAACAATTCGCCGAACACAAAGTTAGCATTGTCGACTTGGTCGTTGATGTGCCATGACTAACGAGTGGTGTCTTGTAGCCTTTGATCGCGAATGACCTCCACGTACGCTCGCATACCTTCCAAATTCCAGTATTCACACCGCGTTCACATCGTATGCCATGCCAAACTGTTCGAGTCCACAAAATCCATATTTTCATGCTCCAGATACATACGGTTCTCGGTGTACAAGCGAAGTCTCAGAGGGTGATCCTGTAACGATATGTCAGCGTGTCGGAAATCATCGCAAAACCAACTCGCCGAACCTGTGAATAAGGTATAAACTATGTTCGCACTGTACAGAAGCGGGTACGAGGTATCATTGGTTTCGCAGGGATAGGGTATGGCACTACAACTGAAGATGTACTGAAACAAACGCTTTCTAAGCGTGCAAGGTACAATGAGCACTAGGATTGACATTACCATTGTTTTGTTTTAACTGGAAGAACTTCCTGCTGCCCCGAGCTCGTCAACGGGTACACGAACGAGGCGATCGCCTGTGGATATTGCTGCGGCTTCAGCTTGTGCTCGTTCGGCTTCATCCCGACCTTCCACTATGATGCGCATAAACTCAGTCTATCCATCGGGCAGAAAGGATCGGAACCCACGAATGAGACCAAGGATGCGAAACATACTAGGCCATTGCTCCAGCACCTCTCCCATGACTACGCAGGAAGCCATCTTAGGTGTAAGCTGTAAGCCATAAAACCAAGCCAACCTTGCCCTGCCGCAGCTACATCATCGAGATCCTTGCTCAAAGCTTCGATTCTCTTCAGGAACGTATCGCTGGCTTCCGCGAGAGCGACAACCCCTTCATATTCTTTGCGCTTTTCCAGAAGTTTCCTGCTGGTGGCCATGGAACCTCCGATGCTCAAGTGCCTTGATGAGGCTGCTGACTGATGCATCACGTAGTAAGTTAATACCGCGATCGAGTGTGGTTAACTTTGGAGGCGATGCTAGGTGATGCTGTCGAACGCGTCACGCGCTCATTGAGTGCGACGCGCTTTCACGTGCAGGGATCGGACGTAACGGCGTTTCTTGCGGGCTCTTGCGCGACTCGCCCATGTGGCTTTGGGCGCTTTAGCCTCGGCTTCCCGCCAGTCCTGCGTAGCAGGAATACCAGCGCGGCCGTCCTTTGCGACTACTCATGAACCTCGAATGACCCTATAATAGCACCGTATACTCTCAATTACCCAGGCACATATCCTCCTCGATGCCGAATGGGCAGGATCCAGGCAAAGGACCAGAAGTCTACCACCCACGACCTCCGGAATGGCTACCGAAGGCGCATGTCAGCGCAGACTTGGGTACGAAGGCGTTCTTGGTTCCTTGCGATATATCTATCGTTGACCAATCACCCGCAGGCTACCTCGGTTATGATCCCCCGCGAAGAGGACAGGATGAGGACCTCCTGACCGAGAAGAATATCAAAGACGGATATTCGGTCGCAAGTGCTGTTGGCGTTAGTCACTCATCTTCTATTCCTACGTGTCGTCTCTCAGAGAATTATTCGACAGGCGGAGACATTCAGCGGCCAAGCGGTAGTAAAGCCCCGCTTACAAGACCCGAATGCTTTGACGGATCTGGAAAGCCTTATGAATCAAGTCTTGCGCCGTCGGGCGGAGAAAACGGAAGCGTTGCCGTAAGTTCGAATATGTACGTTTCATGTGGCGGCGGTTGACATGATGGTCTAGGTCACCAAAGTTTCGGATGCCTGGACGCGTGACCCAAACGGACACAAAGAAACATCAATGGCTTACCGACCTCGCTGATCCTCTTATCCCGCTGAACAAACTCGGAAAATCTGTACCGCACGGAGCAAAGGGGGCGGATTTGCTGGATCTGCTGCACAACTACAAAGTGCCAATATCTCGCGCCGTATGGTTCTTGCGTGTGTTCGGCGCGAACGAAACTGTATGTCGTCCTTCGGCTCTTGCCGCTGCAGCCGCTGCAAGGACACGACTGACGACACATAGGGCGCGCAACGAAACAAACCTTTCTATAACCCTACGCAGTATAGCGTGGACTGGGCCACGGTAGTCAACAACTACCTCAAGAAGCAACTCGACCAGATCGCTTTGCCTAGCGCCCCTCGCCTCAGCCTTAATATCAAGCATACGTTCAAAGGTGTTTTAGCCGAGCAGGACTCCCGCGACCGCTGGGTCATGAAGTTTGTATACAGCTTAGACCTTCTTCGGGTTTTCTATTCAGAAGGACTTGTCGACAACCGCACATTCCTATGGTGGCTTGTCCAAAATATGGCCAACTGTAATCTCGCACAAGCAACATTCATTGCGATGATGGCGGATGAATACTTAGATGGCCTGCTTGTAACCCGTGCGCTGGCCAGACCATTCGTTGAAGCGTGTTTAGGCCGACTCGCAGAGGTACGTGATTTGATATTGGTCGAACCAACCTTTTCACTTCGCGAGCTGCAGGTCAATGTTTCAATCGTTCGCGACGGCCTGGATCATCTTGAAGGTCTTCTCATCTATATACTCCAGGTTCGTGTCATATATATAATCTCGAAGTGAGTCCTCATTCCTTTACAGCGGTCAGCACTAGCAGCTCCTTCCGCATTCGTCGGACCGCGCATGTGGCTTCAATACTCTGAAACTTTGGTTTCCGTGCTCTCCAAGGATCTTACAAATCGCAACTCTGAGCTACCGCCTGCCGCACATGAGCTTGCTAGTCATATCCTATCTGACATCACCATGCGAAACGAATCGCTGCTCTTCCATAATTTGCCACCCCGAGTGCTTGCGAGCGTCGGCTCAGCGGTGTCGGATGCGCAGCTCCTGAATTCGATCTGTGCCAGTACGAACATGGATTTCATCTCCTTCCTGGAAGTTCAGGGCGAAGGCCAACTCGATGGGGAGGCCGCTGGACGTTTCGCGTCAAAGCTGGATACGCTGCTGACGTGGAGCGTAACTCGCCTGCAGTACGGAGATCATCGGACTTATGCGGCCGTGACCATCATCTCGCGGTGGTACGAGCGCATGGTAGAACGCGCCGCACGTCGGCTGGTAAAGTCGTCGCCTCGAGAAGCACTGCAGGATTACCTCTTTGATTGGTTGGATAGCTCCGCTGCGGCAGCGGAGGTCGAAAATCTACCCGCCATTGCTCGTCTGTTCGGGGAGCTCGTCGAGAAAGGATTGTTCTCACACTCTGCCTACATCGAGCGTCTCATCGCACGTGGGGAGAGAGGGCTATCATTCTCAACGGTATGTGCCGAAAGTTCTCCTGTCTACATCAAGCGTTCACGTTCATGGTAGGAACCGGGCTCTCGTCATCGCCCTTTCCTGAGGTGGATGCCTTTGCATAGGTCCACTCCGGCACTCGTGAACCAGCGTAAAGTGGCCTTGCATGGCGTGCGCGCCCGCGGAACGCCTGAGGATGTCAACGAACGGGAGATGCGGAAAGAGATCAGGATGGTTTTGACGGAGGTTTTTGGAGGTAGGTATCCAGCTAGACCCCGAGGATGAGCCACACCAATCATTCCCTGTAGGCGAACCGCAACCCACGCCTACGTCTATGGTAGCCGTGATGTCCATCTGCCCAACGCTCAGCACTGCACCTCGTTATGAGTGCGTTAAGGTTATCAGACAGTGGTTGTTACCTATCCTCCGCAAGCACGTAGCTAAGCAAGTTTAGTTTCGTGCCTTCTACAATCAATCTCCTGACCCGGTATTCATAGCAACACCATAACGTCGCCAGAAAACGCGGAGCAGACGATCAGGACTCTCGGCCTCGCCATCTGCCTCATGGAACATCTTGATTGCTACGGGTCCATACTCGACGTATGTTGTTCCTCCACTTTTCACGGTATTTTTCTCATGCATTCGATCCAGCTGATCATTGCCGCAATCGAAAATGCCACTACCAGCGATGCTTTGAACGCGTCGATCGAGACTCTGCGCAGGTTCGAGGACATATGGGTGGCTAAAAACGTCTGTCACCGGATTGTGAACGCCTTGTACACTGCCCACGGCTACTGGAGGCATCGTGGTGTTCATCATCGCCTGCTGCTGAGATCCCTCGTAGAGATGGACCAACATGGTTATCTAGACAGCTCCGCGAAGGATCAGGTCACCACAGATATAAACGCCTTGGTTCATGTGCGTCCGTTTATTGTTATCATCTGCGCAAACTCAGTATTGGGCCAGGCTCTAGCACCTATCGCAGATCCTCCCGACGCGAATGTGCCTGTCCATCTTCCAGAGATCCTCATGCTCGCAGCGGACAGTCATGCTGACGCCCCTTCAATGCTTGCAAACAGCCTCTGGTTCAAATATCGTTCTGCTCGTGACTGGGCATGGAAGGTCTGGGACAACACTGTCGCAAGCCTCCGTCAGCTCCCGGCACTGATACCCGATCGAGTCGATCGTAGAGCTTGTGCCATGCGTTACGCATCGTTCCTGCTTGATGTTGATCAACACACCCCGTTTGGATTTGACGATCAAGTCTTACATTGGTTTCTGGGAGCTGGTAAAACCGAACTTGCCGGCCTCACTGCGGATGTCTGGGACGTCCTGATCGTCGTCCTGGTTTCCCTAGCTATGCATGGGGCATTGACGACGACCGGGATTCTTCAAGGCGTCGTTTATCCCACATGGCAGGCAGCTGCAAAGGCTTCGTCGCAAGATGACGGCTTACGGCTCTCAATCACATTAGATGCTGTCAACGATCTGTTCTCCAGGTTGATGTTGAGCGAGGAAGCTAACAACGACGGAACCCCTCCCATGGATCTTGTGCAACTTCGCCGTATCCAGGCTCGTCGGCAAGAAGTCCATCGCGATCCACATTTTGAACATCTGGTATCGAATGTCCCTGTCCTAGTGTTCATGGAGCGAAACTACGATCTCTCTGAACATATTCGTGCCACTTCAGCGTGGCTGCGAGTTCAGATATCCAGAGCTCCCGACTTTCGACAAGGTGCATATCGCAACCTGGACGCGGTGCAAAAAGCCTTTGCTCAGACCCTGGAATCTGACGGCATTGCCTCCAAACTCCATCAGCCTCTCGTCAATGCATTGCGTTTGGTGTTCAACGACACGGATGCCGGACATCCCGATTTCGCAAACACTTCCGGCGAAGAACTGTCGACCAGTTTGGATACAACGGATGCCGAAGGCTCTGAACTACATGACATCGCATCGCTTCTGACTCCGTGGAAGATAGCCGCCACAGGTATCGTCCTACAATTCACGCTTCGACAATGGGGCGAGGAATTGAGCGACCCAGCAAGTCAAGGCGCAGCGACCGCCAAACTGAATAAATTTATGGGTCGCTTCTTCCACGTCCGCATGACATTTGATCAAGCGGATTTCATCGCGGAGCTCGCCAAGGGAACTAGTCCGGCTGTAGTTGGAAGGGTGAGTACTTCGCCTTTCCAGAGCGAGTATAGCTCATTGGCCCTTCACTAGTTCATAAACAGCGGTCTTCGCTGCATTACGGAGATTCTCGCGAATAACACTCTTCCCTTGCATGGACAGCAAGCGTCGGAGAGTATGAAGTGGGCTGGAGATATTATGCGTCTCCTATCATATATGATCTGCTCCTTGCGAGCCAAAGGACATTTGACGCCTCCTCTTGACACCGATACTCAGGATACATTCGTTCCCGCTTTGTGCTCTCGCTTTCAGGAGGCTCAAGCAATCTTTGAGGGCCGGGTACCCGAGATCTCGACGGATGCAGAGCGACGTGCCTACACGCCATGCACGATTTTCCTAGCGCGAATGCTGCAATTTCACATTGGACTTCCGAGAACGTGGACCTCAACGATGCAAGATATTATACCGCGACTGACTTCGACTCTATTTTCGCTGATGCTGGTAAATTTTTGCCTATAAATATTTGTTGTAGCTCATGACACCATTCTCAGTTGCATGGTGGGGGGCCGTATCAAGATTTGGTCGCATTCCCGTTGCTTTTGGACACCTATCAGTATTTGCTTGATGGCAAGTATATTCTAGTTCGATTGTAGACCCGTTATTGACCCTGTTCACAGAGATTCCTGCCGACGGTGGCACAACGGAACCTTTCTCTCATTACCCACGGATGAGTATGTCGGATCTACCTCCCGCCATGCCAGCCGAACTCTGCGCACAGATACGCTTTCTGTTACCCTACGTCGACCAGAATCCCGTCGTTGCAGATCTCGTTCAAATCTCTGGTGGCACGTCGTCGTGCACCGTGCCTGTACAAAACCGGCCATGGGAATGGATCGAGCATATTGGCGAACCGTCGCCAGTGGAGTCCACGGTAGATGACGATCGGACGAAGGCGCGACATTCAGTGAAGAATTCGGCGTCACTCTCGCTGGATCTTTTCGCCGCTCGTGCTACCGGAGATGGCATCCTCGGCGGCAGTTCTGTTACCGGGGGACGGATTGAGGCGAATCTCAGGTCCTTCGAGGACTCGCTGTCCTTGGAAAGCGTCTTCCGGCGCGACTGGCGCGAAACTCGCATGGCACCGAAACCGCCCATGCTTCTACGCCGTGGGGAGGAAGACGACGAGGTCGGTCCTCTCCACACGATTCCAAAACGGAGCACGACGCACACCAACTCGCGATCTGGCTCGAGGCGCACGTCGCCAGCCTCTTCTGCGCATTCCCTCGGCTCGTTGCAGCGTTCAGGGTCAGGATCTCTGCGACCGAGTCCCGCTCAAAATGCCACCCCACGGCAATCATCGGGAACGAAACGCAAGCAGCCGCTAGAGATTGGGGTCGCCGACAACGACAGTGACATCGAGATCTTGGACGGACCAGCACTAGGCGCCTCCACCCGTGCTTTAAAGAAGCCCAAGACCCAAGCTCCCTCCAAGGCGACGCGGGGAAAGAAACGATGAGGCTATGCGCCCTATGACGTCATTCAATTGCCTCTCATTTCCTGACAATCCTCGCCGACGCTTTATCACATCTGCTGTTCAGCCAAGTTACCAGCACGACCATGAGCGTTCCATTGCTCCCCCTCTCGAACGTCAAACCTACTGTGCTTCGTATCGCTGCGCACGGGGCCTTTCCAAACAGCAATCCTTCCGGTCTGCCGGTCGTGCACTACAAACCTTTTGCATCCGCTGGACCCCTGAACCCGTCGAGGATCGAGGAGATTGTGCGCAAAAACGGGTTCAAGCCAGCGTGGCGATACGGGATGTATGATTTCGACCACTTTCACTCGACGTGGGTGCCCTCTGTCGTCGCATTTTGCACTCCTGGGACGATACGCCTCTCTGTAGGACGCACGAGCTCTTGATCCCGTACGCCGGCCGCGCCACAATCATGCTCGGCGGCGGGCAACGGCTTGATATCAAAGCGGGCGACGTACTTCTCCTACCCGCGGGCGTTGCACACCGCGCCGTCTCCTCCGAAGGGGGTTTCACCATGGTGGGTTCGTATCCTGCCGGATCGAAGGGTTGGGATACATGTTATGGCGGTGAGGCAAATGTAGAGGAGAGGATCAGACAGCTGGGGAAGGGCGGCGTCGTAATGGATCCGGTGTACGGCAAGGAAGAGGGCTCACCGGTAGCCCAGGCATGGGGTCTCAAAGACAATGATTGAGCGCGGTTCACTCGAAGATAATACAACCTGCAGTTACTGCCTACCGCCATCAGGCATTGCAGCATGACAACCTCCTTACTGTCATTTTCGATGATTTAAGTATAGGTCTTGACTAGTGGCTTGCTGTTATGCCTCACTATTGCTGTGGATGTCGCTGGTGCATACCTATGTACACCGTGGAGAAATAATATAGACAATAATTATGCATGCTTGAGTTCCAGGTAGGCATAGCCCTCTTCAAGCATCAAAGCCAAAGAAACGATCCCAGATATGCCGATCAGGTTTCGTGCCTGTGTCTGGACTGGCATCTCCAGATGCAGCAGCAATGCTCCTCCCGATGCTCTTCAGGGCGAACACCTCCGAAGGCTTGTGCTTGACGTCCGCCCTGCAGGTCGGGCACGTATATTGTGGCCCTTTTTGTCGTTCCCTGAGGCCCAGGATGTACAATCGCTCCTGCTCGAGGTAATGCCTGAACTCCTGCAGACGGTACCTCGTGGCGTCGTCGAGCGCGCGATGCTGTTGATGTTGCACCATAGACAGGTGACGTAGGACGTGTTCATCTTGGGCAAGGTGTGCGGGTATAGCAGGCCGATTGGCTGGGAAGCGCATATGAAGGGGGTTTTCAAATCGGGAAGGTGGTCGATATTCCGGGTGAGCTACAGCATACTGTTTGAGGATGGTGGTGAACCAGTCGACTAAACAGTTGGAGCAGAACGTGTGACCACATGGTAGGCTTAAAGGGCATAATATAATCAACACGAGCAGGACCACCACGGTGACGCCATAATACGTACTTGTAAGGAGTCCACATTCTAAGTGTGCATATTTCGCAGCAGACATCGTCCTGGATACCCAAGGCCCATTCTGGTGCATCATGCTAAGTATGAGGTTAGATCATGATCAAACAGGAATCCATGGTCTCCGAAGCCTACTGAGGTGGATGGTTTGGATCCGGAGGGTTGCGTCTGCAGGGCCATTTCAACCTCAATCGCATGCTGTCTAGCTTGCTCAAGTTTGTTCTGCATTTCGTCCATCTCACTGCGGTGTTTCTGGCCGGACGACATCACAATGACTGCTTGATGGAACAGCCATGCAACGCACCTCTTTGAGCTTCATGATTTCGTTCTTCAGCTCGTGGGTGCCTCGACCGCTCTCATTATCGCTGGAGCCTATCTCCAAGAAGTCCGCGGTCTGGATGGAGGATTTAGACGTCAAGTTTCGCCTCGGTTTGCCCTGTTTCCTCTTCGGCGGGCCTCGTCTTATTGGTTCGTCTTCGTCGGAGGAGATAACAATAACGTCGTCGTCGACGGGCGTCCTACGCTTGGTAAGCGTGTGGCCGGTCATCACAGAGTCGAGCGGTCGTCTGCTGGTACTCCTCGAGGCGGGCATGGTGAAGGGGAGATAGAAGATGACAACGAGCCAACTTGCATGAGCGCCCGGGACCCCTACAAAGCTCAAACCGTCCAGGTCTCGTGATCGCGCCACCAGTCCCTCTCCTCGCACGACGACGACGACGCCTTCCTCCTCGCCGCTGGAACCGTGCAAAAAACACACGGCGGTTGATGAACGCGGAGCTTACTACACTTGCCGGCTCTACACGCCAGACTACTTCATTCGTAAACATGCAGGCCGACCCCATCAAGTTTGACGCACCGCCAGCCGCGGAGGGAAGCAGCTCGAGCGCACAGAGGATCAGCTACCATCCTCTCTTTGCATCTCCTGAAGCAGATGTGATACTGGGCTCCAAGGATGGACTTGCGTCGCAATGCTTTCGTGTGCACTCGTTCACGCTCAAGATTACCTCGGGGTGGTTTCGCACCATGTTCACCCTCCCCCAGACGACGTCCTCGCTTCCGCCTTCTTCAGACCCGGAGAAAGACATCATATTTCTCGACGAAGACCAATCCACTGTAGAAGGTATCCTACGCATGGTCTGTGGTCTTCCGATACCCAACCTTTCCTCGTACGACAGCATCGAGCCACTGCTGTACGCCGCTGAGAAGTACGATATGCCGGGCCCGCTGTCTATCATACGCATGTTGGTCATGACCCCCGCCGTCATTGACGACCCTCTTCGATTATATGCGGTGGCATGCCGGTACGGCTGGGAACACGAAGCCAAACACGCTTCCAAGCAATCTCTGTCGCTGAATCTCCATGCACCGGAACACAGGGACCAACTTCGGAAACTGAGCACTGATTCCCTCATGAACCTCTTCGATCTTCATTACCGGCGGAGAGAAGAGCTCAAGAGGATGCTGGACGACCCCCCGTTCGTGAACGCGGCAGATCCACATATTATATGTTCCATGTGTGATTATAACGTTGACTACCATACATGGTAAGAACCACTTGCCGTCGTTCAAAGGCTATCGCATTGACGGAGAGACATGTCAGGCGAGAACTAAAATACGCCATCGCCGCCGAGATGGACGTCCGACCGCTTGGCGATACGGTCCTGAGTCACGGTCTGACCGAATGGCCTGCCGCCAAAGCATGCTGGAATGCGAAGTGTGCCAATGGCGATTGTGCCCGACTACTGTACGACAAGGGCGAGACACTGAGGCTGATCAAGGAGTGCATGGACAAGCTACCTGCTACGATATAATTCGTCCTTTTAGGCGTTATTTTTGGTGCGCATCCTTGCAACCGAGAATTGCTCCTTATTGATTGAATGGCTAGGTTGTCTTTTACATGCATGCTTTCCTCCGTTTGTCGCGATAAGAAGGATTCTTATGGTTGTACTCTACGTTTTACCGGGCTGTATTATAAACGAGAGGGTTGTTCACTTAGCACAACAAAGAGGACTACGCAAATGGTAGACAGCACATGAGTTCTTGCATCAATGTGGCATTGACCCCTAAGTGGCAGCGAGGTGGTCCGATCTCGGCCATATTCTCATCATCTACAATGGCAAATACGGATTTGCCGGATACATCGGTTACAACACACGAACCGTTCAGCTCCGCTCTACTCGTCTTCCTCGACGTCGCCAAACTCAAACATGCCCAGGCGTTCGCGCTTCGCCAGCGTGACGCTCTCCCGCAGGTTTTTGACGAGAGCGGGATAAGCGCCGAGGTACCTGCACCCCTTCCTGTCGACGATCGCGAGACCCTCGCGAAGCAGGTCGGCGTTGATGCTCTTCGCGGGCTCGCTGGCAGTTGGCGGGTCCTGAGGGTCGATGAGGCGCAGGTGGAGGAATTGGCCTTCCCGGTGGTCGATGTTCGCGATGAGCTTACGGCCATCGGATAGCTGACGGAAGCGGTCCACGGCCTCGGAGTAGTATTCGCTATCGGGGCTGACGAGCTTGACAAAGCTGCAACATCATTCAAGCCGCTGCCTAGATGTTGATAAGATTACGCGTACCTTAGTCGCGCGTCATGCGCCTGCCCTGGTAATGAGCGGAACTTCGGGTCTAGGGGGCGGATGTCCTTGAAGGAGACGGTGTCTTGATTTCCGTAGTCGATGAAGGTAACTTCCGCCTCCTTCTTGACGGGCGATGACCGACGGATTTTCGCGCGGTACCACTGTCCATCAGAGAACTTGGCTGAAACTAGCTCGCCGGTCTTCGGACTGTAACCAGCTGGTAGGACCGCGGTCTTGTGGTAGAGTGAGAAGTCGCGCATCAATTTCTCCAGCGATGCGATGCCTGTATGGTAACGTGAGCAAGTAGCATAGCCAGAACATTGATTTTCAGGCTACCTTCAGTGTTGAGTATTTGTACGGAGAAACCGAACTGCGGCGTAGTCCTGATATCGCTGACGATAATATCTATGTACTCAGTTCTGAGGGCGGACGTGTCGTCCTCGGAAGTGGCGGCGGCGGCGACAGCAGCAGCTTGTTCTGCTTCTGCGTCGTAGTCCTTCCATAGCTACCAATGACGGCTTCAATATGCATGCAAAACATGATCAGCACTGAACCTACACCACGCTTCGCCGCCTTGGCCTCCGCCTAGATGAAGTGTCTAAGCACAATGCACACGTCATAAAGGATGATGAGAACGAACCTCTGCGTCGTAAAGCTGGCGTGCCCAGCTCAACCCCTCAGCAGAGTAATCATGTACGCTTGCCAATCCCTCCTTGGCGAGACTGATTGCGGCGTTCTCCTTGTTGACGTACAGTGCGCCGATGAAGCCGCCTGACTTGTCCACGCTGTCCAGCTCGATCTCGCAGTCCCGCTGCATGAAGCGGCGGTTTGCGAAGTCCGCTGCCTCTGCGCCCATCGGCTCAGATTTTTCAGAGGGATTACGCGCAGTCCGCGGGGCGCGGATTCCACCAAGTACGAGGGTCAGAACCTGGTTATCCTTCGGCAAGAGTATCCTTCGAGAGCGTGAGATAGGTAGCGGAGGGCGCAAACAAGGCGAAAACAAGCCTACTTGAAACGCGAACCGGACGCCACGTAGTCGATCACAGCGGGGATCTTCCCCTGTCGCTTGAACCCGTTCAAGAACTGGGTTGCGCGAGTGTGGGTCTAGAAGAATTGGGATCAACACTATAAGTCGCTGTTCGAAGGTAAACCATTACCTCAGAGATGTTTAGAGGCTGTTTTGGCGCAGGTTGCTCCTTTCCCGAATGAATGCCACGTCCCTCCGTCGCAGCACTACGAGAAGACTGTGAGGGAATCGCACATTTTCGAGGGATAATACTGAGCGAGAGTATGCACTCACGTCTGTTCGGCCGCCATGAGCTTGTCGTAGTCTGGCGAGCGGTCCTCGTCGTCGCGTTTGTGCCGCACGACGCTCGCGAGGCCCTTCTCAATCAGCTGCTCAGCAATGTTGCTGCCGAAAGTCCGAAGGTGAGATCCGCAGGGCTGAGCAAGACAGCCTCTCAACTTACGCGTGACTGTTGCCATATCGGATGGTTGCGCACTCTCGCTCTTCGTACTCGCCGTCCCTCGGTTTAATGAAGTCGACATGAGCCTTCACGTGCTTGCCGATGAGCTTGCGACGGAGGAATTCGCGAGCTTCGTGGGCGTAGTAAGCCTGCTTCGGGTCTGACATCCTGGCTGAAGTTCATCAACCGTACTCGACCACGAGGAGTCGACATACTCACTTGGGGCCTCGCACAGAGCTCAGCTGCACTCTCCTCTCCTTGCCACCCGGTCCGCTCTCTACTACGGAGATTTGGTCGCCAGTCCACACACGGACAACATAGCCATCGAACTCCCTCGAGGCGCCATTCGCGGTAGACGCGCCAGCACCATTCGTTTTAGGTGCAGTAGCGGACGCGTACAAGTATGCACGCTTTTCCTTCGCCGAACGCTCGGCGGAGCGTAGCCGCTCCATCGTACCCGGTATGGTGGATAGCATTCCAGCGTGCCAGTCGACAACCCGCGCAAGGCCCGATGCGACAAGGTGCTCGGCAACATTGCCGGCGGGATGCAACACTGCAGTACCTCGTTAGCACGGTAACTGGATAGAATGCTGCCGGACAAACCGAGGCCGATGAATATGCTGGCGGTTTGGGGAGCAGGCGCGCTGCCGTTTGCTTGGAAGGGCGTCGCGGTTGAGCTAGGGAGCGAAAGGAGCGTGACCTTGACGCCGCGTTGGAGGAGCCTCGTCTCAGTGAAGAATTTCGCCTAACCATGGGTATGGATACCTAGTACTGCAAGGTGGTCATGTGAGCTCACCTCCTCTCCCCATTGCTCGCTCGTTTCGCCCTGCTTCCCTGCCGCACGCGGGCTGCGAACGCCAGCGAGCGCAATGTTCGCGAATTGGTGATCGCCGTCTGGCAGGAGCAGCCTGACCCGCACAGTTGATCCATCCTTGACCTGCTCCACGATGGCGTCCAATTCTTTGCCTTTCCATTCGCTGATGAACGCGTGCGAGTCGGTCGGCATCATGTAATGGACGGTGCGGGCCTGCGCGTAAACATTGTCGTTGGACTAGGGCGTAATTACTTATAAATGACACATACCTTGGGACCGTGAGGGTTCCATACACCCTTGCCGGCGCTCTGCGCTTCGGCCTCGAGTTCCTTGCGACGCAAGTCGTCGTCGGTAGGGTCCCGCTTTGCGTCTTTGACCTTTGCCCAGCCAGCCTTGAGGAGTTCGGCCGCAACGTCCACGCCGGAGATCTCGGCCGTTCCGATGTCGCGCTGCACGTCGCCCTCGCCAGGAGGCAAGGTGTGCGCGACGCTAAAGGTCACGGGTTTACCGACGGCATGCGAGCGGAGGAATTCGCGTGATTCGAAGGCCCAAGGCTGAACATCGGATTTCAGCCTATATCAGTGCAAGCAGAATTGATGTTCGAGAAGTACCTCGTCTTCGCGACTCGAAGTACCCATGCGAGGCGCGATGATGTCTGTCAAGTGCAGGATCCTATGTCATCGGTCAAACGACGTGCAGAAAGACTTGAATAGCCCGTTGCGTACCTTTCTTTGGGAGGTTGGCCATTAGGACCTGGGCTTCCCCGGAGTACGAGGGTGTCTCCCGAGATGACAGCTGAACATCCTATTCGATCAGGAAACGCGGCGGCGATCGCTGTGTTAAGCACATACACTTGACGATCTGCTCCAGGCGAGTCAGCGAAACTCAGCGCACACATTGTAGCGCTTACAGCCTTCATTGCCATTTTGTACGAGCCTTCGATGTTTGGGCAGAAAAGAACCAGGAGGAGATCGTGAAAGAGTACGTTGGGTCGCGTGCGGGTGCTTGCCAGCGAGGATATATGAGTCCACGTGGCAATCTACGCACTCCACGTGGGCGTGTCTCCGTCGCAATGTCGCTCGGAACGGGATAAGCTCTCGGACGAAGGGAGCGAGGAGGGCCGCTGAACTCGGCCAACCTCGTTCTCTGCAACCTTGAGATGATTTTTCACTCCTTAACATGATTCGTCTTGTTACGTTTGACGCATTGCATACCATCATACGCCCGCGTCTCCCCGTCTATGTGCAGTATTCGCAGACTTTCGCGCCGTACCTCGGCACGCTCGATCCCGACAGGCTCAAGCAATCCTTCAAAGCCGGCAAGTATACTCGTGGTCTCCTATGTGGTCCTCGAACCGCGTCATGATAGCCGTCTCCCAGCGTTGAAGGAATTGCAGACCTCGAAGCCTCTATACGAATCGGGGGCCGAGGGTTGGTGGGGCGAAGTCATCAAGCGCACGGCCTTGGGTGCCGGTGCGAATTCGAAGGGTGTGTTGGTCGAATGTATACGTAGTGTTTTTGGCGGAAGCTGATGCTACGGGCAGCCGTCGACGCATCACTGCCGGAGATAGTGCCCCGTCTCATGAAGCGTTTCAGCTCAAGCGAAGGGTATGCCCTGTTCGCAGATACGCTTTCCACGATCCAGAACCTCCGTGAAGAGAATATAACTACGGGCGTCATTACAAACGCGGACATGCGCATCGTATCTGTGATGGAATCGCTGTCGCTCGGTCATCTTCTTGATCCAGTACTCGTCAGCGAGCAAGAGGGAGTCGAGAAACCTGCGAAGGACATCTTCCTGCGAGCATGCGCCAGAGCCGAGGTGAGGCCCCACGAAGCCCTACACGTCGGAGATGAACTGGACGCGTAAGTTCAGCTAGGCCTCATAAACACAACCACGACGCCTGAGCTAGGACACAGAGACTTTCATGGGGCGACGAAAGCTGGACTGCACGCGCTGTTGCTTCGGAGATCGGGTCCTGAAGGTGAGGAAGCAAGGAAGGAGCCTGAAGAGGATTTAGAGGGCGTCGTCGTCGTCGAAAGCCTGTACGAGGTGGTTCAGTGGGTCAAACAGCACGGAGGCGCGCAGCCTCCTCCCCTATAGATATTATGCAAGTTTGTTATATAGAACATCTGGCCTTGCATCGCCCAGCTACCTCACAATCCGAATGTCTCAGCAACTGCCGACGTGGGCGGCTGTTCTGTATCCGTCAACGTCTGTTCGATCCACGTCCGTTCGCGCGGGCCGACGACGTCCTCGAGCCTGTCGCCGAGCTTGATCATCGAGTGTCGGATCACACGCGGGTCTCGCTTCATGATGTTCTTCAGGGAGTGTAGCGTGCGGGGAGAGGCGTCAAAATGGAGCGACCAGTAGCTGTAGAAAAGCTCGCATTAGCTGAACGGCACGGAATGGAGCGTTGACCAAAGAGACGAAGGGTGAGTGTACATATCGTAGAACACAGGATGGAGTGAACCATGACACGCACTCTCCGTGCTCATGCCATCGTTGGTGAGCCCGCATCCTTTGCGGGAGCGTCTTCGTACCCCAGTAGTCGATGTTCCGCACCACCCCTGCGTTGTTCATGACATGCATAGAAGCTTGCCGCACGAGCTCTTTGATATGTTTCTAACGTGTGTACAAGGATGCGCGGAATATAGTCATTGAGTTCGAGCGCGCAGAGTAGTGCCGATGATGCGGAGACGAACATATTCTCGGAAGTGCGCTGTGATGCATATCATCTCGTACAACGGCATCTTGTCGTATGCTCTTCGGGTTCGCGGGTGTTATAAAGAGAAAGAAAACGCGGCAGGGAGGAGAAAGTGCAAGTGGTCAGTGCAAACGACCTCGCTGCGGTGTCACTTGTTGAGAGACTCGGACCAAAATCCGGGAGTTCTCAGGTGACTTCGGCAGCTTCCGTCGCTCATTCTTCTGTCTTCACTACGTTTTACCTGCCAGTGTTTATTGGCTCACATCTTCCACCCGGTGGCATGCTATACGTATCAACACTGTGTTCAAACTTTTCCCGGACGTTCTCTCTTTTACTGTCTTTTCCAGTTTGGTCATGGCGTTGCAGAGCCTACCGTAAGCTGTGCGTAACAAATTTGGCGAACGCTATGCACCGCGAATACCCGTCCTTCCCGGACTCGTGCATATAAAGATGGCTATCTATCAGCGACTGCATCACATACCTCCCGATTACTGTGTTTATGCCCTCGTCGACCACGCCTGACCAGCAGAGACATGGACACGACCACACATTGGCCGTTCTCAGCGATCTCGACTACGCACTCCTCGCGGAAGAGCGAGTGCCAGACGTTGCTGTTCTGCGGACCTTAGAGGATGGATCCGTGCTATGTCTCAATAGAGAGGGAAATGTCGGCCTGGTGACCATGTCCACTGGCGAGGCGACCGATCTCTCACAAGACGTAGAAATCATTGGACTGGTCGGCGTCCATCGCCGTCTAGCTGTATTGCATCGTGACGTCTCTGGGGTAGTCGATTCCCTACTCGTATCCAATGTCCGTACGGGCGTACCTGAAGGATCAGCATCGTTCCCTCTAACGCTCCCGGACAGCATCGGGTGCAACAGATTGCCCAAAGTTGTCCGTTGATCAAGTCGTGGAATCATTCCGGGTCCGGAGGTGAATATGACGCGAAATGGAAGCCGCCGTCCACCCTAGTGTCTGCGCTTGAGTGGGTCGTGTCACGAAGCTTACCTGCTCTCGCGGGCTCATGTATCATTAGAGCAATGGAGCTTCTTCACCAAAGCCTCGAAAGCTGGCTGACATGGTCGCCAATCAAGGCTGTACTCAAATGTGAATACATCAACAGATGTCTGGGAGATATTTCCAGCCTGTTCATGGTGAGGAACAACTGTGCTCTTTTCCTTCTTCCGACTGATCAGCAATGAGCCAGGAGCAGGTCGACGATACGGCGCTTAACCACGTTCTCACTGGGGTCGTACCGGCTCTGGACGCTATCTTTTCATCCGAGGAGCTGATGAAAGAGATGATGCTCCTGGAAGACATCAAGGCGCAGGAATTCATCAATCTTTTGGACGAGGCACGCCCCCCCGCCCAACAGATCCTTACACCATCCTCACGATGACTACAGGTATACTCGTGTGCTCCTGGTGATTTGTTCCGTAGGCAATGCCGGAATTCACTGCGGAAACTTTGTGGGCAGACAGGACTACTCCCGGCAGGCTCCATCCTTTCCGACGAGATTGAATTGCCGATGACTGGACCCAGTGCTGCCGGTGGGTTCGGTGACGTCTGGAAGGCCCGTTGCGCCGGGCAGATCGTAGCGCTGAAAACGCCGCGAGCCTTCATGCGATCGTCTGACAGGCTCTCCAAGGTGCGCCTCGGCGAGAGCGGAGGTGCAAAGCCGCGTTCTCATCATATCTACAGAACCTATGTCGGGAAGCAGCAGTTTGGCGCAAGCTCAAGCACGCTAATATCGCGAAGTTTCTCGGTGTCTATCGCAATGCTGTTCAAGGTATAGATCTCGCGATGGTGAGCCAGTGGCACGATAACGGTAACGTCAACGCGTATCTCCTCAAACGCCCTCGTGTCAACCGTCTTGAACTCGTGAGTTCTGTATGTGGCCGATGAAGGTGCCAATCTGAGTATATTGTCTTGTAGGCCCTGGACGTTGCTTCCGGCCTGCGCTACCTTCATACGAACTACCTTGTGCATGGAGATATCAAAGGCGTACGCATCTGACGTTCGGCTCTTAGCCCCTTGTTGATCTATCGTTACAGGCTAACGTACTCGTGGACGACGAGGGTCGCGCGCAGTTGACGGACTTTGGTCTTACGGCCGTTATGTACGAGTCGGACGCTATCGGCGGGTTAACGACGGCGTCGTTCCACGATGGATCAAGTCGATGGATGGCTCCGGAGCTGTACGTCGGGAGCGTGCGCCTGACCCCAGAATCGGACGTGTATGCCTTTTCCATGTTGCTCTTCGAGGTGCGCGTGCGTTCTTCGTGCGCGACAGTATGCCTCGCTCATCGGAAGAGTCGTCCAGATATACGCGGGACAACCACCATTCCATAGCTGCCGAACGGACGCACAAGTGTTCCTCATGGTGCTGCGAGGAGAGAGGCCTGTGCGGACTGTCGAAGCGACGCTCAACGGGCTCGCGCCGCAGACCTGGGGACTGATGGAGAAGTGCTGGGCGCAGCGACCGGGAGACCGACCGAATTTGTATGACATCTCCCGCGTCTTACAAGACGTCTACATCAACGGCGGCGTCCGCGTCCGGAGTACGACGGAATCGGAATCGCCGGAGAATGAGGCCGACGGCGGCGACGTTTGCGATGACGACTCGTCCTCCGAAGCATCTAGCTGTTCGTCACCAACGGGGCAGCGAACCTGCCACGGCGATTCGGACACGCCCGCAAACCCGGGTACGGCTCTCCCGTCGTCAAGTGGAATCCCGTCTCAGGGTGTTCCTCCTCTTGGCACCCCGGACTCCGATCTCGGCGCTGGAAATGGCCCCAATCCTCTGCGCGTGCGACGCGGTTTCTGGAACCGTAGAGGAGACCACCTGACGTTCGACATGAGGGTCGTTCTCGCGCCCCAGCACCGCTGGTATCCACCAGAGCTGGAAGATTACCCAGAGCCCCGCGACGGCTACCGCGACAACTTTGGTCTCCGGGTCATGTACGATGCACGTAGGCCACAGGTCCCCGGAGGAACCGAACGCTACGATTCTGTGAGTTTCTTTGCGTGCGTTGATACCTCAAATCTCAACTGGAAGCACAGTTTGTCGAGTATTTCGCCGATCCGTCGTGGAGCTCTGGCGCGTCGTGGTCGACGGTGTACATGCATCCGCCGCGGAGCACAGCATAGGTCGGCGACACGTAGCAACCTCCCGTTCACAACGGTTTCGATCACAGGGGCGACGAAGGATACGTCGGGGGAATCCTTGGATTCCTGTAAAAGAGGCAGTTGGTATCATACATGTATCCTAATCTACAAACCGGTGTCCATCGATACAAAAAAAACAGCCTCCTCAAACCTGTGGGCCCGCGAGCCTAACCTTATCCTCCACGTCGCTCTCGTACAACTGGAACGCCTTCTTGAACATGCCCGCGAGCTTGCGCACCTCGCGGTCGAACGCGCCCCGGTCCTTCCACGCCAAGCGCGGGTCGAGCACCTCGCGCGGAACGCCCTCGACGTTGGTCGGGATCGAGAGCCCGAAGACGTCAAAGGTATCGTACTCGGCGTTGAGGAGCTCGCCCGAGTGCACGGCGTCGACGATGCGGCGGGTGTATTTGAGCGGGCATCGCTTGCCGGTGCCGTACTTGCCCCCGGTCCAGCCGGTGTTGATGAGCCAGCAGTTGACGTTGTTCTTCGACATCCTGTCCGCGAGCATCTCGGCGTACCGGCCGGGGTGGAGGACGATGAAAGGTGCGGAGTAGCAGGTGGAGAAGGTCGGGATGGGCTCGAGGATGCCGTCTTCGGTGCCTGGCGTTTTTCTGCGTGCTGGCGTTAATACGAGGATGGCTGAATACGTCAGGCAAGAAGGACTCACGAGGTGTAGCCGGCGAGGAAGTGGTAGCTCGCCTGCTCGGGAGTGAGCTTGCTGATGGGCGGCAGCACGCCGAAGGCGTCGCAGGTGAGCATGATGATGTTGCTCGGCTGCTTGTCGACCACGCAGGGGATCTTGGCGTTCGGGATGAACTCGATCGGGTAGGCGCACCGAGTGTTCTCGGTGATCGCGGTGTCGTCGTAGTCGGCGACGCGCGAGTTGGGGTTGTAGACGACGTTCTCGAGGATGGAGCCGAAGCGGATCGCGTTGAAGATCTCGGGCTCCTTCTCGGCCGAGAGGTTGATACACTTGGCGTAGCAGCCGCCCTCGATGTTGAAGACGCCCGTATCGGACCAGACGTGCTCGTCGTCGCCGATGAGCAGTCGGCGGGGGTCAGCGGAGAGCGTGGTCTTGCCCGTGCCGGAGAGACCGAAGAAGAGGGTGACGTCGTCCTTCTCGATGCCGACGTTGGCGGACGAGTGGAGGGAGAGCTGGCCGAACTTGACGGGCTGGAGGTAGTGCATGACGGAGAAGACGCCCTTCTTCATCTCGCCCGCGTACTCGGTGCCGAGGATGACCATCTCCATCCGCTTGAAGTTGATCTCGACCGAGGTGGTGGAGGACATGCCCTTCGTGAAGCGGTTCGCAGGGAACTGGCCGGCGTTGTAGATGATGAAGTCGGGCTCGCCAAAGTTGGCGAGCTCTTCCTCCGTCGGGCGAATGAGCATGTTGTTCATGAAGAGGGCGTGGTAGGCGCGCGCGCAGATGACGCGGACCTTGATGCGGTACTTGGGATCCCAGCCGGCGTAGCCATCGAAGACGTAGACGTTGTCGCGGGTGTTGAGGTAGTCAATCGCGCGTTCACGGTTGATCTCAAACGTGTCTGCGAAGCCAACCTGAGCTCGACGTGATCGCTCGCAATGCACGGACACTTACGCTCGTCCAACTTGATGTTGACCGGACCCCACCAGATGTCGTCCTTGCTCGTCTCTTCGAATACGATCCGCTTGTCCTTCGGACTCCGACCGGTCTTCTTTCCGGAAAAGTTGATGAGGGCCCCCGTGGAGGAGATGATGGCGCCCTCGTTCCGGATCGCGTCTTCGTACAGCAGGGCGACCGGCGCATTGCGCTTGATCGTGACCCGGTCCATGTCGAACCCGGCCTGGGAGAACATCTCGATATCTCGGCCAATGACTGCAGGGGGTATTGGTCAGATCGTCGTCGCGATGCGTGTGATCCCGGCACTCACGGTTGTCGGTGTCGGCCGCCTGCGCATAGTACTTGTGCAGGATGTGCGGGGTCACATACGGGGTCTGGTGGTGAGAGAGGACCATGGTGGGCAAGTCGCTGGTGGGTGTCTTGGACAAGATGCGGGGGGTGAGACCGGTGGAAGTGGGGGTGTCGAGCTGGGGTGGGGTAGCTCCGGATCGGAAGAAGTTCTGGAACGGCAAACGCGATAGTGATCAGTCGCTATTCTCTGCGCGAGCGGGGAACGAGGCGACCGCGGACATGTCGAAGACGACGACGACGACGACGACGACGACGACGAGGTCGGGGGGTGGCGAATACACACTTACAGTGTTGGTCGAGCACGTCGCTCGCTGCCTGGGACTGACACTCCGCCTGGGGTACGACTTTATATTACGGACTGCACGGGCGGGGAGCATAGCCCAACGTCATATGCTCCGGGGGCGCCCGAGACGTCCGGGGGTCCGACGAACGCTGCCCAACGCTATCACATGCGCCAGCGATCCCCGGTCCTCCTCTGCTCACCTCTGGCCAGTGGCGTTGTCGCGGAGAGCTACGAGAGCGGAGGGCGACAACCCGCGGCCGTGCGGTGCGAGCATGACCCGGTCAGGTCCGTGCGCGTCGAAGACACCAGCCGTCGAATCAACGCCTGCCTCAGCACGACTCCCGCCTCGAACGCTACGCCTCGTCCAAGCCCGTGGCAGACACGGCTCTCCGTCTGCTCGCTCGCGACTTTCTTTCCCCTTCTGGTCTTTCGCGGCCCGTCCTGCGGTCCGATCGGTCTGGCCTGCCATCGATCTCCTCCAACAGCGCGGCCCTCCGCGGTGCCCAGCAGCGCGCTGTTGACGACTTTGCCCGACGCACTCTACCACACTCTGCACTCATTACCGATCATGTGATATCGCTCAGGGAATGGACACGAGAGTGACACGAGCGTATACGACTTGCACCGAGCCTCAGGCGTCCCGTTCGCCTCCAACCGTTCCGCCGACGTTCTGCCTGGCAAGCTCTCTCGGCCTCTTACCGCTATGCTCCGTTGATCCGTGAACACCCTGCGGCAGTATGCGTTCAAGTTCGCCTGAAATACGGCTTCCGGAAACGTCTCTTCTCTCCGGTTGACTCTCTTTCCACCGTCTACCGTTGAGCCCGGGAATCTATCAATTCAATGACTCCTCGCACCCGGTGCCAGAATCATCGTCAAGGAGGATAGTCGGTTGCTTCGGAAATCTCTGGAAATCCGTTTTTCTCGCGGTTTGTCTGCACGTCTGAGGTCGGACGCGGATAGGACTGACGCTATCTTGCACTCCGGATTCGTCTGCCTACTTCTTCCGGTCGACGCGGCCAGGGTACGCTAAATCGTCTTCTGTGCTACCTTCGATACTGGTAGAGTCGCCATCGCTGTTCAGGGTCCAACACCCCCCCCCGGCATTTGGACGCTTCTCGACGCTAATTCTACGCTTATTCCATGCGCACCGCAGCCTCTTCACCCCCATGAAAATCGCGTGACGGAGAAACGTGGGGTAAACTCGGGAATATCCCAGGTATAGATTGACGTTGTTCTCCTCGGTCCGCTACGAGGGTTTCGGCTTCCGCTTGGGAACGCTTGGAAACGCGACAGGATTACGGCGGTTTGCGCGTGAGGAAGTCGCGATACGCTTTCGGCCGACGCGTTTGCAAGGCTTGATCCGCCCCTCGACGATGCTACGCCTTCTCCCATTATATCCTCCGACAACGCTTGTCGCGCACCCAGGTTCGACGATCGGCTTCTCCGCGCCACCCCCACGGAACCTTTTGAGCTGGGCGTTATCTTCGCGTGTTGTCGAGGAATAAATAGACGCGACGGCCAAAGGACAGGGTCGACGCGGGGAATATTCGGATTTGGTGTCAGAATTGGCCGCAGCGATATTTCTACCTGCGGACGCTGTTTTCGAGGGTTTGAGAAAGACGCGTCGACACACGGTGAGCGAATATCGCCTCGCTGGTCAAGTCGCGTGCCCTCAGAGGTGTGAAGTTGAAGACGTGGTCGCGTGCAGAAGATAATGATACATTGCTTGCTAATTGTTCGAGGTAACATCCGAAACGTCTCCCTAAACCCATGCAGAAATGCAGAAACTGATGATACAGACAACTCTCCCTCTCCCCGTCGCTCATGCTCGTGTTGTTGGTACAATCGTACATGCGCCCCTTTTCTGGATTCTGGGTATCGTATTGGCCGTTACGACCTGCGCGACGCGCTCTGTGCGTTTGAGCTGGTTTGGTTCGCGTGCGCTCCGTGACCGAAGGAGAGCTGCGCGGTGTTGGGCGTGGGTGGGGGTGACATCGTCGGGGACTGCGGCTGGCGCGGGGAGCAGCGCGTGAGGGGTGCACCGCCGATGTAAGCGGACCCAGATGCGACGGCTGGCGCAGACATGTTCTGGCTCTGATTCGTTGAAGTGGACTGTGATTCGTCGGGAGGTATGGCGGGAGTTGGAGTGCGCTGGGTCGCAGTGATGATCTGAGAGCCAGAGTGGTATCAGCGTCGTCGCTCGTTCCGCGAGACGGAAGCGCGACACTCACGGGTTTGACAACTGAGTGGATGTGCGTAGGGGCGACGGGGAACTCTCCTGTTCCGGGATGCACAGACCGCGGCCCTTTATACTTTCAGAACGAAGGTGCTGTAGGCTCCGGCCATCTATACGTGTTCATTGTCCCAAATATTGCGCGGTTTTGGATCGCCGGAGGAACATCGACCCTTTGAGTCGTTCGGTGGCAGACTCGGCTGCGGGGACCCAAGGTCGAGAGCGCTGATCGAAGGGGGCGACTACCTCTTTCGTGCATCCAGTTGCTTGGCCTTGATTCCTTCCCCGCTTCTATTACATTCAAGGGTAGTCAGGCGAGTTGGGGTGCCTAGATTGGAGAGTGGATCGACCGCTTGTTCCCTTATCTAGGCTCGGGCTATGCCAGGCAAAACCCCTCTCTGCGTGTTATCTAGGCTAGGGCTATGCCAGGCAAAACCCCTCTCTGCGTGTTGGCTCATATCCACCGTCTGGGCGATGCAGCGCAATAATCACGCGGCAGATAGCCAACATACCGCCTGCGGGATGCTGTGGTGTCCAAGGCACTCAAAAGTCGCGCGCGATCTGGCCAAGATAGGAGTAACCAGCGAGAATTACATAGCGTTCTATCGATCATCACCTTTGCGCCATACCCGGCCCTTCGTCCGCAGCGACACAGTCACCTGCCCCTCGACTATTCCTGGGCGGCTCTTTCGAGGTGTTGCAGACTCGCAGGTCGTGCTCGCCCGGAGTCGTCGCTCCAAGCTGGCCGCGGCTTCGCGCAACTCACGTGCGAGACCCGTGGCTGTGCATGCGCGCCATTTCCGGCCATTCCGATTCGTCGTCGAAGCGCTCAGCGCCATCGGATGTTAAAGTGGATGACCAGAACATCGTGTTGCAGTTACCCAACGATGTATCACGCTGTGATGCATCATCTCTGCTTCGCGAAGGGCAGTCGATAACTACAAAAGACCAGCTGAAAGTCGGGCGAATCCGAGCGGGAGCAGATTAGCACCATGCGCTCTCTGGGCAGCTTCCTTTCCACATTGTGGATCACGACCTTCGTCTCCGTCGTTTCTTGCACTCCTCTGCGATCGAGGGCAACGTACACTAACCGTCAGTTATTTACTTAGAGAGATCGACGGTGGCCGCTTCACGCACATAATTGATTTAGCCATCGTTCCGGGCACCGCGGCGGATCCTTGGGTGCTTCAGCACGGCGACTTCTACTATTTGACCTACACCACTGGCGACAATGTGGAAGTTCGCAAGTCTTCAAACTTGGCTGAATTCGACGTCACGCCCTCCGTCGTTTATGCCGCCACAGGCACGCAGACCGACTTCTGGGCGCCCGAACTGCATTACATCGACGGCGCATTCTATATATACGTTGCCATCGACGATTCCAACAATAACAACGACCACCGCATGTACGTTTTACAGGGGACGAGCACTACCGATCCCACCCAGCCGTTCAACGTGAGTATTCCTCTCGTAACCGTCTCCAGAGATATCACCGCGCGAACCCCCCGCGCAGATGGTCGGCAAGATCGGAACGGCAGACGACAACTGGGCCATCGACGGCACGGTCCTTTTGGTGCGTTTCAGGCCGCGGTGACTACGATGCCCGTGTCCTTGCCGACCAGCTTTCTCTTGCGTCACAGTACGGCACCGGCAAGATGTACTTCATCTGGTCGGGCTGGACCGACCCGTCCAACACCCTCTGGCAGAACCTCTACATTGCCGAGATGGACAGTCCGACCCACATCACCGGTGACCGGGTCCTTCTGCACGAACCGAATCCGAGCTGGCAGCAGACGGTGGATTCGGCCGGCGTGCACGGAATCAACGAAGGCCCCGAGATCCTTGTGAACGCCGGGAGGACGTTCCTCGTTTATTGTCAGCATGCACTCGCTCTCACATACCGCTCGCCGTGACTTTGACATAAACTGCCTCTATCGCCCAGCGGCTGCAGGAAGCTGGACCCAAGACTACTGCCTGGCATTCATGGGCATCGACAACCTCGCAGACCCACGTAAGACTCGATTCATCAGTACGTATGTAATACACGACTAATAAAGAACCCCGCGCGCCTCAGTCGTCAGAAGCAACTGGTGGGTGCTCGACGATCGGCCGGTGTTTTGGAAGTCGGACGTCGCGTTCGGTCCTGGTCACGCTTCGTTCCCGTACGATCGGAATGGAGTCCCGTACATCGTGTATCACGCGATGGCCGACCCGAACGCGGGCTGGGATGGGCGCACCATCCGCACGCAGACGTACGGCTGGAACTCCGACAACTCGCCCGCGTTCCCCTCGCCGTCCGCGCTGGGCGTCGAATTCCCTCTTCCAGCTTGATGAGCTCATTCACGGCGTTCGATGTGTGCAGCGCCTCACGGCTTCATAGCGGGTGCGGAGCCTGTCGAGTCCAGGCTTGTCATTGATGAAAGTAGAGCTTACGGTTATTCGACACGACCACGATACGGGGTCTACTATTAGCACTATGTACAGTAACGAAAACGATGATTTTACAGGTTCGAGCGGGGATGGAAACGGACGGACAACACGCGCAGTCTCGACGACAAGGGGGACAAAAGGTTCGAACAACACGGGGTTCAACAGAAGGTGATGAGAACGATCGAAATTAGAGCGGCATGAATGAAGAAAATTGTAGTACAAGTTCGCAAATAGAAAACACACGGCAAACATGCTGGCAGAGACGAGAGCAATTATACATTGATTGCGAGATGAAACGGCTTCGGTCCGCGGGATGCCAAGAGTCCAGCAGGGAATTGCGGCGACATCGTCTAGTAATCAGGGCCATATCGAGAGCGAGAGTGCAACTGCATAGCAGCGAGGTATATACTGTCGCGTCGCGACAGAGCGGAGGCGAAAGAAGGTGTGACGAGCGAGAGATGCTCCGCAGCCTCAAGTGTTACGCATGCGGTCGCGCCCGAGATGGTGTCGAAGGCCAGCTCCGCCCGCGTTGGGAACATACAACGTGCCGCGATTGTGAGAGCTGCGCTCCTTCCTGCGGAGATGAGTTGGCGCAGGGAAGGGCTCGGGCTGGCCCTGATTCGGACCGTCTGAAAAGAAAATTTTAGGACGCCACGCCTCGCGTTCGTCCATGATACACGAATTTCTGAACTTCTCGATGAGGGCTTCCTTTCCCCTGCGAGACGACGGTTGAGTCACAACCCTCGATTCGGGTTGCAGATGACCTACTGGTAGTTGGCGTAGCTCATATGCAAAACCTTCTCACTGGAGTACATGTTCCTACAGTATAAAGTTGTAAGAAGCGCATCATGACAAACGCGAAGAACATACCACTTGATACCCAGCCTTGCCTTGGCAAACTGCAGGAGGTCCTGAACGGTGATGAAGTTGACGAACGCGTAGCCGACGTTGCAACCTACGCAGGAAAAGAAGTTTACTTAAGCATCGCGAGAAGCACGAGAACGTTCATACCGTTCTGGAAGTCCATGCGCAGATAAAGGAAGTCGATGCGCCGCGGGCAAACGTCTTCGATGTAGGAGAGAAGATCTTGGTCGGTCATCTTGTTGGGAATGTTCTTGATCATCACCGTGGTCCGCGTATCGACGCCGCCCTCGATCTTGGCCAGGTTGAGCTGGTTGTGAGACGGTACGCTGCCTGCAGGTGCCGAGGGAGGGTACGGAATATAATCAGACGATGCAGTTGGCGGTGGCACGAGGGCCCTAGGGGGACCGTGCTGCTGCGTCGCTGCGTATGCATATTGAGGTCCAGGTGTCACCGGGGCGTGCGGAAAATAGTCGACAGGATAATGCGAGGCAAAAGGAGGACGCAAAGAATAATCATAGGCAGGCGAGGGGGTGTAGCCGCGAGGATCGTACGGTGTGGTGGGGGAAGTAGGGAACACAGGCGACGTCGGAGAGTAGAAAAACGACGGGTGGACAGCATCAGGGTGTCGAGGAGGGCTGGGATTTGGTGGCGGATAATTGATATAACCATAATCGAAGGTAGGAACAGGAACAGGAACGGCGGCCTGCTGTGGAGGCATCCAGTAGCCGGAGTACGTTTCAGCTGGAATGGAGGCGTTGTGTGCCACCGGATACAGCTGACGTGGTGCACCGTGCTCCTGATGTGGCCCTGGGGCAGCGGCAAGGACGGCGGTAGGACGTTCCTCTGCTGTCAATGAGCGACGACTGTTGTCGCCTTCCAGGGACCTGATGGCAGTCGAATCGAAGAACAAAGAGTTGGAAGGCCGACTACCGTGCATCGGTTCAAGCCCTGCAGACGTTTCCTTGATGGAAGGCTCCATGCGTGTCCCATCCTCGGAAGCGTCCTGGTTGCCAGCGCTGACACTGATGCTTCGAGGTCGCACCTTACCACTGTTATTGAAATACAGCCGACGGGGAGATGTGTCCTGATCATCGAGATTGGGGGGTTGCTGCGACCAGGTTGCCAGTTTGCGGGGTGTGTTGTTGGTCGTGCTAGAGCTAGGAGCAGGAGAATCAGGGAACGATGCGTGATGAGGGCTGTCGGGAGGAGACGAGCCAGTCCTGCGCCGCTGGCCGGGTTGGATAAGAGGCAACGAGGCTCCTGAGAGGTTACGCACGCGCACAGGAGAGGGAGTGTCAGGTACATCAAAAACATTGCTGCCAGCGACAGAGAGGGTGCGTCCACGGTGGTGGCTCGAGGATACGGATGGAAACGGAATCACCGCCGGGGAAGCAGGCGCAGAGTCGAACTTGGGAACAACTAGGCGAACACCTCGAATCGACTGAGCAGCCAACAAATCTCTGGCAGCAGACGCGTGCCGCACGTCGAAATATTCAACACGATACACCTGGACAAATACGCAATTGAATGTCTTGGTGGATTTGGTCACGGTCTGCACTCACGCGATGGTCGACTTGCACCAGAGACTGCAGTTGACCGAAGGAAGCAAGCATGTCCCTCATAATGGCTGGGTCCATGTTAATATCGTCCGCGGTGACGGACAAATCCCCTTCCGTCTCAGCGACGAATGCGGACCTGCCGATGTACTAAGCAACATGTCAGCGATGACCTGTACTGCGTTGGGTCATATGAGCGCTCACTCTCTCCAACGTCGTAGCCGTGATAAATCTGGCCGATAGCATGCGGCCGCCAAAAGCAGTCGATATCTGTGAGGAAAGAAAACGCTGAGCGCGGGTGGCATCGCGCGTGTCAAAGAACGCAAGAATGACGACGCCGTGGTCCGCCTGAAAGCGAGGCAGTATGCCCTTCACGTCGCCGCAGCCCGTGAACGCCTCTTTTAGTGAAGATGACTGCGCATTGTTGGGGACGTTGCCGACCTGCAACAACACGCAACGAATTGTCAGCGAAGAGTTGCGTGGGGAACTAAAACATCGGAAAACAAAACAAGCAAGTGAACATGCGATTCGGTACGCAGCATGCGTATACGCGCAGAGAAGAGCTGATTAGGCAACGATCAACAGACGAGTGGACTCACCAAGAGGAAGCGGCTAGGGGTATTGTCGCTGCCTGCGTCTAGGTCGAAGTCGGACGCGTTAACGGAGTCGCTATCGGACACGGATGTGGCGGTCGACTTGAGAGAGGCAATCAACGAGGAGACGTCGAGAGAGTCCACGCTGTCGCCCGTCGAGGAGGTCAGCGAACCCGAGCGTTGGGTGGTGGGCGAGAGGTGGCCTGGGGTGCCGTGTCCCCGCTGCTTTGGACTCGTCTGGCTTCCGATAAACAGGCTTCGGGCCCACCTAGCGGCGAGGGGGGAGCCTGGCTCCGGTGGGGTGCGGGGAGAATTTCCCAGGGCCTCCTGGCCGCTCAGAGAGGACGGGGTCAAGGGCGGGGTGATAAGCGTGTGCGACGATTTTGGAGCTTGCGCCAGGTCCAGCGGACACAGGCGCGGGCGCTGGCCGGTGGGCGTGCGCGATGTCGGCGTGGGCGACTCGGGTGAGCGCGCGGAGGTGGACGGGCTGGAGTCCATCTGCGGCTGGAGCCTGCGCGAGGGCGATCGGGTCGTTTGTCAGACGCGTACGATCGGCTACGTCACGGACACAAAGAAAAACGCGCTACCTGAGATCAGGGAACGACGGTGCGCGCGGCAGACGATGGGGCTGATCCTGTGGGCTGGCGTGAGCGCGTGGGCGGCGCGGGCGATCGCGCGGGCGGACCTTGTGCTCAAAGCGGTCCATGGGCGGGACCGCGCGACGACGGGAGACGGCAAGAAGGGTGGACGGACGACGGGAGGGGCGAGGATTATATGCGGCGCGGGTGTCACACGCACTTGTCCAAAACGCGCCGACCGCTGATCAAACACGGGCAGGAAATCGCGAGGGGAGAAACAACGCGGACGGGCGGGGAAGGCGGCAGCGAAATACCCCAAATGGCGCCCGGAACGCAAACGGAAAGGACCTGCCCCGAAGCGCCAGCAGAAACAAGGTGCGTGGCTCCATTCGACCCAGCCCAAGACAGATCGGAGCAGCGTGTGTGCGACACCAGCGAAGATCTGGCGATTGGTCCGCACACCCGCAACGCTCGGCATCCTCCCAAGCATGGCCAGAATCGCTGTCACATCTACCCAACTTCGGTCATGTCCCAATGCGCGACCCCTCCACGTGGTCCGTATCAGCGCGCCTTCTTTAATAAAAATCAAATCCAGCCTGGCTTCCGGCGATTCCGGCTCTCCGACCGTCCGTACGTGCTCGCCGACGCCCGATGGTCTGGCCATCGCATAGCATGTCCACAACGTTGGACGCAAACCCTCGTCCGATGCGGAGCATGGCTATGTCACTCCGCGGACGGCGCATGAGTGTAGTCGCATACCTATTCGCAATGCTGGCGCATCATGAGGAACAACAGTCGGTGCAGAGCCAGGGCCGACGTGCTGGAGGGGCGGCCAGCGGGCACTGCCATTTTCCCACTTTAGTAGGGTTTAATATAGCCTCCGGAGCTGACATAATTTACCTCCGAACGGTCTGCCGAGCGTATCTTGTTTATTACTCTTTTCTGGTCCTTGCAAATTGCTGACGACTCCGTGCGGCGCTCGTAGCCGCGATTGCGACCGCCTAGGCTGGGCCGCATTTATACTGGAAAAGGTGAGATTTGCGGAGGTTATGTTGATGGATTGGCCCTGTTGCCCTTCAGGCGACCATTCATCTGTGATACTGTGTGGATATGTCACTCGTTGATCCTTGTACATCTTCCCGGCGGCGTGGATGACTCACGAACGCGTTGTTACCGTAAGACAGCGAACGCAAAACCTTCGTCGCGCTAGAAGCGCCCGGTCGATCTCAGCGCGCTGGAAGGCTATCAAAGTTGCGCGAGCTGTCAGATTCGACGCGGGGTTCGCCCTTCGGAGCCTTTCGGGCCTTGGCTCGGCCTTGGTGTTTGGCGTGGCAATGCACTGCATCGTCCTTGACACAAACGCCGGACTACGGACGCGAACAAATCCGTACAGACCATGCGCTCTGATTCAGAATAATGACTTGAACGGTTCATTCTGTGATGAAGAGTGCTGGTAGTATGCACTATGCTTCCGTGCAGCTTTCCGCGCACATCTGTCAATCAAAAGAGTGACGTCGATGCTAGTACATAGCTCGCTTCCCTGCGATTCATTGGCTGAGCTTCTTGGGGGAAGATGCACCATCGTCATCGTGAGTCGTGACATGCTACGAGCTCGTAAGCGTCGCCCTGCTTATCCGAGGTTCATCCACCATATTGATTGCCTTCGTCTTACAGCATATCCCGTCCCGCACTCTTCGCAAGATACAGCCAAGTCCCACCGATATCAATTACGGGTAACGTACAACATGCACCTTCCATTGTCCTCGTAACCGTCCTCATGCAATTTCTCATATAATCACGGCAGAACAGCCGCAACACGCTCCCGCCAGACGCCACTATCAATCGCCCTTGCAAGAGACGAAACCATTTTCTTCGGAGGCGCCTGTGTGTGTAATCACGCTGGTCGCATGCGGTTCAACGGCCTGAGGAACAACAATCGCTGTGAAGCACACTCACGCGCAGTACGTGCCAGCCGTGTTGAACACGACTCGGTCGGCTCCTGGCGAGCCGCCCGTATACGATCCGCTCTCCAGAATGGGGAACTACGCGAACACAGTGCGTTATACACGGGAATGAACGTCGGACCAGTGTTGAGCTGCTGCTCACCTCTTGCCACGAGGAGCCGGAACAGAACAGGTCGAGGCCCTCGTCATTGAAGAACTGGTGCGGGTACTCGTCCGAACCTGGTCAAATCTCGACATGAGCGACACGCATTTCTCAAACTGGTTACAGAGAGCGATTCGGCACCCGCCGACTTACCCAGCGTCTTGCCCTCCTCATGCAGGTCGAATCCTTGGTCGACGGCGTTCACCACCTGGCTCACGGAGTATCTGTTGCTCCCGCAGGTCACGGTTCCGGATGGAAGCGCCCGGCGTCCGGGCAGGGCGGCAATACTGCCAACGACGGCCAAAATGGCGATGATCGTCTTGAACATGGCTGGCCGTGCGTCCTACAGCTGTCCGATCAGAGACGGATCTCTACGACCGCCCGCAACGCCTCTTTTATACTCTGTCGCTGGGCTGCATGCACCGAACGTTGCACATGTTCCGGATGCTCACCATGGGCGATATCGCGGAGAGCGACCCATGCCTGGATCACTGTTGGATAAGATGCGCATGCTCTACGAACGCACGGTCGTGCGTATGCCGACATCCTCGAGCTCTTTTAGAGAGAGCCATCAGGACCGTTGGCCTTCTCGGCGACGTGGAACACCGTACTCTGCCAATCATCTGAAGGGAGGTCACGCTGACGACCGCCGTTTGCGGAAGCGTGCATGTGGTGAACGTGCACAGATGACTTCCAGACCTGGATTCGACCGAGGAACGGTCTTCACAAAGCCAGCATGGGGTTTGCTAAAATTATCTGCGTGAGAGGAGCGGTTTCTCTCCGTGCGAGACTGTGCTGCCAAATATAGCACGCCGTATGCTCTTCCGTTTGCTTGTGGTATTGTATCAGCCACCATCGAGTGCGTAGCTGGACACGCGTGTTCCTCTTCCTATCGACCAGGGAAAAGTGCACTCCTCGGACAACTGGACAGCCCTCATGCGATGCTGGCGCTCGTCTGCATCTCGGCTGTATGATCGTCGCTCCACATGCGGCGGGATCTTTTGGCTTTGTCGCGTCCAACACGGGCTCAGCAGCAGTTCCTGATGGGCTCGAGCGGCCTGGTTGTACGTCTTTCTTCGTCTGCGGGTCTTCCGAAAAGCGGTTCCTCTACCGATCTGTTGGTTGTATTGACCGAAACTCGCGTGAAGACCGTTGATCTCGCGACATGACTCTTCCGCGCTTCGCTCCAACTTCTCCGGTCTCCCGCCGGTGGGGCAAATTCACAACTTTGAGAAGGACTGTATAGGCATTGGATACGAACATCGGAGGAAGATCGGACTTGGCTTTTCGTGCAATCTGTGGCCGCTCGGTGAAGATCAACGAAACATGGCGCTCAGCGCTTGAGGCGCGACCTGTGCCGCTGCGCCATTCCATGGTCTGTGCTCATTCTCCGCGGCTGCACGTCTCCCCTGCATAGCGACTTGTTCCTGGATCTACGTGCCACTGATCGCGGTTCGGCTCTTGCAGCGTGCCACGTAACTATTGTAACACAGCCTCTCGGCGGAAGCGAGAGATCGTCGCTGTTTGCATATGCACCGCTGATAAGTAAGTACTAAGTACCGCTCCGTTCGCATCGCACGATTCCCTCATGTTATATTGCAATATAGTGGCACATGCATGAAATACGACGATCGTGTACCCTCTTTTCATATGTCAACGATGCCCTCCGGCCCCCCGAAGCAAAACGGGAATCAATCTCCCTGGCAAGAAACAAATCCGTTTGTCGATGATGCCCCTGTATGTGTGGCGACACTAATATACGCTGTCAGTGACACTATCCGTGGAAACTCGTCCCTCAACTCACGCGCAATAAGTGCCAGAGGTGTCGAAGATGACCCGATCGGCGCCAGGAGAACCGCCAGTGTAGACACCGCTCGTCAAGATCGGGAACTGAATAAGGAACTGAGCCGTGGGTCTAGGACGGGTTAAAGGCAATGCCTACCTCTTCCCAAGACGAACCGGAGCAGTAAAGCTTCAGTCCTTCGTCGTTGCGGAAAGTGTGGGGATAGTCGTTCGAGCCTGGACGATACCGTCAGTCACCGGTGCTGAACAAGACTTCCTTATAGTCGCGGATGACCTACCGACTTCAGTGCCGGCTTTGTAGTCCTTGTATCCCTGGGATACCGCCGATGACACCTGGCTGACGCTATACTTGTGGCTTCCGCAAGTGACAGTGCCGGACGGTAGCGCCCGGCGCTGAGGGAGCGCCGATACAACACCGCTGACGACAAGCATCCCGATCGCGATGGAGCTGAACATCGTTGAAACAATCGGGATCGCTTGCCTGAGGACGACGAAGGACAGCGTATCGACCTCATCGTATGTCGATTTTATACAATTCAGCGAGGAGTGTCCGACATCGAATTGGACGCCTTCGCAACATTTCTTGGCGTAGGCGACAGACGCTCGATAGAGAGCCTTGCAAGGTGTGGTTTGCAGGCGTTGAACGCTTATCGTGCATACGTTCCTCAGCTTCTCCGAGGAATGCCTTATGGGATCTTGGGAGATATGTTGCATCGAAGCACCGCGATGATACAATGTTCGGCTTTCCACATGGTTGATCAATGATTTCAGACAGCGAAGTGCATTCGAACTCTGAAGAGAGTTGGTTTCTTTGATATAATGCACGTGGAAACAGCATTCTCCGGCTCCGGATGTTCAGAATGTAGTGTATTGTTTAGATAAGTACCAGCACCCATCGTAGTGCCTTCATATGGACAAAGACAAGGCTTTGCGTGGCTAATGACGCGTTGAGCAATACTACGTACGTGAGAATGCATGGCCTCGAGGCCTTGGGTTCGTTATCAACATCTGGCATGGTGACGTCTCCGACGGCAAAGAGCCTGGGTGCTGAGAGCAACGGCTATGAAACTGAGGAAAGAGGAGATTGTAACCATTTGGAAATCTGGATGAACGTCTCCGACCTCTCTGGCTCGTGCCACTCGAAACACGCATAGTCGTGGACGCCGTCTGGCGCTTCGGAATACGTTACCGCGTTGCCCAAATCCCCGACCATGCGGTCTTTAAGCGTCCGAATCTGGTCGAGGAGCACCTCAGCGCCTCCCGCGGCGATGAACGTCCTCGGAAATCCAGAAAAAAGCCCTTTGTTATCCGGCCCCAACGGGTTGAGGTTCAACGAGGCAGGTGATATATACCGATTCGCGTCGAGCCAACTGGGATCATGCGGCCCAATGAAAGCCCGGACGGGATAGAATAGTCTGTCCGGTGGGGTGTCATGCATGCTGAGATAGTCAGAGTTGGCGTTCTTGAACGTGCTGGACTCCGGACTGTGGTGGGACTTGCTCAGGTCGCACCAGGGCGACATGAGGATAAGCGCGCCAGGAGGGGCAGGTACGCTCGCGTGGGTCCGATTCTCAATCAGGTAGCGGGAAAGCGCGAGAGCCAAATTTCCCCCGGCGGAGTCGCCCTCCACGATGATATCTTCGGGTTTGAGTCCCACGACGTTGATAAGATAGTTGTAACCGGAGACGGCATCGACCTGGCGTCGTGTAAGCAAGAGGGAGGGCATGATTGAATGGGCCTCACCAACGCAGTCGGGAACGGATGAGCAGGATCATATGGGGGGCCGACGGATAACCGATATTCAAGAGAGAAAACGCGTCGCACATGATCACAATGCTGAAGTAGTCCCTTCGCGATATTGGCAGTCGGATCCGCTGGATTCGCTGACCTGATGCGATCTCTATCAAAACCCAGGGTTATGAAGAACGCAGCGGCGTACGTACAGGGAAACGTATGCCCCGCCATGAAGGGCATAAACGACCTTCTCGCCCGGAGCAGGAGGCTCTCCAGGCTTGGTGTCCGATCCACTCTTGTCCAACCAATATCCAGGAAGGCGGATGGGCTCGATTTGTGCGACATCGGCCCATTCCTTGACTTCCCCCACGATAAGTTCGGGGGCGGGTTCTACCCAGATACCCTTGACTCCGATCCCTGACACGATAGCGAGATGGTCTGGAGTTTTTCCCAGTTTACCGACCCTGGGAAGAGGTTAGCGTGCTGAACTTTCAAGCCGATATGATATTTGGAGATCTTCCTTACTTGTTACCAACATGGAAAAGGTGTCTCCACAGGCGTATGTAGATGCAACGCGTGATAGACCATGATGGCCGAGGCCGCCATTTCGGATAGAGGGAAATGAGTGCCCATGTCGGTACGCGAAATAGGAGGGTAGTGAACAGTTGATAGAACAGGAATATCCCTTTCAGCGGCTGACGCCGGTATTCAGGCATACTTGGTGCTGAAGGTAGACCGACGTAGCGTGACGGTCAGTGGAGAGAGAACGGGGCAGCGTGCGGTTCATTTCAACCCGAACCGGTGGGGAAATCATGTGGAACTTCTCAGCGAGAGTTATGTTTGACTTAGGGAAGAACGGGCAACAGCTGCAGATGGGAGGGCCACCAAATGGGACTCCGACATGCTCCGCTACAATCTTAATTATTGACGCGACTCGCCAGGACGCGTTCCCGGCTTGTCCTTCTTGACACGCGTGTCTTCACCATGGTAGGCTCCAAGTCGCTGCTACGCGTCGAAATACGCTAACACTTGCTATCAAGTCTCAACAAACACCAAGAAGAGCCAAACGCCAGAGATCGGCATCGCCCAGATCGTCCCCGCCCGCTGCGGCGCGCCCCAGCACGACGCGACGCGACTCCTCGTCGTCGCTGCCGCCATCCTCCCCGCCGCCGCCATTCTCCGAAGATACGGACGATAGTCTGGACGAGCGTGACCCTGTGCGAGACGTGGACGATGAGGTCGATGAGGATGAGGAAGACGGTGAAGATTTATTCGGCCAGAATCTCGACGAGTGCGCATCAACCTGAAACATGGCGTCCACCATTGACCTTGATATGCCGCAGGGACTACGCTACCAACGAGCTTTTGGACCGCTACTCCGACGCCGATATCAACGATGAGGATGAGTTCGGCGAGATGTCAGCGGCGCAACGTCGTGCGGCCGAACAAGAGATGGCGAGGAGAGACCGCCGCGAACGCTCAGGCAGGCGCGGCGGACGTGCCGCTGCTCGGAGTCGCATGCCGCAATTCCTGGAAAGCGATGATGCCGAAGATGAAGGTGATCTGGGTGGAGGCTTGTTGGCCGGCATGAAAAGACGAACCAGGCGACAGTACGATGAGCGGAGGGATATCGATGACATGGATGGCATAGAAGACGTAAGTGATACCGATTTGACGTTATGTCCAGATGCTGATGCGTCCCGCTCGCAGGAAATCCCTCTGGAACAACTAGGAGATATCAAGGCCAAGTCTATAGTCGAATGGATCGCGAATGAGCGCGTCCGCCGATCCATCATGAAGCATTTTCGACAGTTTCTCATGACTTATGTGGACGAAAGCGGCGCCTCCGTCTACGGTCAGAGAATACGAAACCTTGGCGAAAGTATGTAGGCACTGTGGGAGGCAACAACGGCTAACTGACGTCTCTGTAGACAACTCGGAGTCACTCGAGGTGTCATACCTCCACCTCGCAGTCTCAAAGCCCATCCTCGCGTACTTCTTAACGAATTCACCTACCGCCATGCTGGCTATACTAGACGAGGTTGCTCTCAACGCCATTCTCGTCTATTATCCGTCATACGAGCGCATTCACTCTGAAGTGCATGTTCGGATTACTGACCTTCCTCTAAGCACCTCTCTCCGCGACCTTCGGCGTTCGAACCTGAACAATCTCGTTCGAGTGAACGGCGTCGTGACGAGGCGAACAGGGGTATTCCCGCAGTTGAAGTATGTTCGGTTCGACTGCCGCAAGTGCGGTGCCGTCCTGGGTCCGTTCTACCAAGATGCAACGAAGGAGGTTAGAATCAGCTACTGCGCGAACTGCGAGAGCAAGGGCCCCTTTTCCGTCAATTCAGAACAGGTATGCTACTTGAATAGGCTCAAGATATTGGCTTAATCGGCATCGATAGACCGTGTACAGGAACTACCAGAAGATGACACTTCAAGAATCTCCCGGGTCTGTTCCTGCAGGCCGTCTTCCGAGACACCGAGAAGTAATCCTGCTATGGGACCTGATAGACTCAGCTAAGCCGGGAGAGGAGATTGTTGGTTGCATTACTCTTGCGATGCGATGAACATTACTCTGATGCCACCTCAACAGGAAGTAACGGGCGTGTACCGGAACAATTTTGACGCTTCGTTGAACTCGAAAAACGGCTTCCCGGTGTTCTCGACCATCATAGAGGCGAACCATATCAACAAGAAGGAAGACCAGTTCGCTGCCTTCCGTCTCACTGAAGAGGACGAGAAGGAAATCCGTGCCCTCGCTCGCGATGATCGTATTCGGAAGCGTATCATCAAATCGATCGCTCCCTCGATCTATGGACACGAGGATATCAAGACGGCTATCGCGCTATCTCTCTTCGGTGGCGTTCCCAAAGACATCAACCGGAAGCTGAGAATTCGTGGCGATATCAACGTGCTCTTGCTCGGTGACCCCGGTACTGCCAAGTCCCAGTTCCTCAAGTACGTGGAGAAGACAGCCCATCGCTCCGTCTTTGCTACTGGCCAGGGTGCTTCTGCTGTGGGTCTCACGGCCAGCGTACGCAAAGACCCGGTTACTCAGGAATGGACACTCGAGGGTGGCGCGTTGGTGCTAGCCGACAAGGGTACATGCCTTATCGACGAGTTTGACAAGATGAACGACGCGGATCGGACGTCGATCCACGAAGCTATGGAACAGCAGTCGATCTCTATTGCGAAGGCCGGCATCGTCACTTCATTGCAGGCGCGCTGTGCTATCATCGCTGCTGCTAACCCTATCCGAGGGCGTTACAACCCGACGATACCCTTCCAACAGAATGTCGAGCTGACAGAGCCAATCTTGTCGCGCTTTGACGTGCTCTGCGTGGTCAAGGACACGGTGGACCCGGTCAAGGACGAGCTGCTTGCCCGATTCGTCGTCGGCAGCCATCTTCGTAGTCACCCGAAGTTTGAGAAGACCGAAGAGATGGATGTCGGTACCGTGCTTGACGCTGACGTAGGTCGTCGCTTGTCTATGTCGCATCGTCGCTGACAATCGCACAACGTAGTTGATCCCGCAAGACCTCCTTCGCAAATACATCATGTACGCTCGCGAGAAGGTCCGACCCAAGTTGTTTGAACTTGACCAAGAAAAGCTTTCGCGTCTTTTTGCGGACCTTCGTCGGGAATCGATGGCGACTAACTCGTACCCCATAACGGTCCGCCACCTGGAGAGCATGATTCGCATGGCGGAAGCGAGCGCCAAGATGGCCTTGAGAGAGTACGTCCGTGCAGATGATATCGACGTCGCGATTTCGGTCGCCGTCGGCAGTTTCGTCAGCACTCAGAAGATGTCAATCAAGAAAACCTTGGAGCGGGTACGTTCATGTCCGATAGAGCGCGACTGCATTTGTAACCTTTCACGTAGGGCTTCCGCAAGTATCTCACGCAGGCAAGGGACCACGAGGAGCTGCTTGCCTTCCTCCTCGGACAGATTGTCAAGGAGAAGGCTCGTCTATATCAACTACAACGATACGAGCAACCCGAGCTCGTCACTGTTAAGGTTCCGGAGCTCGACGAACGAGTCAGTGACATTCCGTTATCGCATCTAGTTTATCCGTGCTGAGTACGCAACAGGCTAAGGAACACGACATTTACGATACTGCCCCTTTCTTGCGATCGAAGCTCTTCGCCACCAACGGGTACAAGTTAAATGATGGCATCATCGAAAAGAGGTTCCGCCGCACTGAGGACGATTCGTGATACCCGGAAGTTTGACGTAGCGTCTACTCCATTATATGCGTATGTAGCACGACCGATTCAGGGCTTGGATGTTGTTGTTTGTTATCTGGCAATGAGTATCATATTCTCAAACTCAGGGGATCGCATCGTGGAATGATCACGAATGCTATTTGCAAGTCATCGCTGGGCTGACGTTACAAGGTTGTAACGCAGGATAACGGCGCATCACTCATGGCGCTTCTCCACCATGTCCTCCGAGCGTACTGATTGCCCACCGGGACTGCGTTGAGCTGCCGAATGATTGAGCCCCTCTCCCTCTTCGACGCCGGCAAGGCCGTCGGCGCGCCAGTCCATCAAGTAGAAGTAACAGGCAGGCAATCCAACCAACAACGCGCCGACGATGTTACCCAGATATGCGGCGATCAACGACCTAGCGACGACGTTGTCTCAGCAAAGGCTCCGTTCACTGCTCGAATGATTCTTACTTGCGAATGTAACCGGCAACTGTGAGACCCTCCGCGTGGAACATGATACCCAAGGGAACCGAGAACATGTTGGCAACAACTATTCATCCCATGAGTGGCTTGGTCAAACGCACTTCCCTAGGGACAAATTTACCGTGATCAAATCCGCATGCAACGAAAATCTGTAGCAGCAATTGATCGTGGTGGTAATCAAGAATATGACTGGGGATACGCACCCAGATTGGTATCCAGATGGCGAATATCTTTGAGATAGTATCACGGGCGCCGGCTGCTTGCTGTCCGGACCATTCAACGTTACCACCATGACGAAGCCTAATTTGAGGTACTCACCCATACAGCAACGCAGACGAGCCAATTGCAGCCGATACCACGAAGGAAGATTTGATGCCACGCAGGTTCTACTGCTTTATGACTAGAAGCAGTTCATGATCAGCATGCCTCGTATAACACGAGCCCATACATAGCAAAGCTCCGAATATAGGCTTCGTAAGGGGCCGTGGAGATAATACCAGTGGCTGACAGAAAAAGGTTCATATCAGCGGTGATGGAAGCGAGGTTTTGGTTGAGAACGCACCTCTAACAAGTACGCCAGCAACGAATAAACTGCCGCAAAGGTTCCCAAATGTAACTATAGTATAGTCCTCGTCAAGACTAGCACAGAATTCGCCAACATCCTGCAAACCGATAATCCAGTTCACTGGGAGGCTCCACCATGGAATGGCACGCTTCACGAGAGCCATCGGGAATATCTTTGAGGGCATCCAGCATCAGTTTGGTGTTGGGGGATATTATACCACAAAATTCACCATCATATTGCTCGTTAGGAGCTCCTGGCCTTGGAGTACAATCCTTCCCGCCATGATGAGTATCATGCAGATATGATCACCAAGCATGATCCCTACATCACCAAACCAACAGGAAAGACGAATCCGCTCAAGACCTTTGCTAGACCCGGATTGGACGCCGTAAGACCAGTCGCGCCACCTCCCGTAACTTCTGACAATAAACCACCGAACGACAGCATTACGCCAGCAGCAAACTATACGGGTACAATTTTTCGGGAATAAGGCTCTTAGCACCATTGACAAGTTGAGTGACGCCTCACCGCCTTGAGGAAAACCGTTTCTAGGCGGGTTCTATGCTTCGCGATGCCATGTTCGATAAACGCGGCTGCTACCTCACCGGGTTTGAGCGTGCTGGGGAGATCCATAGTGGGTTGAACGACGGCCGGAGAGCAGGGCGGTGGCAAAAGGCGGGCCAGCAGGCTACGGCACGAGGCGCGGTGGATTCTTAAGTAACAGCCCAAACTCCCAGAGCCCCGCGGAACTCTGCCAGGCGGTCGTCTATTTGCATCCGCTTCTCCGCACCCCACGGGGAAAGCGCGGCTTCGCGGTGGGGTCGGCCAATAGTGTTGATGCTATACTTGCCACGAACCTGATATCCCCCTGCTTGTTCTCACACGTGATATATCGCCGCAGTTCCCCCAGAGGGAAAGCGCTATTGATAAGTTAGGTGGTCCATGGACATGATGCTAACAACCTCGTTCTGTAGAAACAATTACCACGAAGCCCTCGCACCCGTATTCACGCCGATCAACTGGCACGAAATATTCTCACCGGCCGGCTTCGGTTGACGACCCGTCGAGAGCTGAGGAGAAATTGCATCGGCTCTCTTGCGTGTTGGGATACCCGTGTGCACAGAAGGTTGGCGGAGCGACTCTGTTCAGACTTGAGCCCAACCGCGTTAATGAAGTTGACAAATCGCAGAGAAAACGGTGGTAGAGCCTTTTCAGGAGTATAACAGATTTGGAAGCGTGAGGGGCAGCTCCAGTGACTGGACGCAGCGTGGAGAAGGCGCCAGCAGAAGAACCACGAGGTGATGAGGCGAGACGAAAATGTAAATCCACCGTCAAGGTTAAGCGCTATAAGCGCCCAAGGGCCAGCAAGCGCCCCAAGCGGCCAAGCCCGTGATGTTGCATCGCCACATCAGGTGACAATGCTGTCAGTGCCGTGAGTCGGACTCGGAGTGTCAGTCTGAGTTGACAGCTGAGGGCGTCGCGTTCGTATCTAGCGCTTGCCTCTGACTTTCATCCGCTAGGCAACCTTCTACACCCAGCTGATGGACCCAGGATCAAACTCCACGGGCGGCAGGAATGAAGAAGAGCTACGCTATGAGAAACGCGCGAAACTGCGAGATCTCAATCTCTCGCCACCAGGTCCATCCACTTCTTCTGCGTGTCTCATGCATAGGGCGCTCAGAATGCCACAGAACCGCCGAAGAATCTGGACTCCTCCTTGAAGCGGCATACGGCTCTAATGAAGCGTATACGTCTCTCTATAGGAACCGACAATCGCGATCAAGTCCTTAAGGACATTGAATCCTTGTCGCTCGAGAAGTATGTGGATGAAATTCCAGGGGCGATCATGGAGGGTATATCTCGATGCAAGACGGAGAAGGATGTTTGGAGCGCAGTCGAGGTATGTGACTGCACCAAATAGTATCTTCCCATTTCTCATCTAACTCCATATAGATAATATCGGCCATGCACAGGCGTTTCCCGACCATGTTCACGCCCTCGATCCTCTCTGCTCTTTCTGCGGCGCTGGCACCCCCAAACCGCGCGACTATGACTTCACTTCTGCCTGAACAACGAGAGAAAGACGATGCAGCACGCATTTCAAAGCAACGACCCGTGCTGCGCGTCTGCTCTGAACTCGCGCTCGTCGGCATCATAAAGAGCGCTGAGTGGATCATGAAGGCTATCAAGGAATTGGTGTGTTTTTACACGCATACGTGGAGGACACCGACGACTGATGTCATATACAGCTGTCGAATGATCCTACATTGTCTTCTCTCCCATTGCTCACTACCTTCCTGAAATCTTATTCCCGACCATATCTTGGGATAGTCCCTCCAGCCAATGTAGCCAAGCAGATTTCCTCGGCTTCAGAGCCAGGCACCATGTCGGCAGAGAGCAGTAATGGTGACGCCGCGGGTGCATTCCCGACGCTGTTCAACGAGGAACGCGAACTAGTGAGCAAGGATGTTCGCGATAGATTCAAGCGTATGTGTGAAGGCTACTTCGAGAACGTGTCCAAAAAGTTGGTCATTGAGCACAAGGTAGGCAAGGGGCTATGACGAGCTTGCAAACCAGAACATCTGATTTTCTCCCCTCTTACAGCGACTTCAAGAGCAAGACCGTCGGAATCACGAAGCCTATATTCGATCCGGTGAGATATTTGAGGATCGGCAACAGGCGTACGAGAAGATGACCAGAAGCTACGAAAAGCTTCTCGCGAGCTGCCAAACGTTAGTTTCCATTTCAGAATCCGGTGAGTCGAATATATAACAACGCTGCCGTTTTCTAGTTTATCCGAATCGCTCTACTTGCCTATGCCCGAGCTACCGACGGCGTCACAGAAAGCCGACTCTATCCTTATCGGTTCCAACACGAACTCACTTATAGGTGGCGATGGCGAGGAGGTGATCATGCCTGCGGGAGCAAAGTGGGAGGACGAGGAAGAACGACGGTTCTTTGAAGATATTCAGGACCTCAAGGACTTCGTACCTCGCGGAGTTCTTGGCATTGAAGAGGACGTCGAGGTTTCACACACCGATGAAGAGAAGGAGAAAAGCGATAAAGCGAGGATGGAAGAGGAAGCTCGAAAGATAGATGAAGAGCTGGAGGTTCTTGGTCGGCGTGAGAATGAGCAGAATGGAGTCCCCCTAACGAGCGCGGATGCTGAGGCGGAACCTCACATCAACGGCGCTGAGGAGTACGCAGATGATGAAGAGTTAGTTGTCCGAATCCTCTCTTGGTTTCCTACCTTTATCTCAAGCTCGTATGTGAAGTGCCTCTACTCTTGTACCCGGGACCCCGAAGACAGCATCTCCACCTGGGACGCCACAGCTGGCCCCGCAAGGACCGTCGCAGCTTCTCACCGCTCTGCTGGCCCGTCTACCGGATTGCACCAATCGGGCTATGATTGACCAAGCTGCGATTGACTTCGCGTTTTTAAACTCGAAGGCTGCCAGGAAGAGACTTGTCAGGGTAAGGGACCTTCCAAGAGGATACCGAACTCAACTCACCCCGCTGCAGTTCCTCAGCCAAACCCCAAAGAATAGGATAGACCTCCTGCCGCACTACTCAAGGTTGGTCGCAACGCTACATAAATATATGCCTGATCTGGGTTCTGAAGTCGTGGCCGTCGTACGTATATCTTCAGCTCCAGACCTGGTTCGTTTCTCATCACAATCGCACCCTTATCAAATTAGCTCGATGAAGAATTTCGCTACTTGCAGCGCAAGAAGAAGGTCGTAAAGGAGCTTGCTGAAGTCAGACTCAAGAACATTACATTCATCTCGAATTTGACGAAGTTTCGAGTGGTACCGCCACATGTCATCCTTCATATGTTCAAAGTTTGCTTGGACGACTTTTCGGGCACCAACGTGGACAACCTTGCGTTACTCCTCGAAGGTTGCGGCCGATTTTTGCTCAGAAGCGATGACACACGAGAACGTTTTGCCAAGATGGTGATTGGCGCTTATGTTGACTGCCAACTCCGGTGCTCGCACTGACTTGTCATCCAGCTTGAGCTTATGCGGCGCAAGCAAAGCATGCAGCATTTCGATCAGCGCCAAATCATGATGCTTGAAAATGCGTATTATCAGGTGGGTCCCGCAAGTCCTCGCAGGTACTCCTCGCAACTCATTTCGAGCTTAGTGCAATCCCCCTGAGCGTGCGCCTCGCGAAATGAAGCAACGGACACCCATGGAATTGTTCATCCGGCATCTCATCTATGATGTCCTGGCAAAGAAAACAATCGACAAGGTGCTCAAGCTCATCCGCAAACTCGATTGGGACGATGCCTCGGTAGCCCGTACACTCCACAAGGTATTCACTAAGCCATGGAAGATCAAGTACTCGAATATCAGTCTCCTCGCAATGCTTACTTACGACTTACAACGATATCACCCTGCGTTCACCGTCGCCGTAGTAGATCAAGTACTCGAAGATATCAGGATAGGTCTGGAGCACAATGTCTACAACACAAATCAACGCCGCTTAGCAACTATGAAGTATCTTGGCGAACTGTACATCTATCGTCTCTTCGGCTCGGGAATCATATTCGACACGCTGTGGTCGTTAGTCACATTCGGTCATCGTAAGCCTCCCTCGTTCGCCATCGTGGTGATATGCTGAGAAATAGCAGCGGAGAACCGGCCTTTGCCCAAACAACCTTGCGCGCTGGACATGCCAGACGACTTCTTCCGGATAAGGCTGGTTTGTGTACTCCTGGACACGTGTGGGATGTGCTTCGACAACGGATCACAGCGCAAGAAGCTGGACAATTTCCTCGTTTTCTTCAACGTAAGTGCATCGATGCATTGAGACGTTTTGTCAGCGTCGTATTGATGACAGTATGATTAGTATTATGTTTTATGCAAGGATCCTATCCCCATGGATGTGGAGTTCATGCTTTCAGATTCGTTGGAGGCTGTACGACCCAAGCTCGTTATACCCAAATCGATTGAAGAAGCTGCCAATGCCGTGGATGACATGCTTAATGCGGCCTTGCAAACCGCCGGCAGTACGTCGCATGGCTCGCCATATCCACAGTTGTTCTGAACGTACCTCCTTTACAGTCACTGCTGGCGACGACTCCGATGACGACAGCGGTAACGAGCAAGAGGACGGCGAGGGACGGCCAGATGTCGAAGACGATGAGGAGGCGGATGGAGATGGCGCTGATTCTCCGGTAAGTAGGGCGCACCAACCACGGAAGGCGTATTCTAAAGCGACACGCAGGTCGAGGACAGAGCTCCATCCCCTGACGAAGTCGTCGTGTTGACGTCGCAAAGTAATGAGAACCTTGGACCCTCTGAGGACGACATGACGGAGTTTGAAAGGGAGTTTGCCAAGATGATCACAGACTCCACCGAGTCTCGCAAGGTCGACAAGAAGACAGCACTTGCGCTGTGGGACGCTACCGTCTTGCCAGCACCCAAGAAAAAACGAGCAGATGAAGATGAGGAAGATGCAGTTGAGCACCACGGCGAAGCCTCGCGCGACGTGATGAATTTCACCCTAGTGACGAAACGTGGCAACAAGCAGCAGGTTAGTTCTTTTTTCTGACGTTCCGTGGTGCTCGGCGCTCAACATGTTCATGCGAAGGTTCGGCCGTTGGCTATCCCTGCTGCATCCGCGCTGGCAGCGCATACACGGGACGCTCAGCAACGGGACAGAGAGGAACAACAACACCTCAAACAACTTGTTCTTAATTATGAACAACGCGAGGAGGCAGAGGAGTTGAAAGGTATGATTGTCAGCTCGCTGTTTGGATCAACTTTTGCTCATTTCGTGCAGCTCTTGAAACTCGCAATCGGTACGCTGCTGTGAAGGTCCGATACGTTGGCTAGCACCCGCTGCCTGTTCGCACTTCAAGATCATCCTGCCTATCTGCACACCCGATGTCACGGCATTCAGGCTCGGCCTTGGGTCGCAAGCTGGCCCGACACAACGCTCGACGCCTATGGCTGGCAGCAGCTCTTGCTGCCACCAAATACTTCAGCGGTGCCCGTCAAGACAGTGCAAATCGTCTCCTGATGCAGTACCGAAGACTACTCTAAGGCTGGCGTCTCCCTTTGCGAGAATGGACGCTCCAGCAGCGATGGGAACTGATGGTCATAATGCATCGACTATATCCACACGCGATCCAGACTGTATAGAAAACTTGATGCTATGGATTTCCGTAGACCTAATGTGCATCATACATGTGCCTTCTGCAGCTCTCGTACATATCGGAATGTCACAGGAAGGCGAGGTCGCGTCGTGTCACACATTTACCGTCACATACGCGTCTTTATCCTACGACCTTCATTGAGAGCCTGCACCAGCCCTTCCTATACTCCGCATTGTATGCATGCAAGACTCTGACGATTACTTTGGCGACGATCTCGAACTTGATGCTACTGCCCTCGCGATAATCGATGCGGAAGAAACTAAATATGCGGCCACCCAGGCCTCGTCATTAGCAGGCACCAGGCCGGCCCCCTCGGGAAACTCTCCGCCTCCAAAGCGGCAGCGCATTGGGCAGGGATATGCGGCAAAGTCAGCTATGAGACGTGAACCATCAATTGATGACTATGAGGACTTGCCGGATATTACTGTCGAAAGGAATGGGTCATATAGCTTATTCAATACAGCAGGTGCAGCAGCACCTATACCCAAGCCTGTAACTGCTTCCTCCACAGCAAATACCCGGAATCCTACCATCGCAGTCAAACATACTACTCGCGACAACGCCATAACACGACCAGGCTTAGGCTTACCCCCCGGGAGGCAATCCTCCTCTTCCCCTAGGCCCATCCCCTCCCGCACCTTTTCTCATCCTTCTGCAAATCAGACATCCTCTCGCCAGCCTTTTGAAATCGGCGCCTTTCAACAGAGACCCTCACATCTTGCGCGCACTCCGGTCGTTCTGACGGCCATTCCAGGACCTCGGGTGCAGGATGATGCGCTCAACGCTGAGCTCGCCAAGCTCAAAGCGAGGATGGATGAAGTGAATGCCATTGGAATCGAGAGTTACATGCGTCTGATCGGCAATCTTAGCTCAGCCGCATCAATGAGGAGACTCAGAAAGCGCTTCGTGAAGCTCAACAAGCTCGTTACGCCAAAGAAGGGGAAGTGACGATCTTGCGCAAAACGATTGAGAAGGTAGGCAACGAGCACCTCGAACGTACGCATCGTGTAACCTTGTTCATCAGACAGCGCAAGAGCACGCCGCAGACCTCGCTAAACTCCGTTCAGCCAAAGAAGCCGCTGAAGCTCAACAGGTCGAGATACAAAAGAGCATGAAAGAAGAGATGGAGCGGCTTAAGACCCAATTTACGTTCAAGGCAAGGCATCTTGGTCACTTGACAGCACATCCTGATCTATCATCTTGTGCAGCAACATGAACTAGAAACGTCTGCGCGAAAACCACCCTGGTCAACACGATCAAAACGGATTGATCGTGGACAACCCTTGACCCCGATACTTGTAAGTTCGCAAATGCGAGCATGGAATCCAGGCCGAGCGGATGCTGGACGCAGCCCTGCGGCGATTCGTACTCCCACCCGTTCACGTATCAGGGTCACGTCACAGGATAGCCCAAAATCAGCTCAAGCCATGAAGCACGGACCGCCACCGCTGAGCGGCACCAAACAGATGCTGCCCGGTTTCGTCAACTCGTTCACCCAGAGCAAAGGGAAGGAGCCTGCCCCTCAATTGTTCGGCCGCAGTGATGGCAGTAGCGCGGAGGACCAGGCGGGATTCTTCAGTTCACATCCATCGCCTCCGAGCAGCCCAACTGATGGAAAGGGCCTTCCGGCAGGGCCTTTGGACGTTCATATGGATTCGGATGACATGGAGTACACCAATGACGGTGGTGATGGTCAGGACGCGGTCATGGGCACCGCTCCGACCCCGACTCCGGCAATTGGCGCCAGTCAGTCCGAAGGCCCACTGATAGAAGAGATCGAACCTCCTGATTGGGGGTATGAGGTGCGTTCGAGGGTGATCGCACCTTGTTATGTTTCTGAGGTTGCCTCCAACGATCAGCTCCAACGGATCATGTTCTCCCATCGGGCACGAGCGACGGCGACATTCACTCTTCAAGCACTCATTGGAGTACATCTGGGTGATGATGCGACCGATATCACGAAGGCAAGCCATCACCATGCTTGCGCCGCCATCCTCCGTGTGCTCGGAAGCGTCCCCTCGGATGAGTTGCTAGACGATATGCTGGTTGCTATCTCGGGCGCCTTATTGGATCTGGTCGAAATTCTTACTGCGGTGCACGCGGTACGTTCCTCTGTTTCGTTACCCGGTACACGCTTATGACCACCGCTCAGAGTCGCGCATTGGCCTCACTGTTCAACCTGTTAACCGTCCTCATATGCTCACTGCCTTCATTCATTTCTTCCTTACTGATGATCGGTGACGGTCTTCCAACCCCACGCGCATTGACCGTGCTATGTGAAGCAATCCGTTTTCACCTTGACCCCTCCAGAAGCTTTGATGCGTCTCACGAGGATCTGCTCAACGAGTTATTCATCGTCCTGGGCCTCATAACATTGTCCACCCCCGACCATTTGGAAAGCAGGTAACAAGGATCAATTTTTGCGTGGACTGCATTTACTGAGCCCTCAGTAGTTTGATGATATTTCCCCGTACCCCGGGCGTGCTTGATCTACTCCTCGACGATCGCCACCCTGATTGGGTTCTGCGTCACAACACGCAGCTGCTGGTAAACCTTGCTAGCCGTGAGCATGCTCCTATATTCGACAGTTGTACATCTAACATTGATCTTCAAGGTCCGCGATTGTTTCGCTACTTGCTATCATTCCCCGGGGCCGACGCTGGGGATGCAGGGACTCCAACGGACTTTAGCCAATTACCGCATATTGAACGCATGTGTGCTTACCTGACCGACAGCTCCCGACGTGGAGACATGGTAAAATGAAACCATGCACTGCACCATGCTCGAGATGTACTCATCGCACTCGACAGATGGCCGCGACACGCTCATGTGTGCTAGAATTCCTGGCCTTGCTATCCGTGGCCCACGAGGATGCGCGAACCATACTGTTGCAGTCGCACGCGCTCATCCCCTCGATCATCGTCTTTCTTACGTTACTCGCATCGATGATATGGGAGGAGCAGGAAGATATGATACTCAACTCGACCGTGGCCCAATCGTCAGTCATAGCGCTTGAAGACGGTATCAAACACTAACTCTGGATGCAGAACGGCCCGTATGTTGGTCCAGGCACTCAACTTGCTGCACTATTTGGTGTTCGCGTCCGACCCCGCGTTTGACCTCCGACAGAAGTTGATTCAAGCGGCGCAGCTGCGACCGTTCAATGGTTTGACACATATGTTCATCGTCACCTTGGGACGACTGAGTTATGCGGACTGCCCGGATTGGCTCGAAGGGGACGAGTTGGAACAAGGCGCAGGTAAGCTGTCAAACTTGGGGAGTCTTTTCCTAGGTGACTCGATCATATACACAGAAACCGCTCGGGAATTGCTTGATTTGGTGGTCGAAGGTCCCGAACTGGACAGTGTCTGGGCCGCATTTCAACCGGGTGATGAAGACGAAAGCTTCATTGACGACGAAGAGCAGGAGGCACGTATGTTGGAGGCTAACGAGATCTGACCACTTGTGCATATATCATAAGGTCTTGTTCATAAGAGGGGCTTTGACCGTATTACAGACATTTGCATATGTAACTGATGCTACCATCACGGCAACAAGTCTTCGCTCCATGTTTCGAAGCTCTGCCTGCTGTACTTACGCATCCCTTCCTCTTCATCCACCCCCTGCATATTCAGCTCGCGCCGAATTCGCTCACGCGTGCTCCGGCTTGGCCCCGCGAGCGGGATATATCCCGCTCGCGGGGCCAAGCCGGATATATGCGCGCTTCCCCCACTATGAGCCCCAGAATGGGTTGCTACCACCCACATGATGGGGGATATCGACCATTCACCCACGGACTGGTCGATATGTGGTTGATTGAGGCCATGTAGGTGATTGCCTTGGATCACTCATGGTATGGTCTATTGTATACAATCACCCACTGTATCCCTAAATACTAATGTCGGCCAAAGTCAATGGTTGATTTTCACCCACTGTACCAGTGGGTTGTGCCAGTGCTGACTGCACAACAGCGGCAACGCGACTCGCGCCGGCCGGCCCAGCGAAGGACGGCATTTCCCCCCGCGCACTCTTCCTCAATCTCTCAGATCAAGGGTTTACGATAAGTATACAATCGTTGTTCTGTCAGCCTGTCTCTCAATGCTAAGTTCGTCATAGACTATCATGAGGACCCGCAAACTGATGGCCAAAGCAGTACACAGAGCAAGGTACGTTGATATCAGGAATCTACCATGCTCTCCAGCATATGTACGGAAGCTCGCCATCAATATTTACTGTCGCCTGTCTGTATCCCCGTGCATGCGGCGATGTATCCAACCCGGTCGTGGACTGTCTCTACCCGGGGTGCCATGTTCGTCCATGTATCGATCAAAGGCGACGAGGGCCTCGTCGCGGGCTTCTCTTCTGCCTTGTTGGTATCCGTCGTCGAAGCCCTCACGCCTGCCGACTTGCCTCCCGTCTTCGAATCCGTCTATCCGACCCGCCTGGAATCCCTGCTCGCGACCCTCTTCGAACCCGTTCTCGTGACCTTCCTCAAACGCCTCGGCGTGAGCCGCATCCCAGCCCTCTCGCCTCCCATTCTCATACTCTGTCTGCAATGCGATTCGCCGTCCTTCTTCCTTGGCGTCATCTTTGGCTTGCCAATCTTTCAGAGCGGTCTCGTGTTTCCTTGCCGCTTCCCGGGCTCTCGACGCAGCCTCCTGGGCCTCTTCCTTCTGTCTTTCCAACACTCGCGCCTTTTCCTGGGCCTGCCGAAGTTCATGGTGTAAACCCTCAGCCTGCATGCGAAGCGCGTGTAGCTCTTGTTCCAGGTGCCGATCCCCGAGCGTCGCGGTCTCCGTCGCGAGTGCACGAGCCTCCGCCTCCGCAGCTCTGCGCTCCGCCAACTCCGCGCGAGAAATAGCCTGTTGGCCTCGCCGCATCTCCAGTTCCAGTCGATCAAGCGCGTTCTTTAGGACGGCATCTCGACGCCGCTGGTGGCGGTCCTCCTCAGTGAACACCTGGCTGATGAATGAAGCCGCTGAGTTCTTCCTCTTGACCTCCCGGTGGTCATCGAGGTACTCCTTGCTCGGATTGCGCTCGCGGGATCCGCTTGAAGTGTTGCGTCGCGGCTTCCTTTCGGAAAGGATGTCCACCACTAACGCTTATTTAGCGCCTTCTTCAACGAACATCGTCGCCCGAGTTCTCACCCTTTGCGTCCTGGAGCAGCTCTGTAAAAGGCGTCGGCGCTGAGGTCGCTTCGCGAAAGCGCTTAACGATGTCTGAAATGCTGACACACAGATGAGCCCGGTGAGTTGTGAGTTCGGCCCTGAATCCATGCAGCGTACCGATCTGTAGTATTAGCTCCCCTAGAACGGCTTGAGCTTCGGCTTGAGCTGGACATCGTTACGAGGAGAATGGATAGGGAAGAACGAGAAAGAGGGTGTGCGTGCTGCGCTTTCCTCAATCACAGCGCGAGTTCATGCTCGCATGCATGGTCCTAAAATACTCTTTGTGTTACTTTGTTACCTAACTGACGAGGTACCTTCACATTTGGGAGCGACATGCAAAGAGTTGGTCTGCAGGAAGCGGGCGGGCTCCACGTGTCTGCAGCCTGGAAGAAACGTGAAAGACTACGATAACCTTTCAGAGTTTCATGAGAACCGCCCCATCATACTAAGTATCGCGGCCGCCTTTGTCTACATCCTGTGCAAGAGCCGCTTAACTATCACCCCACACGCGACCCGTCATGAAAACGCCAGCTCTTCAGTCCCTGACACCAACACGCGATCTGTCGGGACTCTCGGTGCAATATGCGAGCGAAGCAGAATCTTCTCTCCCGAATGATGAGGATACAATAGATCATCCAAGCGCTTGATATACACCAATAATGAGAACACACATCCTAATAATCTCCATCCCAAGCTATCCCACTTGGTTCCATCAAGCTTTGCCGTACACTTGCTTCGCATTTCCGCCAAATACCGCGTCGATCGCTTCTTGTTCAACGCCGAGCTCCGCGAACGATTCCCGTGCGAGCTCGTACCAGTCGCCCGCACTCGACTGAGCGGTAGAGCCCGAGGCCGGGGAAGTTCCGAAGATGATTCGCTCGAAACCAAACGCCTCGAGGGCGGGCCCAACTGGAAATGATCCATCAGCAAGTATGGACAAACGACGGCACATGAAGGGCTCCTCACGGTACATCTTGATGCGGCGCTTCCATTCCTTCTTTTCCTTGCTATCCTGTGTGGCTTGTGGGTCTGCCGTCGGAGGAGGCGTGGGCGGCGTGGGCGCATCCCAGGAAGGCGGAAGGAACTTGACGTAGGCATTAGGGAACAGCGACAAAGCAGCGCATCGTGACTGATATGTGTTGTACGAAGGGTGCGTGAGTAGTTTGACGAGAGGTAATGTCAGGTCATGCGGTGGGGGAAGAACACTGCCTGTTTCACGAATCACCGAACATGCGATCAGCATTCGATCGGAAGCGGAGGAGGGCAAGTATGAACGTACAAAGAACAAGCTTGCTCGATGGGCCATCCTCTGTGGCTTTCGTGAGGTAATCCTCGAGAGCTTCCCAGCCGGCTTCGCCGTCCTTCAGATCCACGCTCACATCGATATCGACTGTTCGACCGGTCTTCAGCACCTCCTTCAGTGAGTTGACGCTGTCGGCTGTATTCTCCGTGAAGGCGACTGTGTATCCCACTGGGATCTGCGATTGGACAGATGCTGTCTCAGGAGTGTATGGGAGCAGATACGAGAGGACGGGAGGATCGGATGTCCCGGATCCTTGCAAGCTGCAGGATATCGGATTAGAAGCGGCTCGGATACGCATGGACAAAGCACGTACAACTGCAGAGCCTGGTCGACTTGCGCCTGGTCATTGCTCTTCAACGTGAGGACCACACCTCCCGATTGGCCGCCAAGGTGTTCTCCAGCACTCTGCTTCCATTGGGCGAGGTAGGTGGCAGGTACTGATACGTGGGCATCGATGATCACGTCCGGGTGGACCGTGCTCGGGCTGGGGGGCAACGGGAACTTATCGCTGGTTCCTGTGTTGGGTGGGCTGAACGCGGACAAGGGGAGTTTTGGGGGTGCTTTAGGCCCCTTTCGCCTCGCGGCGACGCCTGGCGACGGGGGGACGCGGGGGGTCTCGACGCTCATGATATGGAATCTGAAGAGATATGGCCGTTGTGTGCAAGAAACAGGATGACGATTCCGAGATGGGCCAGCGCGGTGGCACAGGTTTAAATACGGGCTGAGGCAGGGGAATGCATGAGCTGGATATCTGGTTCTTTGATCAAATCGTCAGATCAGATCTCTGCTCTGGTAGGCTAAGCAAGTTGCGTTCCCCGGATGCAGACTGCAGCGCACCGATGTTCGTTGGCTGTGTTACTGCCTTGATCATCCAACACGAGGACGACTTTGTGCTCGCTTCATCATGACCGTGCTCGCTTTGCCTGCCTACAGACTTAAAGATCTCTGGCAGGGCAAGGACTGAGACAACACTACTAGTTACTTGCCCCTCCCGCTCTGGCTAGTACTGAATTCCGGATGGTACTCGGGTGTGGCGCATCACATGAATTGGCATAGCCAGCCGTCGTCCTTGATCAGTTCCGTCAAGGCGGTGTTCCGTGCGTGAACACCACTCAAGTCGAAGGTGCTGTGCTGTGCTCCGCATGCCAATGCGGAATATCTCTGAAAGAGCCGGTTGCTGTCGCTACTGGCACTAGTCTCCGATGGGAGACAGGAAGCTTCGCCTGATCGAGCCCAGCATTATACATAACCATCGCCGAGAATCCCGTTCTCCTATTACCCCCCTACTTACAGCAACATGACATTATAATATCCATCGTTTACTCTTGTTATAACACGGTAGCAAGGCCGTGACGATGTTACCTGCAGAAGTGAGCACGCGTATTCGCCAGTGGCGATTCACAATCATGCTTCAAGGGTGGTTTTATTGATACCTTGGCACCTGTTCGTAGCGCATGTCTGACAGCTGTTTGCAGAGAGATAGACGCTGCGCGTTTCTCTCTCCATGATCAACGTGACCGTGGTAACTGCCGCATTAGGAAACTGAGCACACACCGCGCCCAATACTGCCCCAACAGTGCGCCTCCTCCGCTTCCGCTCTTTCACGATTGTTCACATTTTGAAACTCTGCTTAGCGAGCTTCCCGTTGCTCGATATGATGGCAACAATAGAGCCCGCTTGGGTTTACTCTCTTTATGTGGATCAATTTTTCACGAAACAGATTGCTGAGACTTGTTGGCTAAGGTCATCCATGAAAGCGAGCATATGTGATATGGAGTGCATTCCGATGATTTCCCGGTCTCGGCTTCGCAAATCTTCGATTTATAGACATGTATCGCAGCAGCTCTTTTGAGCAGGATGGATGTAACGACGGTTACCCACGTCGCTGTCGGCGTGCAGTACCGTGCACCATGTAGTCGAGCACGACACTGACCGCGACATTGATGACTAAACTCGTTCCTCTTTTGGAAGTCTCCACGACCACGTTGATTGTGGAGGGAGCGAGGCGCAGCGTCTATCTCTCTGCAAACAGCTGGAATGGCTTGCGAGTCAACAAGTCCATAGTTTCACGGTCCTGACCGGTCGTGAACGTTGAAAAAAAGGAAAACATCGACGAGATGAGGCTCGACTGTCACGTGTGTGAGGACCACGTGGCCCTGTTTTGCGGCTGATCTCAGAACTGGGCTTTGCGAGAGCCACTGGTGCACGATGGCCTCAGTACGGCCGTGACGTTGAAGTTGGCATATATCCACGCTTGATGATGTTCCGTTGCTAGCCTGGAAACATACCATCTGTGACGATACCCTAAGGTTCCGAATTGTCGCGTTCCTGCCAGTACCGAACTCCGAGCGACTCGACCACATCGTAAACCCAGACAAGTATGTCCAGTGCCCAGTTCGACAATGAAATCGGAAGGGGAAGAAAGAGCAAAGGTATTGGCAGTGCCAGTGACTCGTCGTGAGCACCTATTGGGGTTGTCGACCTTGTCCTTCTGGCTGATAAAACTATGCAGGAGTAGAGAGGGCAGCCCATCACAAGTTGTGGGTCAACACACTTTATGAGAAGCTAGATATGTGGCTGACTCGCTCTCATTCAGCGCGATAAGTTCTCGCCACCGTCAGACGACGACGCTGTTGTCGTCCCAGTCGATCCTGATACCACACCTCCACGTTCTCCTAATGCGCCCCTGTTGCGGCAGCCTCTCGGATTTTCCGCACAGGCGTCCAGCTTCTCTGTTCCTGTCAACACATATCAAGCTAAAATTCCGTCGAGCACGGCTTCGTTGGCATTTCTTCCTGGCCAAGCCCCTCGCTTTGCAGAGGTTCGAAATCCGCCTCCTCCATCGAAGGATTCTAGCACCGCCGACAAGAATTCAAAGAAGTCCAAGTCCAAGCGGTCTACGGCTCTTGACGACGACGAATTTCGTAAGAATTTTCATGTGTGGAAGTTGCCCGGTGGGGCAAAAACAACACGGGCTCAGACGCCCAGCGTTTCGGAAGATGCGCAACCTGGATCATATCAGGCCGCAGCCCGAGCACCGAGCTCTACCCCTCCTCGACCCTCTTCGACGCAGACCATCGACGAGTCAACACAGGCCGCAAATAATCAATCCTTGCCATCGGTCCCCCATTTTGGCGGGCCTGTTGCCTTGCCCTACCACGTACGCGGAGCGTCCTCGATGTCGCCTGCCCCAGACCCAGCGAAGTACAGTCTGAACATCGAGCCTTTGGGAGGCTCTACGTCCATGGGAGCTGGACCCCGCCGACAACAATCACATCACCCGTCTTCACGATCCCCCGCACCTTGGGATTTGGATCGTTCTTCGCCCTCAAAGCAACATGAGTGGACGGGAATACCGTCTACTTCGACTGCTGCGAGCACGTCTTCTCATACTAAAAGCAAAGCATCCCGCAAGCATTCGAGAAAGAAACGAGCAGACACGGCGCCGGTATCCCAGAACCATCTGGCGGCTCCGCGGCCGACTCGTCCGCAGGCTTCGTATGACTGGAGCACGGGCGCTACTCCGCAGAGGACCGACGCGATGGACACGGACGTTTACACCGGCGCAGCAGAACCAGCCTATGGGGGAACTCCTCCTCCTGATCTTCGTAGTCCCTCGCCGCTGCCGCCACCGTTGCCAAGTGTTTCGATGACCCACCTTGATCATAGTGCGTATAATTCTATAGACTTAACCCTTGCCGGTCGCCAAACGCCATCAGACCGTGTTCCTCAGTCCTATGTTCCGCCGCCGACGTCGCCGGCATACGTGTCGAGATCAAACACACACTTGCTTTCCGTCTACATCAACGACATGCGATCCCGGGATGAAGATCCACAGTTCGCAGAGTTCCCTTTGCCTTTACGGACGTCGCCGGACGGACATAGTTGGACAGTCGATGCTCAACACCTTTGCGATGCGTTACAGAACTCAGTTTCTCGGATAGACGGTAATCAGTTTAGAATTCAAAGGTTATTGGTTTTGATTATATATCAACACAGGGCCTGCCAAGGTTTATGTAAAGCATGAACAGAAGTACAAGAAGTACTTTCTACGCGTTTCTGCCAACCACGAGGACGAGACGTCCCCTATGTCCCTTGAAGTCAGGCCGGACAAATCGATAGAGATCTGTGTCGAATCGGTTAGCGAAGCAATATAGTTTGGGTGCTGAGTATGGACTAACCGCCGTCTGTAGGGACCCGCGAATGCACCAGTCAAACGATTGAGTGACCGTAATGCGGCACGCACCTTCCAGTCATCGTCGGTCAATTACCAGCATAAAACAAGCCGTTCAAACACCGTAGCCCCTACTGCACTGAGCCCCATTGTACCACAAAAGCGTGGATACTCTCCCGAGCCTCCTCCAAGCGGTCCCTCATACGGGCACTACGACTCCCGATCTCCTCCTTTCTATGGCACCAAGGGATCGGCTAAGTCGCCAACCTTCCCGCGGCATGATAGTCCCATGGACTGGGATGCAGGTACACCCGCTGAACCCTACCCAAAGAGAACTAGACATGATTATAGCAGCCCACGGCCTTCTTCTAGTACACGACACTCCGACCGAATTGACTCTGCACCACCAACGACGCCGACCCCGAACTACTACAGAGAGAGAACTGAATCCGTTCCCCCGACGACGCCGCATCGGCGTTATTACCGGGACAAGTATGGCCGCCCCCTCGAAGATCCGCCGCCGCGGTCTGAGAGCCCAGCTGGGCCGGCGCCCGTGCCAGCGACTCGAGCTGCGACTCGGGAAGAAGTGGACAGGATCATCGCAGAGCACATCAGGCTCTCAATCGAAGAGGATCCGGAGTGGTTAGAATGGTACCCTTCGGTCGCTAAACCGCAAAGCGTCCCGGTGGTACTGAAGCGGTATAGGTATGCGAAGAAGAAGATCGATTTCCACATGGACCTGGTCACGCCGGACGACCTGCAGGGCGCGCCGAAGGAGCGCATCCGTCCGGTCAGTCAAGGTGTAACGTCTTCGTTTGCCTAACCGACGTTGATCAATTCTCGCTGTAGGAGCACGTAGTCCAGGCGCTCGGTGTACCAGCCGAAGAAGTCAACAAGTGGACGAGGAACTGTCTTGATACCCTCAGGTTATTAGATCTCTACGGGGAGAAGGGGACGCGTCTACGAGACGCGCAAGTCATCCGAATGGCGCAAGAGGAGTACATGCCAGGTCAACCTGAACACAGTCGACCCATAAAGCGACTACTTAAGTACCTGAAAGACCTGGATGACCGCTGGACGACGGATCATCCGGAAGATGCGCCATCGAGGACTGGTAAGAGAAAGGAGAAGAAGTCAAAGGTTGACTATGGAACGAGCGCATTTCGGATGAATTGACGACCCTCAATGATGTCACATGTGGATCCAGCCACAGAATAATATCCGGTGCAAATCACGTCCAGGGCGACCAGTTCTGATGTTAAAGCAGAAATACGTCCCCCTCTCAAGCCGAACGGACTCGTCAGAATCCATTTCTATCGAGAGTCAAACTGCACCGCCATCAGATATCCGGCGACACTCGTGCAAAATTGGCGCTCACCGTTGGCACCATGTCAGCTTCTCTTGCCATCGCGTCGTTCAAGCACCTCGTGACAACGTTTACTCCTTCTTCTACGACATCCCGATCCCCCTCCACCACTCGGGGCAGTAGCCTTCGGAACCGATCCGGATGCCATCGTAGGAGGGCCGCTTTCAGCCGCTCTCTCTTCGCCTGGCGCTCAGAATGCAGGGACGAGAACAAGAATGCCGTTATATCCTCGTGGCGCAGATCCACGGGATCATTTGGACGGACTGCGGTCGGCCAAGGAATGGAGCGGAAGGATAGAGATTGCGTCGTTGAGAGCATTTCGTTCCATCGGCTCTCGTATCCTCGCCATGCTTCAACTAATGGGTGAACCGCAGGCCTCTGATGCGACATCTCGCGTTCCTTCAGTTGCCGCTGTGCTTGCCTCCGAGCTTCCTCCATTCGGCCGCTTTCACTATGCCGTCGCTCTCGGATGCGGATATGGATACGTTGAACTTCTTCCTCGACAAGCCGCGTTCGCTGCGCTTGTTGCCGAGCTTGCCTTTGGCGACGCGCCTCGTGTTGCATCCATCGATCTGCCTCTGTCTCCCAGTCGAATGTCGTGGGTTCACGAAGGCCACCAACGTGGCATCGACTGGACGTTCGCCTGCGCGCTTCCTGTGCGGAAGCAGTATGTTGGCTGCGAACCCATCGCAGCGTCCCGTCTATAGCATCGCGTGCGTCCTTCCCATCCTCCCACGGGCGAAGATTGCCTAGTTCTTCTTCCAATGGGCTCAGCTCGTCGACCCCGTAGATGAACGGTGCATTAAGGCGCGAGCGCGAGTCTCGCGCGGAAGGAATCCTGGAACGGGGAGGGAACCTTTCCTCCAAGGATTGATAAGATGGCGGGAAACGAATTTGCTCATGCTGTCGCGACGACACCGGAATGGACGAACTCGGCGTCGAGGGTCTGGTAGGCATGTGCCGATCGTGACTATCGCTGCGTTGAAGCCTGCGAGGGCTCGATATGATGAGGCGACGACCGTCCTGCATGGCGTCTTGGGGTATTGGAGTAGCAGAGCGAACGATAACGCCCTGAACAGGAGATTGAGGGGCGTCGTGTTTGCAACCTCACCCTGCGCCGTAGATATGAAGGCGTGGTGGCTGGTCCCTACAGGCTTTCGCGTGCATCAGGCATGTTGAGGCTATGTAAAGCACACCAGAAGTGCAAACTCAGGGTACCATGCTCAGGGTACCATGAGGCGTCCACGCACCTGCTGTGATTGGTGTTGAGTCTGCTGCACACGAGGTACGTGTGACATGAACGTGCATTCCCGCCACCGCGCAGTCTGCTGAAGCTTTGGGCCGGGAGTCGCATATATAACATAACGTCTGGTCAGACTGGTCACGCTCATCCGACCAGAGCGATGATATCTACGCCTGACGACTTGTGAGTCGTCTAGCAGAGAAGGCCTTTTGAAGGAGGGCGCCATAGAATACTTTAGTGTGCATTATAACGAGTACTTGTGTGGCATAAGCGCAAGTTGGTGAACCTGCCTCTCACAGCGGGAAATCCCTGGAATCAGGGGAAAACATATACCAAATTTATTCTATAATAACCATGGTTGTTATTGACATATTTGCAGCTAGGCTAGTCTGGAATTACAGTGCCCGATCAGTCACTTGTACAGTACCAGTCACTTGTACATCTGCCTTGATCTGGCTCCCCTCGCTCATAATTAGCTACTTCCTCTTCGAACTACAGTACCATATAGTTAATATACATGCTGGCTACAATATTTGATACTGCATGGGATGTGATTTATCGACTCGATTAATTGTAAGACTGTCCAGAATGCGTGAAGTCCCATTCTGACCAGATTTCTGCTCCTTGCACGTTGTATGTAGAGCTACAATTGCGGAGTCTACTGACAACCGCAGCTCCTTGTATCAACCAAGTGTACCCAAGGCATATTTTCCGTACTCTTATGTGGGCACCAATGCGGAACTACATCCACCAGGGTGCAAACCATGTGCAAAACAGCCGAAACGACGGGGAAAGTGTGACAGATTTGAGTCGCACAGCCATCTTGGCTCCCAAATATGGTAGCCGTGACAGCCGTTTTGGCAGAGGCCGGCGTGACATAGCCGGTGTGCAAATGAATAGTTTTTGTCTTAAGCACATGACAGCCAGTAATCGGCATCCACACAGCTCCTCAACACATTGCAAGCCATAACAATATGCTGAGTTTGTGCAGAAGCACAATGTGCATCATATGAGATAGTTTTTACAAGGTATGAATGGGAGGACATGGAGTAATGGTCAAATTACATTTTTGGTGTATAAAGGACTGGTCGGGTACTGTATGACAGATTTATCTCAAGGATGCAGATATATGTCGAAAATATGAATACTTTCCCGGTCTCTTTGCAGTAAGTTTGACATCATTTGGGTCAGCTTATCTCATAGCTTCTCTGACTTATTTTGTCAATCGTTTCTGATATATTTTGCCCAGATTCAGCCTGTTTCCCGCAGTGTCTACCCGAATCGAGAAGCATCAGTCCCGCAGCCACAGGCGCGATTTACGCGCCTACGTCTTGCCCGAAGTCGTTCTTCAGCATCGCACGCGGTCAATAGTGGTTCGATCCTCGACTCTTGTGTGGTCAAAAAGTTGCAATCTACCGCCCTGAACCAGTTGTGATACGACGCCGACATGCCGCCGCGCAGAGCGGGCGACTTCGTCATGGACGTGGATTCAGACTCGGATGTAGACATCCTGGACGAACCCAACGGACGGTCGCAGGGGAAGGGGAAGGGAAAGGCGACCGACAAGAGTGGTCGGAGAAAAGGAAAGAGCAAAGCGAGCGAGGTCGGTCTCTACCACTTTTCCTCCAGAAAATCGTGCTAAGTGAAGCTGGAACGTATGCAATTCAGCAACCATATGCATGGGAGGCGTCCTATACGCGCTCTTGGGACATGGTACAGGAGGATGAAACAGGAAGCTTGACGGCAGCCGTACAAGATCTTGTTGCACGAGGGCGCAGACGCAGGTCGCTTTTCTGCAGTATTGCTGGACAACGGTCACTGATACGTATGGGCGTTACAGACTACTTGGTCCTGGCGGAGCCATCCGCAGGACAATCATCCGGCACCTCATCCTCGTACTTGACCTTTCATCGTCCATGACGGACCGAGACATGCGACCTACAAGATTCGGGTTGACGTTGGAATATGCACGCGAATTCATTACGGAATGGTTTGACCAGAATCCGCTGGGACAGATCGGCATTGTGGGTATGCGAGCCGGAGTCGGAGAACGTATCGGACAGATGTCCGGTGAGTACGACGCCCAGGAGTCCTCCTCGTCATCTCTGACAAACGCTAGGAAACCCCCAGGATGTGCTGAAGGCAATCTCTGAACGACATAAAATGGAGCCAAACGGGGAGCCGAGCCTACAAAATGCGATCGAGATGGCACGGAGCAGCATGAGGTTTGTCCAGGCTGTATTTGCCGCGATAGATCTCTGCTAACTGAGTAATTAGCCATCTCCCAACGCATTCGTCCAAGGAGATCCTCATCGTCTTTGGATCGTTGACGACTGTTGATCCTGGCAACATACACGATACGCTTGATGCCTGCATCAAGGATCGAATTCGAATATCCATCGTCGCTCTTGCGGCAGAGATGAAAATATGTCGCGAAATATGCGACAAGACTGGCGGTAAGCAAGTTAGCGGACCTTGGTGTTCCCTCATTCACGTCGAAATCGAGGAACAGGTCAGTTTGGTGTGGCGATGAACGAAGGCCACTACAAAGACCTTCTATTCGAATTGATCCCGCCGCCAGCTCAACGAGCCCTGACATCCAAGGCGGGCAGTGGTGGCGCAACGGCCGACCTCATGATAATGGGTTTTCCGACTCGATTGCCAGATACATCGCCGCCGAGCCTATGCGTGTGTCACTCGGAGCTCAAGAGCGAGGGTTTCCTCTGTCCTCGATGCCTCGCGAAAGTGTGCGACGTGCCCACCGATTGCGATATTTGCGGCTTGATGATCGTCAGTTCGCCGCATCTTGCACGCAGCTATCACCATCTTTTCCCTGTCAAGCCGTACACAGCGGTGTAAGTGTTTGCCTACTTTATGCTAGCAAATATACATGACATCAAATGCTAGGACGTCTCTGACTGATAAACCGAACGCCCCTGCTACCTGCCACGCTTGTGGGCGGCAATTTCGCGAGTCAGCGCCTGCGTCGTCGGTGACTGTCTCCGAAGGGATGAGCCCCCTAGGGCGATATCGATGTCCTGACTGTTCATACGATTTCTGTGCCGAGTGTGATGTTTTCGTCCACGATGTTGTCCATTGCTGTCCGGGGTGTGGTAAATAATAACGACGTCTATCGAGAGTTCCGCGTTCTGTGAGGCCTGTCAGAGGTGTCTCTGCGAAATCCGTCGGACGCCGACGATACACGTGATGAGATTATACCTTGTACCGCTACCCCTCGAGCAACCGCCGACTCCGGTGGCCTGCCAGATACCCTCCGAGGCGACGTGTCTCTATTCCGCGCCGAACAACAGACTCTGCCAGCCATGACCTTATTACTACCCCACACACTCGTTTTATTCGCCCTCACTTGGCTGTCTGCTCACGTCGATGCTGGCAGCGTTGCCAAGGACGGGGCCTGCAGCCAGTCTGACAACCGACTCCAGGCGGGCACCTACCAATTTTTCACCGACTGCGACTCGGAGACGTATTGCGCGAGCAACGGGACCTGCGTGTTGAAAGGATGTAGGAAGGACGAATTCCCGTTCGGATACCCCGAGGATTCGAACGTGATCCCGCCGAGGTGCAGCAAGGGGCAGTTCTGCCCGGACGAAGAGGACCAGTGCCTAGATTTGCTTCCCGTTGGAAGCCCCTGTCAGTTTCAACGAGACGGTCAGCATTGTATTCTACCTACTTCGAATGGCAAGTCGAAGCTGACGTTCGCGATATAGACGAGTGCGAAGGACCGCCCAACTTTCTGGAACTACGCGACACCAGCAACAAGGGTCTCAATGTCAATGGCTCGGTATGCCTTAATTACCAGTGCATGTACGTCCTGATTATATCCTTCCGTTCGCCATAACTGATTGCGCTCAAGGTGGGCGAACAAGACCCTTGGTGATGATTGTATCGTCGAAAACACCGCGTACATCGGTTATGCTTCGGATGGCAGCGAGTTCATTGATATCGTTTCTCGGTACGCGTCTCCCCAAGGCACCAAGGTTCATCTCTGACAGATTTACAGAGGCAATTGCAAGATCGGACTTTACTGCGACGCCACTAACTTGAAGTGCTCGGCGCAAAAAGCGGAAGGCGAAGACTGTGACGCGGATAAGGAGTACGTATACTGAGACGTCTTCGGTTCCTGTGCTGATCGATCCTAGGTGCATCTCCTTCAACTGCATGTCTTCGGGCAAGTGCGGAAAGGATGCGAGCGCTCCATCAAAAGTGGCCATCTGGGTTTACATTATCGTAGCCATCGGCATATTTGGAGGTAAGCGAGAGCGATGACCCTGATAGGTGCCGCGCTCATCAGATATTAGGCATGTTTGGAACACTCCTTGCGCTGTTCATAGTACATCGCCGGCAACGTGACGTTGAGCGCGAAAAGCGCATGCAATACTGGCGCGAGCAGGTGCGTGACCCCTCTCCAGCAGGGCATGGAGGATACCCGCTAACCTGTGTCGCGAATACAGAACGCCTTCCGTCAGAACATCCTGCAAATGCGTGAGACCGCTCGCAACTCGGTGCTCACCTTGGGCAATGCCAGTGCGCGCAGTACAGTCTATAGCCGTGATGGTGCGGCATCGGAAGATTCTCACATGCCCATGCTAGGCAATATGAAGTCGAGTGGGCTGCGGAACGAGTATTCTGACGATGGACAGTATTCGGACGAGGGTGGCCTCGTCATGGACCATCACCACAACAAATTCTGATACCCAGGCTGTCGACGGGGTTAGGTCGGCATTTGTACTCGGACGCTCTTTAGTGGCGATGTATACACTTTCGGATTCATCTGCGTTGGCGGTGTCGTTGTCCGACCGAACGTAGATGATGTCACTTTACTTTACATTACTGCGATCGGATTTATTTTTTCTTGTCAAAAAGTCCGCCGAGGACGCCGTAAGCTATGTCGAGAGCGGAGGGCGAGGTGAGGATCGATGGACGGACGGGCGGGCGTAGTAAGGATACGATGATATCATCCGTCCAGGTCACGTTCGTGGCCGACACCCACCCAGCTGCGCAGAGCATTACTCGCGTTTCTCGGCATACGTCAATTTGGGTTTCCGGTCGTCTCTCGAGCGGATTCACTTCGTGACAGCAAGTTTACAACATGAACCTACCATTACCTGTGCCGGACGCAGGCGGTCCGCAACCTCTGCCGTCTCTGCCGCCTTCGCCTACGACCGAGGTTGATCTCACCAAACCCGATGCTTGGGCGGAACACGATTCGAGCTTGAGGGTCCCAGACAGGAAGGGGAAAGCAAGGGCGAGGGACTCATCGCATGACAGTTCCATGGAAGGCGGTAGCGAAGACGGGTTGAGTCCTGGTGTGGAACACTACCCTCCAATGACAGATGAGGAGGCGGAAACACGACGGGTCGAAGAGGTGAGCGTCGAGATATTGCTTGACTGCACGGGGTTTCGGATTGACGTTCGTCTGGGCAGACGTTGCGTCGCTGGGAGGAAGCGGAACGTCAGCGACGACGGAGCGCTCGCGAAGGGTCCGTAGCGGTTGCGCAAACGTCCATCGTCGGCGACGTCGCCCGGAGAGCGAGCCTGCTCTGGAGCAATAGCCGGAAGAACAGACCGCCAAGCACAGGTGTGGGCGCGCATGCCGCCCTTCCGCGCTCCTCCCAGGATTCATTGCCCATGACCGACTTGGACGTCGGCTTGCCCACTCCGCAGGTGCATTCACCCGGAGTGTCGCCGCGTCCATCAACGTCTTCCAGTCGTCCTAAGAATCCATTCGTGGACAATGTCACCACAGCTTCCCCCTTCGACGACCCTCCAACTCAGCAGAGTAGTGCAATCCTTGAACCCTCTCCGGACCCGGATGTTGTAACCGACCTTGAGCGCACGCCCAAGAGTCGCTCATCGACTATGCCACCTCCAGAGCGCCCTGTGCTTCAGGCTACAGCATCATACATGGACGAACCCGCGACCGCCAAGCCTCGTCCACCACCGCCCCAGCCATTCGACATACCACCACCGAGAACGCCGCCTCCAAGAGTGGGGACCCCACATGCGAACCGACCTCCCGAACCCGTCTCCCGCCCTACCGTTGACGCGCCGCCTCCGGAACAACCCAACGATGCGGAGAAAACCAGATGGTGGACCGACTGGCTCTGTGGATGTGGACCAACCCACGACACTGATGACCAGGTATGAGCTCATTCCCCCCTTATTTTGGAACGAAACTCATGGTTCTTGTCTTCTCAAGGCTGGTCGGACGAATCCGTTCGAGTAGTCCCTTCACCCTTCATATTGCTTCCTCTCGTTACGACACAGACATGCCATCATATTGTAATAGTAAATGGCTTGCTCATGTATTATGTTGTCCGGCCACTTCGTGCGCACGAAGGACATTTGCTATACTTGTCGACATTGGACTTGTGTTCTTGGAATCATTCTTAGCGTACCCTCATTCTAGCCCTCGATGTATCCCGTCTGTCAGTGAAGCATTCTACGCCCACCACTACGATCTCATACCGCGCAATGTAGAGGAGCGATTTCTGCAGACAACAGCGGACACACGAGTAAGTTATGAGGACTGATTGGATAGCACGATTCGAACGGATCCAACGTCTTCCACGCAAGGACCCGAGTAAACATCTACTGCATGAACCGAACCTCTTCGCGCTTAGGAAAGGCGCCTCAGCCAATGTTATTGTTTGGGGGGGAAATGGACAGTCTTGGAGTTCTGTGTTTCCCCGGCGGAGTGGGACGCTAGGGGAGCGCGAGGACCGGATCCATCGCCAGTTCTGCGATGAAGCACACGCGAAACCTCGTCACCCTCCAGGGTGAGCTGTGGCGTCGACGGAAAGTGCACTGTGTGGGGGGCCTGAGCCCCTGATGAAGGGGTTATATGGCCAGTATTCACCGCATCCTTAGACGCACGAATGCTCTGGGGTATATAATGTCAGACGCGTCCTCTATTCGATCTCGAACGCACCTTTTGCTCGTCAGACAGCCTCTCGCTTCGCGAGGTAGCATCTTCAAGAACCATGCTGGCTTCTCCAGCAGCTGCCCAGCTCGGCAGTCCCATGCCAACGTCTTCGCCCCTGAGAACGGGTACGCTCTCCTCGGATGTATGCGTGGACGCCTCTTGATGGAAGTAGTGCGCACGAGCTTCGAGCCTGTCACCGTCCGACTGCTCTATGGTGCCACTCTCCACTTGAGGTTGGCTGAAGCTGGTGTTTATAGGTGCGGCTCGACGCACGCCCAACAGCCATTCCGGGGCTAACGCAGTGTTTTGACGTGATGTCAAAGTGTGAGACAACGACACAGTGCGAGAGTGAACCTTGCGCCCGACTGTGAAGAAAGGTATAGAGAGGCCATCTGGAGCGATGACAACATTGAGTAGAACGAGACAAAACGTGAACACAAGGACTAACGGATCAAGATAGACGCCAGAACCACGAAGGATACAACCGGTTGCAAGGTCGCTGCGAGCAACTCCTGTTGGTTCTGAGGGGGGTCCTGTGCTTCAGGCAGTCTGATGAGAGCGAGAGTAGATATAAAGATTGCGCCAACTCCCATCTAGGATTTTCGTAAGTAACGCGAAGCACACGAGGAACACCTCAAACCGTACTGGACCTAAAACGCGGGGTTCACGTCAGTTGCGCCTCGGATGAAACCAAATGAGATGGGCGTACCGAAGTGCCCGGAGAACAATGCCTCTCTCCACGTTGTGATCTCTGGAATGAACCGATACAGAAGCAGCATGCTGGGGATTCGCCGCGTTATCATTATGGCGATGACCAAGATTACGAGTCTCCACGGCTCTAAGCCAAGATCGGGGACATGAAAACTGTCGAACGGGAGCCACGCGCCAATGTAAACAAAGCAGGCACAATTGAGGACGAGGTCAATGACGGAGGAGAACACTTCGTTTTCAATCTGGATGTTGAAATGCCCATCCCAAGATATCGCCCTGTGATCCCACGTCACTCCCAAGCCCGTGAAACGCATGAAGGAACTTACGATCCAGCTGCAAAGGCTGCGAGCAGATCGTCGACGCCGAGGGTGCTGCAAACGCCGACGGTGAGGAAGGCCAGCGCAAGGTACTGGGCAACATATGATTCGCGGTCAATGAAGCCTTTGCGATGGGTAAACTTCATGAGGTTCGAAAATGCAATCCCTACGCTACGGGTTGAACGATTACCAACGAAACCCAGACGAAGCAGTACGCACCAATCACGGCGCCGATCAATGTTCCGAGGACAACCTGATCTGCGCAGCCGCCGTCAGCCGTGGTATTCGACGTGGTTGAACCGAGCAAAGACTGACATAACCAGCCCACCAGGATCCATTTCTCAATCGCGACAGCTCTGGACGTCTCCAATGTGAGGTATAACGAGATGCTGATGAAAGGATACGCAAGGCCATCGTTCGCCGCGGACTCGGCTGATAGGATGCGCCGCAGATTTTGCGGGACATGTTTCACCGCGAACTTGCCACCTGGCGATGATCATCAATCCATGTCGACGAATAATGTTGGAGTCTTGCTCGCCCACTATAGCGGCACAGATGATCGGATCCGTGGGCGTCAAACACGCTGATATGGCAAGACAAGAGATGTAGCTCAGATGCGGCATCAGAGCGCGCAATATCCCTGAACGAAACGCTCGTCGTTCTCGGATGTCATGTGCCGGCAAAACGGGTGCGGACGCACCGGCTACCACAACCCTGTCGAATGAGGGCCCGTTGAGGCATATCGATCGTGTTCCGAATGAAGAGCATGACTCACCAGCCGAATGCCATCGTAGGCACAACCATGATTAGTAAACCTTTGGCATGCTTTGCCATGTAATTCCGTGGCAGTTCGACCCCAATCGCGAACAGGCCGGTGGCTAAAACAATTCGGGTCACCTCAAGGGTGATGGTCCGCTCATGCGATCCCCAAGAACGAGGGTCAAATATGTTCGCTACATGGGGCCCCATGAGGACGCCGAACGCGGTACCAAGGACGACTTCGTTAATGTACATCTGCGCGAGATAAGGCGTTCAGGATTTGAGTGGATCGGACGGCGAACTGACTCTTTCTTTCACCAATAGAGAAACCATGCTGAATGCGACCACGAAACTTCCCACAACGATGTAGGCAAGCCCAGGGGCGCTGATCTGCGCCGCCAGTCAGCAAGATTCAGGGACACCCCGGCGCGGCACTGACCTCCAACAGTTCCACATGCAACGCCATCGACTGAACGTAGAAATTGTTAAGACCTGTAGCCGCGTGTAAGGCTCCACCGGACACGCGAGTGTAGTAAACGGTCTTATTTACCTGTAGCCGCGTGTAAGGCTACAGGTCGGCTAGTTAATACATGTATGTGAATGTATGCGGAGGGATCTCACCTCCACCGGACACGCGAGTGTAGTAAACGGTGGAGAGAACGAGACGAGCCCGGCGGGCATATCAACGCACCGCACGTGCACCCGTCAAACTGACGGATACAGTAGGAGGGATACTCCTCCTGGCGTCTAAGTCATATCCTCACAGAGATCAGTAGGGCGTCAGAGTGTATGGTGACATCACCGGGATTTCGACCGAGAATGCAGACGCACGAAGTCGTGACCGGTCGGATCAGGCCGGTGGCCCGGTGTCCGAGTCGTCCTGCTTCCTTCCAGATACGGTAAATCCCGACGTTTGCAGCTTTTTGTCTTTCATCCCGGCCACGCGTCACTTTGTCCCAGCCGCGAGTGCCAACACAAAAAGACCTTGCCTGTCTTGGAACAACGTCCAGCCTCTGCTGCACCATGTCCGGATCTCCGATGTACTTCGTGCCGCTATTTGGATCTTATTGTTTTGCACTGTCCTGTCTTGTGCCTCACACCGGTCCCGTCCCGGTCCACGCAATATCACCACCCGGATCCGACTCCAAACAAAAAGATTACTCTCCCCGAGATGCTGATGCGAGCCTATTTGCCGACTGATTGACATTGTCTCACTGTGGGGGCTCGTTCTCCCCGACGAAGTTGCCCTTTTTGGACCTGCTCTTTTGTGTGCTTATTGTTGACCATCCTGCGCTGCTTAGAACTCTGACTGCGTGCTCCCTCTGGGTCCGAGGTGATGATCCTGGTACTTATAGAGCCGCCCTTCGTCCACCTGTGTCGAAGAAGTCGCTTCGCCGTCGCTTCACGCCCTCATTCCAGCGAGTCCTCGGATCCGTCTCCTTACCCACCCCTCTCCAAAAGCTACCTGCAATGGACTCCTTCACGACCATCCTCTCGATCTCCAGCTCTTCGGAGTCGACCGCGCAACCTCAATTCCCCTCCAACGAAGATTCATCCTCGTCTACCCAGACCTACTGCGTCATCGCGCGCACCGAGGACGCGGAGGGGCCGCTGTCATTCGATGGCAGCACTTCGACGCAGACCTACTGCGTCATCGCATGAGGACACGCTGACTGTGTTCACCATCGACATAGTGAGCTTTTGGGGTTCTCGTGTCATATTTCAGGTCGTTCGAACTTACCCTCCCCGGCAGACCATTCCACCACCACGACGCACCCCAGCATTGCCTAGATTATTCACGCATGCACGATCACACGCCGCGATAACACTATCTTCGTTCACGACCCGGCTCGCATTGCATTCCGACTTCGATTTCTACCGACCGCCAGGTCCCCTTAACGTTTGGACTATCTTTATCCGCCTCAGGGTGTCGATATCATCATTGCAATGTACACTCCGCATTTATGACATGTACTTGAAGAAGAGAGCGTTAGCATATGTTGTACGCTATTCGTAGTAGGATAGGAACTCAACTCGACGGTTTCGTTCTTCCTTACAATCTCAGGAAAGTGAAACGTCTCGTACATATTGAAGCTGCTTGTACGACGACATGACTCCGAAGTGCCACGTGTTCAGGCGGGATATGTCATGATCGGCGTCGGCCTGCATCTTGCCACCTCGAGCTACGAACGCCTATTGTCGCATCCGTTCCTGAACTAGGCAACTCTGGGCCATGCAGCATTCTGCCTTGCAAGATATATCCAAGCGTACCAACTGTGCCACCATCCGCAGTAGCCGAGTCTCGACAGTAATATCGAGTCGGCCAGCGAGCGAACAGCGCTCAAACCTTGGGTAGCTCTGAAATTTCTCGATTACTCTGCCGACGCTATCAGAGTATTGTTGCCGCCCGAAGGCAAGAGGAATTAAGACGATGCAGTACCCTGTTGCTGGTGCCGAAGGTACGTGTCTCAGATCAAGGCAAAGCAGCTCAAAGCATGTCGATCGCTCGTTCCTTGCCGTCGTTATTGTCCGCGTCCACCTGGCCACACCGCCGTGTCTCAATGCTCAGCTGCGCCTCGTCCCTTGCAAGACACCTACGATGGATAAAAGGCCGACGCAAGCTGCCCTCTGATAAGCAGCAGACGATCAAGTCCTCGCTCTTTGTTCTACAACCGCCCGGTTCTCTCATTTGTCCAGTCAGCCATCATCAATGGACTCTTTCGCCATCATATCTTCCGCCTCTGCTTCGGCGGATCCCACCCCGAACCAACCCTGCGACCAGGACTCGTCCTCGTCCACGCAGACATACTGCGTCATCGCCCGCACCACGGACACGGAGGAACTGCCCCTTTCCTTCGACCATGGCAGCTCCACGCAGACTTACTGCGTCATCGCTTGAAGAACGAGAGCGCTAAGACCCTAGAGGATGTTCGTCGAACAGACAGTCCTTTTTATCCGCCGGCGATCCGCTTTGACTAAATTGTTTGTTTGTAGGCTCTTGACTCATTGGTTACGCTCGACATTTCGTTCTCACCCCGGCGCCTAATCACGGGACTTCGATTCTTCCTTCGTGCTCATTATGTATTCATCATTTATTTCCGCTTCAGCGCGGATGTACTCGTTGTGACGTCTGATGTTGTACAAAGTATGTAGACTGTCTAGACGTATTTTGGCGATCATCGACGCCTGCCTTGACGTTCTCAGACGAGTTTGACGCGGCATACAAACTACTTCCAACACGCTCGCGCACAGCTTTAGAGTTAGTGTGGGGACGTACGTACTGTACGTTTCGGACGTGCATCAACATCCGACCTATGCTGCGCGGGCAACAAACAGACGCTCTGTATCCAGGTGTTTTGTATCCGTTCTTCTCGGATGACGACGGAGAACATCCTGTGGACCACATCATCGCCTCCGCCCATTCCACTGCATACCCATGGATTATCTGTGCCAACGCCGGTTGTTGAGCTTTCTGTGGCTCGCTCGCTTTTCACAAGCTTTGCCTCTACTGGCGGACTCCCGAGCAGCAGTCAACGCGGAGGCGGATAGCGCGAGCGATATAGTCTCCAATTTCAAGATCTGTCTGCGGTTCTCTCTATCCTCGCGTCCGACACCGTAGAGCAGAAGTATAAAAGCTCTCTCGCGCTGTACTGGGAGCGGATGTCAGGCGTGTGGTCGCTCTTTGGGATCCTTGGCGTCCTCCGCGCGTGTCTCATGCTCGTCGTCGGGATCGCCGGCGCCGAGGCGGCGGGGGTGAAACTGTCGGGTGCAGGGGCGTTCACAGCTCGAAAGACATCAGGCTCCAGAAGCACAGTGGTGGTTGGCGTACCATCGGCGAGCGGCCGGTCTAGACTCGGACCCGATAGTTGGTGGCAAGACGACAAGCAACGACTTTTGGGGCTAGTCGACGAGAGGAATTCCAACTCCTCGGGGCGGAGGCCGCATATCGTTGTCATTGGGTTCACTAAATGTCCCTTCACTGGCCCTCGCGCCTTGCGAGAGAGCGCCGACATCGCCTTCTGCGTCATTGTTTCCGTCATTTGCACCATCGCTCCGTTGATGGTTTTGAGGCCAACGCACCAAACGTCCACTCTGTGGATAGCTATGGTGCCGGTACTGTTGCAAATTTATAACGACGCTGGGGCGGCACCGTTGTCCCACCTCCATGCTTCTGATCGCTTCTCGGATGGACTGGACAGCGCTGTAATCCGTGATTCCGATACGGCGAACACAGAACCGATCGTCAACGATTGCGATACATTGGCAAACTCGTCACGATCGACCATGGGTACGTCGGGGCGGAGACAAATGGACCATTCGGCTCGTGGCCGCGCTTACAACCCTCGCCTTCGTCGCATTCTACGTATGCAACTACCTTCTTCTCGGCTCCTCTTCCGCACGACAGTCGTACATATGGCTCGGCCTCTAGGTTTCTATCCTGGCCATCCGATATGTCCTATGATCATACCGAGGCAATATCGTTAGTCATCGATTGCCATCGATTCTCTTCCTCGTGACGGGATCACTCGTGGATCCACTAAAGGCGTCGGACACGCCGGATGCTCGTATTTTCCCAGCAACAGCCGCGGCGAAGACAGGTACCAGCCCACTTGCAGAGCGCATACTTCCCAAGGAAGCGGTCCACTTCGGTGTCGCTTCTGGACGAAGCAAACTGCTCAACGTGGGCGCCACGAACGTTCGCTTGAAACTCACGGCACTCGACAAGCTCTCAGAGATCGCGCCGGCGGACATTATAGCGGCCCCATACTGCGATGTACGCGAAGCTGTTGAGCACATGCGCGCTCCCCCATCCCTCAGCGTGATCCGCCTGCCCTGGTCCTTCGTAGAGACGTACGTAGCCCAAGGACTGATCCTCGGGAGCAACTCATGGGCGCTGGGTGGGCTATATCTGGCTGCCATCGTCAGTGTGAGCCGTTTCTGGGGTCTCACGATGGTGCATCTCCTCGCGCGCATACAGATGGCGCTCATGGCGAAGACACCTTCAAGCAGGTTACCCGCTCCCGCCCCAAAATCCCTCGATCGGCTACGCGACACAGGGAGGAAGGAGTGACAGCATGCGGGTGCATCATCGATAGCCTCGAGGATGGTTCCATGACCGGCGAGATTACGCAGCTGGACGAGATATTCGGTCGTTGGCACCAGAAATTCAGGGAGAACGTGCATCAGTGTCGGCAGGAAGCAGCAGACAATGGGCCGAATCATCGTGAGATCCATGTGTATCAGATAGGTTCTGGAGAGACGAACGTCGGCCGGAAACATATGACAAGAACGGAGGAAACACTCAGGGGAGGGCATGCACGCCGTTCAAGATATAGTCAAGAGAGAGGAAGTTAAAGATCATACAAGGTATCGCCGTCATTGTACTATCCACGGATTTTGACCCGTCGCAATACGGATTTATGAAAAGCGCCGAGACTCGATCTGGGGAACGGGGTGGAAGCCCGTCGAGCTTTCGGAGACGGGACTGCACAGCGCTATGGTCTAGCTAGATTTTTGCCTGGATTCCTGCTATGTGATGCAGGATAATCTGAAACGTGAGTGACCATACAGAGCACCGGGCCAATGTTAATACTTACTCAGAAGCACCCGCGTGGCGGTGCGCGACGCCTGCACCCGGCGGCGGAGGAAAGGCAGACTTGTACCTCACGCGCTTTACGCCCAACGGCCATGAATCAGCTCTCTTGTCTGGTTGCTCTTTCTTTGTAATACCAACTCCTCGCATTAGAACTGCTGACAAACGGCAAGAATGGGCAATCCAGCCCGTATAGTTTCAGGAGGATGGCGGCTATAAAATATCGAGTGCGAGCATTCAGTACGGGCAACCACAAGACATCGGGTGTGCTTCGAGCCAACAACTCAGAATCGAAAGATGTCCTCATCCAGCAACTCTACCAACTTCGTGACCGTTGCCTTGTTCGGTGCCACGGGTGTCACTGGCTTGCTGTTACTTCGCGTCCTGTTGTCGCGGGGATATCGCGTACGCGCGTTTACTCGGTCTCCCAGCAAGATACCGGCAGACCTCTCGGGGTCTGATCAGCTGACGGTCATTGTCGGCGAGCTGACGGATGCCGACAAGTTGCGAGAAACGGTGGTCGGCACTGATGCTGTAGTCAACATGCTTGGACGTGAGCGAGCCGGGTAGCTCATCTATACTCAGCTTTTCGGGAACTTATTTACGCTCTGTCGCTCCGTGCAGCCTACGCAGGCCACCATCCTGCCGGCACGCCGATCACAAAAGGGATGGAGATTGTGGTGAAACTCATGGATGAGTTCGGCATCAAACGGTGACCCCCCTCCCTCTCCTCGTGTCGCTGTTCGCTCATATTCCGACGCAGATACATCGCGCTCTCCACTTGCGCGCTACCGCATCACACGGACCGGCTGAACGCCGTCACGCTGCTGATCAGCAACGTAGCCGTCCGAATCTTCGACCGCGACTGCTGGGCCGAGTTTGTCGCCATGGGTTATCTCGTGTTCGAGCGGCCGCACCTGAACTGGACCTTGCTCCGTGTCGGCCTCATGGTGGGATCGTCGTTGAGCGACGATCCGAGCAAGGGCAACGTCGGCCCTCCAGGCGACGGCATCACTCGTATGTGGATCAGGCGCGAACAGATCGTGTGGAGGACGGTAGAGGCGCTTGAGAAGGGCGCGTGGATTCGAGAGATGCCCTACATCAGCGCATGATACCCCAGGCGACGCCATGTACTGGCGCTCGGTTGGAGAGAGATGATAGGCTTTAGATTTCCACAAGTGACAATCAATACAGGCACATGCTACAGGACGGTCGAATGGACTCGGGTGAACGGTGCGACATCACATTAAAACAACGAGCGGCATGTGACAGAGAAGAGGAGAACAAACAATGTGCAGAGAATGTGAGAGGAAATAAGTTTGTGGCACAAAACGCGATGATTCACCCATCCAAAGCATTGAGGCACAAGGCGTCCCAGAAAGAGCCCACGTGTAGCGATAAAAACAAGGATCCGCCGAAACCCATGCACGCTGAACATACGAACGCCCCGTCCAACCTAAAATGTACAAGGCGAAGCAAGGAGAAGATGTATGCGACAGGAGGTGTGGGAGTGGAATGCAGGGACCTGATCAGGGCGGGAAGACGGGGGGCGGTCGGTTCGAGTGTGAATCCCGAGGAGGACGGACACGGAGCTCAGCGGCGATGCAGATGTGACTGGGCAAAGAGGTCAGTTAATCGGATAGCGAATCGGACGAACGAGAAGTACGTACTCTGAGGGGAAGTTGGTATTGGGGAACCCAACGACCTTCTCCAGATACGTCCGATCCACCTCGCTCAGCACCGCGCTGACGGAGAGGTTCTGCGTCGAGTACCAGATGTAGTCCAAAGTACCCTGGTAGTTGGCCGTGTAGTTTGTCATCGGGAGCTCGCCGAGCGACTGGTATACACTCTTTAGGCCCAACCGGTGCCGTACGCCGTCGGACGTGTATCGCCCGTAGACGTGTGATAGCCAGTCTGGATGATCTGGAGGAACCGACCCGTTCGACAGGAACTCGTACACGCCGCTGCCGGGCACGGAATTGAAGTCACCGCAGATGAGCGTTGGGATCTTCGTCCCATCCGAATACATCGGAGGCGGTCGTTGCGGAGGGGCGGTCGATCCCGGCGTTTGGGGCTGCGGCGGGCGCGGCGGGTACCTCGCGAAGTTGTCCGCGATCTTCTCCGTCTCCTCGACGAGCAGCGCGGTCTGCACGAGCTTGACATCGGCACAGCGGGCGTCCCAATGCAAGTGTGCATTGGCGATGATGAAGCGGGTGCCGGAGTCGCGGTTCTCGAGCAGACAGACGACGGCGATGTTGTCCCGAACGAGTATCCGGTTGAACATGTCGTCCGTCTTCTTAAAGTCCGGACGTTGCATGGCGACCGTGCTGAACTCGATCAGGTGCTTTTCCACCAGCTGGAATCTGAACGAAGCCATGTCAAAAACCCACGAAGATCACCGGCGTGGGATGACCACTCACTTGGATGCCTTGAAGAACGTCGCACAGCCATCCACCATCCGGCGATCCGTCCCGCTCATCGTCTTGTGCCTCGACTTGGGCCAGTACACGCCGTCGTACCCTTGTTCCGCCAACAGCGGCACGAAGAAGTCCTCGTACTGCCCGATGTCCACCTCCTGCAAACACAGCACATCCGCGTCGTAATTGGTGATCTCCGCCATGATGAGCTCCTTCCGGTAGTCCCATTGAAGGGCCCAACTTGGAGTATAGCCGTACAGACGTTCCGTGGCTGCACGCTCACACAGAACGTTGAAGCAGAGAACGGTGAGGGTCTCTACGTTCGGATCGCTCTGCATGGCCTCACGCTCGGCAGGGCTGATGAGGGAGTGGAAGACGCGGGGAGGGGGTGTGTCGGGTCTCGGACAGTTATCGCGGAGATAGGAGATGAGAGTGGAAGTGCCTTCGGTCTGCACTATCTTTTTAAGCGACTCGTCCAACGGATTGCCTTCGATGCCCAACGTTTGGAGTTGGTGAAGCGTGCCAAGCTGGTGGGGCAGTGTCGTCAACTTGTTGTCGAATACGTAAAGCTCCTTCAACTCCGTGAGCATCCCGAGCTCTTCAGGGAGGGCGGTCAGCAAATTCCCTGAGAGATCGAGAAGCTCTAGATGGCGCAATCTGGATATCTGGGGAGGAATTCGGCTGAGTTGGTTGTGGTTGAGGTAGAGGTTGGTGAGGAAGGTGAAGGCGAAGAGGCCAGAGGTCGGCGGGATGTTCTTGATCATGATACCGCCCATGTCGAGCGAATGCCATGTGTTCTCCGTCTGCTTCTCCCCTGCGGGTCTCGTCTGCTCCTGTATAGGCCCCACGATGGAGGAAGGGTGGTCTTCACTGGTGGCCGCGGCGCCCGGCGAACCTTCGGACGCTGCAGACGACGCGGCTGATTTGTCATCTTTGACCACACCATTTCCGTTGGCGTCGGCGGGGGGTTTGATAGGGATGGCGTTCGGGTTGGTGATGGGGATGGCGGATTTGGCGACGGTACGGGACGCCATGGCGCTGGCTCGTGCCCGGTGGTGCGGTGACCGTGAAGCGCGGATGGTCTGAAGGATCGTCAGTCACGGATCGCCAAAGGCTGTGGGATCAGCACGTACCTCGTACTTGATCAGCTGCTGTTGCCAATGCGGCGTGACGACCTGTCCAGCGGAGCCTGGGGTGGGCGGAGCTAGTGCATGAATCGACTGGGTGTGGCCGTTGGGAGGGGAGGTGTAGGAGGTGAGGGAGTTCTGGTGGTGATGTTGCATGTTGGGGATGCCGACGCCGGGTATGGCGTGCGGGTGCGCGCCCGGATGCTGGAGGTGCGAAACGCCATTGGCGTAGATGTTGTAGCCCGCAGGGGCGGGGACAGCCTGGGGGCCCGGCGGTGCAAAGTGGTTGCGGGTCCATGGGTTCTGATCGCGGTGGTTGGCGAGGTGGGCAGGGCCCGTGGTCTGTTGGGGGTAATACATGGCATCTGGCGAGGGAGTCGGTCGCGGGGAGGGCGAGGGGTGGTTCGGGGCTGTCGGCGCAGCGGCCGAGGCAGATCCGAGACCGGGCGGGGGACGAGTATACGGACGCTGGTGCTAGTCAAACAGGGGTGTACGGCAAGGCTACAGTGGTCGTCGCGGCGATGGGCAGCGAGGAAGGTGTCGTCGCGGTCGTGGTCGTCGTCGAGGAGTGCAGAGCGCAAAGGACGATGACCCGGCGATGAATGACCCTGGGAATTCCCGAGCCACTTGGGCGCGTACGCGTCGCACCCGCTCGTTATCTGAGACCGCCGCTCGGGATGGCCGAGGACGGGGCGCATGAGATTCATCCGAGGTCGACGAGCATGTCGGACGTTGCCCGCCCCGCCCCCCGCCGGTGCCCCACATAGTCCTACCGCACAGCGGCCACTCGCTTTTGGCCACGATCCCAACCCGTTATGGCAGTCTCGGGCTAATCTGCGATCGTCCACTGCGAGCCCTTCAAGCGAGACGGCCGTCGCACATCGTACCATCCTCTCGCCCTCGAATAAATACCCTTGGCCGTCGGGAACGAGCTCAGATCGACACCCCCGCCCCCGCCCATCATGTCCGTCTTCCAAGCGACCACCTCTGCCCCGGTGAACATCGCCTGCATCAAGTAAGCCATCGCAAACTTCCTGGCGAGACCCGATCCCAATCATCCTTTTCAGGTACTGGGGAAAACGCGACACCAAGCTCATCCTGCCTACAAACTCGTCGTTATCCGTCACCCTCGACCAAGATCACCTCAAGGCGACCACCACGTCGCGTGCGGACGCGTCATTCGAGAAGGACAGGCTATGGCTTAACGGCACCGAGGAGGAGATCAAGGAGGGCGGGCGTCTGGCCACATGCATCGCGGAGATGAAGCGTCTGCGACGAGAGGTCGAGGAAAAGAACCCCGCTGAGCCCAAGGTACGACTCGCCTTCAACGCCGATCTGTCAAGGGGACTGACTCCTCGATGTTCTCAGATCTCCGGCTACAAAGTCCACATCAGCTCGTACAACAACTTCCCCACCGCCGCTGGCCTCGCTTCCTCCGCCGCGGGCTTTGCTGCCCTCGTCTCCTCCCTCGCGGCCATGTACAAGCTGCCCTCGACCCCCTCCGAGCTCTCCCTCATCGCGCGTCAAGGCTCCGGCTCGGCCTGCCGCTCGCTCTTCGGTGGCTACGTCGCCTGGGAGCAGGGTACCAAGGACGACGGATCCGACTCTTATGCGGTCGAGATCGCGCCGCGCGGGCATTGGCCCGACATCCACGCGCTCATCTGCGTCGTGTCGGACGACAAGAAGGGCACGTCCTCGACCTCGGGCATGCAGCGCACGGTCGAGACCAGCGAGCTCCTCCAGCACCGGATCAAGCACGTCGTCCCGAAGCGGATGAAGGACATCTCCGAGGCCATCCTCGCGCGCGACTTTGACGCCTTCGCCCGGCTCACGATGCAGGACTCGAACCAGTTCCACGCCGTCGCGCTCGACACGTACCCGCCCATCTTCTACATGAACGACGTCAGCCGCGCGATCGTCGCCGTCGTGACCGAGTACAACCGCGTCGCGCTCGAGACGACGGGACACCTCAAGGCCGCGTACACGTACGACGCCGGCCCGAACGCGGTCATCTACGCCCCGAAGGAGAACATCCCCGAGATCGTGCAGCTGATCGTCAAGTACTTCCCGCAGGCGGACCCGTTCAAGGACCCGTTCGGGCTCTTTGGCGCCGCTGGCGTCGGCGAGGGCAAGCTCCCGGAGGGCTTCAACGCGGCGGTCGCGAAGCCGTTCACGATTGGCGCCGTCAAGGGCTTGATCCACACGCGCGTCGGCGATGGTCCGCGGGTGTTGGGTGCGGAGGAAGCGCTCCTCGGCGCCAACGGTTTACCAAAATCTGCATGAGAACACAGTGGAATGTATGATATTTATCACCGGGTCTCGCTTGGATGGTGCAATTACTAGAGTTTTAGTGGCATACTACTCTCGAGTCGTGAAATCGGTACATCGTGAACGGCCAACCCGGATGGACGAGGGTCGCGGATGCAGTAACGGCCGTCTGATTGGGCCGAAAGGTTCGTGGTATCAACGGCAGCCAGTGAGAACTCAGCCAGCAACGACGTAGGGTTGCGCTCACTCCGTCGGACATACTGCGAGCAGTGGTCAACGGTCGGACGTTTGCGCCGTTCAGAAATGGTCGACATATGAAACGACATGTTCGCGTAGGCCCTGAGTCAGTTTTGTCCTACAATTCGCGAGAATAATGCTCCATGGAACCATGAGCGCTTGAGCAGCGTCCATCCCTGCGAAACATAAGGGTAACAGGGGGATTACTACAATAGGCGGAGGTACATACTGTAACAAAGTCCGACGTCATCGGACTGGTCCCTTTTCGCTCCCGCTACGACCATGGCTAGCAAAACTCTGCCCAAGATAATATATGGCACCGCATGGTGGGCCGAGATTCTCGCTTGTTCGAGAAGAATGCGTGTATAGCGTACTGGATCCAGGAAAAAGGAAAGAACGACGGCTCTGGTTATCGCAGCTGTCTTGAATGGCTTTCGAGCTATTGACACAGGCACGTACTCGATAATGAAAGCTTTCGTTTCAATCTGAACAGATCTGAACAGCTTGCCAGCCGAAGCACTACGAGTATGTTGAATACTGCTTGCGCCAGAATAGGGTTCACCGAGACAGCTTTCCAGTGAGGCGTTAGTGGGCGAAGCGCTGGATCTCCTCGCAAAGCAACACGGCATCGTTCGAGACAGCCTATGGCTACAGACCAAGTTTACGCCCTTGGGTGGACAGGACCGCACGAAGCCTCTTCCGTACGACCCAAAGCTTCCCATCCCAGAGCGAATCGCGCAGTCTCTCGCCACATCCCTGTCCAATCTGCGCACCACGTACCTGGACTCTTACCTTCTCCATTCTCCGCTTGGGAACCTGAAGGACACAGTGGAAGCATGGCGCACCCTCATCAAGTTTAAGAGCGACGGGACGGTGAAGAACATCGGGATCAGCAACATTTACGACCTGGAAATGTTGCAGGCCATAGAAGATGCGACCGGCGTACGAGTGGACGTAGTGCAGAATCGCTGGTTCGAGGGCAACATGTGGGACCGCGACGTCTGCAAGTGGTGCAGAGAGAACGGCGTGATGTACCAGTCCGTATTTGCGTGCATCTTCCTACCGCGGCACTATGGTTCTGAGCGATGCGATACTGTGCAGATCGTTCTGGACGCTCACCGGCTCTCCTACCACCCTGCTGGGTAACCCGGCTTTGCTATCGCTTGCGGACCGACTCTCAGCGACATCGGCACAAGCCGTTTTCAGGATTGCCCAACTAAGTGGCATCACCCCGCTGTCAGGAACCACGGACGACACGCACATGAGGGACGACGTGGCGGCGGAGAAACTGGAGATGGACGATGCTGTGAAATCCGACGAGTACTCCGAGATTTCAGAGATGCTGTTCTCCTCGTAAGAAGATAACAATGTTCGGTGAGGATTTCAATTGTTGTTACGAATACTACCCCTGGCACACTAAGGTGTACATACAATACTTGATCCGTATGCACATTCTCGATACACTCCGTTTCCAATATGAGCCTGAATAACCTAGTCTGCAAAAGTAACCTCAACCCTAAGACAGCCTAAGACTCAAAGCCAACGGTCTCGTGACCAGGGGTCGCGTTTGGTGATTATTCCGGAATCGCGTTTGGGTCCCAAAGATATTACTGGACTCGGCCTTGACCAACACAGCGCGGGTATACGAGTCATGTCAAACGGAACTATTATTCCCTCTACTCTGACCGACGTCAACCTTGACGATGCGCGCTCCTTACTCCCTGACCTTGAGGCTGCCCAACTGGGAATCCTCGAAGCGCGCACCGCATATAGGGAACGCACCGCAGACCCCGAGGTGGATGATGCGCTCGGGTGGGCTCCTGTCGGCTCCAATGGGAGGAGCAGAGACCCCGCAGGTGCGAAGGACGATGTCGAAGCCATGCTGGTGTGTTTCCAAATCCTTGGTTTGCGTTGACCTGAGCTGACCCCCCGACTTCCCGTCCAGTCGTTCTTTCGCCAAGTTAAGTATCAGTATTTGCAGAAGTTCGCGAAGGACAAATACGTCGGTATCATACTGTCCGATGATGCCCCCTCGATCACGCCCGAGGACAACGACGCACTGCAAGCCGAGAACGAGCAGAGGAAGGAGGAGCTGCGGGCCAAAAAGCGGGCTCTGGATGAAATACGGGAAAAACTGCGCCAAGAAGCCACGACCGTAGCGAGAAGTAGGCGTGCTCCCCCGTGGTCATCGTCAAACCGCTGACAAGCCTACCTGTGTAGCCTACGAGCGTGCTCAGAAGGAGTCGCGGGAGGCGATGGAACTATCGCAGAAGATATTGGACGCGCGACTGGCGCTCACGCGGCTGAAGCAGACGCATCCCCCACCGCGATTCACTATTGAGAAAGCCCAAGATGTCCTGGAACAACAGGACGTCGAGATGCAACGCCTGGATGAACAAGTGAGATATCTCGTTAGCTTTCGTTGCCTTTCAGTTCTAACAAGGGCGTGCAGACAGCTTCATTGGACAAGGCCGTGAGAGAGCTCAAGGGGCACGTCAGCGAAGAAGTCAAAGCGCTAGAGCGGGTCCGCGTCGAACGCGCAGAGAAGGAGCGGGAAGTTCGTAGCGCGCTCGGCGCCGACGCGAACGGCGTGGACGAGCGCGTCATGGACCTCTTTGAATGGTATGCTAGCTAATGCTATACTCCATACTGGTGCTTGACAGCCCCGCTCTTATAGGTATACGGCCGACCTGGACCTTCATCGCTCCTTGCTGTCTCTCGAATTCCTTGAGCATATCTCCGACGACGAGCTGCAGCTCATCTACAACATCGCGCACCCTGCTCGTCCCACTGTTCGCCGACGCGTGACGATCACACTCATCTATTCCCCGCTCCTTGGAGGCAAAGTCGGAAGGAGGAGGATAGAAGACGCTCAGGTCGAGGTCGACGGACAAACCGAGCCTGCTCTGGACGGGGTGCTAGATGAACACCTGAGGGCAAACGACGTCAGGGGCTTGGTTAACGGCATACTGGCCCGGATCAGGGGTGAGATGTCTATGTGAGAGAGATATCCGCAACACGGGGACGCCACGTCATTCGCGCAACCGGTGGGTTTGCTCTTTTCGGCGTCGTTGGATGAACGATGTTCATTGAGCTCTCCATAGCGGCCTGAGCGCCGTCCTAGGCAAAACTGAGCTGGGTGTCTCAATAATCTGGATGCTTCACCTTCTACGTCAAGGGAGTGGACTGTCAGTGAATACCTGCAGCATGGCTACTGCACTACAGGACTAGCGAATTTCATCGTGTTATCGGCCTTCAAGTTCGATACTGCAAGCAAACCTCAGCGCTGGTCCGATACATTGCAACGCCCGGCGACAGGATGCCTCACCCGCTCGCGAATCCGTCGGCCTGTTGCCGCACTGGTACCTGTATATGGATATCAAATTGCCTTTTGTGGCTTCCCGCCTGATTTCACGTCAACTTATCCGACGCGTTCCCGCGAGGCCGGCGCGGAGTCACGTCGCCTTCACCCCTTCGCTGCCCTACTTCTTAGGATGTCTATGATAATCTGTTGGTACTTGATGCCCAGGATTTGATATACACAATATATTCGCACTAGGTCAAGAACATGCTTGAGGCTTGATATGGGCCACACTTCATCCCAGTCAAGCGAATGGCTCCCCCTATCGAGGTCGGCGGTCGACGCAATCACTCTGGTTGTCTGCTCGGACACGGACACGGAGACAGCTGCTCACGCCCGGCATCTCAAAGCCAACCACGATCGGGCGTGGACCAACCATCTTTGACGGCGAGCCGCAACATAAAAGGAGCCGTTGGCTGACTGGATGCTCTCCACCCCCGCCTTTGCGAATCCTCTCTTGCGATAACACACAACCGCTCCCCTCGTCGCCCTCCACTTACATTCATTGACAATCATGTTCGCATCCAAGTTCGCCGTTGTTCTCGCCATGACCGCTGCGGCTGTCGCGACTCCACTCAACACCCGCCAGGGCCAGGTGCGCATGTTCGCTCGATCGTTTCACTGGGAAGGTTCTGAAACGTCCCTAGTGTAACACCGGCAACCTCCACTGCTGCAATCAGTAGGATGACATGACACTCACCGCGATCGCATTGCTAACCCTGGGGTTGCACGTAGGGTTCAGAAGGCTAGCCAACCCTCGACCGCCGGACTGCTGAGCCTTCTCGACATTGTCGTGCAAGGCCTTGACGTTCCGGTCGGTGTTGGCTGCACGCCGATCAACGTGGTCAGTCCCATCCATACCTTATAAGAGGTGTATGTGTTGCTGACCACTTCTCAGATTGGCGCCGGCTCCGGTGCTACCTGCCAACAGCAGCCCGTCTGCTGCGACAGTGAGTGGAGGGTTTGTGCTATGCAATCGACAGTTGCTGAACCCTTTTCCAGACAACCACTTTGGCGGCCTCGTCGCGGTCGGTTGCTCCCCTAGTGAGTGATCGCGCTTTGCTGGAGGTCTGATTGTAACGTTGACGGGGCGTGGCAGTCAACGTCAACGGCCTCTGAGCGTCCCCCATCTATCCCATCCTGGTCGAGAAGCGCGTGGTCTGATTCACTGGTTCATTACTGTGTTGCATCGCTATCCTAGTCACATTGTTAGTCCTCTTGTCGAATAGCACATCGGTTTCCGACAATGAGATGAGTTGGCATCCGAGCTGTAGGCCGTATATGGGCGCTAACACGGAGTGAACGGTAAGCTGTGATGACGCAGGCGGGGAACATGGCGCGCGGCGAGACACGCGGCGATGACGCGCCCGCCGTGGTTGGTGGCTACAAAAGCAGCTGATGCTGCGCCAGTGCAGAGCCCCCGAGCGCCTTGAACCTCGAAGCTGTTGTTCCACACTGTCCGCCGTCTATTTAACTGGAGGCATCGCCGCCATCCCAGGTCTCAGTCTGAACCTCCTCCGACCTCCCGCAACCCACCTCAAGCCATGAACCACTCGGCGACCAACGACGGCGATGCCCACACCAAAGCGACCACGACCGCCGCCGGCGCGGATACCCACGGAGTACGCGCTTTTCGCTGATCTGCTACGGTCATCGTCGTTGAGCCAGCCCAGAACCTGAACCAGAAGCCAGCCGGCCAGAACGGCTTCTTCACCGTCGGCGTGACCGACGAGAAGGGCAAGCGCCGGACCATGGAGGACGCGCATTCGTTCGTCTTCGACTTCGCCGGCGTGCGCGGACAGGGTTTCTTCGCCGTCTTCGACGGACACGCCGGCAAGGACGCGGCGGAGTGGTGCGGATTCCACTTCCACGAGGTGCGTTGTGGTGTCTGCCTGGCCGCGGCGTGGACCGCACGACGCGCTCAACACACGATCTTGCGACCCACAGTATTTTCTGCAAGCACTCGATCGCATGCGAAACTCGTCCATACCTGACACCCTCAATCAGACGTTCCACGACGTTGACGCCCATCTGTCGAGGCGATCCGAGGAATCGGACGGCAAGCTACACTCCGGCTGCACCGCCGTCACCGCGTTCCTGCGCCTCGAGGACTCCAGCGGCAAGCAGTCCTTCCTCGGACCCAACCCGGATCTAACGAAGGTGCACGATCCGCCCTCGGACGCCCAACTACGCAGGGTGTTGTATTGCGCGAACGCGGGGGACGCGCGCGGCGTGCTCTGCCGCGCGGGAAAAGCGGTGAGGCTCACCTACGATCACAAGGGATCGGACAAGCAGGAGGCGAAGCGCATAACGGACGCGGGCGGATTCATGATGAGCGGCCGCGTCAACGGCGTCTTGGCCGTCACTCGCAGTCTCGGCGATTCCGCGATGAAGGAGTTTGTCGTCGGCGCGCCTTATACCACGGAGACTGAGCTCTCTGATGACGACGAGTTCCTTATTCTCGCTTGCGACGGGGTCAGTGCATCTCGCGATCCGCTCCATCAGATCAGCCTCTGATGATTCTTATAGCTGTGGGACATCACGGGTGACCAAGGCGCTGTCAACAAGGCAAGGGCGATAGCCAACCCCGAAGAAGCAAGCCGTGCTCTGGTGGACTGGGCGCTGAGCAAGGGCACGCAGGACAATGTTACCGTGCTCGTCATTCGCTTCAAGGACAGTCCTATCGATGCCAACTCGCTAGCTAGTACCCAGTCCGTATAACAAGTTTTCGATGTAACGCATACTTTCTTCTCTAGCATTTCCTTTCGCATCCATGCGCAACACGTTTCCGTAGGAGCGTCCATCATCATATTGTATGAGTACGTGGCAAATAATTCATGATGTAGCACTATGTACACTGTCCGTGTAACGTTCCGAGTGAGTGCGTACACATATCATGGTCGCATTTATATTTCGTCCATGAGAGCTCTGCCGGGTGCCCACCTTAAGAAAACATCGTCACGATTGCTATACGTGTTCCCTTGCTCTGTTCGTCGCTACATTCTGAAACGAGCCACTATGCCAGGATATATATATCGCATGGAGCGCGATCAATGCTACGGTTGCTGCAAGGGTGCGAGACGACCGTGACTATTGCAAGACTTGTTATCCCGACATGCGGTCAGCTATATCGATGATGATCCCGTACCAAGTCGAACCAGTAACTGTGAGCCTGGACCTGCCGGATGTTTTGTAGGGAGAGTTAACGCGAAATTCAATGCGTTCGTATACACCACTTGCCTGCATCGGTCTGCCACACACACAGGTGCTTCTCTGATGCAGCCGCGACCAGAAAATGTTGTTTCGGGGATCGTGTCCCGCCTAACATAGTTGTTCAGTAGTGGCAAAGAATATATATATAACTTGCGTACGCATATGGCACGGGCATTCTCGGCATCACCTTGAGCACGCAGGAAATCAATGCGAGTGACGAGGGAAGAAAGAGATGTGCGATGTACTGGGAAAGATAAGAAACTGCTTCTTGCGTGGAGGCTGTCTTGCATCCCAGACCTGTACTCCACCCATGCTGATCGCGTGTAGCAGGGCCCGCCCGTTGTGAGTAAATGCCAGAGGAGCTATTCCAAGCTCTCCGTGTATCGAAAGGACACGCCAATACCTGCGATCCAAGCAAACGCCGGTAGATGTAGCGATGGCGATACGGTCCAAGTATGGACTGAAACTAGTCCTCCCCCTGTCGAGAGGGTACTCAGCACGGAAGTGCTCAACGCGAGATGCCATGCATACATTGGGAGATCAGTTATCGGTATACCCACAAATTTACATGCAGATAGATCTGTGAGGTCCCATATCCTTGGGAATATCGTCAGCAAGTGGCAAATTAACAACGGATCGACTGGTCTTACGCAATTCCGTGATTCTCATGTCCGACGAAAAACTTCGCAAGCTTGTCGTCGAACCTGAGGTCTACCATCTCAACCTTGTCTTCGGATCGGTTCACGCAGGCAGGATATCCTTCAAAACGTGATCTTGGATGCCAGTCCCCTGCATACGTGAGACAGCTGCATGGAAGTTCCACGATTACGCCAGATAAGTACCTTGACCCTCTGATATTTCGCTCCTTACCCATAGTTGCACTGACGTGCCGTCACCGGTTCCAAGAACAGTTCCCCTCTTGTCGGCAGCCATGTGTTTGATACTGTCCGGTGGAGCGACGATACCCCTCATGGTGACGCGAACTCGGTCCTGTTGCCAAGATGAGAACGTCTACGCCGGCGATAGAGTGAAGCGTGAATAACTCCGTCAAGGGTTTTTTTTGTCCAAGTAAAGGTTGGCCAGGATTCCATCAACGTAGCCAGCCACTATTTCCCTGTGGGTCCATATCATGCAAGAGAGGGCGTGAGTATGCTGAAAATGGGCAACGGCACGGTCCGGGCATCTTCCAAGGTCATACAGCACGATGAGTCCAAGTCCAGTTCCAATAGCAAGCCATGTGCAATCAGGGCTGAACGCAACGTCCTTGATGTGCTCCAGCTCCTTTGTAAACCTTTCCCGATATAGCAGCGGCATGAGACGAGGTATGGATAGTAAGTTAGGACAAGAAGGAGCCGTGTCGGCAGCGCTTGCATTCCTGCGCGGCGGCTCGCACAACGCCTCAAGCATGGATCGTAACTTCGCATCAACCATTCAATCTGAGCCCTACACCCTGACTCAACTCACATATACACCGCCTCCCCGCAACCGCATCCTCAGGCAAAGTACGCTGCCCACAAAGGATGCCATCTGAAGTGCCGAACCGCGTTGTAGAGTACAACGCGTCTCACCTGTTGAAATGCTTATCCTGACCGTCTCATGGAACCTATCATATACTCGGAGAGCCTTTTCAGATCCGTCATCCTGACGTACGCCCTGGTAGGGGTTGGAAGGCCATATTTGTAAGGCCAGTTCCGTCCTTCAACTCCGTGCGAAAATGGCTCCGATGCGGGATGAATGCAGCATTTCAGCATCACAGCCGTTTGCCATCAACACACCATTGAGAGGCACCAAAGCAACCTACGGCGCAAAGCGTAACACCGTCTAGTCATAGCACAGCAATTCTCTTTGCGCAATCACAAGCAGTCATGCTACCCAAATACTGTGGATGTCTTGTGAGATAAAACTGGTACTGAATCAAGGATGAACTCACGTTACCGCTACAAACGTTCTACTTTTTACTGGCAATGCCAATACGTCCACTTTTCCCGCCCTTCCTCTTCGCAGCTTGTTTGAGCGTGAGATACGCATAAGGATCCACGCCGTTCTTCTTCACGTCTCCACCCGCCCTCTGTAGGTCTGGTTAAATATGTTCCGAAACAATACCCATGCAACATAGGAACACATACCTTAGCCTTGAATTCCTGCCCGAGCTTCGGCTCAGACTTCTTCTTGGCCCTCTTTCCCGTTGCCGCTTCCATCACCTCGTCCGGATCAGCCATCTCCACGTCCTCGGCCTCCCGCCGCCGCTTCTTCGTGTCTTTATTGAATTTGACGCGCCCATTCGGCCCACGAGTGAAACCATCGACAGAAGTCAAACTCTCCCGGTACGCCGTGCCGACGACGTCCTCCTTCGCTGGTCCTGGAGCGGCGCCTGCGTCCGAATCAGAGTCTTCGTTGTCGATGACCATTTTGCCGGTCTCATGGTCCGTCTTGTATCGAGCGGCGTCTTGGCCCGGTTTCCTGCGGTTACCCGCCTTGCCACCTGGACCGCTCAGATCAGCGGGGAACCGAAACAACGACCAAGAAGTCCCTCACTCGTTAATCTGGTCGCCGCTCCTGAGAGCAAATCCATTGGTTCGTCCTCGTCGACTCGCAAGCGCGGACCTGCTTGAGCGCCCTTTCTCTTCCCCGCACGATCTCGACCTTGGGCAGGCGCGTCCTCGCCGTCGTCGCTGTCGTCCGCCTCGCTCTCGCTACCGTACAGGACATCCTCGAACGCATCACCGGTTGCTACCTTGCGCGAGGGCGCATCGTCGTCATCATCGTCTGCGGTCGCCACCCGCTTTCGCTTCGCCCGGTCCTTCCTCTTCTTGATGTTCACCAGCACCTTTCGCGCCTCATCCTCGCCCGCGCAGCTGTATACGTCCTCAAAACCGAACCGTCGTAGCATTCGCTCGAAGATGTGCCGAACCTTCTGCTTGAAGTGGTTCTTGTGATCGTGAACCCATCCGAGGAGCGCGGGCACGAGTTGCGGCAGCTGTGGGCGGAGGAGCTCAGCGGGAAGGGTGTGAATGGCGAGTTTGATGTAGCCCAGGGTAGATTTGACGATCTCCCGATTGGCGGAGGATAGGAAGACGAGGAGGGTGGAGAAGATCTCAATATGCATGCTGTCCGGGATGGCGTCTATGGTGCGTTTAGTTCATCGCGTCGGATCCAGCAAGAGATCGTACACACCTTTGAATTCGAAGACTATTCGGGAAATGGCGGTGACTGTTGCACTGATCATGTGCGGTGTTGCACCCGCCAGCCCACCCGCAATCATGGTCATGTACTCCTCGATGCTTGCAGGCGCCTCATCCGCCACGCCATCCTCCTCCATGCCATCGACATTGCCGCGTTTCACGACGCCACCCTCACTCATCTTATGCCCCATGATGACAAGCAAGTCGAACGCGGCGTTCCGTGCCTTCTCCGCAGGTTCTTTGGTCCCCAGGATGGCCTCCGGTATGAGCGACGGCAGCAAGTGGAGCGATGTAGAGGGTATGGCTGGAATCACAGCAGCGAGAAGCGCAAATCGGTCCCGTTTCGCTGCCGCATGGAGCGCGTCTGCCCGGGCCTCCAGCTCCTTCACGACAGCTTCGGCATTCATCGGCACCTTCCCGCTCTCGGCCAGCCTGGCAAGGATCTTGTAGCCGCGCTTCTGTACGCCAACGTCCTTGGACGCGAGTACTTGCGGAGACAGGCACATCTGGAAGAGTGCTGCCGCGTCGGTCTGGGAAAGGAACGGGGTAAGGAGCGCGAGGAGGTCGAGTGTTGTCGCGGCGACACTGTTCTCGCCTTGCTGCGACGGAGCGCCGGCCTGGGCGAGGTTCTGCTGGAAGAGCGCGACGATCTTGTTGTAAGCTTTGTTGATCTCGGTCGCGTCGGCGATGCCGAGCCACGCGGTAATCACATCGCCGACTATTCCGCGGGCACCCCGATCCACGGCACTGAACACGTTGAACAGCACCGCGAGCCAGCTCTCCACCTGCGCGCGGAGGAAAGCGACGTTAGCCTGCGCTTGCTCGCGGGAGGTCGATACGAAGGCCGCCTGGTATCGAGATAGCTTCTGTTCATCGTCGGATGCGAGCGCGGCGTTGGACTCAACCAGAGTCTTAAGCGCCTTCAATACCGCAGGTCGAAGCTCTTCCTGGCCGTAGAGAAGCTGGGAAAGGAGCTGGGAGAACTCGGGGGTGAGCGCCTTGCCGATATCGCCGCCGCCGTAACAGTATCCGACAAGTCCAGCCCATATCTGGCTGACGAGCACGCTCCAGACCTTGGCTTCGCTCGCTCGCTCGCCCTCCTCTGCTTGTTGCTGGTAATCGAACATGCGTTCGGAGAGGGGGACAAAGTAGGCGAGGAAGTGGGTGAGAGGGGATGGGTGGGGGTGCGGGAGGAGGGGGAGGATGAAAGCGCGAGGTTCGCGCTTCGCAGCCCTGATGGGATAGCCTGTTTAGTACGGAAGCGAATGTCATAAATGGCAACATACCGGTCTGTGGGTTCGAGGTTGAGCGGGAGGATGCGGAGAAGCACTTCGGGACCGAGCACTTGCACAGCGACGCTCAAGACACCGTCCGCAGCCTCCTTGTGCTCGAAAGACTTCTGCACTCTCAAGTGGCCGACTTTCTCGATCAGTCCGGAGGTAAGGACCTCCGCTGCCGTGGCCTGCGACCCCGACGACCGAAGTTGCAGGTTGGAGATGATAGATGAAATGGCCGAAAGCACCTCCGGCATTGAGCGGGCGAAGGCGAGCGAGTCGAGTGCGGCGCTGGCTTGGGTGATGATCTTGTTCAGAGGGTTATGGCCCTCTGAGGTGGATCCCTTCGACGAGACTTCGGCAACGGCGCGCTGTACGAGAGCGGGAGAGAAGCACTGCGCAAGGAGTTCTAGTGACTCAGCAGCCGCCTTGCGTATGCTCGAGTCGGTCGATTCCAGGTACCCCCAGACCGTCTTCCAAACCTTGCCCAGTTGGGCGGTGGATGCCTCCTCATCCGCTCGATGGTACGCTAGCGCGGCATTACCGACAACGAGCAGCCATGCGGGGGCGAGGGTGGTATCATTTTTTTGCGGGGCAGAAGAGAGGATAACCTTGAGGATGTTGGGGAGCTGGGGGGCGATGGTGCCCTCGTCTTCTTCCGAGGGTGAGATGAGGAGGTCGGTGAGAATGGTGTAGGCAGACTGCGAGAGGAAGGGGTTTCCTAGGCGAGGGAGGGTAAGGAGGGAGGCGGAGATGGGTGGGAGTGCCTGGTAGATTATCAGTCCTATAGAACACACGAGAAGCAGTACAAGAACATACTGCAGGAGGTAATTTCGGGAGGACAGGCTTGAGGAAAGCGAGGAGATGTATCGCAACCTCTGAGCTATCGCCTTCCTCCTTCTTGCCTTTTGATTTCGCTAAGGGGCTCGCATTGGCAGCTTCGAGGATGCTCTTTGACCACTCGGCAACGCGATCGGCATAAGGGTGCCTCGCCATCGGCGGCGGCGGCGCGTTCAACAGGTCCCTCACTATCTCTGCCGCCTTTCTGCGCACCTTCGGTCGCCCGTCGACACATAGTTGCAGAATGCTCGAGAACGACTGTCGGACTGCAGGAAGCTCAAGCTGGGTGCGGTCGAGCACCTTGAGTACGGCTCCGAAGAGGGACAGCTGCGAGCGCAGGGCAGGCGCATGGGCGTACAGGGCAGGCCATAACGGTACAATGAGGTTGTTAAGGGTCTGCAGATGAGTGCGGATAACGGGTGCGGGGACGAAGGGGGCGACGAGAGCGAGCAGGTAAAGCTCGGCGGGGAGGACGTCTCCCTCCCCGAGTTGATTCTGGAGTCCGGAGCCTTGGTCCTTGTGCAGCGTACCGTCGAGCGTGGAGAGTAGCGACGCAAAGTATGCGGTCGGCGATCGCTCGGTATGCTGCTCATCGAGGGTGGCCTCGAGCGCGCGGAGCAACGTCGCGGGGGTCTTCTGATGTGGCAGCGACGACGCAGTGTGAGGCCTGATCTTGGCGAGCGTCTCTTCCATCTCGGACGCCGACATCGTATGCTTGCTCGTCGTCGGCGGCAGCGATCAAGACTGATCGCAAAAATTCTGGCGGAATCTGCAACGCGGTCGTGGCTGTGCTCCCTGCAGCCGGTCTCCGAGTGCTCGTCATGCCAAGTCGCGCGCCGGGGGCCAGCGTCAGTGTGCCAGTCTCCACCACATGCCGTTGTCCACGACGGCGCGCCCGACGCCGACACCATGGTCCTACTTTTTGATTAGGTGCCCTATGCATGGTGCTTTCACCGGTGCAGGTTCGTTGACTTGACTCACCCCCAGGCTACTATTCAAGTTCGTGCTCAAGGTATTCTACGGCACCATCGTCATCGAAGGCCAGGAGCTCATCCCAGAGGACGGCCAAGCATGGTATATATGCTGTGACCCGCGCTTAGTGGCCCGAGACACTCACACACATCCAGTATCGTCTGCGCAAACCATGCCAACTCATTGACTGTGCGTGCGGGCCGTATGCGATCGCTCTCTCGGGCTGACTAGGGACCCGCAGGATGCGCTGTAACTTACATTTGATGACTGCACTACAGCCAGACGCTCATATCTTCCAGGTTGCTTGTCACCGCCATTCCGTCCAAGGTGTGCTCATACCACTTCTTGTGTGCTCAATGCTCATCCTCGATAGAAACGCGGACTCCTCCGCCTCACAGCTAAAGCCACCCAATTCGGCAAGAGAACGTTCACGAGCTGGCTTATCGAGTCAGCTGGCACCGTTCCCATCCAACGGCCGAGGGACATGCCTGACGGCATGGTCGACAACACGGCTGTTATGGAGAAGCTACGAGAGGTGCGTCAACGTGTCGTGCCCTTCTCCGTGCTGAACTTACACGTGGTATGTAGGCACTCGAGAAGGGAGATGCTGTATGTGTGTTTCCGGAAGGCGCAAGTCGTTATCATCCTACCATTGCCCCTTTAAAGACCGGAGGTGAGCGATCATAGTTTTCATGAAGGATCGTGTCTCATGCTTTCATATAGTTGCACGACTCGTATCGGATGTACTGACCCAGAAGAAGGACGAGCCTGAGTTTGAGGTGTCTATCATGACCGCATCTGTCACGTATATGTACGGCCCTCAGATACGCTTCTGTCTTGCTGGGTTAACCAACAAATTTCGTAGGCACCGCCAGCACTGGCGTTCCGACGTGTGAGCCATATTCGCTTCATGCCTCAGGCACTCACTGACCTTCCGTCAGTTTGATAACGTTCCACCCACCGCTTCGTTTCCGTCCCAAGGCAAGGCGCAGTGTTTTGGTCTCCTGTCTTGTTCTTACCCTCATATCAAGGACAATCCAGAACTCATCGCCCCCGTCGACTATAGTTGTATCAGGAACGTGACGGCACAGATGCATCAACAGATCACGTCCGGTACTCTGGACTCTCCATCCTGGGAACTCATTCGCGTTGCTAAACTTGCGGCCCGCATATACGTTCCCCTTGGGACGATGATGAGTTTGGGAGACTACGTTCGCGTCGTTAGGACGTTCCTAGAGGCGTTCAAGCTACCCTTGAATCCTGACAAGCACGGGCCGAGGGGTCGGAGCGACAGCATGAGCGGCAGTGGTGGCAGTGCCGACGAGGGCAGCGGAGACGTCGTCCAGGAACAGGATGCTAGGCTCATCGCCCTCTGCAATGACCTGAAGGTATGTTGTGTAGCTCTGACGCTGGCCGAATCACCCTTACGCCCCTACCGTAGGCGTACCAGGAACGACTGTCCCGTTGGCACATCAAAGATGACCGTGTCAGACGCCCTCTGCGCAAGCGCGAGATTATTCGCCGCCTCTTCGTGCGCTTCTGCATCGCCCTCTCCCTCTTCACCATTTCCCTCCCGGGCCTCCTCCTCTGGCTTCCCGTCATGCTCACCACCTTTTACGCCGTGCACAACTTCAAAAAGACGGGCCCGATCTGGGATACCTGGGACGAGATCGCGCAGTACAAGCTCATCTACGGCCTCCTCTCCGGCCTCGGCGTGTGGCTCGGCGCCACGCTGCTCACGTTCCCACTCGCGCCGATCACCTTCTTCGCGATTCCTGCCACGATGTGGCTCAGCCTGCGCTGGACGGAGGACGCGATCAGTAGCGTTCGCGCCGCGCTTGCGCTCGCACGCATGCTCCGCGTCGGCAAGCCGGCGCTTGCGGAGATGCGCCGCACGCGGGAGGAGCTGCACGCGCGCGTGATGGACCTCGCGACCGTGCTTGGGCTACCGCAAGACCCGGAGAGATATTTCGCGGTGCGTGGAGGGACGGAAGGGGAGAAGGGGCGAATGCGGAGCAAGTGGGACAGCAGAGTGCGGTACTTCTCCGTCCGAAGGCGGAGGAAGCGCGACTGGGAGGAGATTCTACGATTGTACGATAAACAGGACTGATATACTGAGGTAGTCCGAGACACGCGTGTCACCAGAACCTTGTGGTGGACCTGAGAGAACAGTAAATATGATACCGAAGTATAAGAATGACCATGTTCAGCGCCCTTGATGAGGTACCATCATTCAAGAATTGGCACAATAAGTACGACTATCCAAGTACGACTATCCAACGAGATGTCCTCGCTCCTCTTCCCCTCCCCGCAAAATCGTTCCCATTACACGCCGTCGCGATATCGACAGCGGGTGTGGACGATGGCCAAGTGGCACGCGTTACGCGATGGCTCGAGTGGCGCGTTGCTCGCTCGCCCACCGCGGTCATGTGACCCTCGCGTTTCATTAAGATCCTCGCAGCCACCCCATCTACAGCAGCAGCACCGTCGACAACACAACCTCGACGCATTTGCTGGCGTGGGGCTCGTTGTTTCCTCTAATTCTGTGATCGTATAACCGCAGATCATAACATCCTCTGCGACGTTTGCCCTTCCCCCATCCTCTACGAGCTCCAGCTTGCTTAGTGCGTACAAAAGCCACACACCTCGAACACATCCACCAGGCCACAATGAACCCGGGCTACGTCGTATTCAAGAAGGGAAGGAAGGGAAGTGTCGTTCAGCACCAGAAGAGTAGGCAAATTGGAGCGATGGAGGGTCGTTGCAAGGATACAATGGCATTGCTGGGTCTGGTGAGCGTCGTCAGCCACAGTAACGTCCAGTAGAAAGAAACTAACAACCCATACCTCGATGCTTGCTCATAGATGCCCTCCTCTATTCTGCAATACGAGTACGTGCATTGACCGCAGAATTGCTCGACATCGGCCAGGTGGCTAATGTTGGCCCTTTAGGCAAAAGGCCGGCGCCGACACTGGTAGAGCTAGGTCGTCGATGCCCACGGGGAACAACAAACCGTCAGTGATGTTGACGGTTAAGTGCGTTCGCGAAGTCGGACGCGAGCGCTACGACAAGAAGAACAAAAGGGAGAGCAAGGCCTTCCGATACGCCGTTTGGTGTTGCCCTCCCCTCGCATCAGACCTTCCTATCACCCCGGCCTTAGTCGACGAGGACCACGATCAGCAGATTGAAAAGCGTGAAATGGCGCCGGTCGCCGTCTTGGAAGTCTCGCGGGAGACGCCGCGTGAGGTCGACGTTGACGCCGCAACACCCGAGTCCATGCCAAGCATGATTCTGACCGGCTCGGACGGGTCGTCAATGGGACCCGCAAGCCCGGCGAGCGCGGAATGGTCCCCGTTGAACGATCCAGTCTACGACCCCGTGCAGGAGCGCGTCGATGGGAAGATCATGGTTACACTTCGCGGCGTCGGAGTGATCGGTGATGGACGTCCATCTCGCAAGGCTGGCAAGGTTGAAAACGATCGCGGTCGCCTGGAAAGCGCATCCACCGCGGTTAACATGGCTTGATGCGTCATGAACGGAGCAAGTCGCACCTGCGAGTGCGACAGCGAGCCATCTCGTGGTTCTCGTGCTGGTTTACGGGCAGCACCTATGCCCCTCCTTTAACACTCCCCCCAGGTCTCTCACTACTCCCAGGTCTCCCACTACTCCCAGGTCTCCTACTATGCCTCTTAGGTCTCCCCCTCCTACAAGGACTCCCACTCTTCCCCGGATTCCAAGCGAAGCGGGCCCGCTCGCTTCAATGAGGTCCTGGGTTGGATCTGCAAGAGCACCGATCTACGACCCCTTGTCAAGGATCTCATCCGCATCGCCGCAGATGAAGAGGCGTCAGGCGCGTGCTGGACGCGACGGACGCGAGGTTTCACGTCGTATCGGAACGGGCCGCGAGCGATGGTCGACATCGACGCGTAGAGGAGTCGGCGTTGGACGAATTTGACGAGCCTAAGCCCAAGGACGCTTTTTGATTGTTTGCTGGATTTGGATCGTCATGTATAATAGTCAAGTGAGGACGGATATCAGGTCAGACGGCGAACGATGAGACGTGGTCGAGCGGAGGAGACCCGCGGAATGAGCTGTGCAGTTTCATCACTGGGCGTTGCCGGTCTCCGATTGGTCCTTGGCTGTCCAGTGTCCGGCATGGGGTCGGCCACACTTGATGCAAGCTTGCGCCTCCTAGCGGCGCGCGCCTCGCAACATGAAACAACGAGATTCGACAGAGACACAATATATATTGTGCTATCGTGATCTTTAGGCGTAAGAAGACGGCGATCCTTCGAGCCCGGCCAGGAAGACTAAGTTGGCGCCCGCAGCAACCCTGTGGCTCCACGAACCCATCTGCTGTTACATTGGGACCATGAAGCTAAGGACCGGCGGAAGTTCCACGTACTACTTATCAGAGGTACTTCGCTCAGTATCGACGAGGAGCGTGTGGGTTGCGTGTGAGTGCGTTGCTGTTCAAACGCTACTCCCACTACTTGTGAGCTGCATACATGACCAGGCATATATAGCCAGTGACTGTAATTCTCAGCTGCGAAGGGATTTGCGATTACACCGTTCACGACGAAACACGGCGTTGTACCGTTCGTGACCTCGCAAAAACGTCGCGCTTCCGCCCATGTTCCCGTCGACCTACCTCTACCGTCCTCACCGAAACAGCGAGTTCTGCATCCTCCAGTCGCGCGAGTTTTGTCAACAGATCGCGCTCGGAATCATCTATATCAGTATCGATCGCGACAAACTAAGGCATTAGGCACGTACCGTGACGATTGCGTCGTTCTCTGAGCTCAGATGTCCGCTGGACAGTCTAATTGTGACTTCGTCCGACGAAGTTCTTGGGAAACGGTTTTAACGGAGACGGGGAGGAATTCAAGTGTGGAAAACCCGTATATACGGTGAGTCTCTGAGCAACCGTCGCGGTTTCGGAGGGTTCTTACGGCATGTGCTACCAGGAAACGCGATGAACCATGCGTTTGCATGATTTATGGTGCTCCGCACGGCTTGAGTGACCTAGCCAGTATGTGACCGCAGAAACGCCGGCATGAACGCCTGGCTCGTGGAACGTCGTCACCGTGCCCGACCCTTTCATTACGGTCACCAAGCATGCTTCTTTATATGGCCAAGGAGATGCATGAGGCAACATGTTCTCGCTAAGAATACCGCATATACGACATGTGGCATATTTCATCACCGCTCTCTTCTCAATACGCTGGTGCACCCGCTCCGAGACCGTTTGTCATTCACCACCGCTAGCTTCTCCACAGGGTCACCCATAGTCTCTCACATGTATGGAACACATGGCGGGCCTCGGCGACCCTGGATGTCCTGCGTCCAAGGGGCGGGCATTGACGCAACCTTGCTCGTCGAAAGCCTGCGTTTTCCGTGAGCTTCAACGATGTGATACGGAACCAACGGCGGTACTCTGCTAAGGATGCATCTGGATGAAGTGACGGCCGCGAAAGGATCGGGGGTGCCTCGCAGATCTGCAGCAAAATCAGACAGAGAGGGCATACGGGCGGGGCGAGATGTCTCACGACTGGAGTCAGTCATGGTCTTTCTGGAGGGATCCCGAGTGTACCCACCGTTTCTTCAGCCCTTATATACAGGTTTGCGACCCTTTCATCCCGCTATCACCGTTTGTTCGCGCTGCGAACTACGGTGGGTCCATGGGAAACAGGCAGTTGACATAATGCGGTGACTATGAAAATTCTGATCAAGAGTTGGCGCAGAATACCCATCTGCGATTAGAGTCTCCAACGGACCGTTGGACGCATTTGACTGGTCCCTTCACCAAAGGCGAATATTAATGACGACGCCGACGCCCAAGAAGCTAAGGAAGCGCGCTCGTGAGTTATCCTCGCTTGGTGAGGGCGTGTTCGCGGACATGAATAAAAGCACAAGGCCCCTCTTATAGCCCTCTTCTATGAGGTCAAGCACACATCCGAGCTTGGCTTGTGAAATGCTTGGCTTATTGCGTATCGTTAGGCAATCACTCATGTACAGTGATCCTGGTCGATATCCGTGTTTTCAACGCTACGTATTCACGGGAAGTATTTGCAGGATCTTATGATACCCTGACGATGCTCTAGCAATAGCAACTGCACGTCTTCTCGTGCATTGAGTCAGTACACACGATTGCATATATACTCTGACCACCGTCACCAGCTGGATGATTCGGGAACGAATCGTACCCAAATAGCATGTGCATTGAGTTGTGCATGATGAAAACACTTCGCAACTATTGAGTCGAGGAATGTCCGCGTCGGATTAACAGTGTTCCAAATTACCAGAGCGCTATAGGAGGACCTGAAGGTAGAGCCCGTTCATCGTTTCATGAGTCATCGATGATTATAGCCTTCCGAACTCGGACACTTCCTCGCTTGGCGATACGCATGGCGGGGCTCCGGTGTTCAAACTGCGAGACGGTGACTATATTCACTATATTCATCTAAAGCCGAAGGTAACGTAAGTCCGCTGATCTTAGTCAGAGGGAGAAGAATCAGAGACGTTTCCGACCGAAATCCTTGTATACTTAGTTCGAAGACCGTTGGCATTTCGCAGGCAGTAGCCACGAGAGGACACGCGTTGTGCCGCCAACAGCTTCCGCGTGTTCGCAGGCACCGGCGGGGGATGCAAGGATAGTGATCAACAAGCTAGTCCTGGGCTCATCCAGAGTGGGACCCCGGACGAGTGTAGCGTAAGGTAGAGGACCTACGCACGAGTAACGAGGTGTGGGCGAGAGTCGCCGCGCGTGGGCGGGTACAACAAAACCGTACACGCGCAGCTGCACTCTGGGCTCCAAGGTCCTAACTCTTGGTGCCAATCGAGGGGGCGGGACGGGCGGAAAACGCGACGAGCGAAGCAGGAGGCGAGGAAAGGTGGAGGCTGTGTAGCCTCGCAAGACCTTCCTCGCCTGCTAGACTGAGCTTGTCCTCTGATAGGCGGCATGGTCTATCGCCCAAGGTGGCATGCTGTTACCTTCTGCTGAACCTCGTGTCGGTGATCAACGATGTACAATGGGCTGCGATATCAGGTGTGATCTTTTTGTACGTTAACCCTGCTTCCATTTTTCACCTTGTTCACGAAGTTTCAAGTAAGACTGACATAACTTCGTTGCTGCGACACCGACGGGGAGTGACAAGAATAGATCAGCCGCAACCCAGCAAAAGCCAACGTAATCACGGCAGGCGCGTACAGCCACATCTCTGCATAACATTATTGCCTGGTCTCTGTTGTCGTGTTGTTCTAACCACGGCAGTACTACGGACTTCGCTAGTGCTTCACCTCATTACTGTCTCCTTTTTGCGACCAGGATGGAGAATGCATCGGCTGGATCATCGCAAGCCAGCCCCTCGACGTCGCGACAGAAGGGCTTGGACATCTCGTCCAAGATGCGACGGCACAGTGGCAATGTGCCCGTCCTTCCGCAGACCAAACAGTGTCCGTACTGCGAAGCCAAATTTACGCGTACCACGCACCTGAATAGACACATAAAGACCCGTATGTCCTCGCCATCTGCAAGGTTGGATTTTGAAATAATATTGTCGGTGTCTTAGATACTCGGGAGGGCATGGTTACATGTGAAGTGAGGTCACCTCGCAAACCCGAAGATCTCATTTGACACTGTTGTCTTACAGCTCTGCCAAGCACAGTTTACTCGCGGTGATCTGCTTTCTCGCCACAAGAGGTCATGCATGAAGGGGTATGGGGCCTTTGGCTTCTGCCGACATATTTTCATTGATTGCTCCTCATAGATTAGCGCGTCGAGGCGTGCGTCAGGCTCCTGAATCAACCAACGAGAAGGTGGAATCATCGGAGGCGACCTTCGCTGGATCCTCTGCTGATGACCTGAGGCAATGTCTATTAAACCTGGCGCCCTCCGATCCTTCGAAGTGTGATTCTACCTCCACTCTCGTCTCGCCGTCACCTTCTGATGTAACGGGTCCAACGACCGATCTGACATACACCAACAATACCGAAGTTGCCGGGAACGCAGCCAGGGGTTTTGTGCCGCAATCTCCCGGGAGCATGTTCGATATGCTGTTCAACGACGTCTTCTCACCTCCTACCGTACCTTCATCTTCATCCTCCACCAACGAATACGAAGGTGCAGCCATGAGCAATCCGGAGATGGTGCCGTTCAGCGTACCTAGTGGCCAACCCTTGCCATCGTTCAATCCATTCACTGGAGTCTCTACACTACTACCGCCTCCTAACTTTGCTATCACTCAATCGGAAAAAGAAAGGGAGATGGAGCATTACGGTATGTCATCCAGCATTTGCATATCATCCGCTAACGCCTAACACGGCATTCGCCAGAGTTCTTGTTCTATACCGAATTCCTCGACCAAGCGCCCCTGTACCATGTGCGTCCTTGATAGCATGCCGTGATCCTAATGGCTTAATTTTCTCTCGCAGATACCTACCTTGTCTGGCCAAACGAAACCCCAGATTCTTACCGATACTATTCGTGCATGTGGCGCCCTGTTCGTCCGAACAGGGAAAGCGAGCGCGTTTACAAACAGTGTACTTGCTTCGGAGCGAGAGCACCTAGCCCGCGAGTTTGTAGGTGATATCCACAAGACTTCAGTCAGGCTCGGGTTCTGACGGCGAATCAGGCGTTCAATCATGCGAACGCGGACGATCTCTTTCCTCTCGTGCTTGCAGTGTCGCTATTACAGATGATCGGCCTTTTCCACCAGAATGCGAACGAACGTGCAACCTCGAACTTGTTCCACGGGATGCTTGTGATGGTGAGCGGCTTCCCGTTCAATTTTGACTCGCAGGCTACTGACCCGCATACCTTTCTTTAGTTGATTCGACGAGCTGGACTTCTGCAACGAAACGCAAAATGGCAACCGCTCGAGATCGATCCAAGCAACCCCTCATCCATCGACGCGGCGTGGCGCGATTGGGCAAGACACGAAAATATGAAACGGTGGGTCACTCTACCTATCCTTAAATGTGGGCTCCCCACCTGAGATTGTACCTGGAACTCTCAGTGCGTTATTGGTCTCCTACCTGCATGATATCATGCACCGGGCCAGCTTTGCATTGCCCACATGTTACGTGGAATCGGAGATGGTACTACATTTCCCTTCGGAACCCAAGCTGTGGGCAGCCCGGACGGCGACCGAGTGGTACGCCGTACTCAACGAACCGTCCGCCTACGGATCAATGCGCAATCGTCTCATGGGCATACCCACACAACCCACCCTGGCCAAACTTCGAAACTATCGTGGTCACCCTTCCGAACTCGACATCAGGCTACCGCCGATGGCTCATCTCTTCATCTTGAAGTTATGTCTCGGCGAGATATATGCGCTGGCCGCCCCATATATGGAACCGCTGTCGGAGAAAGATAAGGAACAGAGGGTCTTCGAGATGCAATACTTTCTTCATAACTGGGTGGGGGCGTGGCTAGCCGGCCCGGAAACACCCCCAAAAGAAGAAGAGCCTATTTTCTACCACAACGCGCTGCCGCACTACTGGGTTGCCCAAATTTCGCTTATGGCGTATCAGGAGGACATGCCGCCATTCCAGAGTGGCTCAGCGAGCAGAACGGATACGGACGCGCGGTTCAGGCTTATCAACTGGTGGGCCAGGTGTGTCCGCAAGTTCCTGCGATCCGCTGGAAAGGAGGGAGTGAAGTTCGGATCGACGGTCGTCTGGGACGAGATGATGAAGATTAGATTGGACGCCTGGAAGTTCGAAATGGAAGGCGCCAACCCCGTTTATGACGAGAGCCGGGACGGTATCCTAGACTTGTTCGCGAACATCAGTGGCCGAGGTTGAATCCTTCTGTTCTGGAGAAATGATACGGGGAATGTATATATACGGTGTACAGATATGGACGGCAATAATGCGCAAGTAATGCACAATGGATACGCGATTCAGTGAACGCAGTGCAGAAGTCGCGTAATATGTCATCTGCACACGATCCACCTCCCTTCAGCGCCCTCCTTTTGCTCCAGACCACCCGCCCTCTCCTTCTCACCTAGCCAGATGTCGAGCTCCCTTCCATCAACCAAACAGAGCGACGTCTGAAGCCAGAGCCGCGTTTCACTTCCGGGATGACATGCCCATTCACGGTATGCGATACGAAAGGCCGACCAAGCTGATTCCCGAGCACTGCTGCGAAGTCGATATATCAGATGGTGCAGCGCCGCAGAAGCAGAGGTGTACGCCGTCGGGAACGGAGAATGTGTTTCCCAGACAGGGAAGGGTGATGGAGAATTGGAGCCTTGCAATGTCAGCGCCTGAACGGATGATGCCAAAGCCTCGACGGGCGACGGTCCCGCGATACGAAGCATCTCATCAACGACGGACTGAGTCGTCAGACGTCCGAAAGCGACCCAATTGCGTCGTCGAAGGGTCAGCGCAATTTGCTGGATCCATGAGATGGGACAACGTCGGATGGCGGCTAAACCTTGGACGACAAGCTGTTCGTGTAGTGGGTTGGTTGAACGTGCCTCTGTAGCTGAGCCCATCAGATCCTTTGGGAGGGAACGTAGGTATGCACGATAGGAAACTTGTGAAGGATAATATGCGTCCAAGTGGTACGCCATGGAGAGCACTAGGGTCAAGGTGACCGCAGGTCCGTCCCTGCCGTATGAACTGGACGCATCCCGTCCGGGCGAGGCATCTTGTCGCAGCGACGACACATAGAGGCCAGGCAAGGGTCCGAGAGCAGAGAGGACTTGCGCAGGGGAATTGAAGAGAATGGCGTAGTGTGAAGATGTTTCGTGTACTGCGGAGCTTTTCAGACAGTTCATCTTAAGTGCTGCAGATGAAACCACGTATACCTTCGATAGCAAATGCGTCCACCCTTTTTGACGCTGTAATGCCCTCTCGAAGTTTTCCTACTTCACCGATCAGACGGGCCCGGGAAACGGGGAGGGATCCGTAGCTCTCACGAAATAGAATCAAGAGATTGCCGCGGGCATCATCCCGTTGACGTAGTTCATGTTGTTGAAAGACCCTCTCCGATGTTCCCCATTTCCGGTGGTAATCGTCCAGCTGAAAATCAGTCAGTGACGAATCCGTATGACGATATATGTATGCCGGAATGAACCTTTCCCTGGATGAACGTCCTATATCGCTCCTGAGTCTTGAAGTCTTTCAGACTGAATGGTGTTCACCAGCATGCGCATATCGGTGCGCCGCTCGTGAACCGCAAATCCAGGAGCGAACTCACGCATCGCCGTCCTTATCGAGACCGCTGCTCCGGCTCACAGATGCTATCAAGTCCATCCTTCCTGACAGCTCGGGTTGGCTTGCACTGGTACCCCCACCGCGCCTCCAAGCTCCGTTATTACGAGTTGCGCCATCGGTGGACGCGCCTCGCCCGGAACTGCTAGCGACAGTTCGCGAGCCTTTTCCTCGGACATTGCGAGCGCCACGACCAGGTCTCGAAGCCATCAGAGGCAGCACACGATGAACTGGAAGTTGAATGTTGAAATGGTTGGCGGATCGCCATCAGCTTAAACGCCCCCATGCCATATTTGGTAACAAGTTCCGACAAGCATTGCAGTGGGTTGATGGTTTGCATATGGATTGCAATCAGCAAAGCGTGTCTATACAGGAAAAGATAGAAAGCGAGAGCAGTTGACATAGCGTATATACTACATGAAGGTTTGGCGAGGGTCGCCGAGTCTCAGTATCGTTCCAGGCAAGATGATCATGAGATGCATTTCACACCACCGCGCGTGCGCGTCGCGGGGCGGCGTGTGGGTCTCCAAAAACACAAGAAAAGAAACGTACAATTCCAATAGAAGCCAAGCGAGACAGGGTCGAACCCACTCCGAACCCACCCTTATCCCGAGACGGCGTGTCGAAGGCGAGGCGGTATAAAAGGCTGTCTGCCTCAGGGACAGCACACCGTTTTTTGCTGCTTTCCCCCGGACTGTCAGGCGACGTAATCATCTTGGGTTGTTCCAGTCGTCCTCGCCCAGCATGGGGAAGAAACCGAGCAATCCTTCTTTGTCTTCCGGTTTCCCGGCCTCCATCTCGATCTGCCAGCTGTCCAGCCTGATCTTCATCATCTCGTCCCAGAACATCGTCGGCTGCACGGCATTCTGCTTGTTCTTTAAAAAGTCGCGGATGTGTCCGACCCACTGCTTCACGAGCCGGAACCGCGCGTCGACGTTCGTCCCGCTGATCGAGTCCTGCTGGAACGGCGGCATGTGCTCCTGGTAAGCCATCAGCGTGATCTGGCCGAGCCAATAGAAGGGCAGGCAGTTGGCGATGAAGACTGGTTCATAACCCGCTTGGTGCTGCGGCGTCTCCGGAGACGTGAGCCACGTCTGCAGCCAGTTATGCAGCGCATACTGGAATTCGTAGCCGTACTGGATGGGCCGATCGTCTGGATGCAATGGGGCGGGTGCGGGCACCTGGCTCTCGATGGGAGTGCAGATAGCGTAGAGATCGCTCAGGATGGCGTGTATGAGAACGAAATGGCCCATCGGGGTGAGAGCGAGGGGAGCCTCAATGGGTCGTGTTTCCCGAATGAGTTTCAGGGCATCGGGCATGGAATACCCGATCATCCGCTGGGACACGGATCCGTATGGTGACGAGGTGTAGAGCAAATCTCGCCACTCTTCAGCAGTACGAGCGCTCCACAAGCTCTCCTCGCATGGAAGACCCATGGTCAACTCCGAGGTGCGGAACGACGTCGGCAAGGCAAAGTATATCCGGTGACATGTGTCATGCAAGTATGAAAGGAGGAGGGCACTAGCAGAAGGTGAGTTTCAAGTCCCAGATAAGTTGTTGACAACGCATACCGTTTCGCTTGTTCGTGCAATGCCCACTCCTTCCATGATACATCTACGCCCTCTTCACAGTCGGGCGTTAATGGTGTCCATTCCGTACACTTCCGGATGTAGCCACATCGACGGATCATCTATTGATCACGGGGTCATTAGCTACCTTGGTCATGCAGAGAAGATGCGACGAACCATAATCAACATGCCATGGTACATGTTTGATATGGCGCGCTCATCCGAGCGTTCATGGAAGAGGCCGATGGTCTGGAGAAGGCAGGTCGCCGTGACGATATCCAGCAGTTCCATGCAGTTGGCAGGATTTTTGGTCTGTTCCATATAACCGGGCTGTTAACGTTCGCATATACGAAGGATAACCTCGTAAATGTACGAACGATTTCCTGAGGTAACCGCTCCCTTGTGGATGCCAGAGTCCTCTTGACGAACTCCGTCGCCTTCTTGGTGTTGACATAGAGAGCACCACACGCATGAACGGCGTCCACCAGGATCGATGGCTTGCCGTCCAGTGTGAAGGTTGGGGCCTGTGAAAGAACTCAGCTCGCATTCCCGGATGGCTGTTGGGCAACGGAAGTAACATACGTGCACGATGGGCATCTGAGGCACGAACTCCGTGAGGAAGAGATATTCTGCGCAATGATTAGCATCTGAAAAGCATGTGTTGTCCAAACGCATACCATAGTGCTCGAGCTCCTGTGGATTGTCCGGTGACGATGGTGGGCTAGGGCCGGCGTACAAGGTCGAGTCTGGGCTGCCTTGGTGGGCTTGCCAGAAGGCCATGTCTTGCAGCGAGTTGGGGTCGTGGAATTCATGGGGTCCTGCAACGGGCGTCTGACCATTCGAAGCGAAGACGTTCGTGAAGAAGTCGTCGAACATATTGCCTTGGTAGTGAACGCCGTGGGGGGCACCTGAGGGCGCAGATGCCTGACTGACGCTGGCGACTTCGGAGCTCCATATCGTGCCCGTGTACTCTGTCGCGGGTGGCGTTAAAAGCGCCGAGCTATGGGTGTCTGATTCCGTGCGCGCCGAGGACGCTTGTGCAAGCAGGTAGTCCCCAAGGCTGGAGTCAGGAGCTCTTCTGGCATATGCAGACGGTTGCGATTCTTCGTCGGGAGACCGTCGAATGGAGTTCTTGCGAGCTGGTGTCGGATAGACACATTCCCGATTCCTGGTGCTGCACCTCGAACACGGCTCTTTGAGGTCGCATTTTGTCTTCGACTCGGCACAGGCCCGACATGACTTGCGTCGCGAGGTACCTTGGTGACTTGATGTCATGTTTCAGACTGCTGTGTGAGGGAGCTTGGTTTAGAGGTACTCACCGCCCACCACACGTCTTACGGTGCCGCGAGAGGAGATCGCTTCGAGTGAACTCAGCGCCACACGCCTGAGAAGTTGTTTAGGATCGACTGGAACCAATGAGGGAGCTATACGGTTCCTGTTCACCTCGCAAACATGCAAACCCTCCTTAGTATCTGGGCCTCCGTGAGTCCATCGGTAGGTGTCATGAACGAGTGTACGACATACGAGTCTTCAGGTGGCGGTTCAGATGCGTCGATCGAGTGTACTTGGCGGGGCAGTGCGGACATTGTTTTGTCTGCGGCAATGAGGGGATGTTGCCGCCATGACGGCGCATCTTGGACGAGATACTAGCGGACTTGGTCCTCGAGACCGAGCTCGCGACGCTGGCATTGTCGGCGGCGCCGACGTCGACGGTGGTGATAGTCATGGAGGGTGGAATAGGAGGGGCTGGGAGGGTTGTGGCGATGTGTGGGGTGGATCACGTATACAAGTACTGGAAGGGCGATCGCATATAGGGACTCGAAACGGTATCAGCGTGATAGAGCAGAAGAGAGGGCGAGCGCCATCAAGGAAGACGATGCACAGTGGGATCGAAGGGGATTGCGGTCGGCGAGTTCGCATCGTTATGTAACGCAAATCCAGTTTGCACTTTTATGGCTTCATCCGGAGACATACGGCCACCCTGTCTGACGCGCTCCATCAGCCTCCCTGACGATGGCCCTCGCAGACGCCTACAGACTGAATGCATCCGCCTTACGACTCCAGTAGGGACAAATCTGCAAGCGAATGCCTGGCACAGGTTTAAGCTCGACGCTACCGCCATTGGCCGCGTTGTGAATCTAATCCGGTCCTTGCCGTTGGTTCTTCGCGGGCGCTGGGCTTCCGTATCCCATCATGACAACCGTCCATGGTAAACTTAGTATTCACCCATTCATCATCATCAGAAACGGGGGTCGTTCACAGACACAAAATTTGATCCCGCTGTCAGGGAATAGCAACTTCTTTCGTCTCGTTGGTCTGGCGTCGCCAGAAGTATCCAAGGGTGGTTGGTACGTCTGTCGATCTACCACCTCTAGTCGTCTGCCGCGGGTACTCATGCGTCCGCACGACCACCGTGCTAGGTAACGGCACAGGTTGGATCACATCGTTACATGACCTCTGCTCTGAACACGCAGATGCCCGCGCGTATCCGTCGATCGACCCGCGAAACGGCAATATACTCGTCTCTGAATAACACAGGGCCGCCGGGTACAAATCGTCCTGGAATGGTTGACTTGAGATCGTCTTACCATCAACTTCAATCTACTTCAAGGCCTTGAAAGATTTCATCGTGAGATGCGCTCGCTGCGATCATAAGTAAGACATTGAGCGCCGTCCTGCGCCGTCCTTGGGACCTTCCACATGCTCGTTGATGCCGAGGGCTATGCATTTAGCTCGTTTACGTCATGCTCGCCTCAGCAGCCTCAGCTCGGCTTGGTGCAGAACGCACACCAAGCTAACTGTGAATCTCTTCACCGCTGCCGCTGATCGCGGGGCCGTTCAACGTTGTTTGTAATCCATACAGAGTCATTGAGAGAACATCGTATTAATCGTGCTTATCGTAATCGCAGGCAGGGTCTTTCATTTCACGATCGTTCTGCCGCCACTGACCACCGTTTCAGCGCGTACGGTATAGATCTTCACCATGGCATCAGCTACTTTAACTATCCAATCCGCCGTAAAGCTAAGCTCCGGTGATGATGACATGGTAGTGCGAATGGCGCGCATCACTGACCAGAAGAGGAACGCAGGTTACTTGATGCCACGCATCGGCTTTGGAGTCTATCAAAACTACGCCACGAAGCAATCGTGTTTGGAGGCGTTCGAGGCTGGATATCGGTGCGCTTCTATTGCCGGCGGCAATGTTTCGCCATCAAACTCACAGCGTCCTCTCCACCCCCAGGCATGTGGACTCGGCCCAAGCATACCACAACGAAGCGCACGTCGGTGAGGCTGTTCGTGAGAGCGGCATACCGAGGGAAGAGCTCTTCATCAGTTGAGTATTGGAGGACCCGGGGGAACCGGCAACACGCATGACCCACTCACCTCAGTATTATAGCAACCAAATGCGTCAGCAAGACGCATGGCTACGAGAGCACACTCAAAGCCGTCGACGTTTCGCTGCAGAGCTTCGGCTTCGGTAATTCGATATCGTCAACCGGCCTTCTCGATGTCATATTGAATGCATGTGAACCTGGCAGATTACATCGATCTATATCTCATCCATGATCCCATGTCGGGAACTGAAAGGCGGCTGCAAACGTACAAGGCTCTCCAAGAATCGAAGAAGGCAGGCAAAGTGCGCACCGTAGGTGTTTCCAACTAGTAAGTCTATAGAACACGGACTTCCAGAGCACCGGACGACGATTTTGTCCACCAGCGGGATTAAGCACCTGCAAGAAATCCAAACGGCCGGTTACGAGCTCCCAGCAGTGAACCAAATCGAGGTACGCTGCGATGTGTGGAATGCGAACCAAATACCAAACGGCGCACGACAGCTGCATCCTTTTTGCCAACAACGGCCGATCGTAGATTGGTGCAATAAGCACTCCATCGTGGTACAAGCCTACTGCCCGATAGTGAGGGGCAAGTTTGATCATCCCGTTATCCAGCAAATTGCGGAGAAGGTTTGTTGGGCTCTGGGTATACTGTGCACCACTGCCATCTGATCGACTCTTCATTTAGTTGGATCACGACCCTGCTCAAATCTTACTGCGCTGGTCGCTCCAAAAAGGGTGAGTAGCGATCAACAGCGCCTTTCTCATACTCGCTAACAGGATGATATCCGACAGATTTATTCCTTTGCCAAAGTCCTCCACGCCCGCGCGCATCAGGTCGAACATACAGCTGTACGATTTCGCTCTCGACGATGAGGACATGCAGGCGTTGGATGAGCTTGATAAAGGAAAGGAGGGATCCATCAGCTGGAATCCCGTTGACTTTGCTTGATGGACAAGAATTCGGAAGCGTCATGATAACGTTGTCTACCTGGCGGTGAAGACCCTCTCCACACAGCACGACTCTTATATCGATGCGCATGCATTGAATTGGGTAGTATACACGTGTGCCCAACAATGCAATATTGTGGATGATGCGGTGCCCACTGCGCATGCCGAACTTCCATCACTGCCGAGCGGATAATGTGAGCAAATATTCCAAAACTCCATCTCCACTCCTGTCTTCACGGAGCCCATTCTCCATCTCCAACCTCCAACCATCCAATCGAATCTTCATCATATCGTCCCATAGAGCAGTAGTCGTGGCGCCGAAGTACTTGCCGTCCGTTCCGAGAAAATTCGTGATGCAACTGAACCAGTACCTGATTAATCGCCATCGCGCGTCGGAGTCCGTTCGGCTGAGACAACCGGGCTGGAATGGCGGCATATCCTCCTGGTAGGCCATTAACGATATCTGTGCGAGCCAATACGATGGCAGCGGGTTTTGAAAGAACAGAGGCTCGGCCCCTTCCGGCGGCGTATCTGGGCCATTAAGCCAAGACCGGAGCCAATTTTGCAGGGACCATTGATATCGATAAATGTCCTCTTCCGGCCATTTTTGACCTACTGGGAGTCCTTCAACGGGAGTGGCGAGAGCGTATAGCTCGCTGAGGAGCGCCTTGATCATAATAACGTGAGACATGGGGTCCAAGACAAGCTTCAGCTCGTTGTTGGGAACGCGCGACGTGCGCAAGACATGGAGCGCGTGTTGAAAGGGTACCCCCAGCAATCGCTCCATCGGTGTGCCATATGGAGACGGTTCATGCAGCGCGGCGTACCAGTCGATTGCAGTTTGGGCATCCCATAATTTCGGCTCGCATGGAAGACGGAAATTGATCTCAGACGTCAGGTAGCAGGCGGGCAACGCAAAGGACATGCGAAGCATGACATCGTGCAGATACGACAGCCATAGAGATCTGAATCGAGGATTAATCGCGGTGGTATCGAGTGGCATTGGAACGCACCGTTTCATGGTCTCGTGCTTCGCCCAGCTTTCCCAAGCTATCTCGATGCTGGTAGGGTTGGTGGGATCTATCGTCGGAGGTAACCATGTCGCGTTCTTCTCGAGCGTGCCACATCGGCGAATAAGCTGCGCCAGACCAGAGAAGCGTGAGCGGACACTAACCCCAGGAATGATGTTCCTTACCATAACCAACATTCCATGGTATAAGCTAGATATTGATCGCTCTTCCACATCTTGGTGGTGAAGTCCAATCAATTGCAGCAGAGTGACCGCTAGAACGAGATTCGATAGTTGACAGTTCGTCAGCTTTCGAGACTGGAAGGAGAGGTCAGGCAACGTCGAACACCTAATCCCTACATGCACTCACGAATTCGCGCGGTATTGACTCTCGAGATGACGCCATAACTCGTCTGCAGTACGCAGAAGCTCTGGACGTCTTGATGAAAAGGGAACCACATGCTCGAAAAGCATCCACAAGCATTGGATATTTCGGCAACTTTGCCAGGGCAGACGCCTATTGCCTTCGATTAGCTCAAACTGCACGAGGTAAGACGAACATCGTACATACATGAAACACAGGCATTTGCACAAGGTATTCAGAGTAGAACAATGACTCTAACAATCCAATCTCATGAACTGTAATCGCTCGCTTATCGGGAATGGACTCACCATATTGCTCAAGTTCTTGTTCCGTCTCGGGGCCGTTGGGATAGGCGGTGGGAGCAAAGGAGGGAGCAGTTCCAGCCATAGGGTCGAAAGGCGCCGTCGATTCTGTCGAATGTGGGTCAACCCTTGGTGGTGGTGGTACGTTTTGCACCTCGGACTCTGGCAGGAAGACTTCATTGAATAGCTCATCGAATATGTTGCCAGGCGGTTGCTGATTGGCGTCAGGAACAGGGTAGGGCTCGGATGTTCCTATAGGCGTTATTGGCACATGAAGCATTCCGGAAGCAACAGAGGTCGACGCAGTTCCCGGCGTGAGACTGAGTAGAGCATTGCGCAAATCTTCAGGAGTGGCTCCTGTAAAAGATTCGGTTGGCCGATTGCTTCCAGAAGATGCACTGGGTTCAACAGTCGCTGGTTTCGATGTCCTACGGATACAAATCAGAACCAACGAATGAGCTTGCCCAAGTGTCTCTACAAACTCGCCCTTTCGCGCATGCTCTACTATGTCTTGCAAGCAGATCAGTGCGAGTAAATTCGGCTTTACATCGCTGCAAGCAGGACACATCTGATGAGGCCGGCTTCGGGACGGATCAAATAGACCACCGACGTACAGGACAGATATGCAGACCTTCTCGCGTGTCTGGAATGGCGTTAACCACCTGATGGTTGTATCAGGAGCCAGGGTCCCACGTACGAGTTTTCATGTGGCGATTCAAATGGGTGGTTCGAGTATATTTAGCATTACAGAACGGGCACTGCTTGGTTTGTGGCAACACAGGCACGTTCCCGCCATGACGCCGCATGTTCGGCGATATAACAGACATCTGCTGGCGCAGAGACTGGGTGGGTGCTTTGGACATGTCGAATGGGGAAACGAAGGAGGTGATGATGAACTGTGAGTGGATGAACAGCAGTTACTTGGGTGTGTCGGCAAGATAGACACATGCAAGCCTCGGCATCAACCCAGGAGAGGGTGGCTATGCACTGCTTGCTCGGCGTTTGAGCTACGTGAGCAGAGAACTGCTAGCAAGCAAGGGACGACTTGCGGCCCTCCCATATATGTCATCATTGCATTCACCGTATACCGATGGAGTACTCCCGTATGAGCGCGCACGCACAGGCATCTAACTAATCCATTTTCGTACGTCGTTTCGTTCGTTCGTAAGTCATGTACGGATAGGGATACAGCTTTCCAAACAATCTAGGCTCCTCTAGCTATAACAGGATACATATATCTATCTATGCGGAACTCACAACAACACTCAAGGAAAACGCAAGCCGGGTGGAGAATCACCATCCGAAGACCCTGAAGAATATCGTCAGCACGCAGCTCAGTTGCCCCGGGTTTCCGCAGTTGAGAACATGGCGGACTCACTCTTGATGGATCTCTACACCGCCGACGGATCTCATGGCTGCGATGCCAAGGGCGCCGATAGAGTCTTTGACCTCTTCTCCCAGAGACCCCGGTCCGCAAACGCCTACGACGACACCAGAAAGAGAAGTATCGACACATTTTTTGTCCGACCCCAAACGAGCCATCACAGACTCGAGGATGGCTGTCGTTCGAGGTCTTCCGGCTTCAAGGCTCATCCCATACGGAAGGCAGAGTTTGGAGTTTTCCTGATATGCCGACGCTCGGGTATAGTGCACCGAGATCTCAAGCGCTACCGAGCTGGGCCACGCCTCTTGTAGCGAGGCCAAGGTTGGCATAAGAGCTTTCAGAGATCCTAGCGGAACATTAGACCAGGTTGAATGCATCGTGGTATCACCAACCTGGTTCCCTTACGCTCCAAACGACGCGAACGGTCTTCAGATGAGTTTGACCATTCGCGGCGGATCGCATGATGTCTTGGGCAGCGGCCATGATGAAGGTGATCCCGCTTCCTCCTGCTATCAAGACAGCAGCAGAGAAACTGTTCAATAGAGTATGACCGGTTCCGCCTATTAAAAGAGAACATCAAGACATATTGCTTCCACGCTCGAGCAACGACTTGCCGTAGGGACCCTCGACCCACATCCGGACGATCTTCGAGGTCGTGGCCTCTTCCTTGTCACTTCTTCCATCGCCGCGGGCATAATTGTACAGGTCAGTGGTCCAACCTCCGGTCGCCTTGCACATGAGGACCAGATTCTCCTCTGTCCGCGGTGCAGTGGCAATGGTGAACGGATGTGCTTCACTCCAACGGAACATACCCATCCCAGAGGTCAGAACTCGGACGCGAACATGCTGTCCTGGCCTAAAGTAGATAGTAAATATGCAAGTTTATCAAGGCATGTCGTACATCGTTCACTTGCCTCCAACCAGCGTTCAGCGGGACCGTGACGCGCGTCATGCCCAACTCCGGAATGGGAGAGATGGTAGCAGTGACGATGCGGGTTCTGATAAGGCGCAGGGCACGGTCGGCAGCATAAATCATCGCTGTAGCGAATGCGTACTTCGCCGTGGTCGCTTCGTGATAGTAGATCTAGGCACATCGGTTGAGCATTCCTGTTTTCATACATCAGAGCTCTTTGTGACTCACCAGCACTACCAACACGACCAATCCCACGATATGCGAAACGTAGAAGGCCCGATACCACCGGCGGCGTATCACCGGCAGGCTCATGATGATAATGAGGACATCGAGGGTCACCATGGCGGTAAGCCCATAGATCTTCTCGGGTTCGTTCAGCTTCGAAAGCGTGTTGTTCATGGAATACTTGATGATGTACGTGAATCCGTGAAAGTTGGCAGCGATCGCAACAGTTATGCCGGCGACACGATGGAGATGGTTTAACTAAAGAGACACGATCAGAAAGTACACTCATTGCCGAATTGAGATGACTGACCTTCTCGTAACCCACACCAACCAACCATCCGATGGGGTTGTTCTTCGTTGACAGAGTGTACACGATAGGGAACTGCGAGATCGCTACGTAGCCAAAGCGCTTGCCCTTGACAAACGGGTTGATGTTGTAGAACGTCGCGAACAGGACAGATCCGATGTACACTGCGGAAATAATAAGGCTGCCGACGGAATAACGTTCCGTAATGGGCGTTCGCAGCAGAGCAGACAGGATTGGAAATCGTGTCGAATATGATGCCAGTCGCGGATGCGCGCGGTTAGGCGGGCGGACCACACTGGACGCATCAAATTTTTCGTCCGATACCCTACGTGGACGTGAATCGGTTAAACGGAAAACAGGGTAATTTGCGATGAAATATTCACTCGGAATCAACAGGACTAGAAGCAATGTTCGGCTGAGGCGTCTCTGGGACATGTGCAGGGAGAGTGACTCGGCGCAGAAGCCAGCCGGCACCCCATTCTGCCTTGTGGCGAAACCTCGCAATGGCCCACGGTGCGAGGGCCAGGGTGAATGCTGCCAGGCAGCCAAGGTAGAACACCTCGAGCCAGAATATCAGCTGCAAATCGGTATTGGGAGGAGGGGGACCAAGGGAATCTCCACCGCCGGGCGACGTAGAATTGCCAGACACCAGAGTAGAGGAAGAGGGCTCGGCGGCACCTGCAGCGGTGGGGAAACTGACAATGGAGCCGTCAGACATGAAGCAGGCACCGGCGAGTCTAGGGGGCGGGAGTCCGGTCTGCTGCGCTCAGATCTCTATCGTTTTATAGGCAGACCGCTGCGCGCTGAGTGGACGGTTTGCCGCACCGCATCGAACATCTCGGGTGGACCTAGGCGCGGGACCAAAGATCGTTCCTGCATGTGGAACGACGAGGTGCTGACGGGGTGGACAGGTTGGTGCATGCGGTCTCCCGAGAATCATTGCGCCTCGAAATGGGGAAGAAGGCAACGTCGAAGTCGCGATAGCGCGCGCATCGGCGGGCGACGAAGCAACCGGGTCGATTGCGCTGCCCCGATATGGACAGGCATCGCGCAATCCGATGCACGTCGGTGCTACTGGAAGCATATGCACCGGGTTCCACCAAGCGAGGTCGCATCTTCGCTGGGTTCTGACGTCCGAGGTATGTAAGGAGGTGTTCGAGCAGGAGCCGCGCCAAGGTCGATTTTTTCCGGCGTTGGCCGTGCCGATCAGGGTGAACACCGGTGCAGTCAGATGAAGTCCGGCGCGGCAGAGTTTCGAGCGCAACTCCGAGGCAAAGACGGTGCTGGCTGCCATCCTACTCCCCACATCCAGTTTCTGCTAGTGTATCAGCTCCGGTGATGATATTTGCATCTGCAACGATGCCTGATCGCTACGAACTAGGCTGGGCGCAAGCAACCGGCGCCCAACAAGTGCGCTGATGCACATGTTGCGATGCCAACGTCGTAAAGAATTGCGAGAAGCGAGCTGAATTTCTGGCTCAGTATATAAATATAATGAAGGAGAAGGTCCAGTAATATGAGCACCATCGCTAGAGTTGTGACGAATACGAGGGATCAAGACGCGTGCCACGTCGCCATCATGCAACCGTCATCGCGGCTTCATCTTATCAGATAAGTATCACACAACGGGCAAAGATAACCGAACAAGATCCGGAGAACATATCAAGCTTATCAGATAGCGTCGTTTGCCGGAGCACCTGTCATCGCGACATCGTCTGGCTCGTAAGTCGTATACAGATACAGTATCGCAGACAATCTACACCTAACGTAAACTCGCCGCTTCAAGCCCTGAAGGCAACAAAGTCACCAGCCGAAAACCCTAGAGGATGGGACGGTCAGTCAGAAACTCCAGAGGCTACGCGGAAGACGCACTCTTCGTGGATCTCGACTCCTCCCACTGATTTCATTGCTGTGGCATCGAGGGTACCGATCGAGTTGCGAACCACTTCTCCGAGAGATGCCGGTCCGCAAACGCCGACGATGACGCCCGAGAGCGCCTTAGTCTCTGCACCCTGTTTGCCGGAGGTCATACGGTCCATCAGGGACGTAAGGATCGCTGCCGTCCGGGGCCGACCAGGTTGAAGACTCAGTCCGCATGGAAGACACGTGCTCATGTCATCCAGTTTTCCGAGGGCTCTGGTATAGTGGACAGAGATCTCCAACGAAACCGAGCTCGGCCACGCCTCCAGCAAAGAGGATAAAGTGGGCATCAGAGCCTTCAGGGATCCTAGCCAATCATCAAAACGGTGCACCCACGCTAAGGATAGCGCACCAACCCGTGTCTCTGACGCTCCAGACAATACGGACATTCTTGAGATGGCTCTGCCCTTCGGCGGCATTCCGCAAGATATCCTGAGCTGCAGCTATCACGAACGCGATCCCGCTTCCGCCCGCTATCAGAACTGTAGCGGAGAAGCTATTGAAAAGAGTATGGTTCGTTCCACCTGATAGCAATCAGACAGTGATTCTATGCTGATAATGAAGTGCTTACCGTAAGGCCCCTCGATCCAAACGTGCACAGTCCTCGAGGCAGTAGGCTCTTCATTGTCACGCTTTCCGCAGGCGAGGTTGTATAGGTTGGTCGTCCAGCCGCCGGTCGCCTTGCACATGAGGACCAGGTTCTCCTCCGTCAGCGGTGCAGTTGAGATGGTGAATGGATGAGACTCGGACCAACGGAGCAGTCCCATCCCGGAGGACAGAATCCTGATACGAACGTGTTGCCCCGGCCTTATCAAGGTAGTGAGCATTGATTTCTGCAAGGCAAGATATGCACGATACCTCCATCCGGCGTTGTATGGGACGGTGATCCGCGTCATACCCAGCTCTGGGATCGGAGAGAGGGTACCAGTGACGATGCGACTCCGGATGAGACGAAGTGCGCGATCAGCGGCATAGAGCATCGCCGTACCAAAGGCGTATTGCGCGGTCCTTGCTTCGTGATAGTAAGTCTTGCAGTGAACGACGGCATCAGTACGTGTCTATTCTGAGGCAAGGCATGGACTAACCGTCACGACGAACATGATGGCGCCGAAGACATGCGAGACGTAGAAAACACGGTACCAGCGCCGGCGCAGCACTGGGAAACTCAGCATTATCAAGAGTACATCGAGGACCATCATCGCCGCAAGACCCCAAATGTTCTCGGCTTGCTTGAACTTCGTCGTGAGATCGCCGTTCTTGGAGTACTTGAAGATGTATGCGAATCCATGGAAGTTGCTACTGATGGCTATGGCAATGCCTACGACGCGGTGAAGGTAGTTCAACTGCACGTATGGGTCAGAGACTGCAATTTTCGCCGCAGATCATGAGCGGCGGACCTTCTCATATCCCACTCCCGCCAACCATGCGACGGGGTTATTCTTCATGACCAAAGAAAAGGCGAGGGGAAGCTGGGCGATCGCCACATAGCCGAAACGGGTACCCTTGATGAACGGATTGATGTTGTAGAACGTCGCAAATAAAGTAGAACCGATGAACACGAGAGAGATGATAACTCTGCCGACGGTGTAGCCTTCCATTACGGGCGCACGCAAGAACGCAGACAGACGGGGAAAGTATGTCGAATACGATGCTAGTCGAGGTTTCATACGGATGGGGGTATGAGGGGAGCTGGACGCGTCGTATTTTTCGCTAGAAATCCTACGGTAGAAATGTCAGTGCTTTTGGAGACGAGATACAGAGACGAGACGTACTCAGAATCAACAGGACTAGATGGCAGACTCGGCTGCGATGACTCCAACATATGGGCTGGGAGGGTAATTCAACGCAGAATCCAGCCGGCACACCATTCCGCCTTATGACGGAACCTAGCGATGGCCCATGGCGCAGCGGCTAGGGCAAATGCTCCAAGGCAGCTGAGATAAAACACCTCCAGCCAGTATATCAGCTCCATGTTGGGATTGAGGCGGCCGTGACCGCCGCTACCGTGGCCGCCTGCATCGTGCCCCGTAGTATTGGTAGTGCCAGACGCGGAACTACCGTGACCAGAGGTGGCCCTAGTCGCGTCAGAACTGCCAATGGTGGTACTGGCATGAGCCATGGTGAGAACTAAAGTGGGCGAGGTGAATGCAGCGGGTAGCCAAGGGTAGGACGTCCATGTTCCTGCATCCATATTTTGCCCATTTTATAGGTAAGCCGCCGTGCACCACTCCGGTCATGGATGCTTGGGGCGCGCCGCAGATTGTCAGAAAATTCGTCGAGGCGGGACGCGGGCTAGAGGCGCGAAACTGGAAGTAACCGCTGCGCATTGAGATCCCGAGGGAGTGGATTATGTGAGAAAAAACGGTGCATGCGTTTGTCTACGAACGCCAGCTGGGTCGCGAGATGAAGGGAATGACATGCAAACATCCTGAGGCGGTCGCAGAAGAAGCAACCGGTTCGATGGTGCCTTGCCTAAACGGTAGAGGCCCCTACAACGCCGATGCAACTCAGTATTGTACCAAGCACATGCTTAACCGGGTCTGCGAAGTAGCGCGACTGAAGGATGGATTCGACCCATGCTTCTCAATGAGCTCCGCCGCAGCACCGAGGAGTGTCTACGCTTTCAGATTTGGCCGTGGCGATCGAAGGAAGTTGTAGGTACCGGAGCTGCCTCGGTAGAGCCCCAGCCAAGACAATTGTACCCAATTTCACTGCGAATGCTCCCTGATTATCTCCGGAGTTCCCGGTATCGCGGTCAGCTCGTGAAGAATCATCTCCACCGATAGAGACGAACTGACTGATTTGCGCCTCCACCGAAGGCACGGGCATTGCTTGAAAGACACGGAAGCGGATATATTCTTGGCACAACTCAACCCGAGGAGCAAGATATATTCCGGCTAATACGTGTATCGTTTTCAGCGTTGTAAACTGTAGGCGCAAATGAAGATTATTAGAGAAGGGGCGAGCGCATCCCGTGACATGCATACGATCGGATGGTCACGGAACCGCTATCAGCCTGTTGATCTTATCAGATAGCACGAAATTGTAATCAGATAGGCCCAGGGTTCTAGATAACGAATTAGCCGGTGTAGCGAACGGATCGAGGGGCGAAGGCTGAACGTTGAAACGTTGACTAGGATGAAATCAGAAGCGTCCTGGAGCGCGAGGAACCCATGCGAGCCATGTGAGTGTGTGAGAGTATAATATTACACGGTGAGAGTCGCCCCTTAGTTCGTTGACGGCCTCCACGAGATGGAACATGGCTCATTTGTCCAGCGTTCTTCTGAGGCACCCGAGTTCTGACCAAATAATGAGCCCCGCGCAGGCACGTGAAGCCGAAAGCATACCAACGAATGCCAACGTCCAACGATGATGCAGTGAACGTCGTTACTTATCTCCGCCCGATACGACCGCTGCCAGGAATATCGGCCCATTTTCGGCCTGGGTTTCCGAAGTACTCGCAGACGAATATGGCTGGGATCGGCGGAGATTATGCACATAGGAGTTCGATGTCCGTAACGATCGCAACGCTGAAGCATCTGCGGCGTTTTCGGATATGCCAGGAGTCATTCGTGAGGATACCAGACCAGAGGAAGCTATTGAGGGCAGTAAATCCTGGAATCGGGGGTCAAGAGGCACCAGGAGGCTCAAGTCCATCTGATGACACCGGGACATCTCTCGTACATCCATCGACCTTCATGCATCTTCGTTCTGTACGTAGAGATACGAATGAGCCAGGCCAGTGTAAATCGACATGCTCCTGGTGGCGCCCCGTTAATTCATACTCGAAATCGCAGGAGCAGCGGTGATAATGATCTGCAGCGTCCTTTCTCGCAATCGCGCGGAAGATGACAAAGTCGCATTATTCAGACGCACGCCGAATTACTCCTCGTCGCTCTCGAATTCAATAGCTTGCACCTTGCGCGCTTTCTTGTTCGGGTTTGCGAGCGACGCACCGCGTGGTGCGCGGCTGGAAGTCGCTGGGACAACGGATTTTTCTATCACGAGGCGCGATTTATTTCATGGGCGCCGAGACGACATAAGCGATTGGACCTACTCGGTTTGACCTGGACGGCCGCTCGTGGAGCAGAGGCGAGCCGAGATTTGAGACGGTCGAGCTCGTCCGTGGGCGCATTTGCTTTCGGCGGGAGTGCCTCGGGTGCCTCCTTTTCCTTGTCCTGCGCAATGTCCGTTGGCTGACTCGCACTTGCTTTACGCTTGGATGGCGCTGCAGTCGTGGAGGGCAGTGTTGGCGTATAAGTTGCAGTGGCCAAGGAAGTAGCTGCCGAAGGGTAGAGTTGGCACTTGTGCGATTGCGCTCGAAGCGCAATCTGCTCTAGGCTTCAGGAATGTATGCCTAGAACATATTCGATGATCAAGAACACACCGCAGTGAAGGTGGAGGCGGCGGCGGCAGCAGCTTCTTCGGGCGACAGTTCCTCGAGCCCTACCCGCGTCGGGTTCTTGGACGACGGATTGAACGCGAGCTAGATGGGCATTTAATCGGTCAACGTGCGCCCCGATAGGACATGAGGGCATGTGTTATCACACCTCACGTTAATCTGTACGCCTCTGTCTGCGTGAGAGCTCCAGTTCTCTATGTGGAGCTGACCTCCGACAAAGGCATCCCTCAGTCCATCTGCGAAACGTTCCTGGACGGTCGACGACTTCGTTCCCTACACACCAGTGGCGTTCGTTCGGGCTCAATGAGCGCCTCTGATAGAAGTTGCGTACGTACGACGGCCCCGAGTATGTCCTCGGCCGTCCACCGTCCGCGCCACCATCGTCCATCTGCTGCGGAACCGGACGCGGAAAGACCGACGTGCAGCGTCCAAGCGTGGTCGTCGACGCGCGAGATGACGACAAAGCGAGACGCGCCTTGGTAAATGAGCTGGATGAGCTCGTCGAGGGCGGTGAAAGCAAGCAACGCGTCGGAGGCCATGCAGAGTCCAGCCAGCTATGCCGAGCGCAGTAAATCCGAGATGCGGGTGTGTTTATGGTGAACGGAGGCCGAGTGAGTGGCCGATGAGAGTCGCGACGAAGGAGAGGCGGAGTAGAGACGGGCGGTGTCCGCCCAAGGCTTGTCGAGATCCGGCTGCCGCAGCCCGCGCCGCGTGCGGACACGTCTCAATAAATATTTCGCACTCGACACGTTCGTTCCTCGTTCAACACCTCCACACTCCCCACACCATGTCCGGCCTCGGCTTCACGCCCGCGCCGCAGCCCGCGCCCAACGCGCTCGGCGTGGAGGGCATGTTCGCCCAGATCATGGCCGCCGTCCAGAAGTCGGTGAGCACGTCGTTGGTCCTGTGCTTGCCCCCGCCCCTGACGCCCTCTGTAGAGCGCTGAGATTGCGGAGCTTCGGCAGGAGTGCGCGGACCTGCGCATACAGAACGCCAGCCTCGAGCGCCAGGTGCGCGAGGGCCTCCAGGTCGGCATCATGTTTGCTTGCTGTCACCCCTAATGCTCACTATATCCATCTAAGAACCGTGGCACGCATACCGGCTACAACACAGGCCTCAACACGCCCGTCCCGGGTTCGCCCCAGTTGCGCGCCAAATCCCCCTTCCTCTCACCGTCCTCTATACCTGCTCTCGCCGCCCCTGCGTCGATCCAGATCCCAACGCCGTCACCCCTCGGCGACAACCAGCTGACGTACTACCCATTCAACGGTCGCTCCATCCCCGGCTTCTTTGTCGTTATCCCTGCTGGTGGCGCAGGCACTCGCCTTTGGCCCCTATCGCGCGAGGGACATCCCAAGTTCCTCCTCGACCTCACGCTCAAAGGCCGCAGTCTAATTCAGGCTACCTGGGATCGTCTCATCCCGCTCTCCTCCCCCGCGCGCACGACCATAGTCGCCGGTCCCGCGCACACAAAGTCGATCCGGGAGCAGCTTCCCGATCTGCTGGAACAGAACCTCTTCACCGAACCCGGAGCCAAGGACTCCATGGCTGCCATTGGCCTCGCCGCTGCCGTTCTTGCTCGCCGCGACCCTGACGCTGTCATCGGGTCTTTCGCCGCTGACCACATGATCTCCGGCGACGATGCCTTCCTCTCCGCCGTCACCGAGGCGGTTGAGGTCGCCCGTCACGACTATCTCGTCACTATCGGTATCGCGCCCTCGCACCCTTCCACCGGCTTCGGTTACATCCAGCTCGGAGACAAGCTCGGAGGCAACGATACCCCCAACGCGCGCCTCGTCCGCTCCTTCAAGGAGAAGCCGGACGCGCGCACCGCCGCGGCGTACATCAAGACCGGCACATACCGCTGGAACGCTGGGATGTTCGTTACCCGCGCCGTCTTCCTCATGCAACTCCTCAAGGAGTATAAGCCTAAACTGCACGATGGCCTTCAGAAGATCGCAGCGGTCTGGGACGACGAAAGCCTGCGCGAGAAGGTGCTGACCGAGGTCTGGGACGACCTCGAGAAGATCCCGATCGACAATGCCGTTGCCGAGCCGGCGGCTGCCGAAGGCCGTGTCGCGGTCGTACCCGCCACCTTCGGTTGGGACGATGTCGGAGACTTCGCCTCCCTCGCCGATCTTCTCCCCGCTGAGGCGAACCAACCCCGTATCCTTGGCGAGAACCACCTCGTTCTCACCGACCAGGTCGCGGGTGGTATCATCGTCCCCGGCTCTGGCCGTCTCGTTGCATGCCTCGGTGTCGACGATCTCGTCATTGTCGACATGCCGGACACGTTGCTCGTCACGACTCGTGCGCGTAGCCAGGAGGTGAAGAGGCTCGTGAAGAAGGCCAAGGACGTCGGCTGGAAGAGCCTGCTTTGAACGATTTGGACGGTCAAAAAGCCCGAAGGGAGCATCTATGCAATGGATAATGCATTTGGATTAGGACTTGAGTTTAATGCACGGCTCTGGCTCTTAGCCCTTTCTCATTCGTCTCTTTTTTTTGTCCCGGATTTCCGAAATCATTCACATCCTACATATTACCCGAAAACATACAATAATCAAGAACGGGCCGTGAACTCTGGATATGGAACGTCATACTGTTGCCTTCGCCGCGTCGCTGCCGTTGCATGGCAAGAACGGTGTCGGTGTCGTTGGTGAACCCTCTATCCGCCATTCGGCGAACGCCAGTGTGGTCATGTTGGGATCCTTTTGGAGCTCCTCGCGCAGGCCTTCTCGTGCGTTCAGGATAGCGACTGGGAGAAAACATAGTGAGGCTCCTTCGCACAGGGAGAACAATCTGGTTCCGCACGCATGGTGTTGGTATACAATCCTGATAGCAGCAAATGGAAGAAGGGCCATGAAAGGCCCAGCGGATTGACGAGGAATGCGATGGCGAAGGCTCCTTGACAGCATGCCACCAGCACACCGCGCGCAAAGAAGTATCGGATAAGTCGCGCAAGTAAGGTATCCGTCCTGGCATTCGATCAGAAACGCAGAAGAACAACAATAAGGTTACATTGACCTACTTAGTGTGACCCGTACGAGAGGTCCAGAAGACGTAGCACATGCTTGTAGTCGCCAGGAAGTCGGCTAACGTGTTGATCGATTGCTCAATTCCGAGTGCATACTTCCCTCCATCAGCCAAGGACTGAAATGCCGAGAGTATATCGAGGGCTCACGTAGGTGGTTTCGCCGAAGGACATGATCGTATTCTTAGTGAGGGCTGGAGAGAGCGTTTCGATAGCTGCGACAACACCCAGCCCGCCTCCCACGAAGGAAAAGGCAGCGCAGATGAACACAAGTTCGCGACGACCTGAGGAGACTGGCGATGCGCACCGAGGTCAATTGAATTGCCGCGAAAATGGTATTGTCACGACGTACGGTAGTAAAGCTGCCTCAACACGAACAATTGCACCAGGAAAGTGGTTATCATTGTTAGCGTGACCTCAGCAAGCAGCGTTCTTCCGCGATGTTAATGAGAACTGAACATGGAACACGCCAATCGAAACCACGTACTTGGACACTATACCTAAATGAAGGAAGTCGCCAAAATGATCGATCTGGGACAGGTGTCGGTCAATGAACGCGGTTATGATATGGGCCACATACCCAGTATTCCTGACCAGATATCGCACCGCAAAATGTGGCGGCTACATTGAGTACACTGACAGTTCATCTGAATCAGCACAGTGGCGGCTGGATGTGGTACGGATGTCCCATACGCTATCAATGTCACCTAACAAATATTGATTGGTATGCAATTCCGTAGGGTGCATGTGCAACGAGATAAACTCACGAAGGCTCGCTGCGACCTAGAATCATGTGCGCAATGATGAACGTATGTGTAGGCCTGCAACAGTGTACCCCCAAGCAATAGCATGGCGAAAAGCAATCCTATCAAGCCATCAGTTAGCTAGGGATGCCAAAGCGGCACGCAGGCTGACCCCAGTAGACGGCAGCCCATTTTGTAGCCGCGCTCGTTGGCTGAGCTGCCAGATCAACCGTGGCCATAATCATGCGAGTTTCGGGGAGATGGGTCTAATAGTGGGGTGAGGGACGCGGAGTAGGTTAGCGGGCTCAATGGTATATATATCTTCGCTTGCAAATGGAAGGTAGCACAACGTCTTAGCAATCTCCCGGCATACCGGACATATAAAGCTGCGATTGATTCCAATGAGAATGCTTGCAGAACCACGAGATCATCGCCATCCGCCAACCGACGATATATGTCCGTCGACTGTTATTGGAGAGGCCGTTTCAGAATGATACGACAAGCCGAGCAGCTTGGACGTCGTCAAAACAACGCATGACGAGAGCACGGGAAGCGGGAATTTGAAGTCGAAATCGAAATACGCAGTCATCCGCGTGAAAGATGGCGTGCGCTCCATGACCTTCAAGTGACCATGGTCGTCCACCCCACCGTAGCGCATCCTCTGCCATTTCCCCAAACGCCTCTCGGATATCGAGAGCAAGATGGCATCGAGCACCTCCCGCGCCTCGCAAGAGGATGATGCGGCGAGTCAAAAAGGGACTAACTCGTTTCCGCCCAACCGTCCCCAACTAAACTACGGCTCTCTCTCCAACCCCGGTCATGCCCTCGCTGACCCCGAGCGGCCACTTGGGTCTCTGCCTGTTCCTCCGGTCGACAAACCCTACGGGCTCCATCGCGGTCTCTCTGCACGACAGGTGCAGATGATCGCGATCGCCGGGACTATTGGCACTGGATTGTTCTTGGGCACGGGTCGCTCGCTCGCTCAAGGCGGGCCTGCTAGCATGCTCATTTGCTACGGAATCGTTGGGTTCATTGTGTATGTCACGTTGCTGTTACTCGGAGAGATGGCCACGCAGTACCCTGTAGCAGGTACGCAAGCCCATCTCCAGCTTCACGGCTGTTAGCTTAACCACGTCTATGCGTTACAAGGGTCATTCAACGCGTATGCAACGCGCTTCTTCAGCCCCGCTTACGGTTTTGCCCTTTCTTGGAACTATTGGTTCAACGATGCGGTGTCTGTCGCGTCTGACCTCACCGCCGCGCAGCTGGTGTTGCAGTTTTGGCTTCCAAACTACGACAACACTTGGATCATCAGTCTCGTGTTCTGGTTGTTCCTCGTTGGGATCAACGCTATACATGTTCGTGCATACGGCGAGCTAGGTGCGTATATCTAGTTGCCCGATAGTCCGCTGCACCGCTAACGCTTCGCTATAGAATATTGGCTATCCTCATTGAAAGTCGCTACCATCGTCGTATTCATCATCCTCGGCATTCTTGTCAACGTCGGAGTGAACACTGACCATCGGTATATCGGAACCAAAAACTGGCACATCCCCGGAGCACCGTTCGTTGGTGGCTTTGGCGGGTTCGCGCGTGTGTTCGTCACCGCTAGCTTCGCATGTCTGTGCACTTCATATCATGCCAAGACACATATTTAACATGAGCGGCAGACGGGGGCACCGAGAGTTTGGGAATCACCGCGGGCGAAACGAAGAACCCATCGAGGAATATGCCAAGGGTTGTGAAGTTTGTTTTCTGGAGGTGAACCAGTCATATACCTATCATCGCTTAATTCACCCTGACACTGTCCGTCCCAGAATTCTGCTCTTTTACATCCTGTCCATCGCCCTTATTGGCCTTAACGGTGCGTTTGATGGCTGATCCGCTTGACGGCCCGCTGATGCGATCACCCCGTCCAGTTCCTTGGAACTATCCCGGGTTATCCAACAAGACCACAACCACCTCACCGTTCACTATCGTCTTCAAGGAAGCTGGATCTCGTATGTAGCCTACTGATCACTCTAGCCGACCGCATTGACGGATCCTGCGCGCAGATGTGGCTGCTTCCTTTATGAACACCGTCATCCTCACTTCCGTACTATCCGCTGGAAACCACGCGTTGTTTGCGGGCACTCGTGTCCTCTACGGTTTGGCGTCGGTGGAGCCACAAGCTCATGCGCCTAGGTTCTTCAAGCGCACTACAACCCGCGGTGTGCCACTCCCAGCGTTACTGGCGACTAGCAGCATCAGCGCGATCTGCTTCGGGGCCAGCTTTGTGGGCCAAGGACAACTGTGGGGCTGGCTGCAGAACATAGTAGGAGTGTCAAATCAAGTGAGTCATTAGCTCGTCCTATCCTTCGTGACGCGAAAGAACGTGGCTTGTTCGCTTACGTGTGCTCAGATTGCGTGGTTGTCGATCGGATTGGCAAGTTGGAGGTTCAGAAAGGCGTGGATCCAACAGGGCCGGTCTTTAGACGAGATGAAGTTTCGCGCGCGTTGGACATGGCCCTGGGGCCCGCTCTTCGTTATCGTGTCCGTCACCTTCCTCATCCTCGGTGAGTAATACCGTTGTGCGCTCACACCTCACGCTAAACTCGAGCTCTTTGTTCCAGTCCAGGGCTGGTCCTCAATAGCCCGGCACTTTTCCGCCGTGGATTTTGTCTCCTTCTACATCGAGTTGCCCGTCATGCTCGTGATGTTTACCGCCTGGCTCTTCATTCGACGTCCAGCTCATACAGGTGATGGGATCAATGCACCATTGTTATCGGAGGCTACAGATGGTGTTCCAGGTCGTCCGAGGCGTGATTGGTGGAAAGGTGATCTTGTGGATACCGAAATAGTCGATTTGAGGAGAGATGAATACGAGGAAGGAGAAGAGGAGAGAGAGGAAGATGTGGAGAGAATATTGAGGCTCAAAGGGCGCGCAGGATGGCTGTGGAGGTTGTACTACTGGATTGTCTGACGACACCGACGGGCGCTCACATCGTTTCCGAAATAAGTGATGTATTAGGTACCAAGTCACGATATGCATGATCATTGTGATCAGCTCCACAACGTAGTACATATGATATCCAGGGCAAGGCTTCAGCATTAGTCGAAATATAGCACAAAACGTAACAAAAAAGCTTGACGAAGGAGGCTCCTCTTGTCTCTAGAAAGGGCTACTGGGGACAATTAGCAGACATTCAAGCAATTCAAGAAGCTTCGTACGTTTGATTACCGGGTATATTTGGATTGAATCCGTAGGCTCGATCACCTCCATTGAACGACGGTATGGGATCAAAATTCCAATTGTCGAGGTCGAACAGCGAGCCCCCGTACATGGGGGTGGGCTCAGGTTGGGGCGCAGAAGTGCGATTGCCTGATGGTGGCACGACGGAGAAAACGCTCGTATAGAAAGCTTGGGAACCTTCGCTGGAGGCAGTGCTTGGCGCCGCAGAAGGCGATCGGCTGCTGTGACCGTCCTTGGAATTCAGATAATCCTGGGGCTCTGACGAAGAGAAACGCCTCGTGATAATATTGTCCAGGAAGCGGGCATAGAGGCTGGGCGCATGTTGCTCATCAACTGCTGATGCTCGATACCCGGCGATGAATTTTCGGACGAGTTGAATACTCGATGCTTTCTGCGAGTCCGAGAATAAACCCGGGAGCTTAGGCTGCAGAGCGGCCAGCTTATTCAAGATCGATATGGTTAAATACCGGGTGTCGATGACATTGCGAGACGCACCTTCAAGAGGAAAGCAGACGCAAATGCAGCCTGGTCGAACCATGCTGCGCGGGGACATGAGTATGGCTTGGCGCTATGCAGAGTCGGACACACCGTCCGGAGCGTATTTCATGAACTTGCTGGGTATCAATGTTTGCGTAGACATTGTAACAACGTTTGTGGCGCTTTCTAGGCACTGTACGACGGAAAGTCATCGCTCTGTTTCCCAGCGCTTCGAGTGCGTGGCATACCTTGTTGAACAGTTCAGCGTTATCGGCTGTTAGCCCCCTTTTGAGGGCAGCGCGGAACCAGAAGGAGCAGACAAGGAGACGCGAGTACGTCACGGCGCTATAGGTGCCAATGAGCGGACATAAGATAGGGTCGCTGGACAACGTACTAAGGCCACAAATCTCGTCGGAACTTGGCTGAAGCAAGATACACTGACACATTTCAGTCAAGAACTAGATGCGGGCATGAAAACTACCTTCTGGGCAGGACTTAATTTGCTCTTCCATGCGAGTGATCCATTCGTCGTGTAGATCGGTGAGTTTTGCATCGAAGCGTCGCACCTTCTGTTCGATGATCTCCAAACACGACTGCAGCATGTAAACGCCGGAAGTGCGCTGAAGAGGCCGCAATAAAATACCTGCTGAACACCTGTGTTGGATCCCGCAATATCTCTGGATTCTTCAGACCACTCCATCAAGACTTGCAGAAGACAATCGTATGCACAGATTCCCACGTCGCTCTGATAGAGGGGAGATAGCGTATCTGAGCACCTGATGATGGAGCGAGCCATCGTGCCACATACTGGTGAATTATATTCGGAGATTTTGTAGAACGTCGTTAGGTCCACGTAGTCGCTGATCGCGTCTTAACATCAACGGTCGAAACCACGATTCGCAATGCTTACTTTGGTCGTTTCGTGCTGAATGGTTTTCCCCTGGCGACGGGGTCAATACTAGCCTCTTCGGAGAATGCACAAACATCTTACCATCGCGCGGCCATCCCCCATTCCGTTTCGACTAGTAGAATAAAGACACGGATGCCCATGATGGTTTCCCTGTCTCTGATTTCGTTTTTCGGCCCTCTGAATTTGATTTGATGCAGACCAAATTCGACTGCCATTCTGATAATTTTTTTCAGTCACCGCGCCCCAGCAAAGGCATCAATTGAGAGGTGGCGTACGTTGTAGCCAGACGAGCATATATCCAGCTACGATTTTCTTCCCACCTACGATAGGGCGTGGGCCACACAGCCAGGATTAAGAAGGCCTGAGCGACTTCCACGGATTTGAGTCCGTTGACGAGCACCGCTGCGGCCTCATTTTTGGCGAGATCCATAGCCAAGGGGTAGATGTGTTGCTTGCTGGGATGATATCGACTAGCAATTGCACAAACTACGCACGCATCAATCACGCGTTCAGGCGATCCAAGTAAATTATGTATCTCACCGACTGTGAATAGCAGGGGTGAGCGCTTGAATGTTGCAACTGGGGTATAGAGAACGGGATCTAGGATAGGTATCCATGGCTATCACACATCAGCTTGAGGTACTGGGTCCTAACCAAGTCGCCTACGTTCAACCACTCGTAATATCTACGCAGAAAGCGTGAGCAGGGTTCAGTAAGAATTGAAGATTGACCTCACACTTCAAATAACGATACAACATCGGCAGGAGTTACAAAGCCCTGCGCAACGATGGCCGGGAGTGTCGTGGACTCGATCAACTCCTTCCGAGCCGATAGATCGTACGCAGGGCCTGGCCTGAAATAGGAGGCGCTCGCGATACCCTGGTGCGCGTTCAGCACTTTTTCGGAGCCAGGAACGAGCGCAGGTCATACCGTGGCATCAGCACTATCGTCTGATGGTTCATCCTTGCCCTTCTTGTTCCCTAACGCGAGATTTGCAAAGAGGCCTAAAGGAACAGAGGAGTCCGGCAGAGGATTTGGGTCGTCGTCCTCCTGAGCTGAGTCGCTCTCGGAGTCCTCGGACGGGGAGCTGCTCATGTCCTCATCATCCTCATGCTGTGCTTGCCTCCAGTTTTCGGACAGGGCGGCCTGCTTGGGCGTGATCTGCTCCAGCTGGTTGACCCACCCGACGACCTCCGGGTTCGGAGTTTGTCGTCGAGTGCCGGGAAGCGGCGTCGACGGGCTGGAACCGTTGAGCCGAGAGCTTTGGAGCTGGAAGGATTGAGTTGGACGTAAGGCTGGGCGAAAGAAGGACAGACCTGCTGCAGTAGCTGTTGAATTATGCTATTCCGTTCGGCAAGCTGGGCATCCTTTTCTTTGAGCTGGGACACCAGCTGTGGACGTTTGCTGAACAGTTCTAGCATGAGAATCGTACAACGCCGAATGTGGCGACGCCTCTCACTTGGGCCCTCGTGGTTTACGTCCTTCTACCGTACATTCTCGATTCTGGGTTTTGCAGCGCTGGCAAATGTCGCTCCCTTCAGAGAAAACACATCGAAGCTGGGATGGGTGAGCTCAGGAACTTGTGTATTGCTGATCGGGAAGAACGTCCGGCTTACCTTGGCATGATGACAATTTGTACATGCGCCGGGTCTAACAAGGCAATCTCAGAACGCCATGCGGTAAGGTTTCTCATAATGCTCACAGTCTCCGTTTCCTATCCTGGGTGACTGGTGGCTGAAGGTTTTCCATGACGATCTGCATACCGGGTGGTGCAAAGGAGGCCTGAGAAAGCTGACCGGAGGAGGAGGCCGCTGTCGTTAGTCATGAATGGTCAGTAAACAGCTGGAACACGAGAATGGGATATGTGCTCGCCTCCAGGGTGGGCGTATAACGTTTGCTCCGTGGGTGGAAACGTAGTGGAGGAACCGAATTGCATGCTTTCGAATTGGGTCGGCGCATAGTGATATGCCAGGTCATGCATTGTAGGGCCTTGTAACGATCCTGGGTCGGGAAAGTGGGGCATGCGCAACAGCTGCTCGTCCGATGAACGCGACTTGCGTTTCCCCTGGCGGGGCTCAGCGTCGGTCGCTACAGTTGCGTCATAGCTTCGTGAGCAGCGATTGCAAGCATATATCACGATTGAACCTACGGTGCAAGTACGAAGGGTCGAGCGCGTTGTGGAGGGAGTACGACGCCATCTGGGGGATCAACGCGGACGGCAGTGAAGGACGGATGTTGTTGGTGTATGGCGAGCAAGACACAGCCCCACACGAAAGCTGTTGCGATAAAGGGTTTGGTAGGGGCGGAAGGCCCTGCGAAATCCAGAAGATCAGTATAGCGCCGGTGAGTTCGGAGTGGTGCTGGATCGACCGGAGCCGCCTGAACTCGTGCAGGCCCCCTCGTGGATCCCGACAACGTCCGCGATCCTCAGTTGCGAATGGGAGATCGAGTCGCGAGCAGGTGATGAGCTCCCCAGGAATAACTGATGCTCAGAGACGGTGGTCCAGGCTATGATTAGTCGAGATGTGCAGTTGGTGGGTTAGTTCAAGGTTGCCTCGAAACGAGGCGTGGCGCAAGGGGCTACAGTACAATGCTCAGATCAAGACGTGCATGAAGAATTGCAGTATATGTAGTTAACGAGGTTCATATTCAGAGTCGGGCTGTGAGCTGCAGAACCACGGGCAGTGTGGCGGCTGAGGCGGAACCAAATCGAACGCCGCGACTCATCATCGATCATCAAGCCTATACACTCAAAAGTGAACAGGACTATATGACGACGGCAACCAATTGATTTGACCGGTATAAAGACGCAAGTGGTGCGCGTGCAATACAAGGTAACATAGTAAAATCGCATATTTTTATTTGTTCCAATCCCACCCAGGGACATATGAGCATGAAGCAGACAGAGTTCGTGTCAGAATCTAAATACAGACCCGGATCTACAGACGTATCATCTCCGGCGCGTACACTCAGGGCCGGATGGCGATTCTGCTCGTCCGCAGCGAAGCAACGTTGATGGTGGATCTGACGCTGCACCCCAGTCTCGCATGGCTCGCTGTGAGAGCAATCATGGGCGCTGACAGGATACAATCGGGAAGAGACACGTAATGCCCAGGGAGAGAGAGAAATACATATGTGCAATGGTAACGACACAGAACCGATATGTACAATACATCCAAGTGATACGGGCCTCGTACGATTCAAGCAGTGCAGCCCTATTTCTTCAGAGTGCCAATAACGGAGTCCGGCGCGTACCGAGGGATAACCTTCGCGTCGTGGAGCATGTTGAACTCTTCGGTGGCGTCCCGCCCAGCGTACAAAAGGATAGCCTTCTCTCCTCCCGGATGATCCGGAAGGAACTGGGGACACCAAGAGGCATGAGAGTCTGAAGTAGTAAGAAAGAGCAGGAGATACGCACACTGGTAACGTCGAGGACCTGGCCGTTGACGACCACCCAAATGTCGTCCTTCTTGTTGTGCTTCGCAACATCGGCCAGAGTGTACTCACTGCCCTTGTTCACCGGCGCGCCGCTCGACGTTGCCTTCTCCTCCTTTGCCGCCTTGGTGGCGGGCTCCTCCTTGCTGGGCGCTCCGAGGTGACCCGCGACGCTCCCAAGGCGGTCCGCGGCCTTCGATGCGATTGCACTCGTGGCTTGCAGCAGGTATGCGGATGCGGAGTCACCTGATACACGACCGAAGACAACGCATCCAAGGAGGGAAGAACCGCCCAATCGGTTCGCACCATGGACACCACCGGCAACCTCGCCGGCCGCAAAGAGGCCAGGAATCGGCTTGTGCGACGCATCGAGCACCCGGGATTCTGGGTCGATCTCGAGACCACCCATGGTGTAATGAAGAACGGGAGTCATGATGGCGACGTTGAAGAAGTCGTTCATTGACCATTCGCCCTCGGCGAAGAACTAAGCCGCATGTGAGGTTCCATTCACAACCGGTGAATAAGCAATTCACGTACCTTCTTGCCGAAGGGATCCTTCTTTGTCCTCGCGACGGTGTTATATTCGTCGAAGGTCTTTTTGAGCTCCTCCGGCTTGATGCCGATCTCCTTAGCAAGCTCCTCACCGCTGTTGAACTTCTTCATCAAACCACGGCCGACGTAGTGCTTGCAGTGCCACTCGATCTCGTTCGACGCCTTGCCGTTAAGAACGAGGCGAATGGGGTACTGTACAAGTGATCAGCACTATCGAGACGACAGCCAAGCGTACTACTAGCTTACCTTGCCATTTTCCCAAATCTTGCCCGTAACATAGTCACGGTGCTGGAGCTCGTCGACGAATCGCTTACCGGTGTTGTCGAGCAGCAGACCGCCGACGCCACGAAGCGCTTCCGCAGCCAGGAATTTGACTTTTGCCTCCGGCTCGTTGGGGTCAACAAGACCGGTAGGGTGCACCTGCACCTTCTCGAGGTCGACGGCGTTGGCACCGACCGCCATGGCGAGCTTGTGGCCATCACCAGTGCAGTGATCGCCGTTCGTCGTCGGGAGTTCGTAGTACTCGGGACGGTACTTCTTCAGAAGGGAGTCGGAGGTGAAGTCCGCGGCGTAGCCTCCAGTGGCAAGAACCACCGGGCCGTAGGCCTTCTCGGTCTTGCCCTTCACCTCGTAATCGACACCGATGACTGCGCCGGACCCATCCTTGATGAGATTGGTGACGCGCGCCCTCTTGATGATTTTGACGCGATCAGGCGTGCTCTGGGCCAGGTCTTCGAGACGCTCCATCTGGGCGTATGTAATAACCTGCGATCACATGAGACACTATGCGCAAGGAATTCGGGGCATTCTAGCACTCACCATACCAGGGAACTGCGCATTACCACGGTGCGTCCTCGGCTGACTGTGGCCACCGAGACGCGCGACCTTAGACAGATCGAGGCCAAACTTATCCTGAAGCCAGTTGACAGCGTCACCGGAGCGCCCGGTGAGGACCCGAATGAGGTCGTCGCGAGCGAGCTCACGAGCCGACTTCTTGGTGTCCTCGAAGAAAATCTTCGCGGTGTCCGGGATGCCCTGTTCCAGCTGCGTTTGCGTGCCCGCACCGTTGATACCAGACGTAGCCTTAGTGGAGTTTCCACCCATAAACCTGAGCAAGACATGAAGACGAGTTTCATGCGACCGAGATGACGTGCTTACGGTTGCTTGTCGAGCAGGAGGACATTGCCGCCACGCTCAAGCACGGTGTGTGCGGCAGAGAGACCGGCGAGACCACCGCCAACGACAATAACCTGGGCCATTTGAACGGTATGCGGGGAAGGGATAGGGACAGATATGCGCAGAGCAAATGACTGAGAGAGTCTTATAACCGGCGCGGGCCGTTATGGACCAATCACGGGATTTCACTTACTGGATGCCGACCATGTGATTATCTGAACCCCAGTCCGGTATGCGGGTACCGATGATCCGACCCCCCGGGATCGGTACATGCGGGGTGAGGAGCTCGTTCGCTGCAACGGACGATTTTCCTTGCTGAGTAGTGCCTTTGCGTGCCATATCGGATGCCTGGCCTGAGGCAGACATATTCAGCGATGACTGAGGCTCACATGGACAGAACTGGAGGGAACGATTGACAAATCCCGCCGGCACGGCACTGCATTTAGGACGTTCTTCACTGACTGTTCAATCCATCGTATGACTTTGTAGTAATATAGAGAGCCTGGCGTTCTAGGCAAGTGCTAGATCCATTGCTCAACTCAGGAACCCCTCTACTGGCCACCCGTAGGTATGTTCAGATGGTGAGGTATAGGCTCTCCACATTTCTCGCTAGAACGTTCAATACCTGCAGATGTTCGTCATTGGGAGTTAGAGGCAATTCATGCACACGCAGCGCCGGTCTCGGGCCCACCGGGGCGTGTGATTGACCAGAATTTGTATTTGTAGTTGTATTTGTAGAGGTGATGCGGTGTTACCTCAATGTTACCTGGGACATCGGAAGTAACCACATTCCTTGAAATCAGACATGATTGTCGACGTTGGGTGTGATGCAGGACCGCTAACTGTTGATAGAACGTATTACATCAAAACCGTCCGATATTGTGTTCATCTTTACATACATGCATAGCTGCTAGTACACGTTCGCGATATCGATCCAAGCTGCGTAATTACTGTTAGCGACTCAATGAGGTGATTGCTGGTGCCTCACCTCCACCGACATTGTTGTTCGGCCTGCGCTGTGTGCTGTATATCGTTACGTATGGCACACTGTGTACACAATGCGTGAAACGCGGATTTCGAGGCAACAAGCAACCTCATGAGGCTATTGGTGACAAATCGATTGTTCACTGAGCGATGGCAGCACACGAAGACTTTCTACGAGATCGACCAGGGTCGTTATATATACGAACCCAGGGCCAGCGTCGCGCAATGGCGAACGGCACACGGACCCCTGGGTTCTGCCGGGGGGTCGGTGTTCTACACCACGATGACTTTGAGTGACATCACCTGCAGGTTGCCTCCAGGCCGACGTCATGGCCCAAACGCCCGCCTCAAAAGCGGACGGCATCGGTTGGAGGCAACGCAAAGACTTGTATTGTTTCATTGATCTAGCCTACCTCGACCCTTTCATTTTACCTCCGCATCAACATGATCCGCACCCAAGCCCTCCGTGCCGCACCCCGCGCGTCTATCGTCGCCGGCGCACGGCGCATGGCCACCAACAACGCCAACAGGCAGACCGTACCGCCAGCGGCTCCCAACCCCGAGGCGAAGGAGAAGGAGCTTAAGGCGGAGGGCGCAGGCTCAAGCACCATCTACATTCTCACTGCTCTCGCTGCCGCCGCAGGAGGCGTCTACTGGAGCATGTCGCGTGTAGGCAACTGCTACATGAACTCGAAGTTGAGAATACTGACGTATTTGTCCAGGATCCCGCCGCTGATGGCGAAAAGACTAAGCAGAAGGCGAAGGAGGTTCAGCATGATGCCCACGCCAAGGCCGACGAACTGATCGCCAAGGCCAAGAGCGTTGAACCATCCGACAAGGACACCATCTACGCTACTCGCGCTCGTGTGCAGTCTGAAGCCGCTCATGATCGCGATGTTATCGGGCAGGTCAAGGGTTCTGCACTACAGTACAGCAACGACGCCCAGAAGAAGTGTATGTCTTTCGTTCTGACTGCATTCCATCAGCATCTCACTCCCATTATTAGACGCTGAAACTCGTGACGCCGCTCTCGCGAAGGCTCAGCAGGCTCAGTCTGAGGCTGCGTCCAAGTATGGCGCGGTTAAGAGCGATGCCGAGAAGCGCTTGGAGGAAGCGAAATCGGCCGTGTACCACAAATATGAGGGCGTCAAGGACGAAGCAGCTCACTTGCGAGCCGATGCGGAAATGAAGTACGAGGATTCCAAGTCCGGCTGGTTCGGCTGGTGGGGTTCTACCAAGGTCGGTCTCGATTCCGGAAACCTTCGAAGGCTCAGTGTGCTCACGACCATGCAGAAGGATGCACAGGCCAAAGTTGATGCGACCAAGGCGGAGGCCTCCGCCAAGTACGACGCAGTAAAGAGCGAGGCGGAAACGAAGAAGGCGCAAGCGGAACAGGGCTGGTTCAGCTGGCTCGGATGGAGCAAGGCGAAAGGAAGCGAGGCGAAGTACGAGGCAGCGGATACCGTCAAGGAGGGTGCTGACAAGACGAGCGGATGGGCACAAGCCAAGAAGGACGAAGCGCGCCGATGAGCTTCACGCTTTCCCACCTAACTGAACCCCTTCGTGCGATGGCAACACGTGCAAACGAGCGAAGATGTATTATTGCAATGTAGTAATATCATACGTTATAATGGAACAAATCTCTATATCGTTTTGTCGTCGTATTCCGTTCGTGATGCAACAACTCCGCCGGTGACATCTCCATTGGGTCCGAGACCTTGACTCGTCGCTAATTGCCTGAACTTCGAGTTGGGGTTTTGCAAAAGTTCATGGGGACTGGCGCTTTCTACTATCTTTCCGTCCTCCATCACGAGAATATGGTCAAAATCTATGATTGTCGCTGGAGAAGAGGTTATCGACGAGCTCGATACGAACGTCTAAACTCCTCTGGAACACATACCGATACGGTGGGCAACAGCGATAACAGTGCAATCCGCGAAAGCCGTCCTGACCACTTCTCGCATCTGTTCATCGGTCTTCAAATCCAAACTGGTACGTTTATGTGAGTTCGGTCAAGCAACCAGGCGAGGAAAGTGACTTGCCTACTGCTAGCTTCGTCGAGGACGACGATTCGCTTTCGACGCAAGAGAACGCGCGCCAAGCAAAGCAACTGACATTGTCCCTTGGAGAACGAGCCGCTCTCCTCGAGCATCGCGTCCAGTTTCTCTGGCAAAGCGCCGACGGCCTCGGCCATCCCGACGTCCTTCAACGCGGCCCACATCTCCTCCTCATCTCGTAGCCCTTCGGGATCGAGGTTCTCGCGCAACGTGGCTCGCCATATGAATGGTTCTTGGGAGACAAGGCTGAAGAGCACGCCAAACGAACTATCAACCACGATCACCGGCAGGACATACACGAATCTACGCACCTCAATGATCCACGCAAGGTAGTGACGGAGATAGATTGCGTATCAAGGTCATCGATCAGAATTCTGCCGTCCAATAGGGAGTCGTCCAATGCACGGAACAATGCCATGATCAGAGTACTCTTGCCGGAACTACAAAGGCGTATTATTATGAGAACGTCGAGCTGTGGGCGGAGCGAACGTACCCCGTTCTTCCGCACACACCGACCTTCTTTCCCCCAGAAATTCGGAAAGAGACACTGTTCAGTGCGGGAGCGAGGTCGGCTCTGAACAATCGGGGTAAGCGTAAGATGCGGTTGATAGTATATTCACAAACTAACTTGTAGCGCAGCTTGACGTCGTCGAATGTGACAGACCCTGAAGTCGGCCATTGTGTGGGCGGTTTACTCTTCGCTAGCTCGGTGATGTACTTGCTCTCCTCGGGAGGTAAGGAGGAGTACTCGTGGATTCGCGATATTGACACGGAACCATTCTCCAGTTGCCCGATGCTCTGTGCGATCAAGCAGGTTAGACAACGTCTTGTTGAAGAGCTCGACGTACCAAGAGGACTCGGGACAGATCGTCTCCGAGATTTATCAGGTTAGAAAGAGCCAGACCGAGGCTAGCAAGAACATCAGCGACTAGCCGCTTGCATCGAGAATTCGATCGCTTACAAAGCTGGATCTGTAGAGTGGCGAAGGCCCACCGACAATCCAGCGAGCCCGACAGCTAGCACAAAGGTAACAAGACTTAACGCAGTCCTCCTGCAGGATGGCATTAGCAAAAGCAGATTGCACTGAGCGGGAACACTCGCAAGAAACGCAGGCTGGCCAGGCGATAGTAATAGGGGCCTTGACTGCGGTCAAGATGCAGATCATTAATGGACCGGAAGTGGCCTTGAACGCCAAAGGCACTGCACAGGATTATCAGTAATGTATCACTGGCGAAGTTCTGCGAAACATACCGGATCGTCTCCAGACCAGTGAGGGTGGAAGAAAACTATTTGGGGCAGGTCAGATTACATCTTGGCCATACTGCTGCAACATGACATACCCCGGTGTAGAGCGGAGACTTGCTGCCGGCTTCCAGATGCTGTAACTGTTTGGAGGATCTCTATGATCCGCGGGGTCAGCGAGCAACCATGGCTCTTCTACGAGCCTTGACTGACAACATAAAGTTGCAAGACAATCCAGTTTGCGATCACCAATGCAGGGACAGAAACCAAAAGCCAAGGCGTCTTAACGGACGAAGTCAGCTTTCACCAATGGATCAAACGCGAGTCAAGACTCACTGCGATGAAGATGAAAACAGCCGTCCCGACTGTGACGAACGCAGGTGAGATATTTAGAGCGCCACAGTGTATTGCAGAGAACTCACCAATGGTGACACTATCGGTCAACACACTCAAGAAGGATATAGGAAACGCAAAATCAAGCATGAATATGTCCTGACACAAAGGCATGAGTCGCTGGATGCAGAGCCTGCACAAGTGATGATCACCTGCGAGAACCTGTTGAGTATGCGACCTGCGGGAGTCTTCATGAAGAAGGCAGGAACGGTGTTGAAAACGCTCGAAATCTCTGCTTCATGGGCTCTGGGACCGGTATAACTGCGTAAGATCGGTATGGTGAGCATGCGTGACTTGCTGGGTCATGCATCGACACACCTTGTGACGACAGCGCAGTACTGCCTCAAGGAGGCGAGGCTGTATAACGCAATTTTCATTTCAATGGACTAGAATGTGGATATTCGTAGGCATTCGTACCTTATGACAAGGAAGGCAACACTGATCCCTGCATATCCACCAATCCATGGGGCGACGGCAGAGGTGCTGTGCGTAGACCACTCTTTCGTATAGACCTGGCAGGCGTGAGTGCCATGACATGTTGCATTCTACTCCGATGATATACCTGTAAACCAACTCTTATGGCTCCATTCGACATGATCAGCAACTGGGAGCACAAGTCAGCACGGACGCCTTGCATATCAGTCGAGCCGTACCGCAGCCAACACGGTGCGAGGCCATGTGGTCATTTGTGCAAAGAAAATGTAGGGTGTCCATCCCAGAGACTTTGGTGATATGGGTGCTTCGTCATCTTCTTGTTCCGCTACATGCTCCGTCAGAGTCCCGGCAGCATAGATACTATCTTCCTGAATGTCTGGATGAGATTGCGAGTGCTCGGTGTGCGGAACATAACCCTGCTTCTTGATTTCATCCAGTGTGCCCTGATACAGGATGCGACCGGCCTCGAGCACGATGACATTGTTAGCCGCGTGCAGATGCTTAACTAGGATGATGCATCCAAATTCAGAAATGAATGTCGAAGACTGCGGGTGTCAGGCTTACGATTGTGCGTGACAAGGAGGATTGCCTTTCCCGCCAGCAAACCGCCGGAACCAAACAGAGAACGAAATACTGATACAGTTTGAGTTACGAACATAAACAATACCGGTAACAAAGTTCTCACCGTGAAGCTCGGTCTCCGCGTCCAGGGCGCTCAAAGGATCATCTAAGAGAGTCCAGTCGGCGTTGGCGTATACCGCACGAGCAAGCCCCTGAGACACATCAACACTCGTATCACTATAGCGACCTTGTGGGACTCACGATTCTCTGCTTTTGGCCGCCGCTTAGTCTACGTCCCTTCTCTCCCAATAGGGTGCCATCTCCTCTAGGCATCCTTCTTATGTCTTCGGTGAGAGCGCATGCATCCAGAACACGGAAGTAACGATCTGCATCGAATTCCAGCCCGAAAACGACATTTTCGCGGATTGTTCCAGGGATGATGAACGCATCCTGTTGCGCGTATGCAATGGGCGACTGCAGAGATGCGTAGAAACCAGATTTCTTGACTGTCTCGCCTAGAATTGAGGCGAGGAGAAGTGATTTACCCTTCATATTCTCTATGCATCAATGACTCCGTGAATAGAGAATGCTGGGTACACACTGAGGCTACGGCACCGACACACATATGCACACCAGGTCCCGAAAGCTCTAGATCAATGTCTTGAAGAAAGGCATCCGATTTGGTCGACCAAGAGAAGGAGGCAGATTGCATCGATATGGTTGTCCCCTGCGTTCTGAGCAGTTCATCCTTGATCTTCTCGTCCTCGTAATCGGTCTCCCTATCCTTCTCAACTGGGGACTTATCAACTCGTTCCGGCAGTAGCAAAAACTCGTGAATGCGTTTCAGCGATGCGTATGAAGCCGCCAGTGCGGGGAGAGTTTGGCCTGTCGAGGAGATTCGATGAATATTTTGGGGCTGCGAGATGGTTGACGTTACCAAGGAGATTTAGCGGGCTGTCCAGCAGGCTGACTGTCGCAACAATCGTGAACAATCTTTGAGGATTGAGCGGTGCTTTGCCTTGTGAGGCCACCAGTCCCGCGTATGGCCCGATTACGGATAACAGAGAGAAAACGTAAGCTGTATTGGATAGCGCAACAGCAACGACCAGGGTGTCGCTGCGGAAGGAAGATCGTATCAGCACGATATTCCCAACAGCGACATTATCACGTACTAGTAGATACGCGCGTGTTTCGTCTCCGCAATACGCAACTCTGCGGCTTTCCGCGCAAGAATGCCTTCATATCTCGCCCACTTGATGGGAAGGAAATTTTGAAGCACCGATGAGAGGAATTTCACCCGCTCGTCCGTAGATTTCAGCCATGCTGCCTGCCGTTTCCCGATCGGTGCCCCCACAAACCCTGCTAGTGCAATGACCACAAATGTCACTCCAAGCGGTAAGAACGCTGGCCATGTTGCCTATACAAGAGGTGAATCCGGCAGATCTGATGCAGAAAAGTGAACAGAAGACTGACTTGATTGTACAAGATGATGATGGAGAGAACGATGGATACGAGCGCCGCCCAAACCTCATGAAATATTTGCATCCCTTCGCATATTCTTTCCACGTCGACGGACCTGGTGAAAGGAATCCAGTCAGGGGTGCAGGCTGATTGTGTCGCGTAGTGTCATACATATAAGTACTTGCAGCGCCGCTACCGACAGAGCGTCCCGTTTCCAAGTTCAGTCTCAGCGATTTCTCATATATCATGCCGACCAGAGCGCCTCTATACGTGATAACAACGTCGTACACCTTCAAATGATAAAAGATGGATCCGACGTCTTTCGAAATACAACACAAACAAGCGCACCTCTTCCAGATAGAGGGAGACGGAGATGGCTAATACTGCGTATACGCAGACGAATGCGCCAACCAGTGCCCAGCCGACGTCGGAAGGCCGCTCGGGGTTGGAGATGAAGCCGACCATCTGGTTCACAAGAAGCGGTTGCGCAAACGTCGCGAACAGCTGGATGAGGCGCGGCAGAATCGGTGTAAGGAACATGCCTCCAAACGCGGTTAAGGAGGCTCGAGAAAGATAGCTCGACGTTCGACTGGAAGACAACATATTGAGATTGCTGCCAAGACGAGTAGTGATTGCAATCATACGGTGTCTGCTGAAGCGCCTTCTGCAAGGTCGTCTTCGAAGCCGAAGCGTGCATGAACTCGGGGATATCTGAGCAGTCGTCGATTGTCAGGGTGGTCTTGCGGCCTTTCCACAGAAGAGGGAATAGCCAGAAGTATAACGAGCGGTATATCCAGCTTGCCGTAATCGCTTTTGGCAGCGTCTACAAATAAGGATCAGATATATATACCGAACCAAATGTAATTCTCACTGCACCTGATCTTGCAGAAGAGCACGTTTATGGATGAGTTCCACGCACATAACCGCAAGATATGATGCCACGAGAAGTACGCAGGCAATGAAGAGGCCATGTTCGGCGTGGTCCAGGCCGATCAACACGTACGTCCGCACAGTCGCGGCCGTAAAGATGCTTTTCAACAAGGCGTAGCAGGTAACAAGCGCACTAGGCCGGACAGAATTGAAGTGCTCGTAATAAACGAGAACTGACATGACCACCTGACGAGGATGTGAACACACGTAGTGCGTGATAACGAAAAACACCTTACACTACTAATGACTTGTACAATCGGGGAGGCGACCCACAGCGAGAGTGTGCCTCGGTTATGCGCGCGTGTCTCAAGCACGGTATTCGCGACGCAAAGCGAAATGCATGACAAGCAGGCGAACGCCTTCGTAGGAAGGAGCCCGAAACCGAGCTTACGAACAGCGGAACCCGATCGCGAGAGTTGAAACACCCGTACGCCTGCTAACATCAGGAACACCAGATCAGGTAGAGTCGACATGATGCTAGACAGATGTCAGGCGATGTTGGAATATAGTAGCTTGTTGTAAAAGTCTGCTCACGTCTGCTCGAATCTAAGGGTGAAGTCCAGGAACCGGCAGGTGGACCCTGGCCCGAAGGACGAATCCTGGGAGCAGGACGACATGGCGGCAGGTAGCGGGTTTGGGACGAGCATGAAACCACGAAAGGCATTGATATATTCTAACCTGCTATCCTGAAGGCCCGCAGTCCCAAACCGCACACGCAAGCGCCCGCTCGACTCATCACGGACCCGGTATCCCAATCACGGTCTGGCTTTGGGAGACGTTCAGGTGTGCATAGCCACTGCGCCCGCAGCAACGCTTGCGCGTACGCAGGACCGGTTCCACGCAAACCTATTGAGCACTCGCGCCAAAGCTATCCTATCTCAATGTTTGTCGGCACACGGACTGCATGCTCATTGGACCTCGCATTGCTGCTCGACAAGCAACGCAGGCTCACCATGGGCCGGGATGGGTCAAGTAATCTAGGCGTCTGGCAAGTATTGAACTCTATTTTTCACGTACCATAACCGTAGTAGTGGCCACAGACGTCCGCATACTGTGCTTTCAGCCGTCCTAGATTCGTGCAGCTATAAGCCGGCCCTTGGTACGTATGTGAGATGACCACCGCGGCCCCGCTCCTGTTATCGGCGATTGGACACAAGCGTCCAGAATATCGAACGGAAGCCATCCAAACGTTTTTCCGTGGTCACTGGAGCGTACACTCCGAGATACACAAGAGGGGCTCGATGGCGAGGTCGAGTCAAAGGTTTCTCGCGCTTCTTCGACCAAAGGAAGCAGGGCGAGTACTAATCCAGATGTACTCAGTCGTCCGATACCGACTCGACGGAAGCCGCATAGCGGCCCTGTGGCTTCCGTTTGGTCTGGTGAGGTGAATCCAGGATCGTTCCCAAGCGTTCGATCCGCTCTCGCACGCTCGCCGATCCCGACGGAGCTCGCGTAACGACCCCAGGTGGTGGAACCGGTATCGGATTATGGTTGTTGGAGCGCACCAGGAGATCGTCGTTGAATTCGCTGCCGGCGTCACTGTGGTCCCGAACGGTTGCTAGTCAATACACCACGACAAACAAGCTATGCGACAAAAAAGCCTACCTGCCAAATCTCGACCCGCGTAGCGAATCCCGATCGCCGCCGCCTTTCGGCGCGTCCGAGAAGATGGAGAAGGGTCTATTCAGAGGTGCCGGCGTGGCACCGGCATTCATGTTGGTGCTGATAGTTCCCCACGACGATCCATACGGGCTTGATGCAGTCCGTGGGCTCCATCCCACTGTAGAAGGCGGGAGCGGCACCCGTGCGGCAGCAGCCGTGGCGCTGCTTGTCGTGCCACCGCTGCTTGTCCGCGTCCGCGCCGAACGGGAAGAAGCAGGCCGCCCCGGCTGTGGATATGACACGCCGCTAGGCAGTGGTGCTTCCTCGTAGCGGGGCGTTGCGCCTGCCATATGTTTCGGACGTTGCGGTGGTGTTGTCAAAGTGTCAAGGCTGCCTAAGCTCGAAGAGATTTCGTCGTCGGGCTCGGACGACTCCGGGGTTGGAATGTTGCGGCTGAGCTCAGTCTGAATCGCCGGAGTACCTCGTCCACCGTAGATGTTGACGGGTGCTCTCCTCGCGCTGCCACGCGACCTGTCGCTATACACACCCGGGGGTGGGACAGGGACGACAGATGGCGCGGGTACCGGCATGGCGGTAGGGGCGGGTGCAGGTACTGGAGCACTGTTACTGGGATTACTCGGCATTCCGGATGTTGCAGGCTCGATCTCGAAACTTCCGGGCATAGGGGCTCCAGCTCCTGGGTCTACGCGCATGACGCTGGGTACCGACGGCGCACGAGGAATCACGGGAGCAGATGGCGGCCGCGAAGGCGCGTTGGCTGTTCTAGGTTGGTTGACCATCGCGTTTCCAACGGTGATCGGAGGTTGCGGAGCTATCTGAACTGGGACAGCTCCCGGCGTTTGCGCATACTGTTCGGCTGACAGTGGCGGGGCCATAGGTACAAAGCCTGCCGGCAATCCAGTTGGCATGAATCCGGGCGGAAGACCCCCGAACATTGGTTGAGGCTGAGGAGCCGAGCCAGAAGGTACATATGGTGCTGACCCCGACGAAGACGACCCAGGATAAGGTACGCCGACCGGTGGTGCAGCATAAGAGGGAGGGCCAGCGGTCGAGGGCATTGCGTACGATTCACTACCCGTACCAGGTGCGGGAGGTATAAAGGGCGCAACATTGTCTTCAGCCAAGTAATTCGGGTCCGAAGGTTCCGGAACTGCCGGGAGAGGGGAGTGCGCACTCTCTGGGCTGAGAAAGCCGACCATCGTCGTGCGCCTGGAAGTGTTGGAGGGAGGACGCGACTGTATAGCATGTTCAGTATGCACCTGGATGATGATGATGATACACTAACTGGAGGCTGGACGGTGATATTAACCGCACTGCTCGTGGATGAGCGGAAACTCCTGTTTGATGGTTCCAAGGGGGGGCGCAGCGTGTTTCCGATGGTAGGCGTTGCGGAGGGTGGACGCGCAGGCGTCCTCCGTCCGTCTGTGACACCAGAACTCATTCCACCATTCTCATACAGGGGTACAGGAGCAGCCTGCATGGCTGGAGTGAATGTCTGGAGACTAGGTTTTCTGTTTGCCTCTGGTGCAGGACTGGCTTCAGGGATGACGCTGAGCTCGCGCTCGCCGCGACCCCGAGGGATGCCTCGATCGCGGAGCCTGCTGCCGCCGGCATCCGTTTCTGGCGGCGTGACCAGATCCATTTTCGACAGGTTCGTCGATCGCGAGGTCGACGAATCAGGCGACGATCCTCGTCTTGGGCGAGTCCTGAAGCTGGTCGTGGTCGGTGGCGCCGAAGGAGGGGCTGCATGTACAATGCGTACAGGTCGAATATCTTCTATGTCGATTGGGGACGTAAGGGTGGGAGATGCTGTGGTGGCGGGGGTAGCGGTCGGGGGAGGATATCTGCCCTCAAATTCGTGCGCAGGTGGCAAGCGTATCTGCCCGTCGTTGTCCATGTTCGGAATCCAGCCTTCTGGAGGCATATCCACTGGCGTGTGTCCGGGTGAACGAGGATAATTATGCATAATGACCGGATGTATCTGGCCGTCGTCGGGTGGTGGAGGGGGAACAGGAGCAGGGATATCGGGCCCGGTCTCGGTCGTAGCAGAGACCAGAGGTGTGTCACCGAAGGTGCGGATGGGTCCACCAAGGGACTCGTAGGTGCCAGGAGAGATATCTTCCTCTTCCTCCTCCTCCTCTTCCTGGTCTGCGCCGATTTCTTCCATGGTACGGAACCTGCCCTCGGCGTAGCCCGCGTATCTTCCCCGTTCCAAGCCCTCCCGCAAGCCCTGCCTTCGTCCCTCCTCCCTAGCCATGTCCATCAGTCGCTCCTCCCTCAACCTGCGCGCCGTGGAACGAGCGCTTGCTGCCGCCTGTTCTGCGTCGCTCCTCTGGGTTTCGATAGCCTCGAGGATCTTCTGAGCACGATCGATCTCCGCCTGTGCTTGGGCTAGCTGCTGTTGGTAAAGTCGTAGCTCCTCCTTTGCACGCTTGACCTCCTGCTCTGCTAGTCGACGACCATCGTCAATAGCCCGGAAGCGCAAGGCAGCTTCCCGCGCCCGATGCTCGTTGTCGTCCGCTCGAGCGGCTTCTAGGTGCACCTGCCGCGACACATCGCCGAGGACACGCTCAAGGTCTCGAGTTTCGCGTTGTTGGTAGAGCAGCAGCCGGGCGAGCTGCTTGGAGGAGATGCCAGCGAAGTCGCTTTCCCGGTTCTTCGCCGCTTGTCGACGAGTTGACTTGAGATTGTCGTCATATTGGTGCGAAGAGCCGTTCGCGACGTCTACATGATTCATTACTGGTCGTTATCGGAGTTCTCTCTATCGTTCTATCGTGGTTCGAAGCGTGGTCCGAACGAGGGGGTCCAGCTCGTCGAGATTATAGAGTACAAAGATGATACGAGTTGTGGTGAAAGGCAGAAGCAGAGAGATACAAGGAGTCGTGAGTTACGGGTGTTTGTACCAATTACACGCTTGAAGCGACGAGAGCAACCTCTGCGAGTCGTGGGCGCTGTCGAGGAGAGCGCCTCGCGGTGGGATGACGTACATTTGGACGATCTTCATGGCAGACTGGTCGATCGAGATCTCTCCTACATAGTATGCTCCATTGGCTGCTCGCCGGAGATACGTACACGAGCAACAACACGACCCCTGGTTGTCCTTCTGCTCATCTCCAAGGCTTGACGCCATTTCGACGATCTTGTCTGTGCACGAAGCTCCACGACATCAAGTAGGCTCGCGCCACTCCCAACATGGTCAGCGAGAACGACGGGGCTTTAGCTAGTAGGTCTTCTCCACGGCTCCACGTTACCAGATGCAGTCGCACCCTCGGGCTAGAGAGCGATCTTCGATACGTCCTCTTGAAACTGTGTATCATCGACGCTGGAGCGTACACCGTCCATGGGATCTCCTGTCGACGATGAATGACCTCAGCGATTCGAGAGCCGCTGCTGGTTAGTGTTGCTCTTGCTAACACGGGATCACACAATACGACCTTTACCATGCAAGGCAGACCACCATATCCGCATAAAAGCGCGACGTCGTAGCCAGTGAGCTTGAACCTCTCCCATAATCGAATCATGCTCGCCGCTATCCTTTCACAAATGTCTCGCAGGTCTCTGACACCGAGTGGGGGTATGATATCTGCGTCTATCCACCTCCACAGCCTTGCGCATTGCGATGGAGGTCCGCATCAGATGCTGTCGGATCTGTATCGCTGCAAATTATCATTGTGTAGGATCCATGACACCGCCTCCCCTTCCCGTCTTGCCTCGCCTCAAGTCCAGGAAGCTTAAAAAGAAAGTGTTCTCGAAAACAACGGCGAACGCAGATACGCAGTTTGTTCAAGGCAGCAACGGTCAAACCTCGAGCCACCGAATGTACCGTAACTATACTGAGTCGCGTTGCGACGCATGCTCACACATGATGTTTTCTGGCTTCTAGTCTGGCTTTGAAAGGCGACGCAATCTTGGAAATGGTGATCATAAGCATGATCATCGATCAGCTACCCAATATTGAAGTAGGCGTGGCCACGGTAAGGAATCATCACCATGAGTTTTACTCGGTTTTTGACATACATCGGGATGTCCGAAGCGCATCAGAGACACGGTAGTCAGCAACAACAGTCTGGCCGCTCTGTAAGCGCTCTCATCAAGCAGTCATCTGGAAACCATCTAACATCTCGAAGCGCCCTTGCATACAAACTACCCGATCGTCTAGGTGGCGCCACAGAAATCGGCGTTCACCGCCTTGGTGAGCGCACCCCAAGGTAGCTCCTACTGATACGTACTCATCGAAACGTCGACACCAAGCGGACATCATGGAGGTTAATGAATTTCTCCCTACACATGAAGCCCTTCTCACGTCTTCTTCTTAGGCCTATATTGCGGGTGTCGAGCGGCAAGAAGGAATGGCTGGTGTTATGAATTGGCTTGAACCCGTTTTAAAACCTATGATCCAGACTTGCCACGAGACTCTTACGAAGGCGGGTTGATTTTGGGGTCCGGGTCCGTTAATTCAAGCATTTTCGTCCACAATATATATGCGCATTGAAGACCATTACATGTACGAACATGCAACAATGTTGGTCACAGTATTCATCTTTGAGAAACGCAAGGAAGTTGGAGCTTGACACAATCATATTATTGAGTGAGGCTAAGGCCCCGATCGGGACACCGGGTTGAGGTGGGTTGGGTTGGGTTGGGTTGGGTTGCCCCCGCCAAAAAGTGTGGGAGTCGAGGTGGCGCAGATGCGGGAATCACGCCAGGCAAGGCCGAGGAACTCAGAGTCACGCCGTCAAGCAGCGGTCAAGTTACAATAGATATTCACGGATTAATGGACTGTATCCTCGTTCTCCTGCTCCCTCTCATGGCTCCTAAGGCTCAGTGGTCTATCATGTCTACCTGGGCACTGTTTAAATTGTATTTGTGGCGAAGGTTAATGTGACTAATGGTGACTAATGGTGACAAATACGTTACATGTAACACGGGTCACCCGGCCCGGGCCTCAACTCAACCCAACCCAACCCAACCCAACCCAACTCGGTGTCCCGATCGGGGCCTAATGGATGACTTTCAAGTTCGGACCGGGATTCCGGATAGGAATCTTCGCGCGATCAGGTGATGGCGTCGACCGATCCCGACGGCGACCGCGTTTGGGATGTACGCGAGCCTTGCATTCATCATGTCCAGCAAGCACCGTTGCCTCGCATCCATAACGGCGAGATGCATTCGAGCATCACCCATGCTACAGCAGAACTGGCATTGTCGCACTCCTACTACCCCTCGCAATGGACGCAGCTTCTCACTCAGTCCCTCTATCCATGAACGATATAATGTGCCTATGCGAGCTGCAACTGATAGCTGTGGAAATCCGCGAATCTGATGCTTCCTACGCCAGGCTCTCAGCCGTGGAACAACCAATTCAACACCACCCGTTGGGTTCATCTTCGACATAGTGGGTGCTTAGCAGAGGATAATTGACTTATGATTGACTCAGCGACCTTGATTGACTACAGGACGGCGTCCTATTAAGAGGCTCTGAAGTACTTCCGGAGGCTAAAGAAGTCTTTCGTATTCTCAATGGCGACAATCGCTTTAGTGTGTAAGTCTCCATAGTGTGTATACAATGCCCGAATCACCGCTTACAGCCCACACCGACGTATTCAGGAAGTTGCCCTACATCTTCGTCAGTGACACGGTTGCACTTGCCAGCAACTTGCTGAAGCGCAAACATACCAGCTTACCAATGGCGGCGGGGTCAGTGAAGCCGATCGCAGTCGGAAGCTAACGAAGCAGTTCGGGGTGGACGCAAGTCGTCATCCTCGTCCGCACGTTCCTCTCTGACCTCCTGATCTAGATTTCCCCCGACCAAATCGTTCAAGCCCACACAATCCTGACCTCTCCAGATCTCGTGGAGAGGTATGCAGATGCCCCCGTACTTGTTCTTGGTGGTATCAATGATGTATGCCGTAAAGTCGCAGAAGGCTATGGCTATAAACACGTATACACTCCCTTGGACATCAAGGCCGCTTTACCAGAGTATGTCTGGGATTGGAAGTATCTTTCTATATCCACTTATTCCTTCACAGTATCTGGCCATTCTACTCGCTCAGCCCCGAAGAACGTGCGTCGGTGAAGGTGAGTAACAAGCCCAAACAACCTCCACGTTCTAATCTCGCTGGGGATTCCCAGCACTTTGACCCCAGTACGCGCTTCGGGGCTGCATTTGTCTTCCACGATCCTCGAAACTGGGGAATGGACACTCAGATCCTTCTGGACATCGTCCTTGGGTCGGGGAGCATCACTGGGCCTATCACAAGACTTAGAGCCTCGGAACCTGAGAGATTCCCTGTCTACTTCTGCAATCCCGATCTCCTTTGGCGGTCAAGCTTCCCTCGGTCTCGCCTAGGACAAGGCGCATTCATCCACACGTTGCAGAACATCTATCACCAGGTCAGTTAGGGTGGCATAGGCGAAGCGTGTAGTGATGCTATCAAGAGGGTATACAGGTGGCCTGCAAGGAGTACGGCATCACCGAGCCTCATTACGAGGCGACGATCTTCGGAAAGCCAACAAGCGCGACATTCAAATTTGCGGCGCGCGTCATGGACAATCGCGTGCAGAGCCTGGTAGGACTTCAAGTTCAGAAGGACGAGCAACCGACGCTGTGAGAGTTGCCCTGTCTCTTAGTCACGATGTGTCCTGACAGTTGTCATTCAGGTACATGATTGGAGGTGATTTCAATTCCCTGCTGCGGTTTTTGAGACCCGCTGAGTTAATTCACTGCGCTCTCTAGATAACCCCGAATCAGGTCAGCCGTCTCGCGTCCATCCTGCTTGAGTTCGGTTGTTTACGTCGGACTTGCAGATATTTGTGGTGCCAATGCGGCTTCCATCCGGTCGATCCTCGTGCACACCGGTGTGTATGACCCCGCCAATGGGCCGCCTCGTCATACCCCTTGGCGCCAAGCTCCTCATGTCCTGGAAGCGGTGACAATCGCAATCGACGAGGAGTATCGCCGTCTTGGTTCCTCTTGATTGACTGTAACTCGGTTCACGATGACGCCGGTCCGTGCGTTCGTTAAGATAGACATATTCCAACCAGTTATTTCAATTGTAAGACCATGCGGTGCGAGCAGGTCATATGGCCATCGCATCCAGATCACCGCAAGTCGAAGCACAGTACAATCAATCGTACAAGACCACAAACCCCGCAACCCAGCCTCACCGTCTAGCATCGATACTTTCCGAGCCAGTCAACTAGAGAATGTATTTGTAGCAGCCCAAGTCGATTTGTCCTCCCTGCATGTCAGCATTAGTTCAAAGTTCGACGCCGGATGTGAAGAGAGGAGATCATACGTAAGAGTAGTCGAGGCAGCACAGAACCTCGAACTTGCACGTCGGCAAGTAAGCAACGCAATTGAGGCCGCACGGCTCGACGAGCCCGACGGTGATACCGAGCAGGCCTAGGATGAGCTGCGCCACGGGATCCGACGTCTATATGAGATTGAGCATTGAAGTTTCCGAGTGCGAAACCATGCGCACGAACATCGGTATATGTTTCGCAGCATTGCAGAGGCCCGAGCTCACAAAGGTAGGGTAGACCGGAAGGGCTAGATCGCTTGGCAGCTAAGATGGTGCATTGCTGTGAGATACACAATAGAGATGAGAAGTCCTATGAATGCTTACGAGTGACGGCCGAGGCCTCGAACGGACGGCGAGGGGAGAGAGGCGGCAGCCCGCGCTTCAAGCGCTCTGCGTTCGGGCCTATCGCCGTCGCGCTGGTCACGGCGACAAAGCCGACGAAGATGAACGAGATGAACAACAGCAACCGCATCTCGACGATGGAGTGATCTCGATTTCGTGAAGAACTGCCGCCTTCTGGAGGAGGACGGGGCGACGACCTGATCTCTTATACTCGCTCTGGCATTGTCAACCGCCGATGACGCGCTCGTCGCTGTGCCTTGAATGCTACCAGCATCTGACCAGAGCGAGAGTAGAGGGCAGTTGTGCGGCCCAGGAGGAGGCCGCGATCCTTCGATTTCTCCGGCAAGCAATGCTGAGCGGCACGAATCAGCGACGAGACGTCGCATCTCGTGTTAGGCCAGGCACCCCATAGCTTGAGAAATCAAGATAACCATTCTCATGGCAAGTGTTGGCGCACAGCGCGCGCTTGAGCCGACATTCTGGGCCCCTTGCGATCCCAGAGCGTGCAGTGGAGCTCGTTTACCGACGTTATGTGCTTCGTGACGAGTGAGTACGAGTTGCGTGGTAACCGATCCCGGACAAGCACATTTTTTTCGTCTCGACGAAGATGAGAAGCTGCAGATTGTGGAGCAGCGATGTTTTCGTTCCATGCGACCGAGGGAGGTTACGCGGTGCTCTGTGCCATATCGACTTTTAGGCTGGCCCTGCTTCCAATTAATACACACCTCCTGCGGCACAGGGGCGGAACGAAGACGGGGTGCTGTCTTCGATCCGATGAGCCCGAGTCGCCCTGCAACGTTAACGTACGCCGTGGCCGTTGGGGATCATATTCTTGGGCTGGGAGTGCGAGATGATCGTAAGAGCCATGTCCAAGACTCGCAGATCAACGCGCATGAAGCGAATTCGCATAGCTGGACAGGACATGATCTTTACTGACGACTCAGTGCGACAGCAAGAAACAAGCTCGACGTCCCCTTGCTAGGGATGATGGCGGTGTCCCACCAGGCAGCGTCTGGTGCGACGAAAGGGTCCCAGCCTCAAGAGCGCGGAGAAATATCGTGTCGGAGGTGAAGGTAAAGCGGGCTGATCCCAGCAGCGGCCGCACAATGTCATGCCTCATGACCTGTGAACCAGTAGATCAATTCGAGGTTGGCACTGATGCAGCATGATGAACACAAGTCTAAGACGGTCAGCATCGATATCGTTCGCTGCATGCATCGGTGGTGGTACGTAGCATTGACGGAGATCTTTCTCTCTTTAACCATGCTACAAGTCTCGTCTATGTCTACAACAAGTACGGATACAGTGGATGAAATGCTCGATACAATTTGCTTTCTTGTTTGCGTTCCGGTGCTTCAGAATCACATCGGGCTCGAGGCGGTCAAGACGCCTGCCTCCTCCCCGAGCTCAGACTCTTCACGCCGACGATCTTTCCCTCCGCTTTCACCCCGAACGCCGACGCGAACTTCTCGCTCGCCTTCCTCCTGCACGCGCTCTCGCTCGCCATCGGCGATGTAGGCGGCGACGTGGGCGGCGACGACGCCTGGCGTGCGGGGCAGCGCTCGAGCGGCGCGCCGCCGGTGTACCCTCTAGCGGAGCTCGGCGACATGGACAGCATCGTTCCTAACCCCTTGAGCGTCAACCATACGATCATCGTCAAAGAGCGCCCGGGATACCGACCTTGCTCTACGGAGAGCCTCTTCTCTCGTGTTATGGTACAGTGATCTTTAGTTTTAGGGAGGGGCTGCTTTTCGACGGCCTTGACGGTTCGCCCTTTTATCACCCCTCGCCTCCTTATGTCAACGCGGATCCTCCGAGCTGTCTCGAACACGACGATGAAACACAGCTCGCCGGTCCCCCGTCCGCTCACGTCAACATCCTGCCATACGCCCTTCTCATGGGGTGCGAACACCTTCACGCCCAATGGCACGAGCCAACGGGGATCAGCCTGCACCAGCTGGTCATTTCTTGAGTCTCCGGTCTTCCGTATATGAAGCACACAAGAACCTCTCGGCATGGGTAAGGGAACGCGAAAAGGCGTGGCTCGGGCGGACGGAGGTACACACCGATAGCACGCGACCAGGTCATGCCGGCGGGACAGAGTACATGCGTTACGTGTTGTGCGGTCACTACTGAATACAATCTGATGCTCTGGGGAGATAATCTACTCTGAGGGTACGGAAAGAATACAGCACTACAAGGGGGGTATGAAACGAAACATATGCGTGTATGACGGACGTGCCTCTACTTCGCGGCAAAGAATCACAGCGGCAACACCCCGTCCGTGCGACTGGCATGGTCGCTGCCGCTGCCGCTGCCATGACGGAGGGAGAGCGAAGATTGATGGTGCTCGCTCTTGCGCCGCCGCGTCTCGGCCTTCTCCGCGCGATGCAGACGCTCGCGCTCCTCTTCCTCCTCCTCCTCGCGCTTACGCTGACGGCGCCTGACGGCCTCCTCCGTGACCGCGCGCCGGAGGCGCTCCTCGACGACCTCCGTCTTGCGCGTCCGGCGGTTGCCGACGGCGATGACGAGCCCGGCCGAGATGTTGCACGAGATGGAACAGGAGAGGATGATGGACGTCAGGATCTTCTTGTATTGGTGGTGGTAGGAGATGGACCAGGTGGTGCTGCCGAGGGCCATCTGGAGCGCACGCGTGTGAGCGACTGGCGTGATGAAGGGTGATCAGGGAGGAACGCACCTGGAAGATGGAATGAAAGTCGAGCAGGCAGACGATGACGATGAGCAGATCTAGCGGAAACGCCTGGTGACGTCGTCAGCCCAGGAGTACGAAAGGAAACGACCGTGGCTTTCGCCCACCTTATGCGTCGCAGTCTCGTGGGGCTTGTAAAACGCTAAACCATCGCATCATGAACATCGAACGAAAGGCAAAAAACTTGACAAGAAAAAACACGCACTGTGGCTCTTGGCAAACTTCATCTGGTGGTACATGAGCGTCGCCTGCTCCTCGACGGTCAGCACCGGCGGACGGATCTTGGCGTCCTCCTTCGACGGCTGGTGGGCCGGGTCCGGCAGGTCGTTCTCGTCCGGGAGCGGGGGCAGACCGAGCTCGCGGTACATCTTGAGCGTCTTGCGGTGATACTTGGCGATAAAGTACATGTGGTACGTGTCCACCGTGCGGAACGGCGCGAGGCCGACTGTGTGTCGCGCACAACGTGAGCGGTAGTACGACTGACGTCAGAAAAGACCGGCAACGCACTTCCGACGACGCAGAAGAGCGCCGTCAAGATCTGGTCGCAGATCTCCACAAAGTACGCCTGACGCGAGCCGGCGTTGAGCCAGCCGATCAGGAACAGCACCCACGCCGCTCCCCAGAACGTGAGGAGGGACGCGTATATCGTCACGAACGCTCCCAGCGGCGTGCGGACATACTGCTTGAAGCCGCGCCACGTCCGCCGCGCCTTCCACTTGCGCGAATGCAGCAAATGCCGGACGTAGTCGTCGAGCTCGGCGCGCTCCTCGGGCGTCCAGTGGTCCCAGTCGACGAGGCCGTCGGGGAGGACGAGCCACTCGCCGCGGGCTTGGATATCGTCCCCCTCCGAGACACCGTACCTGTTTCGCTCGGCCTGCTCCGGGTCGGTGTGCTTGACGTACTCGGCGAGGGTCTCGGAGCGCGAGCGCGGCTCGCCGTCAGAGCTGGACGAAGGCTGCGGCTGCTCGGCGGCGGGCGCCGGGGGTTTTTCGGAGGTTTGTGGCTGCTGTTGCTCCTCTTTTTCGCGCGTGATGGTCGCTTTGGTGCGCCGCCACCACGACGAGCGTTCGCCGTCCTGGCCTTCGGCGGCGATCGCGCCCATCGCTTGCGCTCGTCTGATGAAAACCGTCAACGTGATGTAGACGAAGACGGGCAAACGAAACTTACCGCGCATCGCCCTCTTCGAGGGCGGCGAGCTCGGTGCGGCTCGGCGGGCGCGCGAGGCGGACGTATCCGGCACGGTTGACGTACCGGCCCAAGTTGGGGACGAAGAGCGAGTTTTGAACGTCGGAGAGGGTGGAGAGGGTGGACACTTCCGGGTCTGGTAGAGGACGTCAGAGATGGGATAAACGAAGACGGTCATCATCGTCGCGCACCGATCACGTCGAGGAGGTCGACGACGGCCTGGTCGTAGCGGGCCCGCTCCTCGGCTGCGCGGTGCTGCTCCATCTGTTCCAGGCTCGGCGGCGCTGTCTGCTCGGCGGAGGCGGTGCCCAGACCGAGCTACGATAGAGTGTGAGTACATCGAACGTAAGAGGTCGACCCGTACACACCTTGGCGGCGAAGGTGCTGCTCCTGTCGCGGACGGCGTTCGATATCGCCCTCGCGCGGCCCACGACGCCCTTGACCGACTCGGACTGCTCCTCCTCGGCCTCCGCTCCGGGTACGGTCAGACGTCGGCCCGAGTCGGGGGTGGCGGTCACGTCCGGATCGGGGTCCCTCGACGACGTGCGCGAGAACGGATTGAGGGAGTGCATGATGCCCTTGGTCGTGGTCCACCCGCCGCGATGGCCTTGGACGGGCACCGAGTGCACCGACGCGCGGTCTGTGGGCTGTTTGCGCCGGGGCGGGATGTCCTGATCGTCCACGGGGACCCAGCTGTCGCGAGCGGCCACGCCTTCGCCCACACGGCCGAGTGCACCGGGGGTGGCGCACATCTGCTTGCGGAGGTCGGCGGCGCTGACGCTGCTTGAGCGCGGGCGAGTGCGTTTGGGCGGGCCGGAGAAGAGCAAGTAGCTGGTGCCGCTCTCCCTGCCGAGGCTTCCGGAGGGGGCGTAGCTGAGGCGGACGGAGGACGGGTTGTTGTGTGTGTAGGTCGGGCGAACGGGGCGCTGGTAGGCGTAGTCGTACCCGCGCGGAGGGAGCGGCGCGGCCGACATGGGAGCGGCGGCGGCGGGCGGAGGGGGCTCGATGACGGGCTGCGGGGCGGGGCCCGGGGGCGGGACGGCGGCGGGTAGGGTCGTCTGCTGGGCCTGGGGCGGGGTGACGGTGATGGAGGGCGGGGCCGGGTCGTCTCCGGGCTCTTGGTCAGCGGAGGAGCTGAAGGGGTTGAGCTTGCGTAGGCTGGGCATGTCGGTGATCGTGGATGCAGGGCGTAAGGAAAGGAGCGGGTGAGTAGACTAGAGGGCACTGTAGACTAATCGTCGCAGGTCGTAAGGTAGTGGCAGGTGGGAGGGGACGAGTGGATGTTCATGTAAGTGCGGGCGTATAATTAGAGCTGGGAGCGGACGTGCCTTGGGTGTGGAATGACGTCGGTGCTTTCTCTGCCTGGTGCCGTGGCCGGTGGCGGGTGCGCGCGCGGGCAGGCGTGGTCGTCGTCGTCGCACAGTCGCTGGGGGTCGTCCGGGTCGGCGTCGACGTCGGGAGAGGTCGAGCGAGGGACACCGGGGGATCGCATGACGATACGAAATATGCCCGCGAGGTCCCTGCCGTGGGAAAAGTCCTCTGCCGACGCGGGCCGCCCAGGTCGAGCATGCAAGTGCCATTCGCGCACAGATCGCTCCTCAGACTACGGAATCGCTCCCGCCACCGTCGCGCTCGGAAATGGCCTGATGTCATCTCGCTCTCGTGTAACGGAGCCCGGTCAGCGCACTCCAATGCCGTTGTCTGCTCTCATGCAGTGTGCAGCAGCAGACCCAGTCGGGCGCGGAGCTTACTGCTGCGCGACTCGAGCACGGTCCCTGCACGGGGCTGCCCCGCGTTTCCCCCCCTCGCGTCGGCTCATCTACCTCTGCGTTGTGCATTGTGATGTAGCCCGAAGATCCTTCAGTACGCCTTGTTTTCAGTTTGTTCATCTCTGTCGATCAACCTCTACACTGGCTCCGCTCAGCGCCGCCCTGAAGGGTCACCGGTTACGAGCGAAAAATGCGACGAAACGAAACTTCAACAAGTAAACGAAACGAAACCGCCCGCCCAGAAGGACGCTCAGGGATCGGGCAACCACTCGAACGTGTACCGCGCTCCCCCTAACCACCACCATTCACCAGCTTCAGTGGCTGCCTGCCTTGTTCTGGACGCGCGGGGGCGGCCTGCGTTCATCGGTACATTCGAGAAACCTCTCCGCAACCCATCGCGTCCTTTCGCAGATCTCTGCGCGCCCAGTACTCTGTCCCGAATGCCGCCCTGTGCCGTCGCCTTTTCCGGAGCATACATGGGACTCTTCCAGACGCCACCTCCGCCTCGACGCATCAACTCGCGCGCATAGAAGACCTCAACCTGACGTCATGGACGCCCCACTAAACGCCCATACTCCCCGCGCGAGTGCCAGCCGTGCTCATCATCCTCCGCCATGAACCACCCGGACGAAAAGCTGCCGCTACACTACTCAAGCCCGATCGAATCGTCGCGACCGGAGGACGGGCCCGCTGTGCGCGACGTCTCGCTGGCCTGCCGCTGTCTGGCAGCGGGCCTTGTCAGCTACGCGCTTTACGTCGCCTACGCCTCCTCGCGTGCCTCCCAGTCGGAGCTTCCGACCCACTTTGCGCTGCCTTCCGGCTCCCAGATCCCCGCCGTCGCCCTAGGTAGGCGCCGCCATCACCCTCTTCTGATCTCAAACGCTGACATCGCCCGCACCCCGCGCAGGCGTTTGGCGTGCAAAACCCGACGAGGTCATCTCCCCCGTTCAAACAGCTCTTGCCGCCGCTTACCGCCACATCGACGACGCCTGGGCCTATCACAACGAAGCCGCCGTCGGGCGCGCCGTCAACGCCTCCTTCGTCGACCGCTCCCAGATCTGGATCACCACCAAACTCTGGAACGAGTTTCACCACCCGGACGACGTCGAGGCCGCGCTCGACCGCTCGCTCAGCAAGCTTGGCACGGACTACGTCGACCTCTATCTCATGCACTGGCCCGTCGCGTTCAAGAAGGGCGAAACGCACGACGACGGGTCGCCTGTCATCGACGAAGCGCTCACCGCGGATCCGTACCCGACGTGGCAAAAGCTCGAAGAGATGGTCGAAAAGGGGAAAGCGCGCAACATCGGCGTTAGCAAGTAAGGTCCTCACGTCCCGTGCCAACGCATGCTCGATATTCATATGAATCCTGTCCCCCCCACTAACCAGCTTCAACATCCGCCGCATGCAAAATCTCACCGCTAACCCGCTCAAGATACGCCCGGCCGTGAACCAGGTCGAGCTCAACCTCTTCAATCCCCAGCCAGACCTTCTCGCTTGGGCACGCGCGAACCACCTCCTTCTCGAGGCCTACTCTCCCCTCGGCTCCCAAGACCGCGTGCGCGATTCGCTCTCCCACCCGGCCGTGCGAGACGTCGCGCAGGGGCTGGGCATCACACCGGCGCAGGTCGTGCTCTCGTGGCACGTCCAGCGCGGCACCGTCGTTCTCCCCAAGTCGGTCACCCCCGCTCGCGTCGTCGAAAACCTGCAAGGTGCGATCGGATCCATCGTCGTCGGGTTGTGGATGCGTTTGTTGATCCTCGTGCGACGGCCAGTGACGAGGTTACCTCCTTGGGCGTTCGAGAAGATCGAGAGCGCGGCGAACGCCCACCAGCCGGAGCGTACCAACAACCCGAGCAAGGACTGGGGCCTCGGATACGACCTCTTCGATGATGATCCCTACGACGATTAAGGGCGGATCGTATACTCTACATTGGCTCCGGCATAAAAAATACAGCAGCCTGGTATCACCGCCTTCTATAATGACTGTGCAGTAGAAAAAAAAAGAGATCTAAGGGTGAGGAGGCATCTAGGAAGATTATGATGATGTACGCGATTATCAAGTTGTGCGATGTATGTCTACGATGTGATATCCATCCGATACTAGAATGATCAGCGGCGGTTAACCTGGGTACGAATGCAGAGCAAGGTGTCTATAGGGGTTTCGTTCGACAGAACAACGGGAATGGGATGCTGGGCGCTATAGACAAATATCCCCGTCAGTTTGCGCATGTTCCGAATGGGTAGTATTCATCAGCCTGGCAGGCTTCCCGTCGATAGTCACGGCTGGACTGCGGACCGTTCGTCAGCCTCATAACACCACATCACGGGAGGGAATCGACGTACGCGAAGCGGCCATGTCTCTGAGCTGCACGACGCTCGTCGAGGTCGCTTGCAGACGCGTAAGCTCCTGTTCGTTCTGCGCTACGTCAAGAAGACGATCTTGTTCTGACAACCGCAGTACCTGAGACATTTCTGTTGCAAACTACGACGCATCATCAGCCAAACTGTCTATCGCGCTCATAGACCTGAGCTCACCTGAGCGTACGAAGCGAATTCTGCGGCAAGAACGAGCATAACGAGTCAGTTATGATCATATGGTGTCATCATCCGGCACCACGCACCTGCCAGTCGGCCGCTCTTGTACTCTATCCATGCCAAGAGTATCAGCGCGTTCACCAGCTCGACAGAGGGCTCTGAGGTCTCAAGCCTTCTCATGAGAATCATATTCGCATTGTACGCGTACGTCTCCGCGATAACGTACAGGTCCTGGCCAGAGAACGCAGGTACGGCGTTGAATCTGAGTAGGTAAGTATCGTCTACTGAACTGCTCGAGACGCAAAGGAAACGACATCGGCGTACGGTATAGCCAATGCGGCAATGCAGTTCGCGATCAGGTCCGAAAGCGTCCCAGCCCCATACTGTTGTACCACATTCTCGTAGCCCAGGAAAGAGTAATCGGTGCCCATGTGTACAAAGAAGGAGTCTATCAAAGCGGGCATTACGGATGGATGAGGGCGCGGATGATCTTGCCCGCGCAAATCGGGGTCGAAAAGCAGGACGCAGCCAGGAGGACGTTGGGTGCTATGTAGTCTGTCAGCGGGTTCATCCAACATGGTATAAATGCACATACCTAGGCTGAGTATCGGCGAGCGCGGGATCAAGGGCCTGCGAGCTGCTGATAATTCTCTGAGTAAAGCCCTAGTAGAGACGGCGTCAGCAAAGACCATACCTGACTAGCTCTTGTTCTGCGGAGGGTGTGCTCGACCTTGGTGGGGATCCTGCATCTGATGTTCGAACCGCTATGAGAGCCTTTCGAAGGGGGCGACCCACTTGCGCACCACGAGGACTGGAGCGTCTAGATCCGCTCGGTCGCGAAGGACACCTGAGGCTACGCATGCGTTCGACGTAGTACCTCTCCCTGTCCGTGAACGTGCACGGTGTGTTGGACGCGGTACAAGAGGTACACGGCGCGTCCGCCACGGGTTGAACACATCTACTTTTCTTGCGACGGCTAATCGGAATACGCGGTCAGCGTCGGGGCCAAGCCTACCCGGGACGGAGCACGCACCAGTTGTCACAAGCGAGAACTAGACGCGGACGTTTTTGTCGGCGGTCGTCTCTGTCGGGATCTTCGTAGACAAAGCCAGTAGCCATACGCACTAGATGCTATCGAACTGACCCGACGCCGAGAGACGCGGCCTGGCCTATATACCTCCATGAAGTTGGATCACGTCCTGGTACACCGTGACTCTCATTCATCGGTTTGCTGGTTTGTCATCGGTACTTTGCAAGGTAGACATCCTCCGACTCAGGTTGCGTTCGGAAGGACCGGCTTGGTCACTGTGTCCCGAAAAGGCAGTCGCTTTCTGGAGCTTCTTACTCAACGGATGATGAGTACCGGTGGTCCTTAACGTTGTTGCATAGCTTGCAATGCAGTCATCACCACGACATGTACGCATCACCGATGGTGCTGCATATGCGTCGTTTGAGTCTCGAAGCTTGACTTTTTGTTCGTGTCGAGGTCGTCAAACCAGGCGACGCGTCAGCGGTCGTAGAGGACTGTTGAAACGAGCGGATGGCGTATGTACGTCGGGTAAAACTACGCCGATGAATAGCGAAACGGCATAGCCTGGCGCAGATGCTAAGTTGCGCCGTCAACGAGCGAAAGATAGTGCTGCCGACAGGACCTGGTTAACGCGCGCGGAGGTTCGGTCGGCGCAACCGCGCCTAGCGCTGATTGGCTCGTTTCACGTGGTCCACTCATCATGCACGTCATCCGTGTAGCATTGAATGAGTTCGATGTTTCTCTCATAAGCACCGTATGGCTGTAGGCCTTCGATGACAAACTAATTCCGTGTTCTAGAGCGTGAAAGTAGGATATATATTTACATGACAATGACGGTTTACTACAGGGCTCCAGCGCTCTATATACACCAAGATGAGATATCTCCATCGCGTCCCAATCTAAAGATATCGCGAAACGGCGACCTGAATACGGATACGACGCCGATACAAAGATTATCCAGATCCAGATTACAATTCCAAAATTCCATGCCCGCCAGATTAAGCGGACGGCATTACGTGCAGATTCACGACGCTGCTCCAGGCCGACCGGATGCGGTTTTGCTCCTGAGAAGTGAGAGCCAGCCGGCGGATACCGTCACTGTCTGATATTCCGAGATCGAGGGCGAGTGACATGGCCATCTGAGCATGCGCTGTGAAGTCTATCCATCACAATGTCAAGCGCGGTATTGTATAGTTGTATGAAATGCTTGCCTGAAGCCTTCCTGCGTTGATGCGTTGACCATGCAATGAGGATCGTTCCGTATAGATCGTTCAGCGAGCCCAACGTTTGTGCCGAAGATATCAATGACTGCATGCGCATGATTGAGTACGGGGTTTATGCATATTGAGGAAACCATACCTGTGCCATGTTGCAATACGTGTCGGCAATTTGCTCGCGGTCCTGACCCACGAGGGCAGGGGAGGAAGCGGTCCTGATGTCAAATCGCGTGAGCTATAGGATTGCTGTGCCATAGCACGCGCTCTTACATGCAGGCTATGGCGGCTATTCCATTCGCCAGCAAAGGGGATAGGTTTTGGTTAACGAAGTCGCGAATGACTTCGTCGAAGACAAGGAAACCGCATTGGTTTTGCGCGGTCTCAAAGAAAGATTGGATTAAAATCGGCATAAGAGCAGGGTGTGGTTCAGTCGGCCGGACGGGGTTGAACAGCGGCGGGAGCGCGGTGTGCGTGTTGACCGACCTGTTGCTTGCGCCGCCTCTAGCCCTCAAGCCCCCAGACGGAGCGCTGTTATGCAGATCAGTTTCGTCCATTGTTCCGCGCGGGGTACTGAGTACCTTTGCTCTGCGAGAGCTACATGCGACCTGCTTGATGGATAAGAAGCGGCCATGCTACCGCTCGGTGACATCGAATCGTAAAATGCGGCATGTGAAAATGCAGGCATTCCAGACGCATGCGCAAAATCACTGTTGGTCGCGCTAAGCGAATGTATGTCAATATGAGTCAAACTGACCTACACAGAGTAGCTTGCACTGGGCTGCTGAGATGCAAATTCCCCAAGGGTGCTTGACCTACTCAGCATGGTTAATGACGGCCACTGCGACAGGTGGACGAGAGAAGCACTTACGGATAAGAATGCCCAAATGGGTCCATAGACTGAGGGACGGTTGGTGCCGCGAGATTCATCGGCAAAGTGGGAAGCCTCCCGAAAGTGACGGGTTCAGCGCTCCCGGATGCTGCTGAAGCTCGGGAGCTTGGCCTCGAGTGGCTCAGCGACGACGAAGGTTTTGTGGTGGGCATGATGCGATTCCGTTCACTGTAGTATCGATCTCTGTCCCGGTACTTGCACGTATACCCTGCTTCAATGCAAGCCTCGCAGGGAGCGCTGGTGTCGCTTTCGCCTTCGCCCGCATTGGGGGCGGGCACGCACTTAATTTTCTTGATGCGGCAGCTGGAAAACGATCGTCAAATGTGAGCGAAAGCACAGGGAGGAGGAGGGGGGGACGGACTTGTCGCATGAAGTGACGACCCTCGGGCGTTTTTTACGGGACTCTCGTCCCTGGGGGTTCTCGAGAACGAACTTGGTGGTGTCTTCCATGGGTGGTGGCGGTGCGCTGCAGTACCATGAGCATGTTCAGAGGTATTTATGCTCGGGGGAGTTTCCAAGGAAGTAGTCGACGCGTCGCGTTCTAAGCGCGGGGTCGCAATTGCCGTCATCTTTCTGTTCATCCGTCACAGGGGGGGAGTGACAAGCAAGAAACATGGGTGCTGTGGCTGTGTCATGCGGCCATTTGTCATCGGTTAGTCAAACTCAGCGAAGCACTTGCCCCGGAAATGTCGGCAGCTTGCCTCTCCCACTCGATGCAGTTGATAGAAGATGGGAGCGGCGGACCTTGCAAGCGCTCGGTCTCCTCTCGGTGCGTTCCCGTGTTCCGCGTATCAGACAGAACTTGGAACAACTGGCGCTAGCGTGTTGGTCCGTTCATTTCCATTCAGATCCCCGACGTTCATCGAACGCGACCCGAACGGCTTGAAATCAGACATACAGAATCTTTGGGTATGCAGGAGAAAGAGAGAGCCTCTAAGGATCCACCGGAAGACCAATTCGCCGGATGATTGTGTCACTGTGTAATTGACGGAAGATCTGATGAAGCCGTGGCGGTGCAGTGGCGATACGCCGAGAAGAAGCTCGCTGTCACGTTCACACGGGAAGGATCACTAATTGGACGGTCCTATGTATCGTGGACTTATCAGGATGGGGTACGATAAGCATCGGCGGACTGTGCGACGCTCATGGAGCTTCCGCGGTCTCCCGGGATATTGTCAAGAGCTTACACCGTCGACACCATTGGAGGATGAAGAAATCACCGGTACTGCTTTGATAGTTCTCAATGATTATTGACATATGACTGAGAGCGAAATCCGTTGGTCCATAATAATCAATCAGGAATACAACGTAGGTCTACGGTGAAACTGTCCCATCCTTTCCTCGACGGTACAAACATTGAACGACGTTTCCAATGCCCCAAGAAATGTGTAAATCGGGATTGTTATTACTGATAACCGGCGACAAGCCGTTTAAGTTGCATCAAACTCGCCCTAGTTGCTTGATCGGCAGCCGATTGCCCCATTAGATTGTCGGAGAGGCCAATTTCCGCTGCTGCGCCCAAGGCGTACTGGATCCCGTAAACATAGTCATCGTCGTATATGGTTGACACACATACCTGCAGAGTTTTAGACTCGCCTAATCATGAACAGGTCCAGTCAGCATCATCCTGGTAATATGGTGGTCAAACAGCTCACCGAGCCGCAGATATTCTGCCCACGCTACCAGAGCGAGAGCCTGTACGCGTGAAAGTGACGGAGGATAATCTCGAGATATGTACTGTGGACCACGCTTCAGTGATGAACAATGTATGTAGCGCGTAATGCTGGAGATTCACCTTTACGCATTCTTCATAGGCCTGCGACGCCTGTCCTGCGTCAATGCCAGTGAGCGAGAAGGTAGAATGATTTGCGATGCTGAACGGATATAGCAACCGAGCTTCAGTGCGAGTCGGAGGACAACAATAGAATGATGACTCACAAGCAGCCCACAGATGCTATCCCGTTTGCTAGCGCGGGATCCGTAGTGTAGCAATCTACCACGGGAGGAAACATGACAAAACCGCATTCTTGCGACAGGCTCGTCATCACGGAGTTCCAGTACGTGGGCATCAGCGTCGAGTGCGGGAAGAGAGGTTGTGTCGGGTCGAAGAGGGGGAATTGTCCTGATGGGTATGTCGGTACTTGGGATGATGTGGGATTATGTCTACTACAGAGATTAGCGAAGGCTTGCACAAACGTTTAGTACGTACTGAGTGCTCGACCTCGCGTAGGAGTAAGGAGTGTATTTGTTACGCTCTCCGTATATCGCGGGCGAACGACTGGGTAGGTTCGAGTCGTAGTATACCCCAGATATGTCCGGGTTCGTGTGGTACCGTTGACCCGGGCCTGCGCTCGGGCTGTGGCTCAGTGGGCGGGGGCTACCTGAGGAGGATCCCGAGTAATCCGAACCAGAGCTCGCGCCGAAGTCCATCTCGATATCACTGAGCAGCGTAAGAATCACCTTATTTTTCGGAGTGGACAATGTTTACCTATAGTACTTCTGAATACTCGAATACTCGAAGTGAGCGGTCGATTGAGTCGCAGCACTGGGCAGGCCGGACGGAATATATTGAACGCTGCACTTTTGCCGTGTTTTGTAGTCTGCACTCCGCGGGGACGTCCGTCTGGAGCTCGCGACATGAGAAGATACCGGACGGAGGCTGGGAGGTATCCTGTTACGATCTCTGTAGTACTTGTTCCTGTCGTCGTACGTGCAATGAAGTCCACCTGCTATACACTGGGCGCAGGGTGCATCCGCGTCCACCGCCACATGGGGCGATGGGGTGCACTTGATCTTTCTAGTGCGACAGCTGGAATAGTCATGTAAGTGCCATACTAAGATTATCGGAGGACGTAAATCGAGCGCTCACCCGTCGCAGGAGGTCACCACGCGCGGTCGTTTCTTCCGATCCTGCGCGTTCTGAGGATCCTCCAAGATAAATCGAGGCTCGGTGCTCATGGTGAGGTTCTGCAGACGAAGAGAGTAGTAGAGGAGAGTTTTGGCGTTGGCGCAGGCGCTGGGACTCGGTGCAATGGCTGGTGAGAGTATGGGTCAACTGCCATTCGAGGCGCCGAGGGTCACAGTCCTGTGGTATATAGCTGGGCCGGTACGCTGCGGAGGTTGATTGGCATCTTTCCCGTCTCCCGCCTGGATCTTGCTTCGAAGCCCAGCAACGTATCGGCAAGATACAAACAACGACCAATGGCGTGTGGCTGTGCGGAGTTTGCGAACGTCTCATCTGAAATCCCGATGATGCTGTCATGTTGGCCATGATGCCAAATGTAATAATGGCCCACACCAGGCGCCGACACAGCCGTAAATAAAACAGCTCGTGCATGTCACGACGCTATCTGCTGATGCATTGTGAAACTCAGATAGCACGCGCGCACGCTTGTTCCCGTGGGGACCACCTATCGGCATTCATCGGTATTGCCAATACACCGTACCATATCACGGAAGTGGGACCAGACTCACCTCGGATGTGCTTTGAAAAGCATCCGGGGGTATTGTCGGACATGAAACGTGATCATATCACCGAACAAAGCATCCATCCTAACGCCGCCTATGCGTGAAGCCAAGAATACGACTTGCACCAAATTTGCAGCCTGAGATATCTCATTCTAGAAGAATTGATTCTAGAAGAATGGAACGTGCGCCTCTGGGCAACATGGGGCGACATCTGCCACGCATGGGAAAGAGCGTGCCCCCCGCGGCGCAGATACGCAGCGAACGGCAGAGGAGGGTCAGGTGGCTGTGACACAATCGATTGCCGGGACACCCGCAGCGCCGGAAGAAGCTCGGTGGCTATACTGTGGCTGTGATATTAGCAGGCTTCTGTTCTTCAAGCCGTCTATGAGTGGCTGTGCCCTGAACCCTGCTTGCGCCTCATGCTCGTGCTTTCCCCTTTGGTGGCTGTGACAGCTTCAAGGGCAGAACGGAAGCCAGTAGGGCGCCCGAAAGCTTGGTAACGCATCACGAGAATACATAGACCGTGGGGTATGAGGAGCGCACCTCCGCTCCTAGAGAGATCACGCATGTCTCCATGCGTCTTGCGCAGTCATAGAATCATGAACGAGATCCTCTCGAGCACTCTCTGCTGTATCGGCCCGTGATTGTCGCAAGTATCCGAGCTTCGACAAGGTCACGCTTTGAAACTCTTCCGGTTCGTCGTCGTCTCCGACCTCGAACAGTGTCCTCTGTTCGTCTCGCATTGATTGCGCATCCTGCCATGGAACACATAATTAGCTCTCTTCGGACTCCAGCGCTCCACGTTCTGCCCGCAGGGCATAAACGCTCACCATTCCTTGAAAGTCGTGCGCGGGATCATCATTCACAAGCCTTAAGCGCTCGGTTTCTCCCAGCTCAACTTGCCCATCTGGGTTCTCATCCTCGATTTCGATCGGATTACCATGGGCGTCCAGCGGCACTGTCGACTCCATGGACTTGCGATATTTGTGATACGTGTACAAGGCAATGCCTACCAGGTGGAGAACGTCAGCAGAAGCATTCACGGTTGCAGATTTATGTGGAGCATAACTGAGGTTTGGTGCTATAGGAAGGAACACTTACCGCATACGGTGATGCCCACACCAACGATATTGAGCGGCGTTAGCTCGTCGTGAAAGAACCATGCCGACACGCTGATGGTGGTCACCTCCTTCGCGATACCAGCAATAGACATTGGCACAACTCCGGCACGTTGAATGATGCTGCAAGGCCATGTGAGTGACGGTTGCTCGTGGCTCAAGCATAGAAACGAACTAGAATTCGCTCAATACCATGCAGAACGCCAATGCTCCGGGCGCAACGAGGTATCCAGTCGTGACTAGCGACGAGCGCACACTATCAAAGAAGCTGCAGCACCTGTCAGCAGGAGGACGGAAACAGGATGTGAGAGCCGCGTACCGTGTATTGAACACTCGCCACCAACGCTCTACTCCGCCGGAGATGATTCCTAACGTCACAGCCATGACTGGAGCTAGCCAGAATATGGTTGCTGATGGATTGTCGAGGCCCATCGTTCGATTCTTGAGGAGGATCTACCATAAAGGAACAGTGTCAGATGGACAGATCCGTGATGGTGTTTGGGGGTTGCTAGCGAGTAACAGGCGAAGAGACAAGGAACAAGCCGACAAGGAATGGAAGAACTTCGTCTCATATATCTCTCGCGGAGACAGCCGAGGCAATGAGGACGAGCATGCTACGACGAGCGTCTGGTACCCCAGGGAGTAAGAGCTTCAATCGGGAACATCATATCCCCGAGACGCTCCTTTGGCAAAAGCAATATGAATTCGAAGCTTCCGAGCATATCGTGTTGAATCAATGATCCGCGCCGGCAGTAGAGGGGCGACAATCTTTTCCATAACAGGATTGAGGATGTCTACTGCCGTTAGCAAAGGCAGTCCCCGCCCGGCGAATAACGTGAGTGAACATCAAGGATGTCCACGTGCACGGACGACAAGGATGACGGCATCCAACGGTCAAATTACGGAAGAGGAACCATGTCAGAGGGTCGCACCAGCGCTGTGGGAGGGAAATGGGACCCAAACATGCAATATCGATACAGCTCTCGACACCGATCGGAGGGCGGGGGAACAAGCGCCCAGCGGCAAGGTTCCAGCCGAAGTGTCAGGAACATAGAATGAAAGGGACAGAAATGGCCGATTGCCGAAGGCTGCATAGACGCATGCAGCTGTTCAGTTGGTGGGCAGAATGCGGACCATAGACCAAGGCATGAATGGGACGTATGCACCGAGAAAGAAAAGGACCAGGAGGACCAGAGAACTGCGCACAGCGTGGCAGTGCACCGGCAGAAAGCGACTGGGGTGCTTGCAAAACGGCAAGGACCAGATGAAACGAGTTGCAAGCGAGCGAGCGAAGAGTAAATGGAAGACTGGCGTGCATCTGTGACAGACGAGTACAGCTGAATATTCACCTGGGTCAAGCCCCACCTCAAACCGCCCATAGCAGATGCGGTGAGCACGAGGAAAAAGCCGAGAACCTCGAAGTGGGTCTCCGTGGCCACCTACAAGAGCGACTTCAGCTGCTCCTGATAGAAAGCAATAAGATCCAGGAAGGGTACGCACCATGAGGACAACACCGCACACTATCAGGAGGATGACGCCGACAAGGCGGAGCGAGAAACGCTCAAGCTTGAGCAAGAAGGCGAAGAAGAGAACGAATATCAAGGATGACGACTTGACCATTGCTATGATCCGTTAGAAAGGATGATGACAGGTCAAGACGTAAGTTGCGTACTGTAGAAGGACAGAGTAATCAGCTTTAGCGATACGTTTCCGAGACCGATGTCCAACGAAGTTGCGACGCCGGTTGGCACGATTTTCTTCCTAAAAATGACATTCAGGGATACCAACTGTTCCATAGAATAGCGTACATACGCCCAGTCCTTTCTAGTTGGTCTACTGTCGGGTCTGAACCGCTGAGGCATGAGATTCCGTAAGAGGGCAGAGAGACAGAACTGGACCACAAAGTGCAGAGTCGTCACGAAGAACGGATAGGGAAAGCCGAAGTGTTCTGGTGAAAACATCCACTTGTTGTACATTGAGAGCAAGATCGAGAAAAAGAACCTGAAGCAGAAGGTCTATGAAATTGTTCATGAATAAACTGGATCACGTACCATGCACCAATGAACATGCCATTGACGAGTGCAGTGCGCCACCATAATCTTTTCTTCTCAGAAGCAGATGCGAAATGCGCAACGTATGGGTTGCTTCGAGGCGATATGAGCGGGTCCACATCAGGATCCTGGCCTGAGAACGGAAGCGGAGTGTGGCGATAGCTCGAGGACGGTCGAGGGACGACCATCATGCGTCCAACGAACCTCAGCCGAGCAACACGTAGGAGCTGGGTGAGTCGTCAGGTATATCAAGTAGAGAATATCGTGAATACGTCGTCGACGAAGTCAAAGCCAGCAACGCAAATGCAGTGGCGGTGTCGATCGCGTCGCGGAAGCCATGGTCGACGGCGAGGTCGGCGTTTGCGCAGCGACCTCCGACAATCAGCTCGTACTGACCAACATCCTGCACGAGGTCGTTGCCTCATCCTGGCATAGGTCCTCAGCCAGATAGTAACAAATATTGCCCGTGCTCTCGTCGTTGCTCTCGACTCATCTGCTCATTGGGTTTCAATGAGCAATGTCTACGTACGGTCGACACCCCGCACCCGCGCCCTCGGCCTTCGCCCATCCCCACCCATCCGCCGGCTCGCCCTTTCCCCCTACCACACCAGCATCTACCACCCTCTTTCGCAGGCTAACATGGGAGGGGACCGTGCCCCTCGAGATTCGCGTAGATCCGCACGAGCTTCCTGCTGGCGCGGACCGAGGGCTCGACTGCTACTACGTTCAGGCGCCCCGAGTCTGGTATCTCCCGCTTGTGATGGGCGAGGTCAAGAAGTTCCTGACGGATATCGTATTTGACGAGAGCAATAAGGGGGTCCTCGGAGACGGTGAGGAATGGTGGTTTGAAGGTGAGGAAGGAGGCGTGATGAAGTGGTAAGGACTGTCCTTGTCCATAGATCAATGTAACCTCATTCGTGGCTCTCAGGCACTGGCCCATAGGTCTGCTATACGACGTGCACAACATCGCGACTACCCTACGGCCTTCTTCGCAAGCGCCTATCTCATCCTTCTCCTCATCCGCACCTCCGACGCCTCTGAAGCTTACACTGCACCTCGCTTCACCGCCAAACGATCGCTTGCTCATGACCTCCAATGTCGAGGCATGTAAGCAAGCTTTCATGGGCCAATTGAAGGAAGCAGACTTCATTCGATGGGGCAATACCAAGCGCATGACCGGTCTGCGCAAACAAGAACAAGACGCTATCTGGGAAGGCATTAAAGAGCGTTCGTACCTGTGTTAACGCTGAGTTTTCTCAATCTTAATATCCCTCCCGGCAGACAACTTTGACGACTACTGGCGGGTCGCCTCCAAGATTACGCCGACCACAGCTCCTACTCGACCGCTTTCTCCTCCGCCTTCCAGTTCGGCCAGCGCCAGTGCTCACGTAAGACCGCCATCTGCTGACCCAGGCAAGTTTTCGCCTACCCACCCCGCCTTGTTTTGATTTCTTCCGATACCATTGATAACCTTTGGCTTCAGGGTCATCGTTACCCGATCGTGACGGCGCATACAGTGTTCGGAGCATACCTGTGCGTATGTACCTGCCGGACGGTCCAGTCATACAAGAGTTGGTCCCGCCATTGCTAGAGAATGGTGCGCTACTCCTGTTTAACAACGTCTAGACGTCTTTTTTATTCAATTGAATCAAATCCCCAGGAACTGCGCATACACTGTCAGCGTTTTTATCCTCCCATTTACCTTTATTATTCCCCGCCACACGAGGTTTGTCTCCACCGTGTTTGCCGAGTCACGTCGACTTACGTTGTCTGCATTGTTTAAGACCGCCCACTCGCGTATGCGCTAGTGCAAGGCGTACGGTGCCCTCCAGAAGCCGAGATGGGCTGGTTAGGAGCATGTATGGCGGGCGCAGATGGATGGGTGTGCGTCTGCGTTGGAATCGAGAGGGGATAACCGGTGGTCTAGGCTGAAACCCTTTGTGGCGGCTTGGAAACCCATTGTGGCGGCTTGGAAACCCATGAACGTTCTACGGTGCTGGTGGTGTGCCGCTGCGACCATGCTGATGTCTTTGCGGCGGCGACGATTGCATGGGCATATCGGGGTTTTGTCCGAGACGGATACAGGCGGTGAGATACCACCTCTATACTCAGCTATCATGCCCCGGCGGAAACCGACATGTATACCTCATCATTATGGTACCTCTGCTCATCGTGCAGACTGAAGATCTGCGCGGCCTTGAATTTGAAAGCTTGATTGATAATTACTCTCGCTGCCTCATGACGATACTCTGCTGCAGTAACTTACTTAAGTTTGGGCTATATTGTGATCCTAACGGTCCATATTGACTGCAGCGGGTGGCTCTTGAAGGTACACTTCGCTCTCGCACAACTCGTGCGTCAAAAATCAATGTCTGCTCCTACCGTCGATGGTGCAGATGCAGAGGCTCGGGCTACCAACCGAGCACGGTTCGAGCTTGAACTCGAGTTTGTGCAGTCCCTGGCCAATCCGTTCTATCTACACTCTCTCGCGCAACAGAACATTCTGAACCAGCCTGCTTTCGTTAAGTTCCTGGAGTACCTGCAGTACTGGAGGGGCAAAGACTATGCCCGCTTCATACAGTAAGCGAGCAGCGTTCCATGTCAGCCTTTCTTTCCCCTGACGACTTAAAGCAGCTATCCGCACGCCTTGCACCACCTGGAGCTGTTACAGCATGCGCGTTTCAGGAATGAAATCGGGAAAGATGAATGGAGGGAGTATCTGAACCAGAAACAGTTTGATCATTGGCGGACCTGGTGAGTGTCGTCCGCGACTGCCGCCAGCTCAAACTCAGGGCGAACCTGTGCAGGCGGAACCCGCCTCGGAAGGAGAACGATGGCGATGAAACGAAGGCAAAGGAAGAAGAAGTCGAGCAACCGATTTTTGCATCTTGACGTCCTGGCTGGCTATCCTGTAACAACACCTTCTGTTGCATGCCTTCATTGACGTTGACTGCGCAGAACCCAACTCACTGCCCAGCAAACACCGCACGACAGAAACGCAGGGGCGCGCCCATCGTTTCGTGGGCGTACACCGCACGTGTAAACTCCTTCTTAGATTCAAGTTGTTACCGGACAACGCACTGAGGACAACGATCCGGCGCAACGCACTGGCTCAAACCTATGCGAAGAAGTTATGGGTATGAACGCGTACGGCAGCGGACGTCGACATCGGCTTCTTGAGTGGGCGTTAGGCAATCGTACCCGTTCACAATATTGACTCTGTGAATCAAACCGTGATAGTTACGAGGACCGGTATACGACGCTAGCAACGCATCTTAGAGGCCAAAGGGCACACAGATCATGACACTGTATTGCATAGCGTGTAGGTACAGGGTATCATTAGACAACGCCTTCTTGGGCGAACGGGTATAGTGGGAAACAATCACGACAGCCGCGAGCAACTTTCTGTCCTGCAGAGAGGTCGAGAGTCGAGATAGCAAGCGTAGGCGAGAGGCCGAGATCAGAGATAGCATGAATACCCGTGGCATCGTCCACGGGGTAGGTATTAGGCGTGATGGGACCGTCGCTGCCATCGTCCGAGTCCGAGTGGGCACTGACGCTGGGGACGGAGAGTATCCGAGGTGCGCAAGCCGGACGAGGCATGTCGTGGGGCACTGCGGGCTCCTCGCTGAGCGCAGAGAAAGCCTCACTAGGATCTTCCCATACTCTCCATGCAGAGTCCGTGGAGTGCGTGTGGTACGACATTCCTGTAGTGGGGTCCCAGATGGCTGCCTCCGCTCCATAGTGCAGGGAATTAACGGCTTCGGATGCTTCCAGTGACAAGCAAGAAATGAAAAATGCCTGCCAAGTGGGATCCAGCGGGGCGTGTCGGTCGCAGTCTTCGTCTTCATCGGGGAGGTGTTGCGCAATGAAAGAATCGAAAGCATTAGAGCCCTCCAGACCAAAGTCGGAAAGCTCGGCGTTGGCAAGATCGCCGGGAGTGTTTGAAATGTTGCTAACGCGAACGCCGTTGCTATGAGCGGGCGATGTGTGCATATGCGATTCAAAGGCGGCGGTTATATCCATCTCGGAATCGTCGGACTGAAGGGAAAAGATCAGCATCACACAAGAGTAAGAGACGGGCGAGATCACGCACGATGTCAATGACGGCAATATGGTCCGACTCGGGACAACTGTCGTCCACCAACGCGTCAACCATATGTTCCAGCTCCGACTGCCAGCCTTTGACGAGGAGGGCATGATCATGGCTATCCACCGATCCATACGGCAGGTCCTCGCCAACTGCATCCTCCGTATTCTGTACGACGACTGGCGCTGCCCAGAGTGTGGTGATCTTCAACAACTCTTCCCGAATCTCTTTGAGCGCGATACGTTTGAGGGGGTCGACAGCCAGAATCTTCCTCAACAACGCGTTCAGCTCCTCACTGATCCCCGTAAGCCCACCGACAGTGGATCGCGCCCGATGGTTGACCGGTATATTGTCGACCGCGCTCGCACGGAAGTTATTGTAAAGATCGTTGGCGTTCAGGGTTCCGAGGTATGACGCGAAATCGTGATCGTACGTCTCCGCATGCTGCCAGGGTGGCCGTCCGGCGACCATGCAGGAGAGCAGAACTCCCATAGCCCAAATGTCACAGTGACGGCTTGAATAAGCACTGGACTTGGTCTCTGAGCCCTGTTGTTCTATTGCGCATGGGTTAACTCAGAAATGAAAAAGGCCAGGTAGTGAACCGAACGTACCGGGGCTCTTGTACCACGACGTCCCTGTCCGGAACTCTCTGCTCAGAGCATCGGTGGTGGCCAGACCAAAATCCGCAAGGTAGGCGGTCTGCCTTGCTTCGTCGAGAAGGATATTCTCCAGTTTGATGTCGCGATGGAAAACGCCGACACTGTGACACCGTGCGACGGCGTCGAGAACTTGGATGAATGTGTCCTTGATGAACCGCGTCGCAGCTGCTACATCACGAGTGCGGAGATCCATAAGGTAGTTGTCGCCAAATGGTGCGGAGGCAACTGCTTCGCATAGTGTGCGGCCAGAGCAGTACTGCATAATGAGGTAAACCGACTTTTCGTCTTCGACAACTTGGTGGAGCTCGACGACGTTGGCGTGGTCGGACGCCATTGACTGTGTCTTAATCTCCATATGGATGCGCGTGGCGGAAAGCTTCGATTTGGAGATTTGCTTCACCGCATACTCCGTTTTGAGGGAAGGATCGATGTGTTCGGCACGGAAGACTTGACCATGAGCGCCCCGGCCGAGATATTCCTTGAGTGTGACACGGAACCCGCCGGTGCCAATAACATGGTTGAGTGGGAGCGAGGATGGCTCCTGCGAGACGGCGAACTTCGAGTTGTCATTGATGGAGATGTTCATGTTGGTAGAGTTCATCGCGAGGAGGACTTGGTAGTGAAGCGAAGTGAGATTGTAGAAGCGGGTGAAGCAGTGGAGATTGACGCGCAGCGTTTGATGGGGACAAGAGGCGCATTGGCGCTGGCTTTATACACTTTGGAGGGCCCCTGGGAGGGGGTCGATCTTGCGGGTCTAACGAACGCAAGCGGGACGGAAGGCGCGATCGCTACTTGTCGTGATCGCGCAACTAAAACGGGCCGGTCGCATGAGCTGGGTATGTTCTGTGCATTCCACGACTGGCACATACTGCGCTACCACTTCGTGCACAAACGGGCGGTGGTCATAATAGCAGGGAGGTATACAAGAATGCAGAACAGAGGTTGTCGCCATCCAAACTTGGTATACAATGCGGGTCCGTCAGATTGTCGCAGTGGTCGCGCGGAATATACACAGTCGCGGCCGGAACGGTTGGTTCGCCAACTTGGGCCAGACCGAGCGGCTGAGGCGGGTGCACTGAGCAATCCCAACCCTGACGACATACCGACATGGCGGAAGTCCGCGTTGACTACGGCTATGTCGTAATGTTTGCAATCCTCCGGTTCATGAGCGTTCCGCGTTCAAAGCCGTGTTCCGATCGTTCAGGCGAGGACAATTCGAAGACCGTAGTTCAAAGAGGTAGGTAGGTAGGTAGGTATATTTCCGGCGCGGTCCCAATAGCGAGAGGTCTCAGCAAGCTTTCTTTCTGTCCAGACAAGTATTGGTCCACCGTCCGCGTTTGACTCTGAGGCACGGGGGCCGTCAGTCTTGTGACCATTATGTAGCAAACGTGATTCAGTGATTCTCTTCCCTGGGCACTCGAAGAAATAACGTTATACTCTGATTCGTCGTACTTTGGTATCTCCGCTTCCAGATGGTGATCAACTCATTGCTCTCCGTTGAAAGATGAGGGTAATGTCAATGGGCTCGCCTAGGCGCGAGTTGTCCCCTACGGAAACGTCAGCGAACTCGCACTCTTCTGGTCGTCCGCCGGCAAAGCGTCGCAAAGGAGATCGACTCCCGTTACCGGGAGATATCGATGGTTCTGCCGAGCTAAAGGCTACCGAAAAACCTGTTGTCAAGCTCGAGGCGGCGGAGCAAGTTATAGGCATTGTCAAATCCGAATCCACCCCATCTCCTCGCTTGTCAATAATTTCCGGTATGGACTGGCATTGTCGTCCTCTGAACCCAAATGACCATCCGTTACATGGGTAGCGTCCGTGACTTCCCTAGTACAGAACATCCTCTCGAACGCAATCACGAAAGAGTCTAGATTTCAGGTGAGTACTCATACCGAGTTCCTGACGAAGCTCACAAACCCATCGCAGAGAACTTTGCACGAGCTGCTGAGAGCGTTGTCTCCCGAGGACGAGTGTCTACTACCCGATACTAAGCTTGGAATGTATGAAATATCTTCGCTGTCCATTCCGGAGGTGCTCATTAGAGCAGATATTCTGATGATATCCAGACACTATGCAATAGTATTTGTCATCAAGATGATATATTCAGTCTAGCACATTACGAGCATGATCGTACCTGGGTCGTCTCGGTATGTGACATTCACCGTCCGTCTTGGCTCACGCTCAGTCATTCCTGAACAGATTGCCAGTCAACTCGGCTTTGCCACCCACAGAAATATCTCGAGTGCTCTTGAGGAAGATGATGCACGGATGCGTACCGAATTCCCAGCAATGCTCGAAAATCCGGCGAAGCTCGGCCAGATCTTGTCTCTTCGAGGCGATGATGCAGACAAGTTCATGAATCTCGTCCAGCAGGTGAGCATATCTCCGAACATGTGATAGTCTGCCTCATTCATTCTGTTCCAGTTTTTGGACGGAGGGGATATATTTGCGGACACAGAGCTATTCCTTGATCACCAGTCTTACCATGACCTTCGTCGGACTGGCAAGAGCATCCTTCTCAACCTCTCAGTCACGAGCGGAGTTATTCCTTCTTCACTATTCCTAAAGCGTGTGCAATGCGATCCTGGGGCCCATGCGGTTTCCGTGGGAGGGTTCGCCGATATCTTCTCCGGACTGTACGATGGCTGCCTTGTTGCGCTTAAACGGATCAGGGTGTTCCTGACGAGTGGTCATCAACAAGAATTGAAAATGGTTTGTTCGAATGCATTATAGAACTTGCGTCATGAACTGACTGCAAACGTAGAAAGTGTGTCAAGAGGCGCTTGCCTGGCGTCAGCTCAAGCATCCACGAGTTGTTCCCTTCCTCGGTGTGGACGGGGACAGTCATGCACCCGCTCTTTGTATGGTGTCGCCTTGGATGTCTCAGGGAAGCTTGCTTAAGTACCTGATCGAGCATGAGGTGGCGGACGATAGCTTGATAACACTGGCAAGCATCTGCCCGCTCTCCGATATGCTTCACTTGCTCATATTGTCACAGCAAAGCGAGATTATAGAAGGTCTTGCATACCTCCACGACGAAGAAGATACGGTCCATGGCGACCTACGATGTGTTTGTACGATTTTTAGGAGCTTCATGCGGTCTCTTGACCTGTTTTTGACAGTCCAACGTTTTCATCGACGAGGCGGGTCATGCCCAGCTCTGCGACTTCGGACTCGCATCGCTCATGGACATCATACTGACCACAGCAGCGGAAGGAAGTTCCGCTCGCTGGGCAGCTCCAGAACTTCATGACCCTGATAGGTTTGGCGATGGAGAATTCCGCAGGACACGAGAAAGCGACGTCTACGCTTTTGGATGCATGTGCCTAGAAGTACGTGATAAATTCGACGCTCCTAATACCGGTGATCACTCATCCCACGAACGTGCAGATGTACACACTTCGTCCGCCATTTCACGAAATCCCTAGAGACATCACGGTCATTCTCCGGGTTTTGGAAGGAGCCCGCCCCCCACGTCCAAGTGCGGAGCAGGGCCACGCACGACCACTGCCAGACGAAATGTGGATCCTGATGCAAGCGTGCTGGTCTACAAGCCCCGCAGAACGGCCGACTGTGAAAATGATAGCATCAAGTCTGCAAAAACTACGATCTCTGGCTCCTACCAGAGTTGTACGGCTGCTGATGACTTCCCTCTCGTCCCGGAATGTACCTGTTCCTTCAGTCCTGGAACATCTCACATCGCACCTCCAGCGCTTCGAGGATACCGAGTTGATCTCATCCAGTGACTTTGAGCTTCTTACTGCCGTTGCGCAGTCAACGTGGGGCCGTTCGCACTTGGCGCATCTCGCACCTCGTTTACCGGGACTGGTGTGCAAAACCTTCCAAGACCGTCCCGCAACTCCAAGCATTGACGACATGGTCCATCCCTGGAAGCTGGCGGCTGCCCTCGTACGGTACTTTCGACCTCAATGTGGGCCCGCATGGTCGGACATGGCCCTGGCGATCACGCGTGCCTGCAGAGATTCCCTCTTACATACCACTATCGCGTCCGACCAATACCAGAAAGGCATGAAGGCACAGAGCCTTGCGGATTCATTTCAGCGGTAAGTGGTGACTCATGCTTGTGCTTTCCGGGACGCTCATGGATTCCATAGGTGCAATGGTATATACCATGATCGTTTCAGTTTACCCTGCTAACTACTGTGAACATACTAGTAATTGAGCTGATTGACGATCTATTCGTTGTCGGTAACAAGCCAACTTTGATCCTTGGCGTCTTTGGCGTATTGGAACCTCTCATCGGCCATGCCGATGCTCACATCAACCAGTGGGCTGTCATCGCCGGTCTACGGGTGCTCGGTAGACTGTTTCGCATCAGCCGATCATCGGTATGTTAGTTTTGCCTGCACTTCATTCGCCTTTGACACATCCCACGTAGAGCATGAGAGATACCACCCGGAAGAAGTACAATGAAATCGTACGTCCATGGTGTGACGCACTGGTGAGCATGCATGGGCGCGTGCGTTGGTTTCGTTCACTCACAATGTGGTACATCAGTCCTCAACGGATGAAACGCAGATCTTGTTGCCGCTTGTTAACGACGCGCCAACAATGATTAGCTCCATGCGTTCAACAGTCACGCCACATTCTGAGGTAATGTTATGCCACACTCATGCACCGAAGATGGGTGCTGAATGCCGGACCCATTCCTCAGGCCATATGCCTAGCTTTGGTTCCCTTTGTGCACTCGGCGTCCCTCCGTCATTCTGCGTTGGAGGCCTTATTACGCCTGCTAGAGTATTCTGCGGACAGATCAGTGATCGCCAAGCACCTGCTTCGTTGGCCATCCCCAGACGCGTCCTGGGACGCTGCAGACGTCGAGAACTGTGATCTTGTTGCTGAGCTTCTGTATATCCCGGATATCCAACATGGATAGCAACTCCCTTGTGGGCTTGCCTCCGTAAGCGACAGCGATCTACATACCGCGGTCCGAGTCGAAGGCTCTGCAGGATGCTGTACAGCTACCAGGAACAGTCCTTTAGCGTTCCGCGGCGCAAAAGCGGAGCGGATTGCGGATGTTGCTCTGTCGACTTCCGCCGACCGATCACGATCGCCACCCGCCTTCCGCCTTCCATTTCGGGTTATCCGCCTTCCGTTTGAGCTACCCGCCGTTCATCGCCTACTTCCTCCATCCGCGACGCCGTTCCACGTCGCCTATAAAAAGGCAGGCCATTCCTCCGCATCGACCAGACACCGGTTTGTCACGTCCTTCCTCTCTACTTCTATCCATCAACGACTTCACTCGATCAACACCATGAACGCTCCCTGGTGGAAGACATACCTGAACACTCAGGTGTCCGACGGCAAGTCCCGTCTTACGCTGGTCGACAACTTGGGCTCTGGCGCTTTCGGCGCTGTCTTCCTCGCATACTCGGAGGGGCCGCTCCCTAGGAAGTACGCAGTCAAGATTATCCCTAAACCCTCGAAGTCCTCGTATCAATACGAACGCATTATCGCGGAGATCGATCTCCACCAACGTATTAGCGGCCACCCCAACGTCGTCACTTTACACTCTGTCGTCGAAGACGCGAAGAACTTCTTCCTCGTCCTCGACTACCATACCGGTGGCGATCTCTTTGACTCTCTCATCGAAGAACAGTCTGTCATGAAACGGAAGGAGGAGAGTATCACCAACGCCGATGGATACATCAAGAATATATTCCTGCAGATCATCTCCGCGGTTGAGTACTGCCATCGCCACGACGTTTTCCATTGCGACCTCAAACCCGAAAATATCCTCCTTTCTGGGGATGGCGAGCGCGCTTATCTAGCTGACTTCGGGCTTGCTACTGAACATGAGATGTCGCCCATGTCTGGCTGTGGCAGCGATCATTATATGTCGCCGGGTACGTGCACCCTCTGTATCTTTACTGCAGTTACCCGAACTTACGTTGGCCACCAGAATGCATCGCTGAAGAAACGACCCGGCGCTGCAAACCATATTCGACACGCCACGCCGACATCTGGGCCCTCGGAGTAATCTTATTCAACCTCGTCACCGCATGCAACCCATGGAACAAAGCGATTAGTAGCGACCCCAACTTCAATGCATATCTGGGCTCCTTCCCTCCGGATACCTACTCTCACGTTCTCTACCCCATGGAGCCGAGAGCTCGGGACATCGACATACTCTACACGCGCAAAAACCTCAGCGGCCAGCCACTGTCGCGCTACGCAAACGAACTTTTCCGGGACATCTTTGCGATCGACCCCGCACGACGTCCGACGCTCGGCAGCCTTCGCCTCCGCGTACAGAAGCTGGGGACGTTCTACCAGCAGACGCACGTTACCGGCTCGTCCGAAACACAAATGCGCCCTGCCTCTCATATTTTCTCCCCCGTCCTCCCCGACGCTCTCTCTGGTTCCAGCTCGACTTCGGACGAGTCCGACAACAGCGAGGGGCCAATTACGCCGGAAACCTATGCTGCTATACCGGTGGTAGCAGACGCAGACATCCCAGCGCTGGACATGACAGAAGAGGGTGAAATCAAGATCGCGACGCCGAAGGTCCTTTTCCAGGCAGCCAAGCAAGACGCCAATGGGCGTACAAAACAGTTTTTCCTCACGAATGCTGGTTGGATCAAGCGTCTTGTATAGTTCCCGTATGATGTATGACGCCGTATTGCGCGCAATGAAAGGTGATGGTTCAAGTTGTGCGGCGGTAATGAATGCGACGTCTTTTAAGTTTTACATCGTACAATGTGCACGCAATTCGGGCATCGTCACCTGATTTATGCATCTCCTCCAGAGTTGGCGAAGAACGCCAAAGGGCCCCCGGTACGAATGTAACCCTTGGCGTCTCCCTCCATTTCCAGCCTCCAGCCATCAAGCCTGATCCTCATCATCTCAGCCCATACCGCCGTCGAATCGGTTTGCGCGCTGTTGCCCGCGAAACGAAGGAAATTCCGAATGCATCGCTGCCACCAATTGATCAGGCGGAAGCGGGAGTCTGCGTCCGAACGGCTGGCGGAGCCCATCTGGAATGGCGGCATGTCCTCCTGGTATGCCATGAGGGAGATCTGGGCGAGCCAGTAGAAAGGCAGCGCGTTAAAATAAAAGATCGGTTCCGGGTGGATGGGCGGTGTGTCCGGACCCGCGAGCCACGTCCCGAGCCAGTTGTGCAGGACGAACTGGAAGTCGAGGATCACTTGCGACTTCTCCTTCGCGGGTTCTAATTGGCAGCCCGACGGCGCGGCCAAGGCGTATAGCTCGCTGAGCAAGACCTTGATGAGGAGGAGGTGCGCCATCGGATTAAGCGTAAGCTTGAGTTCGGATGTCGGAACTCGGGAGTGCCGAAGGACTTCTAACGCGTATTGAATCGGTACTCCCGTCAATCGTTCTTGCATGGTGCCGTACGGGGACGATGCGCATAGGGCAGCATGCCACTCGCTCGCAGAGGCCGCATTCCAGAGTTTGCCTTCGCATGGAAGATGCAGGGTCACCTCCGCTGGCATGTAGCATGTGGGCAGGGCAAAACACATTCGATGTGAGATGTCGTGTAGGTAGGACAGAAACAGTGATCTGAGCAGAACAATGAGAACAATGTTGGATGCACAACGAACGGAGGTTTCTGACCGTTTCTCCGTCTCGTGCTTTGCCCAGTCCCTCCAGGCCACCTCTATGGAGAGAGGATCGGACGTATCGAATGACGTAGGGTGCCATGCGGCGTTTCGTGTGATAAGCCCCATTCTGCGGACGAGCTATAGGGGTGATTCCGTATCAGAGCCTACGCAACTGCGCAACGCGGGTGGCTTCACCATGACCAGCATTCCATGGAAGATATTCGATATGGTCCGTACGTCCGACTGTTGGTGGAAGAGACCGATGTTCTGCAGCAGGGACACCGCGAGCACGAGGTAGATCTGCTCATCGCTGTCCGTGGGATGAGTCGCCTAACTCGGTGTCAGCACCTGACGACGATGTCTCTTCTCGCCGCAGCTGCGTCTGAACGTACAAATTCTTTGGCGAGGGCCTCTCTCGTAGACTCCAACACGCGTTTCGTGAAGGCGAACGCTCGACCAGTTTTCACGTACAACGCACCGCAGGCCCGAATAGCGTCGAGAAGTATCGGAGGTTTCTCCGCAGACGACAAGGTCGTCGCCTGTGAGTCGCGCGGTGAGACACCGAAGAATCCCGTGCTGGTGGTTATCATGGGCGACACATACATGGAATACGGGCATTTGACTCAGATACTCCGTATAGAAGAGGTACTCTGAGGTTTCTCACGATGAGCGCATGAAGGGACGTATCTGATGTATCAACCGCACCGTAGTGATCCAGCTCCCGCGGTGACTCGAGGCTATCAGTGGAGAGTTGAGGTATGGGGAACGGGTGAGCGTTAGCGGCAGCCGCATTGAACGAGTCAAGCAGTTGAGGCAGGTAAGGGAAAGTTTCCGTTTGATCCGTGGACGAAGGGCGTCGACGGTCTACGGTATCCGAATTGCCTCCCACAACGACGTCATTGAACAACGCGTCGAACATGTTGCCCAAAAAACCACCTGAAGGGCCGGCGGCCGTCATCCCGGACAGCTGAGAGCTCAGGTGGGAATCTATGGCAGAGGAGGTGGCTTGACCAGACGTCGATGCCACGGCTGAGCACGGCGTTCCACTGGTCATGCTCAGCAAAAAGTCCCGGAGGTCATCGGGAGAGCTACCCGTGAAACGGTCGGATGGACGTGTCTTATCTCCGGTAGCCTCGCGCTGGCGACCGCGTCTGGCAGTCCTGCAAGAACGGATATCAGTGAGCCGAAGGGTTCGGGCGGGTGGGCTCACCCTCTCATACAAGACTTGCGATGTCTGGAGAGCAGGTCACTACGAGTGAACTCGGCTTGACAAAGCTGTGAAGAGTCATTTTTAGGGCGGTCCACCATGAGGTAAAAGATCCGTACCTCGCATATATGCATACCTTCCCGAGTGTCTGAGGAAGAAGGAAACCCTTTTGAGGGGGCGCAACGCGGAAGATATGACGAACGACGCACGTATTTTCATGTGCCGGTTCAGGTGTGTTTGGCGAGTGTACTTGGCGTCACAGTGAGGGCACTGCTTCGTTTGAGGAAGAACAGGCTTGTTGCCGCTGTGACGACGCATTTTGAGGGACACGTCGGAGGGAGATGTGAGAGACTCGGACGATGCGGGGTCAGGGTACGGGGCGTCTGGGGAGTTGTCCATGTCGTTCGTAGAGGTCGGACGCAGGGTGGGTATATATACGGAAACCGGTCACGACCCCGCGGACGCGGTTCTGTGATCAGAGTCGCTGTCTTATCGGCGAGGCTGACGCGTCGCCGGCAGCGCACTCCTCGCACATCGCAGATCTCCGTGCCGCGGCCCAGCTCCGGCAGATCCTTTGCCCGCCCGACTGATCAGTGATAACAAGCTACATCATACGCCCAGGGCAGTCTCGCCAACGTTGCGTCCATCCTATCCAACTGCAACCGTACAGTCTAAGGCTCGAGGAGGGTCCAGGGCAATCGCACATAGGAGACATAGGAGAGACATCGCCATGGAGATAGACAGTGGCTCACGCGGACGATCCATCAATGCGCGATTTCCCTGTCTACTCAACGCATACAGCCAGTTTATACGTAGGATATATGCGCCCTCGGTGACTCAGCAGAGCGGAGCGCTCGGTCAATCCTCGTCCATGCCGACGCCCTTTTCTGCCCGCCTTGCTATCCTTTCCGACATCTTTTGTCTCGCACCAGCCGTCGCCGCGCCGAGCTATGCTCTCAAGGTCAAACTTCGATACATAGAACACGGAGTGTCAGGATCGCCCACCTGTCCCGACTTCGCTAGCGCGTCCAGAAGCGCGTGGATAAGCCCGAGGTGATTGTGCCTCCGCAGCGAGTTTTCGAACTGTACGAGTACCATCCGGACGGTCAGTGGCTCAAGGCATCCATAGGTCAATGGTTGCGCACCGCCCATCGTTCGCGCTTCGTGTTTTCGTTCGCGATTCTCACCACGATTTCTGCAGCCTCGGATTCGACGCCGCTGGACTGCAACGCCGTCAACTACGGGATAGAACATGAGAGGCCCGATCATCAGGTGCATGTTGTCCTGCAACATTACCCGCGCTTGTAGACCGGGAAGCGGGTCATCCCGAATAGCCAGTAAATTGAATTCGAGAGAACCAGGGGGATATGTGGATATCCTAGCTTGAATAACCTCACTGCGGGGCGCATGAATATTTAAGGGGGCTTGAAGTGTTAGCCCGGGCTTACCGGGCTTTGGCTACCCAACCTTCACCGCCCTCCGTGTACGCTCCGTGATTGATCGGTGCCTGGAAGGGAAGCATTGAGTAAGACCTCAAGGAGAAATACGGTCCGACTGCTCGGTAGAGCATGGTCACGAAGAAGACGAGGGGCCAGCTTCCAAGGTCACCGATACCGAGCAAACTCCAACGCGCCAAATTATCCTTGCAGCTGCGCACATGGGGCCAGGGCCGGATGGAAGGCGATACTTGGCAGTTAAAAACAAAGGAAATACTTACCCGTTTCAATCCGTCCAGTTCATAGACCGTGTCCATGAACGGGAGATAGACGATAAAATGATAAGCGTCTTCGCTAGTCTAAGCCAAAGCAGAGGATCGTTAGCTGTCGCATTTGACGCGCATACACGCCCGAGACAGGAACATGACGTACTTTCGGGAGATCGAGCCCGTCCAGCGAGATGGCAGATGGCGGCGACAGTGCATTATGCGCTTCACTAGTGGCGCGGCGGGTGGTAAGTTCCACGAGGAACGCATAGAGAGGAAGACGAACATACCGTAACCAGTCGACCGACGTAACGGCCATGCCGCATGTCTGCGGATCAAGCCCTTTTTGCAGCGGATGTTAGTGGCTGTTTGGGTCCGCAACAAGGGCACAGGCAACGAGAATGAATGGCGGAGCTGAAGTGGGTTCTAGCACTCGGATGATACAAACGTGCCTCTTGTGAACGAGAACAGCTCGCTGAGCTGCGACCCCGTGGTGACGTCCGGGATGTTGCCTATCGCGTTTAGGACGGCGAGGGTTGCGCATGCATTGTTTACAACTTGATGTGCAAAGAAGCCAGGGAAGGCATCGTCGTACGTCCCTGTGAGAACCAAGGTGGACATGACCCCAGTGCGAGAGTATCAGTTCACTCCAGGATGGCTCAGAAACCAGGACTACGTACCGCCTGTTGTAGAGCTAGCAGGATCGTTACCGGAGGGCGCGACCCATTTGAAAAGGAAGATAAGCGCGTGGATGGGCTGTAGCTCGCGCAAGGAGTCTGGATCCAGAGAGTACAGGTCGTCGACCTGCAGCGGAATGGTCTCCGCTTGGGATGATTGGCGTCGAACGGTCAGCGTCTTCAGTAACTGTGAGAAGACACCGGGGTCAGATTCGGTGAGTTGCCAGCCAGAAGAGTTGTCCTCGTCCATATTCGCGGTCGCCGTGTTCTTCGCCAAAGTGCAATTATCCTACAGCCGCGAGACGCGTCAACCTCGCGTCCTAGACATGGATCACATGATCCTGCGTCATGATCTGACTGACTCACTGAGCTCTCGCGCCGCAGCAGTAGTATGTGACTCGCAGCCGAATTTCTGTTCCGTGCGCTCACCTCCAGGCAGACTGAAGCTCGGCATCTGGCATTATTCGCGTCTACACGCTCAAGAAAGCGTCTGCTCCTTGCATTCTCGCATCAGGCACGCCAGATCGTAGATGTGCGTTCAATACATTCACTTGTCGTTTCAACGAGCTGCGCGCCGTTCCATCTTTTTAATTGCCAATCAAGCTTGACACACAGTGCCCTAGGCGTCGACTGTACTGTTTTAGGCCCTGCAATTGCACACGGCCCCTCTACCGAATGATCGATCAACGCACCTTGTGCGGCATCCGGTTTCGCCGTGGAAATAGGCATGTCGTAAAGCACTAGGTGGCGGTCTGTGCCCGTTCGCGTTCTGCGGAGGTTTAACATATCGCGGATGTGCTTCTGAATCTAGGAGGCCAGGTACGGTCAGCCCTTGGTATGCCTGTCGCCGCCTGTGAGAGTGTCTCTGCCAATGGCGGCGAAGAATCGGCCAAAGTACGATGCCTCCGCTGTATAAGAGCACCTTGAACGTGGCTTGTTCTCTAGAAGACCAACCCCCGCGGTCCCTCCTCTTGAACGACCGTCGGACATGAAGCTGTTCTTCGTCGCAACGCTGTTTTGCGCTTTCGTCGTGCTGGTGACTGGTACTGCTACTGGTGCCAATGCCGACCGCATGAAACGCGGGTTATCCCCGTTGTCGCCCCGAACCATCTACAATCCCACGGCGATCGAAGGTGTGCACGATCTGATCGTGTAAGTTTCAAGTTGCACTCATCTATGCGTAGCTGCTAAGCGTAACTCGCCGTCGGGGAAGCCGGTCAAATGTGTTCTGGGGCCTCTCCAATGCTGCGAAACGTTCACCGACGTGGGTTCTGTCACTGGAACCTTTGCCGATCGCTTATACGCTCGCAGACCTCGGACCCGCTCGCGAAACTCATCCTGGGCCTGCTCGGTTTGATCTTTCACGAGAAAGAGACCTGCGGCCTCCAATGCACTCCCTACACCGGTGTTTGCAAATTCGAGGTTCTCTGCTGTTCGGATACTTCTCATGTCAGTATCACCCCGTACTTCGTCATTGCATTATTTCTGATATCACATCCATAGGGTGGCTCGATTGTCCTAGGCTGTTCCAAGTTCACGGTCTGATCATCATGGATGTTTCGCAATCGATCGCTGTTGTTGTCGACGTTCGTGCCGTCTTGTGTTGGCGTTTTGTTGATCTCACGAGGTGAAGCATTCTCTGCCTGCGACTACGGCACGGGCGGAAATAGTGGGATATTTTGTTATCGGGGTTTGTGTTGCTTGAACAATGTACTCTGGTCCTGACAGGCAATCGCATATGCATACGGTTGAGCGCTCTTACGTGGAGCAGGGCACCGGTTACGGCGAACTTTGAGTTCCTGATTCAGCGACGATCACGCGCAGAGATGGAGCATATACAGCGTAGCTTCGGGATCGCACATTGCTGACTGAAGCGTAAGGGTCGATCATAACCCCATCAATACGCCGATGCGGCCTGGGGAAGACCAGTGGGAAAATACTGCCGAAAGAACTCTGGATAGTGCCGTTCCGCAACGTCTGGATGGCTCCTGGGTGTGGACGTTAGTGTCACGTATAGCAAGGGTCGCATTGCCAAGACGAGGAAGGGTGAAAGAACGGCGAGATGCACGACCCGCGAGAGACATCATGTGTACTCACTTAATGCGGCCGATAAGATTCCCATAGCCGAAGGGCTCTCCCGTGTTATACTCGGCATAGTTAACGGCTTCGATGGCTCCGTAAGTGAGATGCACACGAGTCATGATAACCACCATTCTCTCACAGTCTGATCCCCCGCCGTCACCCCGCAGCTGCTTCAGCTGGAGTATCTCTGGAGGGACTAGATCACTCGTGGTCATTCCTCGTCCGGACATTTGGTAGAAATGGACGCCCACATTCCAGTTGGATACCACCCCTCCGCACTTCCTGTCGAGTGTTTTGGAAGAAGGGAATTGAGTAGCGCGGCGTGGATCCTTTAGGCGGGGAAAGCACACGATGTGAGGTTGCCCGAGCCAGACCAAGGGTCATCGCCTCCATCGCTGTGAACGAGATGCGTGGATCAGAAACGAGTCCTTGAAGAGAAGATTAAGCGTGCGTGCCTTTGCCGATGTTCACCACGAAGGTATTGGGAATAGGCGGGGCATCGATCCATTCACCAGCGAGGTTCTGCACCTGAAGCCCAGCGTGTTCCGATGCCTGGAGTAGCTGTATCGTCGCCAGATTCAGAGCCGGGCCGGTCCACAAAACAACGGCAAGCTCACGAGCGTAAGGAATCCACCATCGAAGTGCGGCCCAACTCCTTGGTCAGTTTCGACAGCATCCTGTGTTGGATACTTCACTAACTGTTTAGATAGTGCAGTCAATGTTTAAGTTCGTGTACTCTGCAGGAGTGATTTGCTTTGCCTTCGCTCGATGCATCACAGTTCCGGGTTCGCCGAATAAAGGCTCGAACGCCTGAGGCGGCAGGCCGAGCGCTTCGGCGGAAAGACTCATGATCTCGTAGCTCAAATTCTCCACACGATCAAGATACCGTCGTAGAGTATCCTTAAAGCCGGGCAAGACGTTGTCGTCCGGCCACTGAAGAGGCGAATGACGTTCCAGGTGCATCAGATATCGCAGGTAACCGCCCACCACGGAATCTCACCTGAGACGGACCCCACAACCTGAGATAGGGCGGATCCCCTGCTTTCACATCGGGTCTGGCGTAATCCGTCGCGAAGTCGAATTGCTCTCGCTCATCCCTTCTACCCTTCGTTCTCTCGGCGCCCAGTCTTGTGTAGCCAAGAAAGCTCTCAGAGTTCCTCATATTGATAGCGTCTTTCGCCTCTTGAGGGATTTCGAAGAACTTGGCAGCATAGTCTGCCGCAGCGGCGATCAACTCTGAAGGAACAGGAGGGTTCGCGAGGTAGAAAAAGCCAACAGAGATGAGCGCATGTTGAAGTTGTTCCACAAAGGATCCCCGCGTCGCGGGCGATGATAACAGGTTATAGTCAAGGATCGGCACAGACGAGAAAGTAGAATCTGCTGATACAGCCATGGTGCTCGATGCTACGAGGTTGTCTGTACGCTTGCGAGCTTTTGTAATCATCTTCATGGGGAGATGGCGCCATCGCTATGCAAGCAGGTCATTTGATGACTTCAGATACGGAATTCCCTTCGCGTGACTGCCGCAGCAGAGACCAAAACATAGAATCGAGGCGAGTCATCTGCATTACAGTAACGGTCATGTTGGTGGGCAGGAAGTACTCACAGTCACTCAGGTTTGCAAATGAGGAACGCCTTCTCACGCTTGCAATTGCTCCGACGAACGTCACATCCTACTAGTACTAAGTAGTATCGTCCAACCTACGTGTTCACCTGCGATCGCTCTCCTTATATCTACTCTTACAGGACAATGTTGAGCCTCCATTCGAGACGAGGAATATAAGGACCTTCTCTTCATGAGTTATATTCCGACACCTGCTCGCGCAGGATTTCGCAACAGTGCCGGACCATCTCCTCCATATTAACCTTCATCCCCTCGATCAGTACCAATCCATCCACCCCTCCTTCCTGCCCTGGCTCCTCAACCTCGCCCATAGAGACGTCTTCTTCGACTACGTCCGGGATGCGACGATGCCTGAGCTTTGGCAGCCCGTGCTCGACGTCACCGCCGACGAACAGCTTTTCGTGGGCGTCCACGTAGGCGGGCCATACAATTCGCTCCCAATACCCAGGAGGATCACGCCACAGCGCCCCTTCTGCGTTGGATTGAACTCCAAGAGCAATGGTGAAGAAGGATTAGGTTTGGTGGCGGACGAAAGGGAACAAGATCAGGACGAGCGTGGACGGCAAACGTGCATTATGTCCCTACCTGCGGTGTGGTATCCGTGGCGCTCGTGGCGTCGCTGCTTCAAAACGTCTCCAGGGACGCGAAGGAATACCCGGACATCCAATTGGTCGACAACATCCTGGAAGATGTCCGTCAATCGTAGCTCCACCGGGGATGCAACTGGAGAGAATCACCTTGTGCCAGTAAAGAAGGAAGCCGTCTACTATCCTCCATACGATCTTCTCGCCACGCACACGGCTTGCTTCGTTTACGCGTTCGAAGATCCCTGTCCAATCTTCTACCAGGGCAGCAGGGATGGGGCACTCTTTTTGCTGGATAGACTGTTACCCGATAAATCTACAGATTGGAAGCTATTTTGCGTACCTCGTTGAGATGATCATGGCTGTAATGACCCGGCGGAAACTCTCCGCCGTGTTCCTTCAGATATCGCAGAAAGGCCGCGAGCCGCGGCCAATCGATGGCACCGGGTGCAGAATCCCAATCTTGCACGTTGTGAACGGGATGCATCGGGATCAGTTCGGATGGCTGGCGAAAGTCAATGAACGAGCCCTTCTAGACAACGAACGGTGGGTGGGCTCACCGGCGCGAAGTCCTACAACGCCTATGTTTATCGAAGAGCATTCTGTGGTTACTGAGGACACGTACGTCCTGATGCACAATCATGCTACCTGGAAGAATATGTCGCAGATGCTTCGCCAACGTTGTCTTCCCGGAACACGTCGCTCCGCTATTTGCTGGATCAGCACAGGCGAGTTCAATAGATAAGCCCGATGATCATGCAGCGTACCCTATTCCTACGAGTATGACCCGAGTGCGCAAGCCATCCTCGGTAGCGATACTGTTCACGGATTCTGTGGGACTAGCTGCGCGAGTAGCTGCCACCGAAGCGACGGGGGACCACGGTTCCTCCATCGGTGTTCCTGTGCGCAACATGGCCCAAGATACACGTCACGCGTTCGTGCACTGCGTGATTGTGACTTTACGATCGACGTCGGGTCGCTGAGGGTTCTTACAGAGTTCTTGTTGAATTGGTGACCGAACAGATTTCTTTGGCTGAAGTACGGGAGGGATATGAGAAAGATAAAGATAACAGGCTTGCGAGGCGCCGGCGGCGTGAGACAGCATCATCAAATTCCGCGAGAGTATTTGATATTCGTGATTGAACCTTTTGAACATCGAAGGTCGAACCTAAGATAAGTCGCATGCTATATGATCAATGCGAACCTGAGCAAATATACCTATCCTCTCGCACGACTGTCCCAGCGGCGCGAGACCTAGGCTGTGTCCTTTGATACGTAGTCAATGTCATACGATCGCTGTACGACAACAAGATCCGCGCGAGAACCGTTTTATGCGCATCATAGAGCTTCGATCGGCGCCACCACATTCAACGGCGCAAGACCGAGCCGACTGTGAGATAATTGTACTAATGCACTCGCCGGGCACGGAAAGCTCCAAACACCGAGTCGAGTCCGCGGTTGCGTGGACATCGGCAGTGGCGTATCAGTTGCAGTCATTAGAGTGTGGCGACGTGCTGTTGGCAAAGGCGCTGTGGGTTGATACATGTCGACTAAATAGCGAAAGATGGTGGATGTGAACGGGCCTCACGGCGGCTGATCATGCAATGACCGACAAAACGACGTCATAAGTAATGGAGGGTGACCTGCACCACAAACGGGCCTCGTGGTCAGCGCCCTGGTCGACGACTGGCTGGGGCCATCAGAGTCCATCACGTATTCTCAGTTGAGCCACACGACATCTGCCCTGCGCCGGAGCCCAGCGCGCGGGCTGCGTCATGGCTGCGCCCCTGGCGTTTATATACGCCCCTCCTCCGCGCTCACTTCCCCACTTGCCCTTTCCTTCCTCCTCGTGCGCGCCGCCCGTGCCTTTCTTCACGTCGACCAAGCACACCCCACCACCCAACCTCACGAAATGGCCGACTCTTGGAAGGACGGCATCTTGTTGAAGGTCAGTCGCCGCCGCAACCACAGTCTACCGCCTGCGTATTGAGTCCGCGACTAGATCGTCAACGTCATCGTCTACCTGCTCTTTTTGGGCTCCAATGTTTACACCATCGCAGGGCCCTCGGCGCCCTATTCGAACGTGAAGGAGACTTACATCACCCCTGCCCCTTGGGCCTTCCTCATCTGGTCGCTCATCCACCTCCTCCTGCTCGGGACCGTCATCTACCAGTTCTTCGCCCCCGGGAAGCAGGTCATCATCGACGGTATCAGTTGGCGCTTGCCCCTCCTCGCGGTCCTCAACGCCATCTACGTCAATCTTTGGTCCACAAACCACTATGTCCTGGCATTCATCCTCGCCCTCTTCGTCTCGTCGACCACTACCCACATCTACTACATTGTGAAGAAGTACCACGAACCCAGCAACGTATGTCTTTACTACACGTTGATTCCTCATGTTTCTGACATGCACTGGCGCGCAGGTGGCAGATGAACTCTTCGTGCACCTGCCGTTCTCCCTCTACCACGGATGGACCACGCTGCTCGTCGTGTTGACCGCGTTTGAGGCGTTCGGCGTCAACGCCCACACCCATGCTCCTGGCATCTGGACCAAGGTTTTCGTCTTCCTCGGCCTGTAAGCCTCACCCCTGCCCTGCAGCGTATATCGTGACGTCATCTGGCAATGCATGCTCATCTCATGCTTTCAACAGGTTCTTCCTTGAGGCTACCTCTGCCACGTATGCTTTCTCGTCTCTCGAGGGAGATTTGCCAGCGTCCATCGCCATCGCCTGGTCGCTTTGGGCCATCTTTGCCGAGCAGCGTTCCAGCGCGTTCATCCATTGGTCTGCCCTTGCGTTCGCCATCCTCGCACTCATCTGGGTCGTCAAAGGCGCCTTCGGAACGGGTCGCCGCTTCTTGTCCGGCCGTCGTGGCATTGCCCTCGAGGACGCTGAGCGTGCACCTCTCGTCGGTGGCCACTAAAAGCGCGCCCACCTTGACCGTGGTCGCATTTGTGAAACGGAGTCTGGTAAATAGAAAAGCGAAAGTCCCAGTTCCCAAATAATGTAACGTACCTCTTGCGCCTCATAGTCCCGTACATGTGTATCACTTCACGCACGTATGAATTGTATATTCCTCTCTTGCTATTCTCCCTTTACGTGCGTCGATCAGGAGAATAGCGCCATATCTTCGCTGGGTTGGACGCTCCCTGCCTGCCATCTCATCCGCAGCCCGTTATCCACTGGGCGCCAAGGCATCGACCGGGACCACTTCTTCAGTCTCGGGTTGGGGTCATCTGAGCCGTGTCCGCAGGACGTCGCGACGCAGATGGCTGGTGCCCTTCCGTCATCCATCGGTGCATTCGATTCAATTGTACCATTTAAACCTGCCCCACCTCACAAAACAACAAGAAACCTACAACGACTCATCCTTCGTAGTCACATTGCCATTCTTACACCAACTATCCCTTGCGCATCGCCACGACTGTTGGTTCCTTAACCTGGCCGCTCCTGACCCAGAGTTCTTGTGCTTCCGCATGTGAACATCATCCTCAAACAATCTTGATATGTCTACTCAACTTCCTCAAGGGCCACTGCATTGGAATCGCGTCCAAGAACCGCGTCCAATGACCGGCGCACATGCTGCTGCCCTAGCTATATCGCGCCATCTTCACGGCCCGGGAGCGCATGTATAAGAGCAAACGCGCGCCGTCTGCAGGCAACTATACAACAGGTCCTCTCTCGTGGATCCGCAGCATAATGAAGCCCGCACTCGTCATATCGCTCCTCGCTGCCTGTCTCTCATCGTCACTTGCGAAGTCTGCTGCTCCGTCGCCGAACGCGTTGGACGTAACCGCGATCGTCACGGACTCGCACCAAAACTCGGCGCTCGAGTGCTGGCGACTCTCCGCGCCATTCGCGACCTCCTCCGCGCCCGGGACCACCGGGGCGAGCGAGCTCAACCTCGGCGGCCTCGCCAACGCGACGTACACGGTGTTCCCTGCCCGCTTCGACGGCGGCGTGCACAACGGACCCTTCGCGCAGTGCGTGCACTTCCTGACTTCTTGCGGTCCGCGCGACCCGTTCTGATATCGGGTATTCGTTCAGATACGTCATCTTCACGTCTGGCCTCGCCGTCGTCACGCTGCCGCACAACCCTGGTGAAGCGCGGGTCGCTGGAGGACCGAACGGCCTCATTGTCGTCGTCGACACCGTCGGTTCCGGCCACATCACCACTTATCCCTCGGATTCGCCGACTATCGCGTATCAAATACCCTTTCAGGACGGCATAATCCCCGCGCACAAGGTCCTCCACGCAGGGGCGTGTACCGGGAACCAGATTCAGCTGTCCTAGGTGCCAATGAATGCGACACGGGATTGTCTGAGTAGGATGGCGATAATGTTGGGACATTAGGCATATACTCGCCTCGAGATACATAAGACGGTGTTCACTACCGCGCATCGTTCTCCAGTAGTTTCCGTGCCCTATCAACAAAATCTCGGAGGGTCCGAACTTCGACTGTGCCATCCACGTCGCCCAGTGAACGGTCAATGCGCTCGTAAAGGCGGGCTAAACCTGCAGAGGACCAGGGGTACTAATCAATACGGACTTGACGCATGGAGATCGCGAGCAATACCGTCATGCACGCGTCCTTCTCCACTCTCGGCTTCGCCCTGTGGAGGTGTCAGACCGTGCGCTACGAAGTCGGAGATCTCGTCCATTTCAGCGATCCATCTGTATGCCTGAAGTGAGGTTAGCATGGGGTCCAGCCCTGAACAGGGCGGTGTGAAATCGAACGGGATCGTAACTGTACCTTGGGCAGCATGCTTGGTATTCCACTCACGGCACGTTTCAGCAGTAATGGCTGACTTTGATGCAATTCATGCATAAGCGCAGTCGCTGTCGAAGGAGAGGATGCGTTCGCAGCTGCACAAGGGAAAACATGGATTAGTTGAGTCTCACGAGCATGACCGCGTAGAAGGAGGCATATACAAGACTGGCGCACCCAGTATCATAGTCGTTAACAGGCCAGTAAGGCCTTTAGTTATCCCCTTCAGTTGCAAAACTTATTGTAAATCGACGTGCCATAACAGAAGCATACCATAGTACGTACTGCGTAGCTCATCTTAAGAGCACTCGCATCGCCAGCACGCACGTCACTACCCCTCAAGCCCACCACCTTGAGCCCCCATTCATTACCCAGCGTTTCAAACTCGTCTAGCAATTGACTGTCTTCTTGCTCTTTGCCGTTAGACAGGCCGTCCGGGTCGGCTGAGGCATAGATAGTGGGATTGTAAGATCCATCAGGTGCTGGTGGTCCGCCGATGATGCCTGCGTCGACGAAGCCGACGGTTGTTCCTCGGAACAGGGCGGCGATACGCTTTGCGGTTTCAGGATTCACGGCATTACAGTCCGCGAACACCAGGCTTGGCCCTCGCAACTGGTCCTCTGCCCTGGCGCTGCCCTTGATCCTCGAGTAGGTATCCTTGAGAGTTATCGCAAAACGCTCGGCCTCGCCTGGAGGGAGAACGCTCATCACCCATCGGACATCTTTCTGGCTTAGTATGTCCGGAAGAGGGCGATCCACCATCCCCGCAGCCTGAGCTCGGTCCATCGTGCGGGAAGAACGGCCAGTGAGGTCGGTCAAGACGGTGCAGCCCAAAGCAGTCATACGACGAGCCATGGCAGCACCCATCGCACCAGCACCAATGATCGCGAGGGTGGGAGGTGTCATGTTGAATAGCAAGGGAGGTTATGGGCAGACAGTTGGAGTCCAGGCAACGAGCGATTTCCAGCCTCCATGATCAACGAGGTAAATCGGGAAGAAGTGGCTTATCAGCTCGTCACGCGTGAAGCAATGCAGGATCAGACCACTTCCATATATGAACAATATTGCCAGATTACCGAGGTAGTACTTATAAGTCGTGAAGATTAGATATGTAAGCATGCATGGGTAGAATGTCAACGTCGGAAAATAAGTACAGCCGATGAAACAGTTGTCAAGGAATCCGCACCCAGTGAACATGTACAAAGATACAGGAGGCGCAGCGTAATATATGCACAGGATAGACGATGATTGGAAGTCCAAGGTTCAGGGAATTAGGATGGTATCGGTATAGTAGACTTTTTGGTTTTCTATCGTCGCTTTCCGGGGTTTGATTTGCGCGATTCAAAGGGAGGAACGGCACCCAGCCCATGGACGGGTATGTATTGGGGATCAACTTGGTCGCATTTCAGATGCAAGAGGAGATTGTGTACGAAGGTCTGCTCGAACCTGCGTCATGGGTGAGAGACTGTGTGTGTCAAGAAGAATAATGAAACGTACGCGGCGTTCGTGAAGGCAACCGATATGCTATTCGAGTTGCATCGCAAGATGTTCGGGGCCATCACCAAAGCCAAATTCTGGCTAGTCATCTTCGTGACCGTCTGTACCTTTTCTTCAAGAAAGAGTTGCAGGAAGCTGACGACGAAGATCACCACGCGGCGATTGATGGTAGGTAAGCGTTCAACGGCCTGAACGCACGCCAGGGGATCGTTCGCATGTTCTATGCAGTCATTGTACATTTCATCAGGAACAAGCGGATCCAGGAGCTCGCGGAGCCAAAGCTTGAAGAGTGAGGCAAGCACATGTGGATCATCAACACCATCTAATGTGTAGTAGCCTCGGTCAAGGCGTAGCTTCAGGTCGGATACGAGGTCACCATCACCAGGGACGCGAAAAATTCCTTCCGACTTCGTACCGCCCAAGGCGAGGATACCATCAGCGAGGAATGGTAGGATGATGGGCACTTGCGCCTGAGGGTAGTTCCGCTCTTGAAGGCGGAAGACAGCATCCAGGGACTCTCCAAATGTGGAAGGGTTGAATGCGGCATCCTGAAGCATATGTCAGTACCGCCGCTGGTTGCATACATAACGAGATCGTGCGCACCGAAGCGGTTTCAATTTCGATCAAGGTGGGCGGCTTCCCTCTGGGACCCTTCTTGGATATCACGACAAGTCGTTTTAAGCAGTACTTCGCCATGACATCAACGCGGCCCTCGGTCTGTCCCGTTCGCTGGCCGATGAATGATTGAAGGTACGGCTCAAAGTCCTTGGAGGGAGGGAATGTCACGAGCAACACGCATAAGAGTTGCCACCCTTTGAAAACGCTCGTGCTATACGCGCGAAGTTCAGCAACACTTAACACCGAGCAGAATACACGTACGCATTTGGATTACCAGTCAACTGTTTCATGAGCTGGCAGTAGATCTCGTCCCTGAGTTCACCATGCCTCAGGCCTTCACCTAGAAGCCATCGTTCCTCTTCTAGGAGTACCGCGTCTGGTTTTGAAGAGGGCGAATGATGAGAGGAAGACGACGTGGCGGAAGGTTCAGACTGCTGGGAGACAGTCCGAGATCCAATTGGTCGTTCGCGCTCACGGTCTCCCATTATCCGCTGGATGACCTTGAAGATTTTCACAACGTCCTTATGCAAAGCACGATTGACCGTGAGCAACGGGGCGGAAAGGGGTACCTTCTGCCACGTCATGAGTTGCTCCATCGGCACCTGGCGCCTGAATATGAACCCAGTGCGATGCTTCGAGAAGTATTGCTTGGCGAAGTCGGACTCGATGAATTGCTGGATATCGAATATCAGAGCGTGCGGTAAAGGACTTTTAATAGGGTATCCCGTCAGCGAAAGCGCGAAACAGTGCTCGTATGACGAACCCGATGGAGGCGTTATCACCAATCAGTACTTTGGTACTTGCACCAGCTGCAACTGGAATTGGTTTACCTGCCAGCCGGTTCTTGACGGGGCTCATATGCATTGTCGCCTCTGGAAGACAAGCACGAAATAAGTCAGCGAGCGCTCGATCATGGTGTAATCGATAAGGCCAAGTGCAATAATGGTGCTTTCCGTCACCGGATCCTGAACGCACACTGACTTGTGCGTCCGGGAAACAACCCGACGAGCGCCTTAACGGATTCAATACGCCGCGACGATTTGGCCTCATTCTCATCGTCGAGAGCACAGCCGCATCCAGCCAGTGCATCCCCAGCAACAAATAAATGCTTGCGCATAATAGCACAGTTCTCGTTCCGATTTTCACGGACTTACCAACATCGAGCACCGGCATGCCGATCTCTTTCCCAAGTATGCCACTCTTGATTCCGGCGGTACTCACGCCAGGGGTAGGCGGTACAGGCCTTCGCGGCGAAGGGGAAGGCGGAGGCTTAGGCAGCTGAGGTGGATGTTGATCGCGCGTCCATCGGGGAACGCCGAATGAGCGCCTTGGCTGAGGGCTTCCCTGTGCGGCCGACTTGTCTTTCGCGCGTTCCTTGCTGCTTGCGCGCTTCCAGCGGGAGCCGTGGCCGCTATCGCTGGATGCTCTACCATTGGAGGATATTGAGATGGGGAGAGGCGGAACGGGTGGGGCCGTAATGTATTCCACGGCGGCACCTAAAGATTGAGCATGAGCCAGCGACATGGAAGGCTGGCTCTTGCTTCGATGAGCCACGGGGTTATGCACGGTGTTTGCACGAGAGCGTCCAGGCGAGGATGTTCCTGACTTAGGTTTCGACTTGCTAGGTGATGAGGTAGGCGAAGGGGTGGGCGAATCAGAGGGCCGAGCGTCAGCGTGAATGTGTACGCTCTGAGGCCTTCTGTTAGCATCGGGGTCGCCAGTCCCCTGTCCTTCGGCACTGCCCGTCCCATCGTTCCCACCAGGGTGGCTACCATCTCCTCGCTGAGGGCGTTCCTCGCCATCGGTGTCGGCATGGGGTGTATCCGTGTTGTGCCCGTGGGCACTACCCTCGACGCTGGTGGCGTAAGGGGAACCCGGTATAGGCGGTAGCTGGCCAGCCCATGACGGAATCTGATGCATGGGATGGTGTTGGTCGTAAGAACGCGATCGTCGGGAGAGCTTGCCGTTGGCAGTCACAACAGTCGGGGTCGTCGTCTCAGACCAAACGCGAGGCTGAGAGTGCATGTCCATTGTATTTGTGCCTATAACGGAAGGTCCGATCATATCTGGAGAAGCAGCGCTACTCTCCGAAGACATGAACGCTGATGCAGACATCGTCATCGACAGCCGTCGCCCGAGGGCCGTGTTCTGTAGAAGCATCAAGGAGGTAAGCAACAACTTGAGGCGAAGTGATGCGATAAGAAGGGGTTCGGAGATGCAGCGGAAGAATCAAGCTTCACTAAAGAGGGAAAGAGATAGACGACAATAGCACATAGCATCAGAGCATCGCGACAATAAGACATCGACGCGCAGCACAAGGCGCCACCATCATATTAAGGGTGGATACCGTGGTATCACAGCCCCAAGTAGTCAAAGGAAGTGCTGAAGCAGTGCTCAGAGCGACTGACACCCTAAGAGAGCGATCACGCCACACACTTAGGAGGCGCCCTCCAGACAGAGAATATATCGGATCGAAAGGGAGTAGGAAGAAAATTACGGGGGATGCTGAACACACCTGCAGGACCGCGAGAGGTATCACGAAACCGTCAGGTCGTTCCCAAACAGTCGCGCCGGATTTGGTGTGATAGTAGTACGGTATACCACCTCGAGATTCATCGGCTAACTCCCACCACTCGCCCTCGGCCGATGGAGGAAGACTAGACAGGCATGAGCGTTGTCATATAAACGGACCGTGATGGAGGGCGCACACGAAGTTGCCAACGGGTGGATCCCAGCTAACCTGACCAGTGCTGGGACAGGCATAGAAGGAGACACCGCTTTGGGGGTCAACCAAGGTCACCCAGAAGTTGGCACCCCATCCTGCTTCTTGAACGAGGGATGTTGTTGGACTAGTGCTTTTTCGGGGACTGCGAGTGCCCGTTGGGGTCGGAGGAGCGGTGTTTGCGGTGCCGGGTTGGAGGGTAGTCGAGTGGACAGAACTGTGGGTGTTCTTGGAGGACAAGGACGCGTCTATATTCGTCTCAAGCCGAGTTGACCGAGAGGATATAGTGGACGAGTGGCGGGACGTATCGCGGGACGGGTGTCCGAAGGTGGCGATAGAGGCGCGCCCGTGCGAAGGAGTCGACGTCGGCGTGAGCGACATCGCACCGGATCTGAGGCGCGCAATCCAAATCAGCGCACCAAAGCGAGCAGATCGAATGCCGGGTTCACTCACGACAGAGAGGGGCAACGGACAGCACAGTGAACCAGCGATACACCGAAAACAAGAAACCACGGAGGAGGAAACGGCAGTGGCCAAGAGCGGTAACAAGAGCAGTCCGCTGGGAGGTTATGTGGCCGTCGAGGCCGACATCGAGAAGGTCGAAAGTCGGCGACGGGCTGCGCCCTGTAGTGCGATCGCGCTCCAAGACAGAAATTGGCAACTCCCCGTCGGCAGGCGCGCGATTCCCACGTACTCGTATGTACGTAACCAGCGCTCGAGCGGACATCGGTGCAAGCTATACGCAAGTAGCATCCCTTCGCGGATAAGCCGATCGCACTTCTTATGCATCTCTCTTGAGACCTTAGCAGAGAGAAGTATGTACATCAGGATCTAGCCATGCCGACCCGCGCACGATCAATTGGCCGTGTACAACCGTAACTAAGCATGACTTGCTACATTGAGCCGTATCCTCCGTAGGGCATCGTCTAGCCACCCTACCTAGGGATCCCAGGGCAGTTTTCCCTCATAGACTCGAGTCCAGTCGTCTGTGGGACACCATTCTAGCAGTCCACGTAAGCCATCACCAGTCTCAACCGATCTATCTCCTTCTGCAACGGTACAATCAGGAAGGTGTGATTCAGCCATGGCATGCTCTCCTCACCGCGATCATCACTGGCGGTGGCGCTTGAGCTTCGTCCATCACTTGTTACCAGATACGGATGGAAACGTATGAACGAATTCCGTGCTAGCCGTTTCGTGGAGAGCGGTGGGTGACATCCATACAGATCCGCAAGATACGGTTTATACGCATTGGTAAGCTGACCAAGGACTCGATGAGCGAGCAGTATGTTGATTCAAGACAGTGTCGATTTACTTCGCCTTGCATCGCCTGCTCCCGTTCAGCGCCATTCTCTCCGGCATCGATATCTACCCCTATGTATTCAAACCTGCTCTGGGAATACGTCAGTATGGTAGCATACGGCGAGTGCACCGTAAAGGACCCACAGACGGCCATCGCAGAGCTCTGCGATGCAATTCCTCGAAACGTCGACGTTTCATCTCATATCCGACCACGGTGATCTTCTCAGGATAGTGACCTTGCGACGCTTCGTGTGAGCAGAGGGTCTGTAGATAACCTCAACGACTGGCGCACCTGTAACCTCATGGAAACGTGCGAGGCTGAACTGCAAATTTTGCAGGGAATCAAGAGCGAATGTCTCGGTAGCGACACGGTGAAACATGGGAGGTGCCGAATCTGTATCTGACGCTGGGAATATATGTAAGCGAGGTGCGTGCGTGTGCAACGCGAACAAGATATGCTATACTCTCGGTGCGACTAGACGAATCGATACATGGGTGACTCACGGTTGTGGACGTGGAAGACATTGGACGCCAGCGCGAGTCGTAGGTAGGAGTCTGCCTCGGTCATGGGGGATGACGGTCGCGTTTGACCTCTGTCAATGATGTACGTCGGTGACGTGGCATAGGGAAGCTGCCAAGTCGCTCACCCGCTGAACATAAGCAATGAGTCGGGGTCTTTGAGTACAATATCTGCGCTAGTCTCGGTTTTTAGTACATTATCCAGCCAAGGACGCTCGTCCACTGCCAAGTGTGACTCACCCGCGTACTATATGACTGAAGAACGCGCGTATCCTTCCCCCGCCTTGCTGATATGGTTCCAGAACCCATTCGGATTCCGACAGGCGCATCCTTGGATCTGTGCCTGGTATCAATCATCAGTTTTGTACGAGAAAACGGGTCTGAATGGCCACACCTGTCCAAATAGCATGTCCGGGTACGATGACGAGGTGATTGATCAAGTCAGTCCACTCCGGCCTGGCAATCGAATGGATGCGTTCGAGATACGGTTGGTCGTAAGAATCGGGAGGTGAGATAGGTACAGCAGAAGACTTGTGTGTACTACCGACGACGTGCACATTCCCAGCTGTCTCACCTCCAATGCGGGGAGGCAGGTCGCCGGAGCCAATCCATACTCCACGCGTTCGTGCTGCTGCATTTGCGGTGGCCTCATTATGTCGGGGCGATGCACTGGACAGCCAGTAACTTATATTCGTCAGGAGAGAGAGCGCGAGGATTGCTAACAACACAAGAGCGCCGGCATTAGTGAGAGGAGAACGAGCGAGCAGTCTACGCGTGTACGCTGGACCTCGAAGGGTAGGGCTATAAAGAGACGAAATAGGGTTGATGTGGGGAAGGGTCGAGGCTGCCAGCGTTTTGCTGGTGAGCGAACGAACTCCGGAGCGTTGGCGCTGAGGACCGGTAACAGGCTCCGGGAGCATCACTGCTGCGCGACAGTAAGCTCGCGGTAGTTATGCCCAAGGAGAACCACGGAAGTCAAGAGTCCATGTAAGGTGGTAGCAGCAACCCTAGGTTAGGTTTACCGTGCTCGTGTTTAACCTAGATCTCGGCTGCCGCAGATTCATATCAACTATACTAAAGACTACAGTCCTGACCATTTCGATAGGAACGTTGAAACGCTATGTCCAAGAAGACTGTGGGCATCCATGAGTCGAGAGAGATGACGGCTGTCATGAACTTACTCATGAACGCCCCAAGTTGGATGGAAGCTAATGTACGATGATTAGCACGTAGAAGTATATGAGATGAGAGGGCTCACTTGTTCCACCAGAAGTATGTTGCAGTCGAGTACTGTGCCTCGTTTGACAATCCTGTCCACCAACCTGTAATAGTTAAGCCCCTGTATACACCACCTGCACATGAAGCAAAGTTGAAACGTTGATGTTGCACTGGTGGCGTGCAAGAAATCGGAGCTATAAGTTGAGTTGGCGTTGCAAATCTCACCAGTGACGTTTTCGAAGCCGAGAATTCCAGAGTTGTCCAAGATGAAGTCGAAGAAAGCATTGGTACTGTGGATGTTGATATTGACGTCTACACCCGCACGCGTAGAGTTCTGTCGGAATTCCGACACATGGGATGCAAGCTGCTTGTTATAGTCGTCAGCAGCTCGTGCCTAGAAGAAGGGCATTCATCAGTTGATAGCGCACGAAAACACGAAAGTCCAATAGTTATCGAAAATGTGAACGTGGAACTGGGCGGGATAACCTGCACCAACCTGCAATGTCGCATTGTTGCCTTGTTTCAAGAGGTCAGGGGTTCTGCCCACGTTCGGCACTTCAAGAAGAAGGAAGCTAGCTGCCCCCGCATCTGCGAGACGAGTTTGGGGTCATTTCTCGCCAAAAGACGCAGGCTCCGCATTCACGAACCTCGAAGTAAAGAAAGACCTTCGAAATAAGATGCGAGAACGCGGGCATTTGTGCGGTGAACAGTCTCATTTGTCCAGTAGAACGACTTCCCGATGTCATTGATGCCTAAGAATCAGACGTGGCTGACGGTCAGCGTTCGCGTATGCAAGCCATCATGAAGCTGTACCGAAGAATATCGTGAAGAGAGTGTTATTCTTGTTCCATTGAGCCAGAGACGAGTTGTTGGCGTAGTACTCGAGAAAGTTGTTGACCTGGTCCCGGAACGACTGCGTTGCCGACGAAGACTGCGCTATAATGTTCTGGTCCGTCACCGCACCGCCGTAACTGATGATAAAGATGATTGAGATGCTGCTACAAGGCCGATGGAGAAATATGGATGCATTGATGTGAAATGAATTGATGAAATGTGGTACGTGATAAAGAGAATAGATCACACTCACGCGAAGTTGAACAGATTCACATGGCTCACGTTATACGTGCTCGTTAGATACTCTATCCACATCGGGCCGCCGGCGGTGGTCTATGCATGAATGTAAGTCAATGCTTCCGACCGTGAAGAGTTCTAGATTCGCATACTTTCGAGTCCTGAGGCGGCGATAGCTTTCCATCTGTGAGTCGCGCGTACGTGTCCGTATAAGAGTCCCCAAATGAGAAAACGTTGGTCACATCGGGCCAGAAAAAGCCGCCAACAACCGTAGGAATCAATGCGGACACGAGCGAGAGAGCAGACAGGTATCGTTTCATCGCCGAAGATGCGGAGGGGTGCATGCAAGCGCGTGTAAATTGCTGATTTTTATGCGTGAACAGGTACGCGATGGCATAGTATCCTAGCCCTGAGCTCGTGACGTCGCTCCGGACCGTCCTTGGTCAAGAATCGAAGAGTTATAAACAGGCAGCCGGTTCTAGGAGGTCGCGCTCCGGCGAGGAAGATCCTGAAGAGCAGGTGATCGTATCCACAGAGCCAAAGAAGTTTCGAAGAGACCCACCTAGTCCTCGACTCTCCGACGCGGTCCGTCCTGAGGAATCATATTGTGTTTTACATCTGGTTGTGACCGAAAGCTGTGGTATGAACCATACATAATGACGTCGTGGTCGACTGTCAATGTCGAGCACGAGCCCTGCACGCCGTTGATGCGCACGAGCCCGGGCCGCTCCTTTGAGCGCACGCACCGCCCTTGACACCGCCCTCATCTCCTCATCTGATCCGTGATTCTGCGTTCGACAAGCCACGATGATGATTCTCCTTAATCGAGGATGCAGAACGATGCCGCTGTGCCAATTCAGTTCATGACATCGCTAACGGCATCCCATCAATGCAGTTTGATCTTCATCCCAGGTTCGATGACCATCGTTGAGAAATGGGCGGCCCCAAGGAGGCCCATTTTGCGCCGTTTCGTCTCGTTCGCAACTCCTTCCGTTCTTTCTCGCTTTCGTTGTCATTCTTTCCGGCCTTCATTTTTCCACTGACCGGCCGCGAGTTATACCTTAGCTGGTTCTAATACTTTTCCTGCATCGCATCTTGGACGCCATCACGCCAGACGACCTCTCTATCCTTGTGCCAAATTACAGGCACCTAGTCTCCGCCGACTCGAAAGCGAGAAGATAGCTGTTCTCACTTCCACGATGTCGACGCCAACGCTCTCCTCGGCATCGGACGTTTTCCTCATCAACCAGGATGCGGCATTCGCCACTCGATACCTGACTCGTGAGCAGCCGGGTGCATGATTTATGGTGTGTTGCTTACTGACCCTACTCAGTTATTGGCCTCGCGCTGCTCTTTCAAGATCACGTCCTTTCGTTCAGAGACGAAGTTCGACTGATTTGGAGAGCCTCCGCGTCTTTCGCCAAGTATGCATTTCTGGTAAATCGCTATCTTGTACTCGGCTGCCTAGTGGCAGTGGCAGTTGGTGCGTCGTATATCGTTGATGAAGACGGCTTACATGGGCTCATTTATGCTTCCAGAGCTGTGTGGGTTCTCTGGAGTACAATGGTCGGATCGCGCATGCCAACAGTTTCTGTTCGCGGTTTCGACGTAAGCCGGGATGCCTATTAGGACCATGCCAACTGTTTGTCTAACCGCTCGCGGCACTGCAGACTTGCAATATGTTCGATCGGTCTGGCCAACTTGCTTGTTCTCATGCGAGTTTGCTTGCTTTGGGAGAACAATAAGGTGCTTGATTTGTTTAACTTACTGCGCTGTGTTGCTCATTGACCTTTTCGCATGTTAGGCGGCTGCGCGTCTGCTCACGTTCGGTTATGTCACTTCATTCTCAGCGCAATTTGGAACTCTGCTTGCGGCCCTTGTTCGTGTCACACGTGCGTGTATTGGCCCATCTCGAATCCTACTGTGCACCGACTTTCTTCTGTATAGCTGGGATACGATGGACGCCGGAGTTTCGAATGTGCGTTCTGACATCGACATCAAAGCTTCTGGTTGCGGCATGGGCGTCTCCGGTAAGCTTTAGGCCACATTCCAAGTCTGATTCCGGCTCATTCGCACTTCGTAGATGTTGTTCGAGCTACTGGTCCTCACATCGACATGCTTAAACGCTTGGTCACGACCACGTAGCGCGCATGAACCTCTCGTGCGCGCGCTTCACAGAGACGGCATTACTTACTTCGTGGCCTTGACCTGTCTACGTGGTGGGTTTATATTGTTCACTTGCGAAGATTTGCTGGTTCCATCGTTTAAAACCTCATGTGTTTGTGGGTCTGATCTGATTCTGCTCTAGGAGTGAACCTTGGTCTCGCCGCCACCCTCGATCCCAAACTTGCTATGCTAACCGTCTTGTGAGTGGTCATCGTCCGCGCTGCTCAAAGGTTCACTGCTAAGCGGGTCCTTGCTACAGTATCGTTTGGTCCTTGGTTACGCTCACGCTCAACCGATCCCTCCTTCGTCTACGCCGTGCGGAAGTGGAAAATGATGATATTCATCGGAGAGCGGAGACTCCTTTCGGGAACCGAGCTGCCGAAGGACTGTTTTCGGTGGCTCTCCCATCCCGTCATGCGGGTCGCCTGACTCCGGTCAATAGCCGGACAGAATCGGGCCTCGAGCCGGGCAAGCCAAGTCGCCACAGCGACTATGAAGGCGGCTTGGATGATAGGGCGATCACCCTTGAGTTCGACGTTCGCAAGACAGTTGACAGGCGGTGATCAAGACGTTCATGGCAAGGCCGCCGCGCCTGCAAGTTGATGGTGCATGATACCTCCATATGTGTTTGTTTTCGCCCAGCACTAGATCACCCTTTCGCGCAGATGGACCATTCATTTCACGGACAGTCGTACTTTGAACCTCTTGCAAATTTGCAGTAATGTCGTTACTACCGTAATTCCTTGCGATACGTCAGGGAAGCCAGCTCCAGTGCCAAGGACTGAGAGGATCTGCGTATTGTCTTATCTGCGTTTGCGGTGCGTGGTCGGATATCACTAAGGCATGCATGCTGTGACCATCATCGAGCGATGATCCCATCTTTCACAACGCCACCACAGCACCATGTCCCCGCGTCCGTCTGAGCCTATCTCTGCACGGCCAAAAGCTATCGCGCCGGCCTTCGTCTTCTTTCGTCTTTCGACGACGGTGCTGGACTCCGCCTATTCGTTCTGTGCTTTGTACTACTACGGGGTTGAGGTCGTTCAGCACTAGCCTCTACTTTTCCTGCTCTGGACAGCAGATTGAACACCCGGACGATTGATCGACACTCGTCCCGTTTCGCGCTGCGGCGGACGATATCGTCATATCTCCGTCATGTCGTATTCATTGGACTACGTGACCGGCATGAGGGCAACGCTGGTAGCTGCCTATGATTCTTACGGCGGTCCGGATATGTATACTACAACCACGCTGCCGAACGGACTGCAGTTTCTGACAAGGGTGGTGTATACCGCAAAGGAAAGGCCCGGCGTCATCGTGAGCTCTCTGTCCTCGAAATCTAACGCGATCTCATGATGAACAGGCCCTCGTTGCTACTTCCACCGTCTCGGCTATAGCGATCGTTGGCCTCTTACTGGCAATTTCAGTGAGTGCTCCGTTTGTCGCCCTGCATTCCACGTCAGCTCAGATTACTATGGCTCCTAGCTATCTGCTTTCAACACACGGTCGTTGACAAATCAACACTTGTTCGTTCGTACGCACGTCGCTGCATATTTCATCTGTTTGCTGTGCTCGGACATGTTGCAAGGTATGGTAATTTGCCTTCATTCTTGGTACACCGTCTGATGGTTTCATAGCGGTTGGGTCCATCATGAACGCCAGATGGGTGCTCGAAATGAGTGTGAACATGGGGAGTTACTGTCAGATACAGGGAGCCATCAAGCAGGCGGCGGACGTAGGGACAGCAATGTGGAGTTTGGTAAGTACTCCTTGCGCCACTCATCACGCCCTTCGCTCGTGATTTTGTATTGTTGGCCATGTCTGATCGGCGCCCAGATCATTGCAGTGCATACGTTCAACGTTCTCTTCCTGCAACTCGAGATGCATAGATACGTCCTTTATGCTGCTCTTGTCGGTGGTTGGACAACTATCGCTGCAATGGTCCTCGGTGGTCCGGCGATCCTGAACACGACAGAAAGAGGGCCCTTTTGTACGCTCCCGAATATTCGAAGGCGTGACTTTCTCTGATACATGGCTTACACAGTCGGTATATCAGGATATTGGTGTTGGATCTCAGCCGGGTATCCCACCGAGAGAATAACACTTGACTATTTGATAGTACGTGACGCAGTGCCGATGTTGCCGCGACCTTACCGTTGTGATTCCGTAGATGTTCATTTCGGCTTTCGGTTGTTTCATCCTCTATTCTCTCGTCTTTTTGCGTCTGCGTGGCAACATTGTGCTCCATGGTTGGCGCGCACGATTCCGCTTCAACGTGTGTACAATAACTCGGAGTGATGTCCATGTAATCTCCGAAGTATCTAACGCGTAAGTTTTTTAGGTTCGCAAGAACACAGTTACGTGGCGTGGGCAACAGAATGAGACAAAGGATAACTACACGAAGGTTGTCGCACGTCGGATGCTCCTTTACCCAGTGCGCCATTGCTCGACTGTTACCGTGGAAGACATCAAGACTAACACTTTTACAGGTTGCATACACGATACTCCTGCTACCAATTTCAGTCTGTCGCTTCATGTCTTTCGCTGGCCACGATGTCTCTTTTGAGGTTACTATGTTCGCGTGAGTGCAGCTTTCGCCTTGTCTTGAGCTAGCCTCTCACCACCGAACAGAGATGTCGTGTTCTTGATGTCAGGAGTCGTTAACGTCACGCTCTTCTCCACCACGCGTCGTATTCTTCCGCCAAAGAGTGTCTTCAAGTTCCTGATCTCTCGCCCGAAGTTGGAATCCGAGTCCTTGACTCCCTCGTTCCTCAACGACGCACCGTCGGTGACCGAGAAAGGGACAGGATTCGCCCGCAATGACTACTACGTCTCCTACGAGAGTGGAAGGTCGAATACATCTAGCGTCTATTCGAACACCCCGATGATGCCTGCTATCAACGCACCTGCCGGGGCATTACTCGCGGACGAGAAATCCCCTATATCGGTAGCAGGGTCTGCCACGACTCCGAACGTTCATTCCTTCGCTGGCAGGTCTCCCCTTGCGACGAACAGCCCAGTTTCTTCTCATTCCAATTTCTCCGCCTATCACGTCGGAAGTCCGTACATGGATGGGAGCCTCGGCAGTTCGCTGTCTTCCGCGGGATCCCAAGACGTCCTCTATTCAACACCTTCCCAGACCATGCTGCAACAGCTCAACACGGATACGCTTCTTCACGCTCCGGATGCCACTCTATGGCCGCCCCCGGCTACCCTGCCTGTGTCTAGGGGACGTCGCCCCGTTGCATCTGGACATTCCGAAACATTGGGTATTCCCAATTTGACACGATCCGACACGGCATATTCAGGCGCCAGCTTGTATGACTTGTACGGCAATAATGAAGACACGCATCGGATCGACGAGCAGACGGTCCGCCGGTAAGGGGCGTTTTGTTAGCACGTTACGTTCCTTTGGTCAGTGGCTATGAGAGGACCTGTATAATAGCCCTTAGCAGGTGGAGTGTAATGCCGATGCAGTGTTATGCCGACGACGACCTGCCGATGGGCGTGTACGGCACTTCGGGCACCAAGGCACCTCGCCCACCCAGCCACCAAATCGAGCGATTGTACCATGTTCCTGAGCGTTACCGTTGCGCCGGTCAAGCGCGAAGCCTTCGCCTGCGCCGGCCGTCAAGTACGGAGCTTTGATCAAGAGGTATCGGTCCCGGCGATGGGATCATCATGACTCACGATAGACTTTTTTCTGTCCCTGTCTCGTCGGTTTCGAGCAATCCATGGATAGATCTCAGGACTCATAAGGACTGTAATACATGATTACAGTATGGATTATGCAGATCTTGACACCGGGGGAGGGGGTGGGGGCGGCGGCGCGCCTTCCTCATTAGCTTACAAACTATCTAATCTGTGCTTACTTGCAGAGTTTATCGGCGTCGGGCAGCCAAGCTCGGTAGTGTCCCGCATTCGCATATCCGCCGGGATACTGGGCTCTCCGCAATGCGATCATCTCTTTGGTATCGATTGCGCCTCGCGCCTATCCATGCCCCAGGGTGGAAAACAGGCTGTTTTCTGCCCGTCTCAGATTTGGTTGATTACAGCCTACATGCATAGATTAGCAAGATATCAGTGGTCAGGAACCATCCCCACAGATTTTGAATCACTGCGCAGCCGGCCATAAAATGGTTATGGTCTGGAGGGTGCAGAGCCATTTGTGAGCCCGATACAGCAGTTATGGGGT